CTATCCCAGGCCCCAGTCCTTCTCCCAGCGACCAGACCTACAACTGGCCTGAGAATCCCCAATTCAACTTTGCTGACCCTCCTGCGCTTGCCCACGGGGAGGATTTCCCTCTGTTCGGGGAAACATCACCCTATCTGATGACCGATGTCAACTCGTTCCCAACCTCGGTGAACCTGAGCGGCTTCCAGAGTCAGTTTGAAGCCGGTGACCCGAACGGCTTGATTCCAGCCCTCGAGATGCACCGGCAGTCCATGAACTCCATGTCTATCCCATCTGCCGAATCAGTTCCCGACTTGATGGGACCTGTGTCATTTGACGGATCCCCACTCACCGGTACGGAAAGCATCAACTTCGACCTGGATTGGAGCAACCTGGAATACCCAAGCAACGAGGACTACACTGCGATGGCCGCGCAGCTCCCTCAAGGTCATTCCCTTGAGGCGATGAAGGGCTATTCGAATGATTACGAGCAAATGAACCTCAACCACTGTTCCTATGATGCCTCTGGAAAGCCCTCTGGCCTCTCTCCTGGTGCGCAGGGCAACGCCATGCTGTACTCACCGGACTCTTGTAACGTCGGTGACACTATTTCTGAGCGCTACGAATACGGACTCCAGACCTATGGGCGTAACGACTTCACCCTTTACAACCAGAGCGCCCAGATGGGTAGCGGTGCTCAGCCCATGATGCAAACTCCTAGTGACCACTCAGCTCAATACCATCAGCCTCAGCAGCAAATGTTCCCCTCTCTTGAGCATGAGCGCGCTCTGCACAACCTGCAACCCTGGAATGGCCCGCAACCCCAGGGACACTATCTCCCTCGCGACATGGAGCTGGAATTCATGAAGTAAGACGGGATTCCTGGGGGCTTCCACAACACACTCTTCTCAATTTTTGTTTTCTCAAGCGAATTTAATGTTCTCAGCGATGGATTTATGAGGTTTTATTTTTTTCAGCTTTTATTTTTACCTTAATCTTTCTACCCCAGAAAACATGGCTGAAATCTTGGTTTTTTTTCCCTTTCCTATTGAGTATAGTCGTTTTTGGTCCAACAGATTTGAACAAACATAAAGGAAGTGGTCCCCTGTAACTTCTTTTTGACCCGAGTAAAAACAATATATACCAATGCGGGAACTAGCTTAGAATAATAACTAGTGCGATGACACTGCCGAGGAAAATCCACGCCTCATAGGATGCAGACCTAGTAGGCAACACTTTAATCATCCTTGGCGTACGTGACCTAGGCATTTTGTGACCATATCAAGTGGTCTGGTGTTATCAAATAGTAAGATACAGTAGAATAGGTTGAGCCGAGTTAGGAAAAAAAAAGTAGCATATCAACACTCAAATCTTGTATAATTTAGCCTTATAATAGCCTATAATATAGCCTTATAAGGCCGGGGGTGACGACATCATTTCTCTCCCGACTCCTGCTCCACACTCAGCCCCCCCCCATCACCTTTGTTCCCACACCTTTCACGAAACAGAAGACATCCTGGGACCCAGCACGCAGTGTTCAGCCTTGCCCAGCCGCTCATTGTAGCGCCAACCAGCCTTTTTAGGCAGACACGTTCTGTGTTTCCATTCTCATCCCATCACCTGCACACTGGCTGTGCGATTCAATCCCCTAGGGACTCAGCTTCCCTCTCAAAGCAGGAGCAATATCCTTCAACATGCCGGAAACACAATTGCCTGATCCCGCATTCCCCAACGGCAAGGGAGATGTGGGTGCTACCCCGCCAGCAGGCCAGGTCCTGACGGGCAGGCAAGAACATTGTAAGTTGGAGGATATGATGGTATTCCGATTTCGTAGTTGCTGACAAGTAAATTTGTGCAGACCTCAAGCGCGAGCTCATCTCCCGTGAAGTGCGTGACGAAATCTTCGAGCTAAATTCCCCCACCGCGCTCCAGCGATTCGGTGCCCCCTTCAGATCGGAATTCGGCGAGGTCGCACCGGTCGACTCGGAGCTGCCCATCCTTCGGTATATTTTTGTTCACCACGTTCGAAATTTCCCATTCCTTGACCAAGCGCGCGAAAAGGAGTTTTGGCAGGATAAGCTACAAATCGTGGGTGTTTCGCTTCCCTGAATGGAAAACGAGGAGGAACAGAGTGTGACTGACAGTTGGGGATATAGTTCTTGGAATCGTTTGCCAATAAGCATGTCTCGTCTTCGGAGGATCGACTGGAGGAGACAAAGCGCCGGAAGTTGGCTCGAAAATGCGAGAAGCTCGTGGAGCTGATGATGGTTTCGGGTGTGCCGACCGCGTCGGGATATGAGGAGCGTATCCAGTTCTCGGAGATGGAGATTGTCGAGCGTGGTGCTCAGGAATCCGGCCTGCTGTTTAATATGCCCGAGGGCAATTCTATCAACGGTTGGGATGTGAACGTGGCCGCTGTTCGGACAACCTCTGTCAAGCGGACAGTGCGATACCATCAACATGCTGTAAGTTTCACAAGTCTGATCGTCTTCGGTTGGGAGCTGGGATTATCTGCTGACAACAGCTGTTGTAGGAATTCATTATTCGAGTTCGTCGCCACGACCAACAGGAGATTCATATTGGGAGGAGATATGGAGAGTTTGTTAAGCTTCACAGGAGGCTGAGGACTGAGCTGCCAGGAAAACAACTTCCTCCCCTTCCTCGTAAGAACAAGTCTTCCACCACCTCAAGCTGGTGGGGTTCTAGTGCAGATGATGACGCTTCCTCTATTTCATCTCTCTCGACATTGGACACGAATGCTCCCGAGGATCGGCTCTCTGCACCAACTCTCACACCAGGGAGCGTCCGGCGATCGATTTCCCGAGGATCACTGCGATCGACGAAGTCACCGCGTGCATCAACGGGCGACGTGTCCAGGGCGACTGTGCTGTACCGGGAGGAGCAGCGTGTGTCGCTCCGCGCGTTCCTGCGTACTGTACTGCAAAACAAGCGTATTGCAGAATCTAATGCTATGGAAGAATTCTTGACTGCTCGACCAATCCAGCTGAACGAGGAAGAGTTGGTTGATGTCCAGAGACGGAAAGACATGGATGCTGTGAGAATCGAGGAACAGAAGAGATTCTACGAGATTGCTAGGCAGCGAGCTGCGGAGCTGGATGTGTACATGGAGCGGTTCCGGCGGGATATTGTGGAAAGCAGTAAGTCGCGACCTCCTTCCAGCATAACATAGTTTGCTAATCTCACTTGGATTTTAGATGGTTTGACAAAACTGTTTGCCGAGATCCGGGAGAAGCCTTCAATTCAAGATCTCAGCCCGCAATATCAGAAATTTGCTGAGTGGCTCCGCATTGAGTATGTTGTCTGATTTTCTGAGTGCGTCGCCCTACTAACATTGAACAGAGTTGCTGCAACAATATACCACCTGTTCCTTGCCGAGGATAACTCCCCTGAACTGTTTGCACAGGCGAAGAGAATCCACGGCCTCGTTCCGTACACACTGATGAAGAATGTGATTCGCATCGCCAACCCTGCTGCAGTAATGTCTGGTGTTCTAGACCTCTTCATGGCCCAGCCCTTCGGCTCACGGTCACTTTTGCAACGCATCTTCTCATTAACGCTGAACGAAAGTATCAAAGATTTCCAAAGATCAATTGATTCTCTGGCATCGAAGGTTGGAGATACAGTTCTTACTCAGAAGCTCAAGAGCTTCGCGGATTCCGAGGAAGTCATCAAGAATGTGATCCGAGAAGAGGCTGTTTCCGACGATGTCGACATTATTGTGGCCATCCTTCGCTCCGAACTAATATCACCTGACCTGAACTCGGAACAGATTGGCAAGGTGTTCAACGGCTATGTGGCTTGGAACTATGCCGTGGAGAATGTAGATCTGGAAATGCAACAGGGCGCGCAGTGGTTCGCTCACATGAAGCAGCTTCTGAAGCTCTACACCCGCCAGCGCGACAAGGCGATGATGCTCAGCATTGTCGAGGAGCCAGTCACACTGCAGCTCTTCCGCGACCTGTTCACTATATTCTACGAGCCGCTCGTCCGGGTCTACAAATCTGCCAATGTATATAACAGCATTACGGACTTTGCTCACTTTGCCGACGATGCCATTAGTGTGATTGAGAGTGCACAACGCCAGGATGCCTCGGCCGATCCGAACCAAACAGTGCAGGCCTTCATTGACCTGTGCGCTCGCCACGAGGCCAACTTCTACAAGTTTATCCACGAAGTGCACCAGCACGACAACGGCCTGTTCCAGTCTCTAATGGGCTGGATTGAGGAGATTCTCGATTTCCTGCGCAACGGCCCCGCCGGAGGCAAAATGGACATCAACGCTTTGTTCCAAGGAGCTGCTGGAGTTGGCCAAATCGACAAAGACCTCGCTCTCACGGAAATCAACCAGCTTATCAAGTGGCACGAAGACCGGAAACGCTGGCATCTGAACAAGACTCGCCAGAAGATGGCTGCTGAAGGTACCTCTGGGGAAACTATTCCAGGAGCTTCAGCTTTCAAGGGCAGTGATTTCGGTCTTGACGAGGTATGTGTTTTCCACCCACTCGATTTCAAAAATGTATTTGGACTCCAGTGCTAACCACGGGTTTACAGGCTGATCTGGAGGACCTCACTATCTCAGATGAAGCATCTGATGCCTCTGACGAAGACAGTGGAGATGAGAACATGGACGACCCTATCGCCGTAGAGCGCCGCCGGCGGATAAAGAAGCAGGACCAACTTCGCCGTACTGCGGGTGAACCCATCAAGCCCGAGGTTACGGAAATTCTCAAGCTTGCTGATCCGTTTGGTGTTATGTTGCGGCACGTGCTTGCTGGTTAGACGCCGTTGTTAGAATTCTTTTGCTGCATTCGTGATACCGCCATAGATATATGGCTTCTCCACTTTGATTCCCATTGTTTTTCACACACCGATCAGTTGCTCGTTTGCTTCTACTTGCTGGGTCATGGCTCTGCGGAGGGGTTGGGAGGAAGCATTAGATAGATATAGCGGATGATAGGGACCGCAAGCCAGATAGGTCATGATAATTCAGACGAGAATATTCATGATGGGTTGTCTATGTATCTCTGCAGTACCTCCACTACCTGCAGATTGCCATTCTCCGATGCCACCTCTAACGGCGTCTTCCCATCTGTGTCTCCCAAATGTGGATCAATGCCATGCGCCTCGAGTAGTAGCTCTACAACACCTATGTGACCATAAAACGCAGCATTAAACAGCGGCGTCTGACCGTTCTCATCACGAGCATTGGGATCAGCCCGCCTAGACCCAGCCAACAACCGTCTAACAATCCCCTCATGGTTTCTTTCCGTCGCAACCCCCAACGGTGTAGTCCCATGTATATCAGCAATCTCCAACCCAACCCTCTCACATCCAACCAACAAGTCCACAACCTCCTCATGCCCATTCTCCGCAGCAACAAACAAAGGTGTCCGCCTCTTCCAATGCGTCTGCAAATTAGGATCCGTAACCTCCCACTCCAGTAAGAACCGTACAACATCCACCCACTCCGCCGAAGCCGCGATTGAAAATGCTCCCCGCCCATATTGCTGTCCTTCGGCGTTGGGATCAAGCTTCTCCCCAAAATACTGAACCAAATACCGCACAATATCAACGTGTCCCATGATAGCCGCATAGAAAAACACATGCTGGCAATGCGCAGCGCCATCATCACCGTCGAGAATCAACCGCAAATGCTTAGCAAGTAGCAAGCCCACATCCCCGTCTGCTTCACGCGCAGCCCGGTTGAGCGGCGTCCATCCCTGCCGATTTGGCACGCGCGGATCCACCCGCCCGTTACAGAGCAGCAGTGTTATCATCTTGAGCTGGTGATTGACGGCAATCATAAGTGCAGTGTCGCCCGCCTTGTCTTGCAAGTTGACGTCTGTACGGTCGTCGTTCAGCAGGATTTGCACTATGGCTGAGTGGCCCTCTCTGACGGCCCAAGATAGTGGTGGGCGGATCAATTTTCTATCACGGGTGTTTGGGTTGGCTTCATCGTTGAGCAAGAGCAGTTTGAGTACCGCAATGCTATTATGCAACGCGGCTAGCATTATTGGGGTGCAGCCTTTTACTCGCGGGTCTGTGTCTGTTCTTGAGTGGATGTCGAAGCCCGCGGAGAGACATTTCAGGGCTGTTGACGGGGTGTCGGTTGTCGAGGCCCAGAAGAGGGATTTTGGATTTGGCGAACTTGCATCGCGCTTATAGAGGGTGTTGTTTAGGAGGTTGTAGGTTGTTGTGTTGGTGCATGTGAAGGCATTTAGGTCTGCTGGTGATAGGAAATCGGATATTGCGAGATATAGTTCATTAGGGAGGGTTGAGAGTGGGCCTTGTGTGTCGATGCATAGTGTATGCATTTGAGGTCTTTAAAGGGTATCGAAGCATGAGGGGTTGATCATTAAAGGACTCGACGCGGGGTTAAGCTTCTTATAATGGTGCTGGATATGTGGAAATCCGATCTCAGCCTCAATAATGAGGTCATCTGTGATTGGGATGAATATAGATGAGATTGTCTCAGATTATTCTCCCATGTTCTATTTCTAGCACTGTCATAATCCACCTGGTCCATGGAGAATGTCTTAAAAGGTGCCAAGACCTCGTGGGGGTGATAAGATAAGCATGTTTCCATGGCGACAGACAACGTTCATCTTCCCTCTCTTGAACAACATCTGGGGAAAAGCTGTGGAAAATGTCATCCCCTCAAAAATACCCAGGCTCACCAGGAACTACAGCGCCTCTCCGTCGTGGTCTCTTCAAAGATGGCGTTTGGTGTTGTAACTGCCCAGAGCGACCGGCTGCCATTCGTCGTCAAACAAAGAAGCAGGGAGCGAACTTTGGGAAATGGTGTATGTCAAATCTTGCTTAGGCTGTGAAGGATGATGCTTGGAAAACTATCTTTATATTAAATTAGCGACTGACCTAAAATTAGTTTGGACTTGCGCGCAGTCTCCACATCTCAAATGCAGCTTCTTCCTGTGGGCAGATGATGCTACAATGCGCGAGGAAGCAGCCGTTCTTGCCAACTCTCGATCGGAACGCGACCCTAGCTCGCTCACCCCATCAAGGCATAACCCAGGACGTATGAACAACGGGCTACTCACTCCACAGACTGAGCGCAGATTCGTCAATACCCCACAGCGCAACTTCAAATCGCCCCCGAAGACAGCGAAGGCTAGAATGATCTCAGAAGCGTCAGACGACTTTGGCTGGAACGACGACGACTCGGATGATAACAATGAGCTGTCCAAGGCACTCTCTTCTAGTCAGACCGAGAGCTTCATCTCGCAACCCAACTTCCACCCCGAATCCCCATTCAAGAATCCCCATACCTCCACAGTGACCTCACCCGGCAAGCGCAAATTGGCAGAAGTTATAAATGACAATCCCCCATACGACCAACCTACACCCGCAACGCCTTTCTCATCCTGCTCCTCTCGCACTGCTATGTGCCCTCCCTCGTCTGCGGAACTATGCATGACACCCACGCCTAGCAAATACAACGATGTGCTTTCTGCAGACTCGAAGTTTGACACCTCGGATCTTGCAAAGAGTCTACTCGATATTCTGGAAATACATAGTGTTGTTTTGCCAAACAAAGCGCATGACGAGGTCGTCTCACTGCTTAACAGGCAGGAGTTGAAGACCCAGGGGATTATTCGTGGCCGGGATATAACGCGACTAGCATTAAAGAAGAAGGACGACGAAATTAAGAAGCTTCAAGACCGTGTTTCCAACCTGGAAGCTCAGAGGGAACTGGATCGTTCTATTATTGAGGGGATAAAACCCTGTTGAGGGGACAATCGGGCTGCACATGCAGAGCGATACTACCGATGTTGATATTAGAAACTGGCATTAGGATGTCCTGTTATACCTTTGGCTAAGTGTGCGCCATCTATCTCACGAACTGTTACGATGATATGATAGCTTTGCGATCTGCGATTATTGTGTTATCGTCTCAAGCTTTTGTTAAGCAGGAGAATCACCAGCCTGTTTCATCGATGAACAAAAACCGGCATGCTCAAATGAGAAATATGATGAGCTTTATCGGTCTAGTAAAAAATAATTTGATCACCCTACGAGTTGCCCCGAGCTCTGGGCCCAGTACTTTGACATAAGGCACACGTAAAGCCAAATATTACGTTGTAGCCTACAGTTAATTATATCCACAGATATACCTCGAACCGATTGCTTAAAAACTAATATTCAATTATTTAACATCTATACCGACACATTTTGTCTACGTTTCACATGTAAATCTTTAGGATCTAGATGGATCTAGATAAGATGTCACGTGGCTGATAAGAAATAAATTATCGCGCCGCAATGCGCCTCGAGCTTCGAACAAGGAGACAAAATCCACAATAGGCCAAAAATAAACACTCTCTATCTCCAATGAAACCGACAGATGAGGCTTCCAAGCAGGCTACTCTCCACGAGACCCCCGCCATGTTCCGACCCCCTGTGAACCGTGCCATGCGCACACTCGACCGGTCATTTTTCCGAAGAAACGTGCCCCTCTCCGTCGCCCGGGTTTTTAAACCAAGTGACATTTCGAACGTGCGGAAGGATTTGACCAAGAGCCACGACCTATTGCTATTGCCACGCATTAGCGCTATCCGTGAGGTGAAGGACCAGGATGGCAAGATCTGGAAGGCTATGTTGTTGCGCGAAGACCTGAAAGTTGATGGTATGTTTATTGGGCTTAGATCGCTCGCAACCTTGATCCATTTGTTCTAATTCGGAGTTTACAGATAAGGCAACATGGTCGCCTACTATCAACGAGCTCGTAAATAAGGGAACGGTCGCCCTGGGGCCTTATGAATTGGCATTGGAATATGACCATTGGTCATACGGTATGCTTGCCATCATGTTTTCTCAGCTAAGTATTCTATGCTAACATTCTCATAGCTGAGATCATCTCATCAGTTCTACCCGAGGACATGATGGAAGAGATCCCTCAAGGCTTCACTCAAGTGGGGCATGTCTGTATGTTCCTCTGAGTCACGGTGGCTATGAACCCAATACTAACGAAACCAGTGCATTTAAATCTCCGCGCCCAATACCTGCCATATAAGCACATAATTGCCGAGGTTCTTATGGACAAGAACCCGACCATCCGCACCGTCATCAATAAGACCGAAGATGTCGGCTCACACAGCCAGTTCCGTACCTTCCCATTCGAACTGTTGACAGGCGAGAATGACCTTAATGTCATCCAGCACGAGCAGGACTGTGAATTCCGGTTCGACTATGCTCGTGTCTACTGGAACAGCCGCCTGGAGACCGAGCATCGCCGCCTGGTCGAGAAGTTCGAGCCCTGCGAAATGGTCTGCGACGTGATGGCCGGCGTTGGGCCCTTCGCCGTGCCAGCAGGCCGGAAGAAGATCTTCGTCTGGGCCAACGATTTGAACCCACATGGATATGAAGTTATGCAAGATGCCATCACCCGTAATAAGGTGCAAGATTTCGTCACTCCTTTCAACCAGGATGGTCGGGAGTTTATCCGTTCCTCGGGTCGGTCGTTGTTAGCGGCGAAGCCTCTTACCGTCACTATCCGCCCCAAGGTGAGCAGAGATCAGCAGCGCAAGGCCGCGCAAGGCAAGGGGGCCGAGCTCCCCGCGCCGAAGATATACACCCGTCCTACCATTGTGAATCACTATGTTATGAACCTGCCTGCTACGGCCATTGAATTCCTTGATGCCTTCCCTGGGCTCTATGCTGGCGAGGAACACGTGTTTACGCCCAACACGGAGCAAAAATTGCCCATGATCCACGTTTACTGTTTCTCGGGACACTCCGATAACGAGGTGGATGATCACATCGATATCTGCGAGAGAATCTCTGAGCGTATCGGGCACAAGATCACTGTCGATGACTGTGTGGGAGGCAAGGGGAACCAGGATGTGGAACTCGCCATTCACAATGTGAGACTGGTTAGTCCCAAGAAGCAGATGTTCTGTGCTAGCTTCCGTCTGCCTCGGGAGGTCGCTTTTCGGAAGGTATAGAGTTATTGCATAGCTGCATTTGAGGCGCTTAGGGCTTTCTCCATGGACAAAAATTAAGACCAGTACCCAAATACCTATCATACCTAGCATTAGCAATAAATACGCTTGATTTGAGTTTCCCATCGGATCTTGTTTTACATCTAGAGGGGGAGGCGGTAAGGGTGTCACCGCCTTGAGATGCCGGATGTGAAACTGCAGAGATCAACGTCGCGCCAAACAAGTCACCTCATCTTCTTTACAGCAGATCCACGGCATCGACGAAGTAGCTCCGGGCAAGTTCTTTTCCACCAATATCTTCAATTTGCTTGCACTCAGCTGCATACCTAAGCCTACGAAATATCGCCCCTCAAACTGCACAATGAGCGTCCAACTCCCCCCACCCACACACCGCAAGCGCGCGCTGCCACAAGGCGAGCTCGAAGCCGCCTCCACGCTTAAGCTGGGCGCTGACCAACACACCCACACACTCTCACTTTCAGAAGCACGACTCGTGATCCACAAGGTATTGGAGAACAAGCGACGCGGTGGCAACAAATACGAAGAGCCGGAGTAAGTGGACCACAGATCCAATGTCGAGATCGAATGCTTACCTAAGTTTTTTTTCTTTTACAGAAACCTGACCAAGACCTTGGATTATTTGGATGTCTTTGCCCGGTTCAAGGATGAGGAGAATATCAAGGCAGTCGAACGCCTTTTGAACTCTCACACGGAGCTGGAGATGTTTGAGCGGTCGCAGCTGGGTACGTTTTGATTTACACCTCACCAGCCAAGCCCTTGTTCCATGGCACTTGCACCTAGATCGTTGGAAGATTTGGTAAACTTTAGATTTACTGACATGTGTCTGAACAGGGAGTCTGTGTTGCGATAATGCCGAGGAGGCCAAGTCTCTCATCCCGAGTCTTCAGAACAAGATCTCCGATGGAGACTTGCAAGAGTTGCTGGATGAGTTGACCAAGCTGCGCAATTTCACCGAGTAAACAAACGTACACGCATTTCCTGGATGTCTCATTTTTAGGAGTATGGAGTTTGAAGGCGTTTTAAGTTGTTGGGTCCATTTCCCGAAGATCAACGGATGAACATACCATAGGTACATATGAGGGAATTGGTTCATAATAGAAACCTGTCCCGGACCAACCACAGCTCATTTGTTTTATTGGCATTTCGAGTCCGTGCCCGTTTGCCACCGTACCCGGGGAAGGAAATCATGACTCCGGGGTGTTCCACTCCGGACTGTGGAAAAGTCACATCTAGTCATAATGTATTATATATCAGCGGTCAAAGATATAGAGTGTAGGCTTTTTTGGCGTTTCCCTCCACAATTCCCACCCCACAGTTTTATTTTTGCAGCTCGGGCACTACTGCGACTTTAGTATGGAGACAAGCGGTGATTGGTCGGGTGAAAGGACGTTATCACTGAATGATGATTGGCCCGGGAGATCCTAGTCACCCTCTGGACCAGTCAGAAAGCCACTATATATGCAGGAAGACAATCCCTGGGGAACGGCAGAGGTAAGAAGGGGCATTTAAATATATATTTTAACCAAGATTGGGTTCTTATTATCTAACTATTTGATCTATATATCCTGTGAAAAGGTAAATGCTGATCTAATAATATTCAGTACGTAATGCCATGTCTGGTTTCAGAACCAATCAGCACAAGACCGCTTATCTTTGACAATTAAAGTGTCATAATTCTCAAGTCACGGTGCCTCGAACGGTGGTTTTTCTTACGAGACAAAAAAAGCTGATCTGGGAAAGTACCAAGTTTCCGGCTCCTATAGTTTATATTACCTATTAGATAGATCGATGTCATCATATTCTCTCTGGCTTCTTTTTCTCTCTCCTCTTCATCTGTAGGAATGACGGAGCGAACTATTCGACATCTCATCCTGCTGCAATCACTTGCAGGATCGTCTTCGATCTCCGGTGCCGGCTTTGGAACTCATTTCGGAGATAACCAACTTTTTTTTCTGATAAGCGTATGTGTTTCTCTTATCACCATGATCTCATCCAATGACTGACTCTGTATATCCAGAAAGTGATCTCACGCTAGACGAGATTGCGGACACGTCTGGGTACTCCGTGAAGACCCTATCACTGTTTCTGTCTCCCTTCCTATTTGCCCGATTATCGTGCCCTCCAGGGTCCCGGTCCACATGGCTACCGTTATCACTATCCAGCCCTCGGGCTATCAAGGCCATTCCCCTGATCTCCGCCGAAAGACGGGCTCGACCCCAACGCTCTCTCCTTCCCCCATCTCCGTCAATTCGACCCTTCCCCGCGTACGGAATGGAGCTAGCTGTGACGCTTGTCTCCGCAGAAAGAGCAGGTGTGCCATGAACGAAATGGTCAACAAATGCTATTCATGCGACTTCCATCGCCAGGAGTGTACCTTCGGCCTCACACCCCAATCCGAGGCTCCATCGAAGAAGAGGAAATTGGATGACGGGCCAGAGCCCACTGAAACAATTAAGCGGTATGGAATTCCAACCGGAGGGCATATTTCAGCTCCAGATATAGAGAGAAACTGTGCTCTAACAATCCCCAGACCCTCGATAATTCAACCGGAACATTCTATCCCGGAGACCGAGTCTCACCCGCAAACAGTGAACATGATTCGCCCCGGGTTCTTTAACCAATCAACCCAGCATATTGGCATGACCACGGAGCTGGAGCCAACTCTGCTGGATTACCTTCCGCTGGACCAATATGACGAATGCACAGTGTCGAACTCACGTGTGCGGAGGTGTGCCGATGATGGCACTTTCATGCGCGTCGTCGACACCGTGCCTGTGGGTGACTCACAGGCCATGTCACTCGATGCGGTTGAGAGCCTGGTCGCTCCCTACGGCTCAACATTGATCGAAAAGTTCTTCGACCATGTACACCCTTCGTTCCCGATTTTGATAGAGGAAGTGTTCCGCCAATCCTACCGTGAACGCCGCGGCCTCTCACCGCTACTACTCGCCGCAGTCTACGTCTTGACATTGAAGTTCGTCGACGTCGGTGTCAGCTCGCAAACTGCGCGCAAACCCGATGCCGCACGACTGGAGGCTTCGGCCTTGAAGCTGCTGATGGATTCTTTGCAATTCCCCAGTGTCTCGACTATCCAAGCCGGGCTCCTGCTGACTCAAAAGTCCACTCTAGCTACGGCATCGTTAAATGGTCAGCTGGTCACGGCTGCTTTCGAGCTGGGCCTGCATCAGGACTGCACGAACTGGCGTATGGAGACGTGGGAGAAGGGCTTACGGAAACGCCTTGCGTGGGCTTTGTATATGCAGGATAAATGGTCATCGCTGGTGCACGGCCGACCCTCGCATATCTTTGCCTTCAACTGGACGGTCAAGGATCTCGTGGAGCAGGACTTCTCGGACGCCTTTGCCTCCGGCACTGACTGCTCCCACGATGAAACTGCCGTCGGCCACGGCCCTCTTCTTTTCTGCCACATGGTCGCACTAACCACCATTCTCTCCGATATCCTCGACCGTTTCTACACATTGCACGCCATCGAAGAGTTCTCCGCCGCCGGAAACCAGCGTACACGCATGATCTTAGAAAAGGCTAAACCAGCCCAGATCCGCCTCAAGGACTGGTTTTCCTCCCTTCCACCGTCCCTCAAGATGGAAACCTCAACCGGCGAACTCGTCGAAACAATAACAGACGAACACGCCCGCAACGGCGCCCTCCACCTCGCCTACTTCGCCACTGAAATCACCCTCCACCGCTGCATCGTCCGCTCTCTCCTCGCTGAAGGCACAGACCAGTACCTCGCGCACATCTGCCGCTCCGCCGCTAAAACCCGTCTCATCTCCGCAATGGACTTTGTCAACCGTCTCCGCCCCGCTCACCTCCGCTCTTTCTGGCCCGCCTCTGCACGCACCAACTTCTCCCTCATCGGCTCCTTCGGCATGCTCCTTCGCATCACCGCCCCGACAAACGAGGAGGCAGACTTCTATCGCGTCCGGTTGTGTGAATACCGCTGGACTCTAGGCGTCAGCCACAAGAACGCCGAATTCATGGGCTTTGCCCTGCAAAGTCTCGATAATGCCACCGTGCTACATAAACATGTTCCCACGAAGCCGGGGATCACGGAGCTCATGGCTTCATCTAGCAAGAATGCGCCGCCGCGTATGCCGACTACCTCGCTAGGCTCTTACGACGATGCTATGATGGATGCCGGCACGGGGGCTTCAAGCTCGGTTATTTCGGGGCTCGCGTCGCCAGCTACCTCTATTAGTGATATGGAGGATGGGGAAGCATCTATGGCGCCCTTGTGATCACATTCACCTCTCTTCTATCACTTCTCTTCCCCTCAGCTTCATATATTTTCTCAACTCCGCCCTGACCTCACATTCTACCTCATTTTCGGCCTTTTGACTCTCCTTGACGTCTTATGACTCCCCTTCTACTACGGCGTTTTCTCGGGAACTTTGTTCTTGATTTTCTGGGATGAAGCGTTTGATTTATTTGAGATTTTTGATTATGGGTGCATGTACCCCATGTACCGGGTCTACTTGCACAGCAGCGGACTAGAACCTGTTTGACGGAATTACCCTGGCTTTGGAATATCTGGATTGGACCGGATTATGCTTTGTGCTTTTTGGTTTTCCTTTTCGCCTATTTTATAGACAGGACTTATGTACATAGATTGGATTATGAATTATGATTTTATTCTTTTGATGACGATGGCTGTGGCACTATGTACCCAATGATAGCATAATACTGGTCTCTTCGAGAAGCGATGTTGGTTTCGGCTTGGACATCTGAACAACTCTCGCTTGGTATTTAGTCTCCTGGCTGAATGAACGAGTTATTGAAAAGGCCTTTCCCAAATACCCAGCGAATGGAAGCCGAGAGGAGTTGAGAGACTCTGAAGTTATGGATGAGATGATCGAAACGGGCTCGCTGAACAACGGAATAGAAGATCTTCCAGACCAGCATCCATATGACGGTTGAATGTGTATATATATTGGATGATGAATTATCATTTTATTCTCACATCTCATGAGAGTAGATGCACCTAAATAAAGGTGTTGGTATCTTAGTATTCATGCTACTTTTGGAGTTTACGACTTGCCACCAGGTACGCCTGGCTTCTCGCCTCGCACTGGGAGGCAGAGAAGAAACGCTTGCACCGAGACCAATGGCCGCTCTGTACATATAACAGCTATGGCCGTGAACCCAGATCCTCTCCGGGATGGTCATTGAAAGCGCAGACTTTAATAACGAAGTCTTGTTCGGGCTCCCCAGGCGGAACACCCACTGAACTCGCAACTTAGGAATTTTGCGGGGTCCGGGGAAGAATCTAGATGTTTGAAAAGGGTAAAAGACAGAGTAATTCTATGTTTTGATCTCACGGGATATTGAGAGGAACCAGACCATACGATGCTTTACACCTATGTATTTACTTATTAAATAACATGCTGAGATTTGGAATCGACCTGTTCCGATATTGCCTTCGGATGAGACCCGATACTCACGATTACCTTTGTACTTTCAGCATCAAATATTTATCAATCGTAAATTGAACTTATCTAGCTAGATATGTATGCAAATGAGTTATCTAGACTAGACTCCTTACTTATCTCCCCGACAGAAGGCGGCAGATAGCGGGTAAACAAGGAAAGTTGACATCAGCTGCCTTGTCCCGGAGTCAATGCACATCTAAGGTATATAAAATGGGTGTCCTTTCTAATACTACATTTAGTTTCGGCAGTTTCTACTAATCTTCACACACTTCTACCACCCCTCTTATACTTATTGTCCGACCTCTAATTCTTCTAAATCTGCAAGATGGCCCACGATCAGAATATTTTGCGATCCCGCTTCTGTCATGCACTTTCGGAAATGTACAAGAGTGAAGTGCCCCTCTACGGTGATTTAATCAATGTAGTCTGGGAGGCAGACGCGAAAACGGTCCAAAACAGCCAGAATATTGAAGGTGATGGCGCTATCAATCCAGATGATATTTTGCCCGCCCGGCATCGTGTTGAGAGACACGGAGCCATCCGACTAGGTACAGCACATGAACTGAAGACCATTCGTCGCATGTTTGCGGTGATGGGCATGCACCCTGTGGGCTACTACGACCTCAGTCTTGCGGGATTCCCCATGCACGCTACCGCCTTCCGGCCAAATACCCAAGAGGCGCTCGATAAGAACCCATTTCGCGTGTTCACAACAGTCTTGCGCATGGAACTATTGACTGAAAGAACCCGGAAACTAGCACAGAAAGCGCTGGAGCAGAGAAAGATCTTCACGCCCAGACTTCTTGCCCTGTTGGATATCGCAGAGAGCCAGGGCTTTTTGACACCAGATCAATGCACAGAGCTTATCAGCAATGGTCTAGAGACATTCCGATGGCATTCGAAAGCAACAATCACCCTTGAAGAATACGAGCAGCTCAAGGCTGAACATCCTCTAATTGCGGACGTTGTCTCTTTCCCTGGCTCCCATATCAACCACTTAACGCCTCGAACGATTGATATTGATATTGTACAACAATTGATGGCGGATCATGGAATGCCTGTCAAAGAGCGAATCGAGGGGCCGCCAAAACGATCGTGTCCAATTCTTCTGCGGCAAACAAGCTTCAAGGCGCTGGAGGAAACTGTTTATTTCAAGGATCTGACTGGTTTATATGTGAAGGGCACCCACACAGCACGCTTTGGTGAAGTGGAGCAGCGAGGCTTCGCTTTGACCCGAGAAGGACGCCGGCTTTATGATCGAATCTTGGACCGAGTCAATGCAGAATCTGTGAATGGCTTGAAAGGAACGGCCTATGACAAGCTACTGGAGGATCACTTCAAAGAGTTTCCTGATGATCTGTCAGAACTTCACGACCTAAGACTGGGATATTTTACCTATCAGTTGACACCACTGGGTCATCAGTTGGCTAACGAAAGCGTTCTATTATCGGGGGAGCAACGGTCTCCACTTTCACTCCAAGATCTTCTCAAAAAGAAGATCTTGAGTTATGAGGCCATCACATATGAAGACTTTCTTCCTTTGTCGGCAGGAGGAATTTTCAATTCCAACTTGAGTGGAGTCTCCCAGGCCAAGCAACTCATAATGAGCGCGGATCCAGACCTCGATGGTTTCCAGCGGCTCCTCGGGGAATGTGTAGCGGATGAGTTCCATCTATATGCCGAGATGCAACGGAAATCATTGGAAATTTGCCGACAAAAATTGCAGTTAAGGGATATTATAGTATAGGATGAAGCACCTTATGTTAACAGCGCCTTCTTGAAACCTCTATTTCATTGAACGCAATATATATATTTCTCGGCAGATCATAAGCGGTTCAAATTTCATGTGGTTTCTTGATATTCACGTTTATAAAAGAGCATAGTGAACATGTTTCTATGATACCAGTAAGTCCTTCAATTGAAAGAAAAATTCATGTTCAAAACAACTCTCCGATCCCTATCTTTTATGTGAATCGAGCCACTCCAGATGCGGCGGTGTAACCCATTCCGCCAAGACCGGTTACCATTTGATGATGCTGATATATTCGGGCCGTGGGATCATGTCGCCCCATCCGGCTCAATGGATAAAAAGTGAGAGGTTTTACAACAGGCACATCAACTCCAGTTTCACCAGACTCTCTAGATCCCTACCTATGTCAATCGAAAAATCAAAGAACACTCGCTTATGAGTGTTTGAAATGAGGGATCTGGTGGCATAGTGTTTCTAGAGCTGATGAAATTGCTTACATGGCATCAGGTCAAGATCCACCAAATGACAACATCTCATGGCGTATCTTTGTTGGTACAGTTATCAGCATTGTCCCCGCTACCATTTGCGTAATCTTGCGGTTTATTGCCCGCAATGTCGCTCGTGCTGGCCTGTGGTGGGATGATTATACCATTGCAGTATCTCTGGTAAGTGCTGCCTTGAGCTCTGTTGTCTCAATCCTGCAACGAGCATGCGAGTTAACAAGGGTAGGTGGTGAACTGGGCCATGGCTGCTTTGCGATGGGCACAGGTCTCGCTGTACGATTATGGCCATCACGCTCAATACGTATCACCTGAGAAGCGTAGGGAATTTGGAAAGGTGATACATCATATCTGTCTCTCGATTCCAATTTCTAACAGCCATACAGAGCTTCATGGCTGTCCAGCTTCTATACTTCACCAATGCCGTCATTACCAAGACATCGCTGTTGTTTCTCTTCTATCGCATTTTCGGTATTATCAGAGGCTTTCGCTGGGTCCTCTGGGCCACTGGTTTTGTGGTAGTTGCCTACTTTATCACATGTTCAGTTACTTCGATTGTGGGGTGTTCGCCAGTATCCAAAGCGTGGAATCCAAGCCAGCCAGGTCACTGCATCAACGTAGTGGCATTCTTCCGCTGGAATGGGGTTGGCAACATGTTCCTCGATTTCCTGGTGCTAAGTCTCCCGTTTCCGATGGCCTGGCGGCTGAATACAACGACCCGACAAAAGTGTATTCTATCCGCAATCTTCCTACTTGGTGGCTTGTAGGTTTCTTTCGAATCTCAAATTGAGACATATTACTAACTATGCACTAGTGTCTGTATCGTCTCAATTCTTCGCATTATCAGTTTCGAGTCAGCAGTCGTTAGTGATCCTACCTATACGAGTATCAGCCCGGCAACTTGGTCCTCGGTTGAGCAATCCATGGGGATAATATGTGCCTGTCTCCCAACGCTTCGACCTCTCTTCCGGCGATTCTATGGCTCATCAAGAGCAGCCTCAAGTATAGGCAATAGCTCTGCTTTTGATTCCCATGCCCGGTCCTCGCTATCTAGCCGACTGTCGCGCTGTGATGGAGAAACTAGCAGTTCTGGATTTCCTTCGCCTCAACAACACAGGCGTCGTGCTTCCTCGCACGAGCTAGACGAGCTACCGAGTATTTATCGCAGTCCAACATTTGATGAAACTCATGAGCGACCCGATTCGCAAATTTCGCAGACGAATGGGATGAACAGAGCGGTTTCTGAAGCCGGCTCATTCGGTTAGGGTACTTTACTAGTGCTTGTTAGTGTTATAGTGGTCTTTCATTGTGTGATACCCATTCCCAAAAATATATAAATATATATCGTTGCCTCAGTTTATTTCTTATATTCAAAGGATTCTTAGTGGTCTTCCTACCCTCTTATCCATGGGTCAAAATATTCAACAATACAAATCATGTTATGAAAAGAAGCACAACTACATGTTTGATAGTAATAGTAAGTTAGATCGTTTAGAAGATACGACACCTTATAAATGTGGCATCAACGATTCCCCTTCGATGCCTTTCTTGGTCATTCATTTTGATTTGGAGAAAAAGACTCAATAATAAGATTTCCGTCGGACTTTCCATTCACTTAATACCCTCAAAGGCCCTGGAGAGCTGCCGCAAGGCTGGATTTATTCAATAGACATACTAAAGTGGCGTGCTGGCTGAATGATCAGCATTCTTTCAGCGTAGATGCTTTCAGCCTACGGAGTACTCTATGCACAACATAGCCATTGTTATCTCATGACAGAGCTCTAAATCGAATCATCTACTCTAATGATGCTAGCTACCAATATTGTGTCTGCTCTCCTAGCGTCAGCCCTGTTGGGACTCGCATCAGCTACTTCGCCGAACTTGAATCTATTTGCCTACGGCAATCTGGGACCCTTGCTTGGCACATCTTTCGGCATTCCAGGAGCGAATGCGACTTTCGACTATATAGTTGTCGGCGGAGGTAATGCTGGGCTCACTATCGCCAGCCGTCTGGCAGAGAATCAAACAGTGAGCGTCGCTGTCATTGAGGCGGGCGGCTTCTATGAAATCGATAATGGCAATTACTCCATTGTCCCTGGGTATTCCAGCTACTACACAGGCTCAGACCCAACAGACTATCAGCCGCTCATCGACTGGGGGTTCAGTACACAGCCCCAGCCTGGATCGGGAGGCCGGGTCTTGCATTATGCCCGAGGAAAGACCTTGGGAGGTTCTTCAGCTAGAAACTACATGCTCTACCAGCGGCCGACGGTTGACAGCATGCAGCGCTGGGCCGATGAGGTAGATGACCAGAGCTACACATTTGAGCACTTATTGCCTTACTTCAAAAAGTCTGCTCACTATACCCCTCCCAACCAGGCGTTATACAACAATTCCACGAACAGCCAGACTCCGGATGCATTCAGTCCCACAGGTGGACCGCTAGAGGTCTCCTTTAGCAATGCTGTGAATGCGTTTGCAACATGGTGCCAGAAGGCATTTATCGCCCTCGGTATGAAGCAAATTGATGGATTCAACAGTGGTGGATTACTTGGCTCTGCCTTTGCAACCTTCACCATCGACCCGCGAAATGCGCATCGCTCCAGCTCCGAGTCGAGTTTTCTTCAGGCCGCGTTGAACAAAGGCGTCGGACCCGTAGTGTACAAGAACACCATGGCCGAAAAGATTTTATTTGACAGCGATAATAAGCGCGCAACAGGGGTCCAAGTATCGACTGCAGGCACCTTTGGCACTGGATCGATTACCTTTCCACTTCACGCTCGTGCTGAAGTCATTCTATCAGCCGGTGCCTTCCAGTCTCCTCAGCTACTGATGGTCTCGGGCATTGGACCTTGCGACCATCTGCAAAGCTTTGGCATTCCCTGCATCAAGAACATCCCAGGCGTAGGCCAAAATATGCAAGATCACCCAATCTTCGGGACTGCACACCGTGTGAACGTCCTCACAGCTTCAGCCTCAGCCAACAACGCAACTTTAGCAGCACTTGGTGTGAATCAGTACACACAAAATGCCACAGGGGCCCTTTCCATCTTTGGGCCAGGTTACTACGGCTGGGAGAAATTGCCCGGCCCATTCCGCTCAAACCTAACTCGCGAATCTCGTCTCGCCTTGTCAAATTTCCCATCCGACTGGCCAGAACTAGAATGGTTACCTATCAGTGCATTCAACGGCTATAATCTCAACAAAGTCACGACCGATCCGAAGGATGGGAATCAATATGCAACCCTCAATGGGGCATTGGTTGCTCCTCTATCTCGCGGTTCAGTCCGTCTCGCTGGCCCCAGCATGAACACCCCACCTTCGATCGATCCGCAATGGTTTACAGACCCAACTGATATAGATCTTGCTATTCAGGCTGTCAAGCGACAGCGGAATATTTGGGCGGAATTGGCTAAGCTAGGCGTGGCTGAGGACGAGGAGTATTTCCCAGGCTTCAATGTCTCCACTGATGCTCAGATTCTTGAGTTCATTCATCAGAGTATGACTACTGTTTACCATGCATCAGCGACATGCAAAATGGGACGCGAGAATGACACGATGGCTGTGATTGACAACCATGCCAATGTGTATGGTATGCAGGGGTTGAAAGTTGTCGATGCCAGCAGTTTTCCATTTCTGCCGCCAGGTCATCCCCAATCTATTGTGTATGCATTTGCTGAGAAGATTGCGGATGAGATATTGGGCTTCGTTGAATGAAACTCATGGATGCGATGGATTCGAGCTGGCCCAAGCACTGGGAAGAGCCTGTATAAAGACGTCCTACACTAATGCAATAAAGAGATCTTCTGAAGAAATTCAATACTATAGAATACAATGCATACAGAGAACAGCCCAAATCCATCTATCTGTACAATATGCCGGTATGCCGCAGAGATATCAATGCATCGTGGCAAGTCAATTACCAACAGCCCAAAGATCGGACCATATCTCGACTAGTACTGTCAATACCTCGAACCACTGTCTGATCATGGTCCGGTATCACATTTTCGGCTCAAAAAAACCTTCTCCCAAACACCGAACAACCCAATTATGACCGGGGTTCAATTACTGAGCTGTCCTCTGAGTCTTCCACGACCACTGCGCCTTCCGCCAACAACTCATCTGGCGTCTTCACCCGCACATCCATGACACGCATGAGCGTGTAGCGGTGCTTGCTCTTGGCCTGCTTAACGTGCCTTTGTCTCCGCTTCGTCTTCTCCTTGATGCGCAGCGGCTCTGCGTCCACACCCGTCACACGAACCCGGCACTCATAGATGCGCTCGTCGATAGTCGGTGAGCCCTTCATTGTGAAGTCGCGGGATCCGAGTGCCGAAGCACGGTTAAATCGCAGAATATCTCCTGCCTTAACCTTGGGCATGAGGAAGGGCAACCGAATGTGATCACCTTCGGTCAAGAGGTATGGTCGTGCGTGCAATTGGGCGACGACGTAGTGCGGCTTCTGGCCGGCAAGGTGAGGGAGCTGTGACATGAGAGATTTTGTCACTTTGAGAGGGGAGGTGAAAGTCGGGGCAACGGGTTGTTTCGCAATGGGGACGTGTGCGCGTGTTTGGGGTGTCATGATGTTTTCGTCGAAGCTGGAGGCCGTGACGCCCTGGCGAGTCTTCGGTTGCGTATCTTGCGCCCGGGGAGTGGCGCTAAGAGGTGATTCAGGCTGACTGGATGCCGATTGACTCTGAGGTTGTTGCGAATTCATCAAAGATGCACTTTGGTGAAGGCATGCTCGTTGCTGCAGGGGAGCTGCGGATGAAATTGTAGACGGCGCAGTCCAGCGCAGCTCGGAGGCGAGGCTCCGTAGGGCAGAGCGTGAGAACATGTTGAGTGACCGCTTGCCAATGCTCAAGGATCGAGGGTGGAAGTAGTTCGCGGTGGTTGATCTTCAAGATAGAAGAGCGGCTTCCCCGTAGCTAGAGAAATTCACGACTTGCGCAAATGGCCGCTCTGTCACCCGTAATATCACGTGATGCTGTCAATCATACTTGAAGATGCAGATTTGTAGAAAGAAGAGACAAGTATTGTGATATTAGCCTATAGAGAAAGTTTTACCATATTAGTTTCAGACTTGATTTTAAAATCTAATTTCTTACTATTCTTCGGCCTTTCTTTCAATCTGTACAAGTTGAAGTTCAGAAACGATCTTACCGATAAGGAGCATCACGTGCCTCGCTATCTTTTCCGCATCACAACTTTTTCGGTCTCGATTAGATCTTCAAGGCAAGAACTTCATCACCCATTCACCTCGTGTTGTTCATTCTTAGTTCATCATGGTATGCTACCAATCATTTCCCAATCTCTCAATATCCAATTTTATCAATTTACTAACCTTTTTCCTACCTACAGCCTCAGAACGAGTTCGTCCCTCCCCACCAGCCACCACCCGATACCATCTCCAACTAACATTTTCCCACTAGGTATATCGAGCGCTGGCAGAAGCAGCATGGAAAGCGCCTTGATCACGATGAGCGCATGCGCAAGCGCCAGGCTCGTGAGGGACACAAGCAGTCCCACGATGCCCAGAACCTGCGTGGTCTGCGAGCCAAGCTGTACCAGCAGAATCGCCACAAGGAGAAGATTCAGATGAAGAAGCGCATCAAGGCCCAGGAAGAGAAGAACGTCAAGTCCGCCGCACCCGACGAGCCTTCCAAGACCCCTCTGCCCCAGTACCTGCTCGACCGCTCGCAGGAGACCAACGCCAAGGCCCTCTCCAGTGCTATCAAGAATAAGCGTAATGAGAAGGCTGCTAAGTTTGCTGTCCCCCTGCCTAAGGTTAAGGGTATCAGCGAGGAGGAGATGTTCAAGGTTATCAACACCGGAAAGAAGACCCACAAGAAGGCCTGGAAGCGTATGATCACCAAGCCTACCTTCGTTGGTAACGACTTCACCCGTCGTCCCGTTAAGTACGAGCGGTTCATTCGCCCCATGGGTCTGCGTTACAAGAAGTGTAATGTCACACAGTATGTTTTATCTTTGGGGGGAGAATGCCCGCCCTCCGGTTTATCTTGGTTGGATATGATATATTGACTTTTTCTTCTTTAGTCCCGAGCTGGCTGTTACCGTGCAACTCCCCATCCTGTCCGTCAAGAAGAACCCCCAGAACCCTCTCTATACCCAGCTGGGTGTCTTGACCAAGGGAACAATCATCGAGGTCAACGTCTCCGAGTTGGGTCTTGTTACCACTTCCGGTAAGGTTGTCTGGGGTAAATGGGCCCAGGTTACCAACACCCCTGAGAACGACGGTTGTGTTAATGCGTGAGTTGCCTCGATCATTCCTGTTGCCTATGTTATATTGTGAAACTAACGTGAAATAGGGTCCTCCTTGTCTAAATTGACCACAAGCACTTCCTCTACATTCCCGGCAGGCACTCGCCTGTCTTCGATACCTCCATGCTCAGGCAGTTCTATATTTCCCTTTCTTGATACATACGGTCTATCAAGACTGTTCTATTCTTGGGCGGTGTTAATGGCGCAAAGTCAAGTCCATTGATTTCAAACGAAAAGTATTCCGCATGTTTGGCTTCTGAATGGACATAGCTAGTTTTTAGATAGTCAGGAATTTATCAACTATGATTTTATGAAGACAAGCAGCATCTCCATTGTAAGCCAGATTTACATTGTAAGATATCGGAATATCATGGATTTAAGACTTTATGGAATTTCCAAGTAGCTCACAGGATGAGAAATACAATATCCAAGTAATGGAAGATAGGCACAAGTTGTCAATTAAACATAATGACCAAAAGGGGAGTTATTGTCACTTCAAAAACGCTGATACTGAAACAGTATACATGTGAATGCAAGGAAAAAGATGAAAAGGCTAATGAAATCATGTAGTGGAATGAAAATCCACACGCTGCGCTGAAACCGAGATTCGTCAGGAGATAGATACCCACCACAAGAAAACATGTTTGGGTCGGACAAACGAAGGATGATGCAGAAAGAAGAGAAGAGACAATGCAAAGAAACACAGACAGTCAGATATCCCGCAAATTAACCATCCAGACCCAGACAGAAAAATATTAACACATCCAACACCAGTCGTTAAGTCGTTCGAACCAAAAATGGAAAATGGGGAAACGCCAATAGGGCAGTCAAGACAAAGGAAATAAAGTGAAAGGAGTGGTTGGGTGTTGTCATGCGTTTTCTTCTTCAAGGGCTGCTTTGATCTTTGCAAAGAAGCCTGCAGGCCATGCGGCCAGCTCCTCTTCTCTGGGTACACCACGAGCCTTGCAGTGGTTGACGACGTTGGCCAGAATACGGCCAAGCATATCCTGGGTGACTGGAACAGCGCCCTCAAGCTGGGCATCGGGGTGCAAGAATGGATCGCGTGGGCCAAGCATCTCCTCAATAGTTGGTCGGAGAGTCTGGTCGCGCTGCAGACAGCGCTTGAGAGTCCGAACAAGGCCAGGGGGGACTGGGATGCCCCCGACGCCAAAGGCCGGGAAATCGATTTGTACGCGGGGGTTGGGGATAGCCATGATGCGTTCATAATATTTGGCGATCTTGGCGAATGGTGGTTGTCCGTACACCATCTTGTACAGAATACAACCCAAACTCCAGACATCGCTGGGTTTTCCTAATTTCATAACTTTTCCAACACTTGCAGGCAGACCGAGAGACACGTTGGAATCAACCAATGCCTCGGGTGACATATAATTGGGTGTACCGACTTGCTGTTCACGATGAACGTTGACTGTGTTATCCTGGATTGCATTTGCAATTCCAAAGTCGATGAGCTTCAGTCGGCCTTGAACCATGAGGAAGTTGGCCGGTTTCAGATCTGAGTGGACGATGTTGTACTCATGAACAGCTTGAACACACTCGAGCATCTCCTTCCAATAAAATCGGGTAAAGTTGATATCAAAAACAGCATCTTCGGCGTTTAAACGGTATGTGAGAATCTTTTCAAGATCAGACTCTCCAATCTCCATAAGCACACTAAGAGCATGTTTGTCACTGTTCAGCTCCCAGTCAAACAAGCGCACCACACGGTCCACATTCTCCAACTTTTTCAACAGGTCGATTTCACCCTTGTATCCAGTCAAAGTCACTGGATCGACATCTTCAAGATTGACACGCTTGAGAGCGAAGATCTTGTAATTCTCTGCCATCACTCGATAGACACGGGAGCTGCCGCCTCGACCAATGCAATCGAGGCGAGTGAAATGCTTGCCATTTATCGAGACTTGACTCCTCTTTTTTCGTGATTGTGATGTTGATGCCCCTCCTGTGGAAGTAGCAGTCTCAAGAACTGACATTTTAGGAGGAGGAGGAGCTGCCCTATGAGGAGTGTTATTGCTCCGTGTGGCAAGTATTTTTCGTGCAGAGTTCGTTGCTGGAGTCTCCGCTACGTCTTTCTTCTCGGTGTCGTAAACAACATTATACTTTTCGGGTTTGTCCAACACATTCAATCCTTGGGGCTTTGTGCGCCGGAAAGTTGGTGGTGGTTCGTTCTCTTGGTCACGGACCGAGGGCAAAGCCGGTATTGAAGGAACTTTGAATACAGGTTGTTCCTTCGCAATTGAGGATTTGGAAGACATTTCTGATGAAGCGGGGGTGGACTTTGAGCCGTACGATTTTGGCGAAGATGACCTTGAAAACGGCCCTTCAACCTCAGCAGGTCGGAGAGGATATTCCCGTCGATTAGAGTCACGGATGAGAGGCGGACTAGGTTCAGCCCATGACACCTTGGGAGATGAAGGTTTTGCTGGGTTGCGGGGCCGGTATTCGGCATGTTCCTCCTCCCCTTCGACGTCCTCCTGGACGCCGTCAGCAGAGAGATATTGGTGGTTTTCCTCGTTACTTTCCTCGCTCTGACGTCGTAGCACGCCCCTCCGAGCAGGGCCATTCAAGAAAGTGCCAGCAAGTCGACCAACCCGCTTTACGCGCAGAGAGCTGTGTGGAGCGATTTCTTCGCCGCCGCGGCCCCTCAATGCGGAAGAAGGGCCATATCGTAACGCTGGGTCGTCGTCATATGGTGATTTCCGATCACTATCTGAGCGATCTGCACTACCATACTCGTCACCCGAATTGCGTTCCGACGAGCGGTGTCCTGAAGGCGAGGAAGAGGCAGGGGATCGAGTGTTGCTGCGTGAAGCATTGATACGCACACTGCGTTGGCGTGGGGCGGGAGTGATAAAATCATTTGGGCGGCTGTGGTGCTCTGGCTCTGCGCTCTGGCTATTTGATAGTGGGGAGCCTTCGCGTGAGAATCGAGAACTTGATGAGATGGCCCCTATACGAACGACTCTTGGAGCCGGGCTACCATTAGATGAGTCGTGTGGGGACGAGGTCCGGGGTGAGCGGCTTTGCTGTCTTGATGTTCCAATTCGAGGTTCGTGCGATATTTGTGCCTTTTGCAGATGAGGCGAAGAACCTAATCCATCTCCATGCAACAATGCTTTTACAGAAGCGCTGAATTTAGGTTCCGGGACCTCTTCGTCGGAGCTATCACCCGAGTAATGTTTGGGCAATGCTGATGGAGATTCCCGTCTGGAACCCGAGCGTGAAACCGCGGATCGGGACATCGGTCGGGATGGCTGCCGATACAGCTCGTTGTATGCTGGGAGGGAATTCGGGGACTCCATAGCGATAATACCTACATTGAAGTCGTGGATCAATGTGGCCCCTCCAAAGTTGTCGATTGTTTTGTTGATCCTGGAGAAAGCCCGGTCTCGAGGTTTCGTCGCGGGCGCGCTATACAGTCACGTGTTTGCTATTGCTATGGCAACGTCGGCACCACAACATACCAGGGAACATTGAAAGAATTGATTCTGAACTAAAAGAACATTGCAGAGCACAGAGGATGGATACAGATATAGGTTGATAATACCCAAGTTTGCATTATTAACAGTGTTGCTGTACCTCAAGTGATTCAAAGGCTGCAGCCCCTACTCCGTGCTACATATGGGATCGGCCGGATAACCTCCACTTACTCTATGTCTGCGGATCTATAGACTACTAGACTAATCTTGCTAATATTGTTATACGAGGGGATATTTTCATATGAATTTTTTTTTGTAATTAAGCTTCAGTCAAAGTACCTGAACGAAAATCATACAAAAGTGTCGCTTTGGATTGTTGGGACCCACCATAATTCTATACATATGATTCTTCTAAACAAAATGCAAAGTTCTGATATTCTTAGTTCATATAACCATATAGTGCTATATAATTGTAAATATCTAAAGATTTCTTATCACTTTATGCCTATTAAAATGCCAACGAGCGTTGCATATGGACATATATGGTCACTAGTTAGTCAATTATCCATTGGGGTAGAGACATATAGTTATACATCAAAGAACCAAAGGATAAAAAGCGACATAGCTTACCATTTTTCTATATCCTTTTATTTTAGCAGGGTACAAGAAGAAAGATAAATGACTAGTTATATTAGGGCTAAATGTTAGCTACTTACCATGAGCAGTATGAGGTCGTAGTTGCCCATCTGGGCAACTGACGTAGAATTCTACGCCTTGGAAACCAGGCGACAAAATACGGCACCCGTGAGCACCCATAAGTGCAATTATATCACCGCGGCATCTCGCTTTTGATCGCCAGGGACCTTCCTACACTCACCTCAAATCCTAGCAAAAATGGCGTCTAGCGTGGATGCGAAGCTGATTAGGCGGACCAAGTTCCCCCCTGAGTTCAATAAGAAGGTGGACATGACCAAGGTCAACATTGAGGTTATGAAGAAGTAAGTGACTTTCCCCGGCTTTTTTTTCGGTATCTCCGGTTTACTGACATTGCTTTTTCCTTCACCTGTAGATGGATCGCAAGTCAAATCTCCAAGATATTGGGAAATGAGGATGACGTCGTTATCGAGCTCTGTTTTGCACATCTCGAGGGACAACGCTACGTACGTTGGCTCGTCGGATATCTAGCGTCTTGATCCAGTCTGCTGACATCTGTTTCTGGTTCTAGCCCGATATCAAATCACTCCAAATCCAACTCACCGGATTCCTAGACAAAGATACCCCCAAGTTCTGCCAAGAGCTGTGGTCGTTGTGCCTAAGCGGCCAGGCCAATCCACAGGGCGTCCCGAAGGAGCTTCTGGAGGCCAAGAAGCTTGAGCTCATACAAGAGAAGGTGATCGTAAGCGCGCCCTCGGCCTTGGATATTTTCTAATCATACTACCATATAGCTCGAGGCCGAGAAAGCTGCCGAAGCCCTTCGACGTCAAAGGGAACAAGACCAAAACCGCGAACGAGAATTGGACGATATGAGACGGCGCGAGCGACCAGACCGCGGACGTGGAGGAAGAGGCGGCGATCGCGGTGATCGCGGTGGCCGTGGAGGTCGATCCTTCGGAGGACGAGACTTCAACAGACGACCTTCGCCTCCCGGAGACCGAGACCGCAGCAGAGACCGATTCCGTGAACCTCCATCTCGACGTGACTTTGACTCCTACGTGCCGCCTGGTAATCGTCGCGGCCGCCGTCCATCTAGATCTCCCCACGGCACCCGTTCCCCATCTCGATCCCCGAAGCCCTCATCACCATCTCGCCGAAACCGCGACGAGCCACGCCATAGGCGACGTGAACGCCGCCCCCGTTCCCTAAGCAACTCAGTATCTCCCGAGCGACGCACCCGCGGAGGAGCGAGAAGGCGCAGCAGTCCGGATTACGGTGACCGTGTTAAAGCAAGACCCATTTCCCGCAGCCGTTCCCCGCGCTCACGTTCCCCCAGAGGAGACCGCCGCCGACGAAGCTCCGTCTCTCGCAGCCGCAGTATATCCTCGTCGCCTCGCCATACCCGGCGCCAGGCAGACTCTTCGAGGTCCGTCTCTCCCGCGATGTCCCGCCGCTCACCTGGACGCTATACCCGAGACCGCGATTCTCGTCGTTTGAGCCGCAGTCCTGATAGTGCCGGTACACGTGATCGTGGTGAGAACCGTCGACGCCGCAGCCCCAGCGGTGATCGGAGCCGTAGCCGTAGCCGCAGCCGCAGCCCCAAGAGAGATACTGATGGCAAGCGGCGCCGCTCTATGGAAAGATACAACCCTGATGAGAAACGACGCAAGATGGCTGATGAGAACGAGGATTCCACCCAACCCCCGTCGAAAGCTGATGAACCGTCGAAAGCTGATGACAGTGAGACAAAAACAAAAGATGCCGAGCAGGTTGGTCATTAAGAATTGGGATTCCTGGTGCAACCTCCAATTTGTATCCTCTACCACCCAGATTCAATTCTTACTTAATGTTCGTCTAAAAATTTGACATGTCATGTTGTTTCTGAAGTTGCAATGTTGAATCGGATACTAACGAACTCACAACAATTAGACCAAGAAAAACATTTCTATGTGGATACATTCAACTGAGTTTCGTGAGAGATTACTTCGTGAGAGATGTCTTGCTATGCGTCGCCGGTCTGGGGAGAAGCTGAGCAGTGCATCACAGCCAAAGCAGGACTAAACGAGAGCAGCAAAAACCAGTGGGAGGGATCAACACTGTTAACACTGACCATGTATGACTGTAATTTTGAGATTTACGCAACCGACATGTGTTTTAGCGCTGTACATGTACTTTGTAACAATTCCAATACCTTTTGCAATCATGATTGACGTGTTTAGTTCAGAAGATTTCAAGATATGAAATATGTCGCCGAAGTCGTCCCAAAAGAGCCAAAAAATAACACAAATGAATGTACTCCATTAGAGGGAAAGAAGGTATATACGCTCAAGTCATTATTTAACAAGGGATCTTCAGGATGAAACCAGAACGATACATAAGCACACAAGGACATGAGATATACATGCGATATACATGATGAGCAAGATTTCGAAATATCCACACAAACAGGCTAGAATTATAATTAGATATCTACACCGTCGCCCGAGGCGGAGAGTAGACCACAGGGTGGGATGGATGGGATATCTTGGAGCATGGGCAGCCAGTCACATTGACACCCCACAAATGTCGAAAATATTCTTGTCATGAAAAGGGGGAAAACAAACCAAAATTAACAGAATTGATGAAGGAGATTCTATATGAGCCCTTCTAGGGTCATGGCTTTGGAATATGTCCAGGTACGGCGTCTCCTTTACTCGCAACCGCAGACGGTGGCAGTCACAGTCTTGGTGATAGTGACTACATCGGATCCAGAGTTACCACCGGAGGACATAGTGGGAGGGCTGGTAGGAGCAGGACCGGAAGGAACGAGCGCGCCGGTGGTGGTACCAGCCGGGCCGGAGGGAGCAGGAACGCCGGGGATCACGGTGGAGCCGACAATCTGCGAGGTCTCGGTGTCACACGGGGTGGTGGTGGCAGAGGGGCCGCTGGGGGCAGGGCCGGTGCCGGTGGGCACTGCGGGAGCGGAGACGGTCGTGGAGTCGGACTCGTTGGGGCCGCCGGGGATCACGGTCGAGCCAACAATCTGCGAGGTCTCGGTGTCACATGGGATGGTGGTGGTGGTGGCAGAGGGGCCGCTGGGGGCAGGTCCAGAGGGAGCAGGGCCGCTGGGGACGGGGGTGCCGGCGGGAATGGAGATGGTCGTGGAGGCGGACTCGTTGGGGCCGCCGGGGATCACTGTCGAGCCGACAATCTGCGAGGTCTCGGTGTCACACGGGGTGGTGGTGGCAGAGGGGCCGCTGGGGGCAGGTCCAGTGGGGGCAGGTCCAGTGGGGACAGGGCCGGTGCCAGTGGCCACAGCAGGTGCGGTGACAGTCGTGGAATCGGACTCGTTGGGGCCGCCGGGAATCACGGTGGAGCCGACAATCTGCGAGGTCTCGGTGTCACACGGGGTGGTGGTGGCAGAGGGGCCGCTGGGAGCAGGTCCAGTGGGGGCAGGTCCAGTGGGGACAGGGCCGGTGCCAGTGGGCACAGCAGGTGCGGTGACAGTCGTGGAGTCGGACTCGTTGGGGCCGCCGGGAATCACGGTGGAGCCGACAATCTGCGAGGTCTCGGTGTCACATGGGGTGGTGGTGGCAGAGGGGCCGCTGGGGACGGGGGTACCGGCGGGAATGGATACAGAGACAGAGGCACCGGGACCGGAAGGCGCAGCGGAGGTGCCAGGCAGGTGGGGGTGGGGGGTGCTGGAGGGCAGGCTGGGAACGGAAGACGAGGCAGGGCCAGAGGGAGCACCGGGGATGCTGCAGCCAGTGAACCACTCGAGGATAATGATCTGGATGCTGATATCGATGTCAATGGAAGTGCAACCACCAAGGAAGGCAGCGAGCTCAGCACGAGCGTCCAAGGTCAGGTCAGTGAGGCTACCGCCGGCAGCACAGAGGGAAAGGGCACTACGGAGGTCAACGCTGAGACCGGTGAGAAGGGTTCCGGTCAGGATATCGGTGACATGGCCAAGAAGGCCACCAACAAGGTCGAGGGAAACGGAGACATCAGCCTCGACAGCGAAGGACAACCAAAGAAGGACGACGGCCTTGAGCTCAACGCCCAGAGAGCAGTCGGCGCCGGCGAGCCAGATGGCGAGCTTGGTGCGAATATCAAGGTCAACCGCGACGGCGAGCTTGCCCTTGGCGCATGCCTCGAGAGCGAGCTTAACATCAGCCGCGAGATCGGCCGCGAGATCAAGGCCCAGGAAGGCGGCGAGGGAGGCCTGGCCGCCAACAGACAGGAGACCAGACTCCTCAATGTGCGCGCCGATGGAAGCACCGACGGAGATGGTAGAGAGAGCGGTATCGGCAAGAGCACCAATCTCAACAAGCTCACCACCGGCATGACCGTTGATCCAGGCAAGGACCGAAACCTTGAGGTGAGCGCTGAGGTCACAGTTCTTGCTGTTGAGCCAAGCAAGAAGGGCAGCCTTGATGTCAGCCGACAGACTGCCGACAACACCGCCAGCGGCGCAGACATTGAGACCGACCTTGACATCCAAATCAAGATCAAGCTTAGCCTCGATCCAAGCGGAAAGGGAAGCTTGAGCACCTAGGCTCAGGACGAGAGCGGACTCGAGGCTGGCGGCCTCAAAGATACCGTCAAGGGTCACGTAAAGCTGGCCCTTGGCAGCGATGTCGGCACATGTGGGGATGTACACGGACAGAGCAGCCATAACGTCTGCGGAGAGGACGAGCTCACCGTTACTCTCACACCACGAGATCAGTGACTTCTTGAGGGAGACGTCAAGGTCAGAGTGGAAGAGCAACCAAAGCTTGAGGGCGGCCTTGGCCTTGTGATCGATAGCACCGGACTTGCAGCCGAGAGCACCACCCCCGAGAGCGGCCGCAGCCTCAGCACTCAGACCGGCAAAAAGGTTAACGGAGGAGTGGTCACCGAGGACGGCGCCAAGGATAGTAGTCACGTCGACAGTGATATCGCCAAGGAGCTCGCCGAGGAGACCTAGGGTACGGCGCTCAACGGCCATATCGGTAGGGTAGGCGAGAGCCGTGCCTGCCAGACCGGCAAGCAGAACGAGGGAAGAACGCATGTTGAGTGTTGTGTCGTATCAACGAGTGGATAGGCCCAAAGTTATTGGGGGTATAAAGACTTCTGAACAATATACAGAAGCGAAAGATTGGACAGGCAGGCACAAGCCACCAAAACAATTAACGATAGACTGGTAGAAAGAGTGAAAAGAGAAAAAAGATTGTTGAATGATTGAAGATTCAGCAACGAGGTGATCGCCATTGTTTATATACCCCTGATCAACCGTGAGTCTGGAGGCTTCTGGGTATTCCCGGGACAGACACATACTGATTCCACTCCGTCTCCAATTCCACATTTGGAGCTATCGGCTAGGTCAGGGATGAGAGGGGCCTTGGATCTTACCCAGGTGGATCATGACTCCAGTGGGCTAAGTGCATTACCGCATGGTGGACCCCGAGCTATTCTGGGTTAGAGAGTTACAAAAGGTATCACATTCTGATACTCTGTGGGGAGTACAAAAATCTGAATCTCAACTACATGGTCGAGGTCAATTCAGAGCCTTAGAGCCAGATTAAAACGGGAGGGAAAAAAAACATGAAAAAGGAAGGTGACAAGGGGAAACGATCATCGCGGATCATCACGCGGATCAATATTAACGGTTTAGACGTTTAGCATCCGACTTTTGTATCAGAGTCACCCCCTTTCTACAACTAAACTTGTACATACGAGATACTATAGTACCTCCAAGCTCAAGTACCTGAATCTCATGGACCTAAGTAGTGTATGCGGTATTCCGAGTAGCCCATTGGAACCCTATATCCTACAGCCCCGGGGAAGTAGCCCAGGCATATCCTATGCACGCTTTTGATCATACGAGGTAAGGACTCTGATTGTGTTAAACTCAAAAGACTCATCAATTCAAGATATCAAGGCCATTGACGGAGTGGAGTGCCTGGACATCGGTCAGCCACAAACTGAATTTTCGGTCTGCTCTTTGAGGTACAAAAAGTACAATGGTACGGAGGATGAACTATCCCGAAGTATACAGGATAAATACATTTACAATCGACAAGTTCCAAGTGGGAATATTGTAGATAATACTACACAGAGCACACAGTTGGACTCAATTGTTCATGGTTTGCTTGAGATAGACCTCGACACAAAAACAAGGATAGCAGCATCTAGGCCTTGCCGTGCCTGCACGAGCCAAGACGCTTAGTCGGGCTTAGAATATGAATGAAATATATAGTTATGCAGTTCGCGCATGGGAAAATCTCCACTTGTGGGTTGCATGCCAAATAAGAATAATCTATTAAAGATAGATTAATATCAACACCACGCTAAAGATTAGTCTCTAGAGTGGAGAATGAATTATCCCTTAAACTTGTAAATCTGTCTTTGAACTACTCTGTACGTGAGTCTGATATTCCCATGTACAATATACACAAGGGTGAACCAGCAAAACCGTTGACAGGGGGTTAAATGGAACAAAAATGATAGGAAAGATCCCAACTCTCAAGGTTCTCGGCTCCACAGACTGTTCTAAAACAACACTAAAAGCGCCAACAGCAGGAACCGGTTCGTTCTTGACCTAACTATTTTGAGGCTTTCACCACCGTGGAGAGACATGTTGAAACAGATTCCGGGATGACTAAAATAGCAAGTTGGAGAATCATAGAGTACGGAGGAGTGCACACGGAACGGTGTAGCGATCTGCAATCCAATGTCTCACCCCACGCGGACAAGCCCCACGAGCACTACAGTGCATGTGATGGTCTCTCTGGATAACCTTCCCCTGCGTCTTGGAAATTGCGATTGGACCGGTTCAGAAGCGAGATGTGGGACTGCCAGCTGCCACCCGACGGTCCAATGCATCTCATCTTTGCCACAGCTATTTTGGAGAAAACGAAAAGGACATCAAATCTTGGAACAAATGCAGGCAGTCCGAAAATTTCGGGATTCGAGGCACATACACAAAGTACGTGTTTTCATCCCTGAGTCGATGGCCCCCTAATCCTACAAGAATACTACTTCCAACACTTGATATTTGAGATACGAAGAAGGATACATCCAGAAAAAGAGAACTCCAAAACGAAAAGCTCTCAAATACCACAAGGTTCAACTAGTCCAGCGCCTCTTGGCGATAGTCTTTCATTCGGAACAATTAGCCGAGAATAGTCCCAGAACTATACGGTGTGATACTTCATCTTTTAACTAGTTTAACGAGAAGAAGAAAGAAGCAAACGCCAGAATAGATTTACTGTGATATCGAGACCGCAAAACGTGGAAACCCGTTAAATCCAAGATACTGCTTTTTTCGATCTCTCATATCGAGTTGTATTCTCCACATCGGAGCACGTCGGATGTTTTCCTGAAGAAAAAAAAAAGTTCGAACATGTTCGAACCTGATGCTCAGATGGTAGGAACCCTAATCGCTCTTGAAACAGTGACTATTTTTGTTTTCTCCAACTAGGGGGTGATCCACGGCAAGATCGGGGTAAAACGCCCTAAAAAGGTCAAAAGCGATTTATGCCGCATTATCCGAACTTCTGGGCTGAATGCAAGACATCCTCAAACCCAAGGCCCTAGCTTCTCAACTTGAAACAGGATCATCAGGAACACGATCTAAATTCGGAAAAGAAGCGCGCCGAAGAAATCTTTCACCCTAGCCCGCAAATTCCCCCGCCAAAGACCCACCTGGCTGGCAAGGCTGGCAAATCTGGCACAGATGACTCCAACTATCGCTAACGGGAATGTCCTCCGGTCGAAATATCGCTTCGGTTCCGAGATCGAAACATGAACCGGATCTTATCTCTGTCCCGAGGCTCATCGCACTCCGATACCCAAAGCCCTCCTTCCACCCATGGTCTAAAGCCCACACTGATAGTAATTGAAACAAAGGTCAAAGAATTCGGGAGTTCACCGAAGTCAAGATCTCCCATGTCACATGTGAGGTGGGCCTCGAATGATCTATCGACCTCGGGAGTCGCACCCTATATGGACGTGATGGTCAGTGCCACTGGTTCTATTTACGGTTCTATGGAGGGTACATTCTTAGGGTTTGGCGTTTCAGAATGTTTTCCAAGGTTCTCAATTTTATCAACATGAACCCTAACTTGGGCACATTTGGTGAAACAGATTTTCTATATCCAAAATTCCACCCTGAAAACTCAGCATGGCAAGTCAAGCCGAGTCTTTGATCTGGACTAGCCTACTTCGGATCCAAGTAGCGAACGGTCCGAAGAAATGTGTATCGCTCTTACCCGGCCGTTCGCAAAACGTCAGAAGAGCTCGATATCGCTGAGATGCAGAGGTTGAAGTGGCACAAAGAATCTTCGCAAGATCAACTGGACAGAGATAAGGCGGCTGTCTTGCGTCCTCGCTGATAGACGCGGTGCCTTGCATTGAGCACGCGTAGTACACGCAATGGGCAATTCCGAAACAGTGACCCAGTTCATGGCTCGCTGTCCGACAAACACGGCCCAGCCAGAGCGCGGACAGCAGCGAAGGCGATGAATCTACCTCTGGGAGGGAGCGGTAGAATGATACAGCATCCTTTATAGGTCCGCTTAGCTCGGTCAAATTTTGTGATCCTCGACTATTGACCTGAGATCTTTTCTGTCTCTTGGCACTTGGTGCTGCCGAAGCACATGCAGACATGTACTTCTCACAATGTGACGCAGGCCATGCATGGAGACGCTCGACATCGTGGATGGTATCTAGCGTGGGATTGTATCTTGCACTGGACACCACTGCAACGCGACTTCCTCCGTATGCACGGCCACATACAAACTCGTCATCATCGTCCTCGTAGAGATCAAAGTCCACCACCATCAAGAGGGCATATGCATCCCTCGGTAGAATGCTAATCGCAGCATCGAGAAGATCGTCTAGATTGACTTGGCCCCCATATACCCCATTTGACAAGGTACGTGAGCGAATCCGCACGCACTCATCGCCGTATTTTAGACCTAGATATTGTGGGCCTGCCTTCTTCGGACGTTTTCGTTTGGGTTCTTCCCATGGAACAAACCGCAAGGTGGATGACGGCATCATCTTGACAGGAAGACCATGATAAAAGGCAGCTAGATAGTCCTGGACGTCCTTCATACTAGGGGGTTTCATCGAAACCTCATGGTCCGGACATTTTGGTATTGTCCACTTTTGCATGAATTCAACATTTGCGTCAACTTGAGGAGATGGGACCACATAAACGGTTTGTTGCTTCGCTGTTACGGGATTGCGGTGGTCTCCATTTAGCCATTCTTGAAAGCTCTGCGGGTCTTCTGGATCTCCTGCAAGATCATCTCCAGGCAGCAACAACGGGGCAGGGAAAACTCTGTCGTCTTCTTCAAGGAAAAGTTTGTCTTCTCGTGGGAAGCTTCGGTTGTCTGCTTTGGTCGCAGCGAGACGTTGCCGTTGGCCTTGTCGTCTGAAACCTGCTACGCCAGCATGCGAAGAGGAGGATAGACAGACAGGCGTATGATCACACTTTAAGATGGATCTTTGTGGCATGCTGGAGGTTTTTGAAGGTAAAGAAAAATATGTGGAAGAAAGGCGTTGCATGCGGCTCTGTTGGGCGCACGAGCCTCTAAGAAGTAGTCATCAAGAAAACAAACAGGAAATGGATGACAAGAAATATAGAGTGCTCTATAGGAGACTCAAAATTGATTTTGGACAAAAACTTGGTGAGTCTGATAAACCTTTCTACCTCATCTTCTATTTTGTTTGCCCTTCCTCTTCACTAAATAATCCTTCGGACTCTAGATCTTCAGAGACAGAAAGTGATTAAGATAACCTACACAACCATGCTATTCAGCGGGAGCCTGGTTGGTCTAAGCCAGTACATCAATTACTTTTTACCGGGTATAGATCAGACCAAAAGACTCAAACGATTCCCAGATTTTCGGGATCGTCTAAACTTGATAACATTGAAATTTGGAACATAAAAAACACAAAAGGCTGTGCTAAAATCACACATCAAACGTTACCCAAAACCGTTTCCAGACCTTGAATGAAGCGTTGAACATCGTCCTCGCTGATCAATTGGCGATTACCCTCGAACTCAAGATCCAACTTCCCATCCCGTGGGGTAGCATATATTTCTGGTCGGTTTCGAGGCAGCAGATCCGGCTCGTAAAACGATATCCGACTTGCTGTCCCAAGGAAAGTAAAATTACTATCATCTTCTTGCTGGAAAGAGGTCCTCCAGCCAAAGTCTTTTATGTGATCAGGCCAGTCAGTGCAGTTCCGGATAATCTCTTCCATCCCGGCGGTTTCGTATCGGGAATCCTCAATGAGCTGACGCTGCAACTGTAATGCGATGTCCGAAAGAGTTGCATAGGACCCAATGTGCACGCTGATAGGGATCTCGGTCATAGACGGACCGACCACATTTTGTAGACTGCTTGGTAGCATCGACCGGCCAGTGACTAGTCGACCAAAAACAACTTGGGCTTGTTGGTACTGACGGGACAATACCATAGCGCAAGCGGCATGGAATAATGTTGCGGGCGACATCCCTTCAAACAATCGGCCTTCGGGGATTGGGATCGTCGCTTTCACCGTCAGCCGGTCCGAGGTAGTGTACACACGGTTGGAGTTGGAGCAATCTACACCACTCCAGCCGGGATTTGGAGCGTGTTTCAGTCGTGTGGCCCAGTAAGCAAAGGCGTTTGCCTTCATGTTCTCCCTATAGGTGATGTATTGGGCAAATTTCGGTTCGTTAGGGAGGGTGTCGCCGCAGTAGAGCGAAGAGAGACTGCGGAGGACAGTATCCCAGCTGAAGCCGTCAAATTGGGCGTGCGAGATCCGGAAAATGAGTCGGTGCTGTCCAGAGTGACTCCGTATTGCCATAAATCGAATGAAGGAAGAGCCAAAGGTTCGAATCCTTTTTCGATCTAGCTCACAAATGGAATCCACGAAGGCTGTAATATCATCATCATGGTTTGCCTGGAAATTGTCGTAAGCAGGATTCAAATGCTCCAGCAAAACCTGCCAGAATCGATCATGTGTTTGAATGAACACAGTCCGGAGGATGTCGTGATGGTCTACTAGCTTGCGGCATGACATCTCTAGCCGTGAGAAGTCGACACTTGCTGGAAGATCGAAGATCCAATGCGGCAATCGGCTGGGTGGGTCTTGGAAAGCATCCAAAATTGCACAAGTTTGGAAGTCGGTACAAGGAAGCACATCAAGAACAGTCCCAGCCCCAGGGTCGAGGAGCGGATCGACAAAGTGAGCGAGGAAGGGCTTTGGATCATTCGTTTCAAGCAAAGCGAAGGACTGTACCAACGGTAGAGAGTCCTCTATAGTGGTTTCCTGCACTAAAAGGGCGAGTTGAGAGAGGCGTGGTGCGTTGAAAATATCCGCGACTGTGAGTGAGAGCTTCTCATTTCGTGCCGCTGTCACTAGTCGCATTGCTGCGATGGACTCTCCACCAATTCTAAGGAAGTTGCTGTCGGCATTGATAATGCTGGCATCCATTCCAAGAACAACCGACCATAGTGCTTGCAACTTTTGTTCCATGACGCTGGTCGGTGCGCGATGGGTTTTCCCGTGGGACTGCAGTTTTGCCAGGTTCTCCAAAGTCTGAACGGCTCCCAACTGCCGTAAAGTTCTTCTATCTGTTTTATCCGTGGTAGTCATTGGAATCTTTTCAATGGGGATGTAGGCGCCAGGGATCATGCTGGGACAGAAGGAAGATTAGCGTCCGTATTTGTCGAGAGCTGGAAAAATGGTTAGATCAGGAAATACATACTATTGCGGTACACGGTTGGAAAGTCTGTCCTCCAAGCCGTCAATCAAGCCTGCCAGTTTCGATAAAGTGTCTTCCTCGGACTGTGCCACCCCAGCGGGGGAGATGGCAACAAAGACGGCGAGAATGGGACTGCTGTTATTAGGGGTAATAATTTCTGCCGCCAGGCCATCACATCGCTCAGGGTGGCGCAGGTTTGCACGGATATGATACTCTACTTCAGCCAGCTCAATTCGCTGGCCTCTCAGCTTGACCATACCATCCTTACGGCCGAGAAAATCCAACGACCCGTCTGAGTTGTATCGAAGTAGGTCACCCGTCTTGTATAGGGTGGCCTGGCGGCCTGGAAGGCTTGGTGCGCCTTGCAACAGCCAAGGTGGATTCTTGATATACGCAGCGGTGGTCTTGTCAGTGTCATCAAAATATCCTCGACTGACCGTGGGACCCTCAATGAGAAGCTCTCCCACTGCGCCAATTGGGGCCAGACGATCGGGACAGCCCGGTTGGACAAGCCATGTCCGGGCCCCATATGAGTACCCTACATGATTGTTGCGCCCATTAGGCTGGAGAAGTGTGAATGTGAGGGCCTGTGCACACTCAGCCGGGCCGTATATTCCAATGATGGCCTCCGCCTGCTTCCACCGAGCAATCTCGGTGGTGGGAATAGGCTCCCCCCCCATGGCCAAGGTTTTGAGTCCCGGCATGCTTGATGGCTCCAAGGATCGCACCACTGAGGGGGTAAAGTACGAATAGTTGCAATTCATGCGATTGAAGGCCCCTGAAATGTTATTTCGACGCTCCAACTCATCAGGAATACAAAGACAACCTCCGCGGATCAATGTCTGAAGGGTATTGGACCACGAGACGTCAAAGCTGTATGAGACAAAGTCAAATACGCGTGTACCTGGTTGAATACGCAGCATCTCTGCCTGATGCGTTGCAGCAGAGGCAAAATTCTGATGTGTAGTCACAACGCCTTTCGGTGTTCCTGTGGAGCCGCTGGTGAATACCACTGAGATTGAAGAAGTTAATACAGTCATCGGGGAAACGAAAGAAAATCAAATGAAGACGCACCGTATAGAACATTGGATGGGTGAACTGTGGGCAACGGCTGGGTGAGAATATCTTTAGCCGCTAAATCCAGGTAATCTTGGTCAATCACAATGACCTCAGCATCAGATAGATGACCGGCCAACCTGGCAGTTTTGGCCGATGCGAGGATAACCCTAGGATCGACTTGTTTGACAATGGACTGGAGCCTGGATTCTGGTTGAGTCGAGTCCATTGAGAGACACGCAGCACCTGACTTCATCACTCCAAGGGCTGCCACTGGATGCCACATGGACTTCTCAAAACAAAGTGGAATTACGGTACCGGGACCAACACCAAAGGCGACCAAGTGCGAGGCCAACTGGTTAGAAAGTTGGTCCAGCTCGAAATACGATAAATGGCCATCCCAGGCGCAGATGGCAGGATGGTCTCCATAATTCTGGGCAGTTGTACCAATCAAGCTGTGCACGCATTCAGCGATTGCCGACGGAACAGACGAGTTCCAGTCCCATAGCTCTGCTAGATCAGCACCACTGATAGTCTGAATGTGATCGACAGGCTGCGTCGTGGCCACACAAACTTGACGCAAGATATGCTCAAATTGAGAGGCAATTCGTTCCATCTGGGCCGTGTCCACCACCCTAGAATCAAAGCTAAACTCCAGCTCCAGACCGTTCGTCTTCGTAAGCTGGCACATGATCATAATAGCATTTGGGTTGGAATCATCGAGATCATGAGTTGCGGAGACTAGCTTCCTGGGATTCTCGTAGGGGCCATTAGCGTGATTGACAGACTGGCCTTGACTTGCAGGCTGAACAACGAGAAGTGTATTGAATCGGCTGCCGCGATCGGTGTTTGTGTCAATGCGCCGAATTGTGAGCAGCTCAGTCTGTTCGTAGGCAATCATATCGATGGACTGCTTCTGGATGTTATTGAGCAGACTATCGACCGATTCTTGGAAGTCAAGTTTGACTCGAATAGGCACAGCATTTATAAGAGGCGCAATCATGCGATCTAGCCCTTGGAGAGGAGCTTGTCGGCCCGTAACCATGGCACCGAAAACCACATCATCCGAGTCCATGTACCGCGCAGTGAGGATGGCCCACGATGCGCGAATGACTGTGATGATACATGTCAGCAACTTCTAGGGAAAATAGTAGTGCAATAAAAGTGAACAGCATGGACATACTGGTTGATGGAGTGACATCTCGCTGTGGCCACTGGAATGCCTTCAGACTGTGTCGTACTGTGCTATCTGCTTTAGGTTGATGATCCGCATGGGGCAATGCTGGGAAAGGGATTGCCTCGAAATTTGCAAATTCACGACACCAGAAGTCCTTTGCCTTCTCCGCATCAACCTCCATGACATGCTTGATGAAAGCTTGGAATGATGCCACTGGGGTATGACCGTCAAGGGTGCCATCATAAGCCTTAGACACCTCGTCCACGAGAAGATTTAATGAATAACCATCATATATCGCATGATGCTGGGTTAGCAGACAATATCGTTCTTGGTTGCGTTCGTCTTCCACAATGGCCAGTCGAGTCAACGGGGTGGCTAGACCCATGGGCCTGTTTTGATATTTTTGGAGATAGTCCTGCAGTGGCTGAGTGACATCCCAGTGCAGCGATTCATCCACGAGACCTTGCACGAGCCCCTCCGTTGGACAGTCCACAATTCGGGAACGAAGAATGGGAGCAGAAGTCATACTCACCACTTCCCATGCATTCATGAGACGTGACTCATCGACGTCCTTCCTAAGCTTGAGCAAGAGTCGAGCGACATACGAGTTGGCGTGTTTGGCGGTCATGGAGAGGAGCGACTTTTGGACACCCGTACAAGGAAATATGTCTTCAACTTGGCTGGCTTGGATGTCGCATTGGCTCGCGAATTCATCCAAGATAATCTTTTGCTCCGAGGGGTGCTTTAGGAGAGAGAACGGATCGGCCACTTCCGTCTTGTTGGCATCTGTTGAAATCAAGGCAGGCATTTCTTGTGCCATCTCCGACAACCGAGGCGTGGTGAGAATACTATGAACTGACAAGCTCAATCCTTGGCTACGAGCCAAAGAGGCTAACCGCATCGCCAAAATAGAATCGCCACCTAGACGAACAAAGTTGCTTTCGGCTCCAATCTTCTCGGCGGGTATACCGAGGACTTCAACCCATAAAGCCTGTAAGTGGCACTCGGAGGCTGTGCTGGGGGCCAACCTAGTTGCAGAGGAATCACTTCGTGACAAGAGTTCCAGAGTCAAAGTGGAACCAATCTCGCGTAACCGGCGTCGGTCTGTCTTGCCACTGGCTGCCATCGGCATAGATGGGCTTGCAATATAAGTTGTAGGTACCATGTAGGACGGAACCCGGCTCGGCAACTCAGCTTCGAGATGGGGCAATAAGTCGGACAACTGCTCTTGATTGCAATCGATAAAAACGGCAAGCATCGGTCGACCAGTCGCTACTGGCTCTATAACCTCTGCCACTGCTGTTGGCGCAGTTCCTGATGAAGATCGATCCATTAGGCATTGCATGACATGATGTTCAACATCTGCAAGCTCGATGCGTTGGCCTCGCAGTTTAACCTGTGTATCCTTTCGGCCCACGAACGCGAGATTTCCAGTGAGTGGATGATATTTGACAAGGTCACCAGTCTTATACATCCGGCCTCGCCGTCCCGGCACTGTTCCATCAGGGGAGCCCTGACCTAACCAGTATGGGTTCTCAATGAAGGCAGCTGCCGTTTTCTCTTCATTTCGGAAGTAGCCTTGTCCCACTAGAGGTCCCTCGAGGTACAGCTCACCTACTGTTCCAAGAGGTGCGAGTCGGTCTTGGTCCTTTGGGTCTACCACCCAGGTCAGAACGCCAATTCCTTTCCCAATAGAATGCACGGCAACAGCTGTTGTTTTGGGAACTCGATGATAGAGGGTAATAGCAGAGCATTCTGAAGGTCCATATACCTCAAATGTGTTGACGTGTGGGGACCATCGAGCGAGATCCTCTGGCAAGACCGCCTCACCGCCGAGGAATAGATAGCGTAGGGTAGGAGTACGTTGGGGGTCTATCCACCGTGCAGTGGAAGGAGTTAAGAAAATGTGCGTGGTCTCAAACCGGCGCACGCTCTCGGTCAGGTCGCTTTTCCGTTCTTCCTCGCTGGGGATACATAACGTCCCCCCGGCGTTCCATACGTGAAAGAGGCACCAGTAGACTGCATCAAAAGAGTAGGAGGAGAAGTCGTATAAGCGTGTGGATGGATTCATTTCAAGCGTAGCTTGCTGATGGACGACTGCACTGGTGAATTGTTGATGATACATGAGACATCCTTTGGGGGTTCCCGTGCTACCACTCGTAAACACGGTGTAGAGAAGGTCATCCGAAGATACAACCGGCAGATCGTGAATTTCGGTGTTCCTGTTGGTCTCCTCGGCGTCAAAAAAGGTGGATTGCTTCCCCAAGGCCACTGGGTGAGCCACCCATCGGGAACAGCGCTGTTCCTGTGATATTGATGACAATATAACAGTGGGATTCGCCTGCTGCAATATATCATCAAGGCGAGAGTCTGGTAATGATGGATCTAGGAGAAGAGTGGCGCCGCCGGCTTTCATAACCCCAAGGACCGCTAGCATGGCGTACAAGCTTTTCTCAAAGCAAAGCGGCACAATCATGTTCCTTTTTACCCCCATGCCGACCAGATGGGTTGCAAGGCTGGTTGACAGCTGATCTAACTCAGAATATGTCAAACTGCCATCCCAAGCAGATATAGCCACCGTCTGAGGCTGGCGTTGCACAACTTTCTTGATCAGATCATGCATGCATCGGTCTATAACGGCAGGCACCTTTGCGTTCCAGGTCCAGATGTCATTTAGATGCGACTGTGTCATCATGTTTACACCCCTTAGCGTGGTGTGTGGCAATTCCTGCATGCACATGGTTTGAACGACCTGATCCAGGTGCGCTGCCATGGTTTGAATGGTTTCTGACTGGACTATGGCAGAGTCATAGCAGAATTCGACCTTCAGCCTACTTGGCTCCAGGTTGCACACTACCGATAATGCATAAGAGCTAAAGCTATGGTATCGAGTGGCCTCATCTTGTTCGGCAGATCGACAGACAAATAAGCCAGTATCGTCCATAGCTTGCTCTGGTGGTTGAATTACGAGCAAGGTCTGGAATCGACATGCGTCTTCTGCCGGAGTGCTGACTTGACGAATGTTGGACAATCCTGTTTGCTCATGAGGGACCATCTCTCTCTCTTGGTCTTGAATAGATTGAAGAAATTGTGGAATAGTGGCATCGCCTTTGATCTGCACACGCACAGGGACTGTGGCAATCGTTGGTCCTGCGATCCTCTCTGTCCCCCGAACGCGGGCTTTGCGGCCCATTACCACCGTGCCAAATACCACGTCGGACGAAATCGCATATTGGCCGTATACGAGGCTGAATGCTCCACGGATGATGGTAGAAGGGGTGAAACCGTCTGTTCGCCATTTAACGTTGTCGATTACAACAGTTTGGGTGGAATCGGTTCTTGGCTGGTAACTAGCCGAGGGAAGCAGAGGAAACTGGGAAGCTTCACAGCTTTCAAATTGTCCTTTCCAAAACTTGGTTCCGGCTTTCCTATCCTGGCTGCAGACGTACTTGACGAAAGCTTGGAAGGGACATAATCGAAGAGGCGTTTCCTCATAGTAAAGGCTCTTCAGCGTGCCCATTATCATCGCTGAAGTCGGCCCATCATATATCGAATGATGCATAGTCAATGCAAAACACCAACGCAATGGGCTGGAGGCACCAGCTGGTTCATCAGTTGACTTGTATGAAAACAGCCCACAACGCATCAGACGGGTTCCCAATCCCATGGGATACTGACGATCCTGGCTCAGGTATTCCTCCACGCTCCCGGCCTTGCTCCAAGCAGCCTTCTCCCGGATCACGACTTGAACAAATCCCTGCCCAGGAAGATCGACGATTCGTGTGCGGAGGATAGGCACTATGCGCACCAGCTCTTCCCAGGCATGTTCAAAGCGGTGGACATCTATCGAAGGCCCTAGCTCCTGTACATTGCGGCCGGTATAGTCCCCGTTAGACTTGATTGTTAAAGCTAGCAGACCTGTCTGGAGAGAGGTACAAGGGAATACATCCTCAATGTCGGCCTCATTAACAGTACAAGCGGATGCTGCCTGTTGGCGGGCGAGGTTCTGGTCTAAAGCAGTATCCAAAAGTGTAAAAGGCTCAATGCTGTCCTCTGGCACATCCTCGAGGTTCTGCAACAGGCTGGCCATTTCTTCTAAAATAGGGAACTCCATCACCCCAGCGACAGTGAGCAACAGGCCATGTTGGCGAGCGGTACCTACCAATCGCATGGCATCAATGGAATTTCCGACCTGCAGGAAGCTGTCAGTGGCTGAGATTGTCTCCGGCTCCGTTCCAAGAGTAAGAGCCCACAACCTCGCTAACGTGATTTCGGCGGTCGTGACTGGTAGTCGTCCCGTGGAACCTTGGCTGGATGGAGGGGACGACGCAGCAATCTCAAGAAGCCGCCTTCGATCTCGCTTCCCGTTTGTAGTCAAAGGAACACTCGCAATCGCGATATACCACGAGGGTACTGCATAGCGAGGAAGAACCATCTGAAGCTTCTGGTTGAGGCCGACGGTTAACTGGTCGATATCATCTTGGGTGACGATGAACCCCACGAGTATCACTCCACCTCCACCTAGGGGCAGGATGGTGTCGACGATAACCTCATTATGCTCGCCGGGAAGATCGAGGCATTGTTTAATATGGTTTTCCACTTCCCTGGGAACTACAAGCTGACCAAGTACTTTGATTTGTGCATCCTTTCGCCCCAAGAAGACGAGATAGCCATCGGAGTCATATCGAGCCAAATCCCCTGTTCGATAGACACGACCGTGCCTTCCTGGGTAAGCAGTCCCGAGGCCTTGAGAGAGGAATGTAGGATCTTGGTAGAAGTGCTTGTCTGTAAGAGACACATTTCCGACATAGCCACTGGCGAGTGCAGGCCCTTGTACCACGATCTCGCCAATTGCACCGAATGGAACAAGTCTGTGGCGGTTCTGTGGGTCTACGAGCCAGCAGCGGAACAAATCAATGTGTGCAATCACACTGCTGGACCAATTGGGCTCATCGGCCGGGTAAACAGTAACTGCAGGGAATTCAGCAGGCCCGTACCAATTGCGGACAGCACAGTGCCCTTTCCATCTTGCGACATCGTCTTGCAACATGTTCTCGCCCCCCATCACGATAGTCAAAAGCCCGGGTACATCTTGTGGACGTAGCAATCGGGCGGTGGACGGGGTGATAAAGGCCCAGTTGGCCCTGAATTGATTAATTGCAACCGCGATGCCATCAAGGCGTTGGGCTTCTGATGGAATACAGAGACAAGCCGCATGAGTCAGCCCAATGATTGTTTCCAAGGTAGCGACATCAAAATCATATGATGAGAATTGGAACATGCGAGAGGAGGAGGTTACCGACAACCGCAGGGCTGGTTCATCTGCGTTTGCAGCCAGAGCTCGGTGACTCCAGAGAACATGTTTCGGTTCGCCGGTGCTGCCAGAGGATACCAAAACCGAGGCCGGGTCATCCATCTCAAGGACTGGTAGTGGCATGCTATTTTCTTCCAACGGGGTCTCCAAAATCTGCTCCATAGTAATACAGCGAGCGTACTTCGAGACCGTTGCCAAGCGTTCAGGTGAAGCCAGTGCAACTTCTACACCAAGGTGCTGGAAAGTACGACTCATTCTCTGCTCTGGCATGTCTGCTGACTGTAGCAAGGTTACTGCGCCGGCTTTCCAGACCGCAACCTGGGCCAGTGGCATGCATCGAGACTTGACAAAGCACAACGGCACAACAGACCCTTTTTTGACGCCCAGTTGCTGGATTAGCTTGCGCGCGACAACGGTAGAGAGCTGGTCTAGCTCGCCGTATGTGAACCGGCCGTCCCAGGCATCAATGGCAATAGCCTCGGGGTCCGTTTTGGCACATTGAGTAATCTTGTCGTGTACAAACATGGCTGGGTCCGGGGGCAATTCTGCATTTTGAGCCCAGAAACGCTCCAGGTCGAGCTCACTGGCTGTTTGGATATTGTTCAATGTGGTCCTGTCAGGAGATTTTGTACATAATTGGCGGATGACTGTCTCCAGCTGATAGACAGTCCGCTGGATCTGCCGCTTGTCGAGAATCTTTGGGTCAAAGCTCATTTGAATGTTAACCCCCGAGGTAGTAAGTTGACAGATGACCATTAAGCCATAAACATTGAAAGGGTCGATGCCCATGGTGCTCAAACTGGAGGCGAAGCTGCGTGCCTTGAACAACCGGCTATCCTCATGCAGGCTGTTCCCTGTGACTATTGGCTGGACCACTAGCAGAGTCTGGAACAACCCGGCATTGCGGTCTCCGTTGGCTCGTTGAATATTTGGCAAGCCGTATTGCTCATAGGGCATGATATCCAGTCCCTGTCTCTGGAGGCCTTGGAGGAATTCCTCGACCGTATTCTCCCAATCAATTGATACAGCAATTGGAACCGTTGCGATAGTTGGCGCTACGCAGTTTTCCATACCGTTTATATTTGCCTGTCGCCCACTAACTGTTACTCCAAAGATCACATCGTTAGAGGCCACATACTGTGATGAGAGGACCGCCCACGCTGCACGGAGAATCGTGGATGGGGTTGCTCCCTTGGAAGGCCAATGCAGAGCAACCGGATGCTCTGTAAACCCACTAGCTTGTGGCTCATATGCTGCAGATGGCAGGACGGGAAATGCACGGAACTCAGCGCGAGTCAGCTGGGCCTTCCAGAAGCCGTCTGATTCCTGGGTATTCATCTGGCTCAAATGGCGAATGAAATGCTCCACCCCAGTGACCTTCCTTCCTGGCTGATCGTAATACTGTGCCTGGATTTCCTCGAGAATCATAGGCAGTGAGCTGCCATCATATAGACAGTGTGAGATGGTAAAGATGAACGTGCGATCAATGATGGCCGCACGACAGAGCTGGGTTCCTAGTCCCATCGGTTCCTTCTCATCCTCATGCAAGTACTGCTGGATGTTTTCACCGGATCTCCAGGGCGTGTCATTGAGAACGACCTGCACAAGACCTTTGCCTGGGAGATCCACGATTCGGGTTCGCATAATAGACAATTTGGCGATTGTCCTTTCCCAGGCATTTTTGAGTCGGTCTGGATTGATATCGCTTTGAAGTGGCAATACACTGCGCGAGATATATTGTCCTTGTCTTCTAGCTCCAAGCGCCAGCAACCCCTCTTGAAGTGCTGTGCAGGGGTAGATATCAAGCACTTGATCTTGCGAGACTGAACATATTTGAGCAACATGTGATCGGCCGTGCGACACGTCCATCCCCATGGGTAAAAGAGAGAATGCGGGAATATCGTGCATATCCGCATGGCTTTCACCGTGGACCATTTTCTCGACCATCTTCTCTAGCTCGGGGAAATCAAATACATCAGCCACAGTCAGGGAAAAGCCCTGGCTACGGGCCATTCCAACAAGGCGCATGGCGCTGATCGAGTCTCCCCCCAAGCGAAGGAAGTGATCAGTGGCATAGATAACATCTGGCTCAACCCCCAACACATGAGCCCACATTTGCTGCAATAGTTTCTCGCTTTCCGTGGCCACTTTCCTGGCTTGCCTTCGGGTTGGTTGCATTTCTGCCAGTTGCGCCAACGTGAGGGAACCTCCAATCTCTTGCAATGCTCGCCTATCTATCTTTCCTGTCGGCCCGATAGGAAGTTCACTGAGAGGTATGTAGATCCTGGGAATCATATAAGACGGGAGAATGCTGGCAAGATAGTTTTCCAGATCATTGACCGGCCACGCGCTTTGCAGATATGCTTTGGGATCTGCGCGGTCAACGGGATCAGCAGGACTGACGAAGAGGCCCAAAGTATCGTTATCACCGCAAGCTGGAGAGAATATCTCTGCGACAAGCATTGTGTCCACTATGCCAATCAGGAATTCTTGGATACACCGCTCTATCTCTCCCAGATCAATCCGCTGGCCTCGAATCTTTCGCTGAGAATCTTGGAGACGCCCAAGATAGATGATACGACCATCCGAGTCGTACTTCACCAGATCCCCGGTACGATAGACTGGACCTGGTCGACCAGAGGTCTTCCAGTGGCCATCCTGCAGCCACGATGGAGAGATAAAACTCTCTTTGTTCAACTCGGCGCCATTAGCTCCAGCATATTGGGCAAGCATAGAGCCCTCCAGGCACAACTCGGCCACGGCTCCCACTGGGGCGAGTAGGTTTGGATCTTTCGGATCAACAAGCCACGGTAACCCGGCGCGGCCTTGCCCGATCATACCTGGACGCCAAATGTCGTGATCTACAAGGCACGAAGTAGCTACCGAGGCTTCCGCTGGCCCGTACCAGTTGTGAACGGTTTTTTGCGTATCTAACCATCGAGTAGCAGTCTTGTACTCGAGTTTCTCACCCGCAAATATCACTGTTTGCATATATGGCAGATCGCTCGGGCTCATGGTCTCGGACACAGATGGGGTCAGACACATCCAGTTAGCGTGGTAGCCGTTGATTGCGTCAGTCAGTCGATTCTTCCGGTCTGTCTCTGATGGGATGCACAGACAAGCTCCAGACAGTAAGGCAGCAAAAGTCTCTACTGTGCTCACATCAAAATCGTAACCGGCAAACTGGAAGACTCTGCTCGTATCGTTCAATCCGAATGCAACGATCGCAGCTTGAATGTTAGTTGATAAGGCGCTGTGACTCCACGCAATGGCCTTTGGGGTTCCTGTGGACCCTGATGTAAACAGAAGAAGAGCAGGATCACTTGGCAGGTGGCAGTATGGTGAATGTTTGACAGCAACGCCGGAGCCTTTCCTCTCCGGGATGATGAGGTGGGTGATACTCAGAACTGGGATCAACTCATGGAATGGACATAAATCAGACGAGGTGGAGGTAACGACAAATTGGGGCTGCAAGTTCTCAACAATTTGCAGGGCTCGAGCTTTGGAAACAGGCACAGACATCGGCAGAACAATTGCACCGATTCTGAGGGCTGCAAGCATCATCACTGGTTGCCACGCGCTCTTTTCAGATGCCAGAATAATGATAGAACCAGGAAGCACACCCTCATCGAGAAGCCGATCAGCCAGCGTTACAGACCAGACTTGCACCTGTTGGGCTGTGAACTGCTGGTCCCAAGCAGATATCACAACTGCCCCTGGCTTCGCATCGCTTTGCCGACGAAGGCCGTCGGTGATAGATTCAAACTTGGGCTCCGGCGGCGCTGCATTCCAAGTCCAAATGTCAACCAAGTCGTCCTTGGTGAGAGCGGTGATATCCCGTAGGCTCATCTGAGTACACTCCTCCGAGCAAACCTGTCGCAGCAAATGTTCAAATTGTATCGACATTCGCTCGACCCGTCTAGCTGAAATGGCACCAGAATCAAAGTTGATCTTCAGTTCAACCCCAGAGTCGTGGAGTTGGCAGATAATCATCATCGCATAAGGGTTGTACATGCCAACGGTGTCGGCTTCTCCATCCTTGCACACAATTTTCAAACTGCCAGGTTTATCAGAGCTGCTAACAACACTACTAGCCCTGCTAAAAAGGCTGCCAGCCTCGTGGGTATTTCCTTGCTGAGCCGGCTGGACCACCAGGAGCAGTTGGAAAAGGTTGGATTCCTCAATCAACCCAACAATCTGCTGCAGCCCTAGCTGCTCGTGTGCAGTAGCCTCCACTGCCTGTGTCTGAACCTGCTCAAGCCAGCTCTCGACTGTTTGATTCCAGTCAAATATGGCGCGGACTGGTACAGTCGCGATTGTAGGCCCGGCGATTCGTTCGATCCCGGCCACATTAGCGTGTCGCCCGCTGATCGTGGCACCATATCTGACATCGTTGGAGTTGGTGTATGAGGCCAGAACCAGCGCCAAGGCGGCCCTAACGACCGACGATGGTGTGGTCCCCGAGTGTTTCCACGGAATTTCAGTGACATTATGGTTGAAGTCAAGCTTTGTCTCTGGACGATACCCCGGAGACGGGAAAGTCTTCGTTTCAGAACCCCCATCCAAATAGGTCTTCCAATAGAGCGACGCTTTTTCCTTGTTCATCCCTTTTGCATACTTCACAAATGACCGGAAGGGCACCATAGCTGAGTGTGTGACCTTCTCGTAGTATTCGGCTTCCATGGCATCCAGTATCAACTTGGTGGACCAGCCATCGAAAATTGAATGGTGCATTTCCATGATAAGACAAGGGGACACTCCAGAAATTAGGCCAGCTCGACACAAAGGAACTCCCAATCCCATTGGAACGGAGTATTTGACGAAGTCGGTGATATTCTCATATCGATCCAGCATGATGGGAGACTCGACAACAACTTGAACTAGACCATTGCTGGTCAGGTCGATGACCCGTGTTCGCAGGATTGATGCTTGCTGAACAGTACTTAGCCATGCCTTTTCGAACCGAGAGAGATCTGTGTGGCTAGGGAGCTCAAATAGTGTCCGCGCAACGTTATTGGTCTCGCTTCGAGCCGTGATAGAGAGCATGCCCTGTTGGAGTGGGGTGCACGGATATATATCTTCAACCTGAGCCACTTCAATACTGCAGAGCCTAGCAGCCTCCTCGCGCATTCTTTGAATATCTGAAGGATGATCCAGCAAGGAGAATGGGGCAATTACCTCTTCTCCAGAAAAGGAAGAATCCTCCTTGATAACCAGAGCAAGATCACACAGCACTGGACTCTTGAACACATCTGCCACTGTGATGGATAAATTGGCCTCCCGTGCTGCCGCGACCAACAGCATGGCTGCCACTGAGTCCCCGCCTAAGCGGAGGAAACTGTCCGTGGCGCTAATTCCAGTCGATGGTATGTTTAATACATGCGCCCAAAGCTCTCGGAGCTGCTCCTCCCTGACAGTGGATGGGTCACGGTGTTCTTGGACTGGCAGGATGGTTGACTGTAAGTTAAGAAGCTGCTCTAAAGATAAGCTAACTCCCAGCCCTCGCAGTTGTCGCCTGTCGACTTTCCCCGTGGCACCTACCGGTATCTCTTCAACGGGGAGATAGATGCTGGGGAGCATAAATGCTGGCAATACACGATCTAGGTCACGCACAAGATCATTCATCACGGCCTTGACTGCCTTTGGGTCCTGGTTCTTGGTCTGCACAAATAGTGCAAGCAGTGCAGCATCGCTTCCCCGGGGCAGCACGATATCGGCAATGATTGTCAGTGCGTCATTCAGACATGCACGCGCATGGTGCTCGACATCCCCAATCTCAACCCGTTGACCTCTAATCTTTAATTGAGAGACATCTTTCCGCCCTAGAAACAGGACGCTTCCATCTAAGCGCGTTTTGACTAGGTCTCCGGTCCTGTATAGGCGGCCTTGTCGTCCTGGGACACCAGGACTACCAGACAAAAGCCATGGTGGGTTGTCGATGAACGCTTCGCTAGACTTTTCTTGATTGGAAAGGTACCCTTGGCCAACCATGGGTCCCTCAAGGTACAGTTCTCCGGGGGAACCAGGAGAAACAAGCTGGCTGCTGTCGTTGGGATTGACAATCCAGAGGCAGAACCCCGTTCCTCTCCCAATATCCGGCCGGTCTTCCTCGCAGCGATTGAGCTGCGAAAAGGTACATTTCCAGGTGCATTCGGTGGGACCGTATGTATTGAGAAGACGAACGCGGCCCGCCCATTGAGTTATATTTTCTCGATACGGCATCTCTCCACTCAGAAGTACAGTTTGAAGTGTCGGTGGGACCGGACTGATTGTTCGCAGAACAGTGGGGGTGACATTAATCAGACTCGCCGCAAAGGCCGTGATAGCAGCTGATAGGTTATTCACCATATCTTGCTCGTTGGCAACACATAAGCAGCCACCTGCGGACAGCGTATGAAGAACATTACTCCAGGCCACGTCAAATGAGTAAGGTGCAAAGTCAAAGACTCTCGATTCTGGATGGAAGCCAAGAGCTTTACCCTGGTGATGTACAGCACTTCTCACGTTGGCGTGGCTAATACACGCTCCTTTGGGTTCGCCGGTAGTTCCACTAGTTTGATGCACTAGAGTTAGCACTCTTGTTCCAAAGCTAATTGGGTGGTGGATCTCTTACGATGTAAAAGATATATAGACTATATCTCTGGGTGATACCACAGGCAAATCAAGGATCTGCCGTTTCATGGTACCCGCAATCTCCAGCAGGCTATCTTCGAGCTGAAGGACGGGGGAGTCGCACAATAGAGATACTCTGTCACGGGTAGCCGCGCAACAGATCATGGCTTTTGGCTGCGCATGTTCAATAATAGATCGAAGTCTCGCATCTGGATGAGTGGAATCGAGGGCAATTGCCGCGCATCCGGCTTTGATGATTCCTAACATGGCGACACATGTCCATCGTGATTTCGGGAAAAGAAGGGTGACCGAGGAGCTCGGTGGATTTCCCATTTCACATAGATAATGAGCAACATGATCACTCAGGGTGGATAGTTGAGCATAGGTAAAATTTCCGTCCCACGCGCAAACAGCAAGGGCATCTGGTTGTCTTTGCGCTACCTCAGTAATTAAATCATGAACGCAGCCTGTGATAGACTCTGGGACAACGGCATTGCTAGCCCAGATCCCCTCAAGTTCTTGTGGTGAAGGTGATGCAGCATCCAGTGCATCTGGCATTGGTACCTGAGTATCCTCGTTCGTCATTGTCGCAACCATTCTGATGGATTACCAAGATGCTTCTGGTTGCAGAATAGAAGAGCGAGGTTTTTACGGCTATTAATCTCGCAATTATTTGAAAACGTTCTCTAGTCTCTCGTTATCCGCGATGGGGTAGGAATCATCTCCACTTGGGGTATTCATTCGAAAGAGCGTCGGCAATTAAGATCGGGTTAGAACAATACAGTCAGAAATGACTAGTTCCGCTGTTTCATGTGTAGACTTGCGACTAGCTGGAACCCTAAGGGCCCGCTTCAGTGCAGATGCACTGTGATCCACATACCGGATCTGGTTTGTCGCGACATATATCACCATTATTTCCATGTTCTCTTTAGACCAATCTGAAATACCTTGAAAAGGCATTTCCTACTTAACATCTACTAGAAGCCTAGCTTTTGGACTTCAGCCATTTTTGGAACATTCCTTACAATATATAGTTCGATCAGACATGTTTGAGCAACTTGACTTTTCGCGATTTCACAGCGGGAGCGACGAGCGTGACCAGTTCTGTCGTGAGTTGGTCGCCGGGTTGAGCAAGTCAGGCTGGGTACGGCTAGTCAATCATGGTGTCCCTCCAGAAAGCATCGACCGAGCATTTGAAATGGTACGAACATTCCCTCGAATTTTGGCCAAAAGCCTTCTCACTCATCGCAGCCTCTCTAGAGTCGCAAATTCTTCGATCTCCCATTGGAGCAGAAGCTGAAATCGCCTCATCCTCCCACGGCTCACCCCCATCGGGGCTTCAGTCCCGTTGGCCTGGAGAACATATCAACTGTGTCTAATTATTGTTCCCCGGCCACACAACCCTTACTTAGGGACATGAAGGTATACCTTTCACAAATCGTTGTAAATCTGTCTTTGCATATCTAACCAGTTCATCAGGAATCTTATGACATTGGATCGGAACAAGATCCGCTGTACTCCAATATTTGGCCCCCACCAGGAGTCCACGATGGCTTTCAAACGACAATGAACTCATTCTTCGATGTCTGTTACGAGGCTGAGTTGATCATGCTGGATGCTATTTCGATTGGCTTGGGGTTGAACATTGACTGTCTACGCAAGCTCCACACAAATACCAACGAGCTGCGTCTTACACATTACCCCGAAGTGGATCTGGGGGACTTCGCCAATGCCACCCGCATTGCGGCGCACACAGACTTTGGCACGATTACTTTATTGTTCCAAGACAATGTTGGAGGCCTGGGTAAGCAATACTACCTTCCAAATTTGGACATTGAGCTGACAGGGTCCAAGAAATAGAACAGCCCCCTGGTAGTGGGGTTTTTGTTCCGGCCGACAATGCTGGCCCCCACGAGTGTATTGTCAATGTAGGTGATTGTCTCCAGATGTGGACAGGACTACATAGTGCCCGACACCGGGTGCACCTGACAAAACGGGAGAACCAGGGTAATATGGTCCCAGAACGCTTCTCTATTGCGTATTTCGCAAAGCCTGATCGTGCGGCCCTTCTCCGTCCACTGCTGGATTCGCTAGACAAGCCAGTGCAAAAGTTTATGACAGCCAATGAGTTTCAGCACATGCGCATTGAGGGTACGTACGCCTAATAGTTTAGCTGCATCCACACATCTTGGCTTGTCAAAAGCATATGGCTTTCAATAAACAACAAATGTAGCGTGAAATATCGCATGTGCACTTTCAAATTGATGGATCCCGACCTTGATCGGCTATAACTCCGCACAATGTACTCCGTAGGTTCGACTTCGACCAATCTAAATAAAACGTCGCGATAGGTGTGTCCTGGTATACACTTTCATCACAGACAGTGGGGTTTTAGCTGATTTCCTGCAGGATCCTTAGCGGGCTAGATATTCCGACGGGGGTCCGGCTCGCCTTTGCTTGGCGTGCAAGTCGCAGCACGTCCCCTCCATTATCTGCAGGGTTCCATCTGCACGCAGTGAATTCAAGAAATTCAGGTTACGGGATCATAGAGCTGATGCTAATCCCAGCAGGGGACCTCAATGGGCGCAAGTAGTTTAACCATGGATTTTCAGCCAGCTTCATCCACCATCCCATCTATGTTGTACAAAATCACATTAGGAGTTGATCATCGGTCCCACTCCATCTTCAATATGGACTGGTTAAAAATGTGCTGCAGCATCCTGCTGTTTTGCTTGGCTGGGGCCATTGGTTTCCTGTTGCGGCGAGTGTATTTCCATCCGTTGTCAGAATTTCCAGGCCCGAAGCTAGTCGCTGCTTCCAGCTTCCAGCATTTTTACGCCGTGTGGACAGGGCGGGAAAAGACCTGGTACCAAGATCTACACCGCAAATATGGTCTGTAATACGGTCACGTCCAATCTCGCTTGCTATAGTCTAATTGATAAACAGGCCCGGTCGTTCGCTGTGGTCCCAATCACCTGACGTTCAATGATTTGGATCTGATTCCTGTGGTGTATCATCGCCAGAGTGATAAAACAGACTATCCCCAGGACTTTACCTGTCCGGGTGCAGCCACAAACAAGGCCGGCTATCTTGAATATGCCGCGGCCAAACGGCAGTTTGGACAAGCTGTGAGCCATGCATTGTTGCTCTCCGAAACTAGTAACTGACCCGTACAGTTTTCGGCATCGCGGGTGCAGTTGTTTGAGGGCCTAGTGGATGAAACTCTTATCAAGTGGGTTTCCATTCTCAATGAGGAAACTAACACAAACCCCTCCGTAGACTGGGGCGCCTGGGTCAAGTAAGTGTCCTGTATTGAAATAGGAAATGTTGAACTGGGAACTAACTAGGCTCAGATATTTCTCATTCGATATCTATGTGCCAATGAGTGTGGGAGAGAGCTTCGGCTTCTTAGACCACAAGTCCGATGTGCGCAATATGTTGCAAAGCAGTTATCGCATTTTCCGGTACTGGACGTTAAGTCGATATCGCCCCATCGCTTGGCTAGCCGCCCATACTTCTTTGGGCCGCCGTTTGTTTGTCAGTGGCCGCGATGACCCAACGGGGATGGGAATGTGGACTAAGGTAAGTGCCGTTTTGATTTTTCATGACTAGCAGCTCAGAGCCTTGTCTAGGAAGTGCATGATATCACTCAAAAACGCATTGAAGCCTCCATAACGGAGGAAAAGCCACGCTGGGAACACTCCATGTTGGATCAATGGCTGGCAGCCAAATCTGCGGCAGGCGAAGGCATTCCCCTATCGGATATCGAGGATCAGCTAGTTTCTGATGTGTAAACCCTCCCAAACCATATATACTCCTTTCAATACATACTAATTCTATTCACACAGACTAGGTGGTCCCTACGCACTCGCCACTACGATTAGCCATCTGGTGACTACGATGGCCAAACATCCCCAGGCCGTTCGGCGAGCCCACCAAGAGATTGATAACGCTTTTACCCAGCAGACTCTCTCCAGTCCCTCGCCCACCTACACAGAATGTTGTGCTCTCCCTTTTATTGATGCCTGTGTCCGGGAGGCCATGCGCATTACAGCGACTGCCTCTCCTAGATGGCGCTGTTCGCCAGACAGGCCACTGCGCCTCTTAGACCGGGACGTCCCTCCGGGCACTGCGGTGGCTACAAGTCCCTTCACCATCTCCACCCATCCCGATCTGTACGGCCACAATGCGGAAGAGTTCGTTCCCGAGCGGTGGCTGGAGGCGTCGGAAGAGCAGTTGCGAGTATGGCATGCATATGATGCGCACTGGGGATTTGGCTATCGCAAGTGTCCCGGGCGACACATAGGTGTCTTGGTTCTATATAAGACCTTGGTTATGGTAAGTGTTCTAAGGAGCTTGATACTCTCTATTCCGTGGAGTTCTGCAGCTGAGACTCTAGTTCAAAACAGATCCTACGCAATTTTGATATCAAAGAGGGGGCTTCAGGCTCGTCTTCCCTGCTGCTGATGCTGCCAAGGAAGCTTTGATCCAACAACCCCAGACGATGTCAAGACAGGGGTATACGACATAGAAACCTTAAGGACTAAGGGCTAGGATCTATAGGGTCTATGCGGACCGAAAATACTTTTACTAAATCTCCTTTTTCAGCAGTAATTCAACGCTAACTGAGATAGGTAAATGAGGTTCACACGCTTAATACAACTTTGATTACTCCACACGTACTAGTGAGGTATGCACGAAAGTGGATTGTCTCGCCTGAGCAGACTGCGCTGTGAAAGTATGTGTCGAGGTATCTAAACCCACAGGCCTTTTTCTAGAACGTACTTTAATTTAGAATATAGTTTTAGAGCAATTGAGTATTGGACAAAAATCCTGCTTCCATTCCTTTTTCTTTGGACAGATAGTAGAAACCAACTCGATTCCATAATCTTGATATGGGCTCATTATAGACCTTCATCTCTGGGATTATCCAAATTATTAAATAAGAGCCCTAAATATCGGGCCATTAAAAAAGAACCAACTTATCCCGAACTTTCAAGGTATGCAATGATGTGCGCTGTTACATCCGAATTCTCTCATCATTTAGTTTCATGCATGTTTCCGCCAGTTGCAACCATTCACATCTGGGCATGAAGGCTGCTTATGCTCAACCCGTGCCCAGCCAGCCCCCGCGATACGGTACTATGCACTCACTCGGTACAATTCATTGAATTTACATGGGCTTTTCTGAGCCTCCACGGGAGATAATCTCAATGCAGATGGCTTTTCCCCTCTGTGTCTACCCCTCCCACCGGGTAGGTGGGTGCATCCCCATTGATCACATCATCGACATTGGTCGCCTAAGTGTTATTGGCAATACAGAGTAGTCCGTAGATAAATTGCATTCGGTATGGGTTTCTTGTAATTGATGGGAATGAAACACGCCCCCAAAACGACAGGTCGTTTTTAGCATACTCCGTACTCCGTACAGCGGACAGATTTCCATATACCTTTGCCAACTTTGCTTTGCAGCTCATTTGCACTGGTCCGTCTTCCTCTTTGGGCTTCATCATGCAGCTCCAGCTTCCGTATCGTGATTTGTTCTCGAGTCCATCTATACAGGTTTCTCTATGTCAAGATCCTCTGAAACACCTGGGTGTCCATTCGATTGAATACCCATGTTGGTCAGGCTGTTCAATATGCGGTCCCGGTAGTCCTGGGGTGACTCGGACCGAGAAAATACTCCCTTCCGTTGTCACGAGCCACCGAGAGGAAAGCTCAGACCCTCCCTTAGACAATAATACCAAAGTATGCATTATCGGGGCCGGAATTGCAGGTCTGTATATCGCGCTGGTTTTGCAAGATCTCGAGATCCCAAATCTTTCCTGGGATATCCTCGAGGCCAACCGGGATCGCATTGGCGGCCGCATTTATACCCATCGCTTCTCTGAAGCTCACAATGACTACTATGACGTGGGTGCAATGCGGTTTCCGGATATACCCATCATGTCTCGGGTATTTGATCTCTTTCGCCGAATGGAAGTGCCGTTGAAGGAATTCCATATGCGAGAGAGAAACACGAGCACGAAGAGCTATGATATCTCCAAGACCGAAGATAGCACATCTGCCAATCTTCTCAGTCGGTCTTTCGGTCCGTATAAAAAGGTCATGCAAAAGGACTTTGTGCAGGGGTTTCAACTCCTGATGCAAGCCGATGCAATGAGCACCCGCGAATACCTCCGAGGCAGCCACAAGTCAGACTTCACGACAATCCAGTCAGCCGAGAGTGACACGACCGGCACGGGCATGTTTGACCAAGCTTTTTCAGAGAGCGTCATAGACTCTTTTGATCTCGATCAACCCGCGACAGGGCCAGGGGATAGTGGGCAAAGCATGAAATGGTATTCTGTGGACGGCGGCTCTTCGGTGGTGATTGAGCGAATGTGCCATCAAATCAACAGGAACAGCACTATCGAGCTAGGGAAGCAAGTTCGTCGCATTGCCATCAACAGTAGCGCCGAACTTTCGGTATCGTGTGCGGGCGAGGAAAAAGCTCGCGATGGGTACGCCACGGTGTTCAGCACTACCCCACTGGCATGTCTGCAGCGCATTGACACTGGGTCACTCCAACTTGATCCTATTCAAGAGGAAGCTATCCGGTGTTTGCGGTATGAAGACTCTACTAAGGTGGGTATCAAGTTTGCATACCCATGGTGGATCGTAGAGTGCGGGCTTCGAGGGGGCGGTAGTGCCTCGTCAACCCTCCCCTCACGGACCTGCGTCTACCCATCACATATCGACGAGGAAAGCTGGGACCAGCCAGCCGTGTTGCTGGCGTCGTATACCTGGGGCCAAGATGCCACTCGCATGGGGGCTCTGATCAACCCGTCCTCTGCCAACTCTGATGGGGGAGAGGACGGGGAGAATGATCTGCTGGATCTTGTCCTCCGCGATCTCGCCCAACAACATCAACAGCATGGAATCACGTATGAAAAGCTGCAAAACTTATACCGGGATCATCACGCCTTCTGCTGGGGCAATTCGCGCTTTTCATCGGGGGCCTTTGCGCTCTTTGGCCCGGGGCAATTCACCAATCTCTATCCTGCCTTGTCTCTCCCGGCAGCCGATGGCAAGTTCCATATTGTAGGGGAGGCCGCCAGTGTCCATCATGGGTGGGTGGTTGGCTCGTTGAACAGTGCATATGCGGCGGTCTATCGATTCTTGCTTCGATATGGACAGCAACGGGCCATCCAAAAGCTGAAGAATAACTGGGGGAGCGTGCATGAGTTAGATCTCGCGGGTGTTGCTCGTCTTGATGAGTTGATGTGATAGTTTTGTCAATTTCCTAGGCAATGCAAAACGGAATTTGCTCTCAACTCGGACGAGCGACACCATGAGGCAGGTCGTTACTGGAGCCAGTAACAAAAGTGAGTAAATAGTCAATTATTTGCAACGATCCGTATAGACTCGACATATGGATTGCTGAGAGTCATTAGCCAAAGTCAAAATGTTTCCATTCTCCGTATAGAATGAATACCTCGTCACATCTAGAGTTGGAGACATGAACAACCCAACATAAACAATTTGTTTATACCTACCGTTGTTGAGGTTGGTGCCTCAGGCGGTTAAGATCCATGCTTTTCTCGTTCCTTTCCTTCCCCTCTAGCTCGCCAAACTAACAGTGGAGAATGACAGCTCCAGACCGCGATCTATATCCGGCCATTGGTGTCCTTGTTCTGAGCACGAATGTTTTTGTGTCTCATATGTCGACCTCAAACATGACTGCAATGCCAACTCCACTACCCACGACGAGACCTATGAGTCCCTCCAAGCCGATATACTTGGCAATGCTGAAAGGAATCACCCGCAGATCATCATTCGTGGATTGAATCATCGGAGTAAAGTACCACGTCGAGGTGACACCAAGCCATAGCATGACCCATACCAGCCCAGCAGCTCGCGTCCACAGTGGCACGATGCCTGATGATTGCTTCGCTGTCCCTTGCTCGTTATCTGGTGTTTGTACCCGCTTCCAAATATTTTGCACACCATCCTCGATCATTATGCCCAGGACAAAGGCTAAATAGAATGGTATCGAGCCAGAACTTTCCATTGGAATGCTCTGCAGTATATCAACAATGACATGGAATATCGCAGAGACAAGAAATACAATGAAAAGGTTGGTGTATCTCTCCAGTACTGACGATCGAGTAAGATTCAAAGCATCTCGTGCGACAAAGTTACCAAGAGAAGTGAAGGGCTGGCGCATGAATTGATGCCAGAATTTTCTGAAAAATGTCAACATAATTATGCATCTTATTCAAGTAGATACCTCTTACCCCCAAAAGTTGCGCAATGTGAATGCATCAGCCATACTCCCAAAAGCTGGTGGCCAGTCTGTGGGTGAATCTAAACCGATGCCAACGAAGAAAATTGAGAGCACTCGGTATGCAAGGTCACTGATTAGACGATTTACCACAAACCAAATAGACAGATGCGTAGCTATTCGCTCTGCCCATTGCCCCACAGGCACAATCCATTCGATTTGTGAGGACACGGGCTTCTGTAGATCACGTTCCCCAGCCTGCTGAAGCGATATCGTTTGCACGATATCCAGCACCAGGCATTGCCATGCGACGATGGCTAGCTGTCGCAGCAAAAACCGACCCCGTGTTGGGACCTGCATACCCCGGTGCAGGTAATACTTTGGATGAGAGGGCACATTCTTCACCTGCCTGTGTGTATTGACAGCGCGAGTTTGAGATATTAAGCGAAAAGCTGCGACCAAGCTAGATCCAAAGTTTTGCATAGTCTTTGCGCTGCGTGAAATATCTGAGCTTGTTAGAGGATTGAGCAACAACAGGTTTGCTGCCTGTAAAGTCGCAATGACAAGTTGAGTTATGGCCTGGCACCATGTGGGACTGCCAGACGCGCCAAAGGGACGGATGAATCGGCTGGCGATCCATATCATCCCAGGAATACACAGATAGCGTAGGGGAGAGCCTTTTCGGGTGGTGATGATGAGGGCGGCAGGGACGACATTTTGAATCAGGTAGAAGCAAAAAAATTCTAATATGTTTGCACCTGTCGAGTGATACAGCCCGTACATCATGGTGTCGACCTCAAGTCTGGTGTGAGAGGTGAGATTATACGAGAGATCGGCTCGCTATGATTCAAGACCCCCCCCCCCCCCCCCACCTTCAATTTATTGGCCAGCTGACCACTTCGCTAACTGACGTTCAAAACCATCCCTGGACTTCAGGTATGGACAATCATACTCCAATCGATATTACTTATTTCCATTTAAATCGCTCAACGCGACCGTCCTCAAAGTCTAGAAAAATAATTCCCTTATAAACTGTGCTAAGCAAAGGACCATTGAATGTTAGGCTTCGTGTCCTAACCTCCAAAGTCGGAATTAGTGGCTTGGTCGAGATGATAATGCCCTTCACCATCACTCCCCATATTAAGGGTGTACGAAGTACCAATAGGATCTTAATCTACATCTCGTTATAGCGTTAGGCGGGAAAGCAAGGGATACGTACATGGGGACTCTAACCTCAAAGCCAATAGGAGAATCCTAGAAGTTCAGCCGCAGTGTTCATAGCCCTTTCCAGTGGAGCGGTAAGTACAAGTCACCAATAGTAAGATCAAATAGAAACTGGGAGAGGTGTCATATTGCTGTTATATTCCTTTTGATTTCCTCTGCCATCTTTGTTTTTTTCCTACTCACCCACGATGTTATCCACCGTTCTTTTTGGTTTGTTTTTGGTAGCCCTCTATGGTGCCAAAATATGGTTGACCCGCCAGCCGCCTCATCCGCTGCCACCGGGCCCGAAGCCGATACCAGTGCTTGGCAACATGTATGATCTACCGCCCGCGGGGACGCAAGATTGGATGCATTGGTTTAAACACAAAGAGGCTTACGGTTTGCATTCATGACTCTTGCTTCCCAAAACACACGCTGACGTCATGAATTTCCAGGTCCAGTCAGCTCTGTCACGGTGATGGGACAAACCATCGTTATATTGAATGATGCAAAGTCGGCCGTGGAAATACTAGTGAAGCGCTCCTCAATATACTCCTCGAGGCCAAGTCAGGTCTTCGTCTCCGAGATGTCAGTGCACCTGCTTGTTTAGATCTGGACATAAAGCTGACGCACTGGTAACCATGTAGGGTTGGATGGGGAAACTTCTTGGGAATGCTAAAATACTCTCCTCGACTACGCTCCTATCGCAAGGCAATGCAACCATGCATTGGATCCGAGTCGGCTGTGGCCCAGTTTAATCCGCTGCAAGAGATAGAGACCCACCGCTTCCTGTTTCGCGTCCTCGAGGATCAAACGAAGCTCGTAGAGCACATTCAAACGTGAGTACACGACCCAGTTACGTCTTTCACCTTTTAAGACCGTACATCTTACTTTTTCACAGAGAGGCTGGTGCACTCATCCTGAAAATAGCATACGGGTATACCATCGAGTCGCACAAGCGAGATCCATTGGTGGAGATTTCGAAACTGGCCCTTCATCATTTTTCCAAAGCCGGTACACCAGGTGCATGGCTGGTTGATATGATTCCAGCTCGTAGGTCCTATCTTCGCCTTGCCTCAGTTGCTGAAGTGGTATTAACGGAAAACAGTAAAACACGTCCCATCCTGGTTTCCCGGGGCAGGTTTCAAGCGCACTGCTCAGGAATGGAGGGATAATCTCATGGCTGTCGCAGAAAAGCCTTATGCATTCGTAAATCGGCAAATGGACGAAGATCGGCATCAGCCGTCCTATCTCTCTAACATGTTCAAAACAACAGGACGCCCTCCACGCGGCTCGGAAGATGAGTTTGTTGCAAGATGGACAGCTGCATCACTTTATACAGGTGGTGCCGATACCGTGAGATGCTTGACCCGTTGTTTCTGGTCGCCGACTAACTGTCTCTAGACTGTGTGTGCGGTGGAAGACTTCTTTCTTGCAATGACACTATATCCTGAGGTCCAACGCAAAGCGCAAGATGAGATCGATCGGGTTTTGGGGCCTTGCCAACTTCCAAGATCCGGCGATCGCTCTCGTTTGCCATATGTCAATGCTCTGGTGAAGGAAGTTTTGCGATGGCATCCGGTAGCACCTATGGGTATTCCCCATGCGTCAAGTGAAGATGATATCTTCGGAGGATATTATATCCCAAAAGGTTCATTGATTTTGCCTAACATCTGGTGAGTCCGAGTCCCAACTAATCACCTTACTCCCATAATTTATGGCGGTCTACTGACACCTACCAAAGGGCTATGACACATGATCCTACTGTTTATCATGATCCCATGGTATTCAAACCAGAGCGCTTTTTGGGGATTGATGGACGAGAGCCCGAGTTCGATCCTCATGATCTTGTATTTGGATTTGGGCGTCGCATGTGTCCTGCGCGTATTTTGGCTGACAAGACCTTGTATTTGAATGCAGCGCAGTCGCTTGCGGTCTTCAATATCAGCAAAGCCGTCCAAGACGGCAAGGAAGTTGATGTCCAACCAACATTCCAGCCTGGAGTCAGCAGTCATCCCGTACCATGGAAATTCCACATCGAACCTCGCAGCGCGGCTCATGAATCCCTCATTCGTTCCGTGGAAGAGAAACATCCATGGGAGGCGAGCAATGCGCCGGATTTAGCGGGTATATAATCATCATTTTATTTGTAATGCGCATAATTGTTTTGCGTCCGTCTGCTTGGTATACGGCGTTTCTCTTGTCAGCTCTCTTGGCTCCACTACATGATATTATTTTGAGGATCAAGATGCCGCCCTCTTCGCCGCGATGTATTCCTACAATACCCAATCATGTTTATAGCTTGTGTTCTGGTCGAGCATTGGAATTTTTGACTGTAACCAGATGATCAATGTCCTTTGTGTTCAGCAACCCCGGATGTGCCTGTGAAACATTAATGATTCCAATAAGTTTCATAGCAGTTTCCAGTTCGCTTTGTAAAACTAAGAAATTAGTTAGAAAATCGAGATAGGCACAACGCTCGGGAAACTCTTGGACATACTATCAATCAAATGGACTATACCTTCTTCGCCGTAGTTGAGTGCATATAGAAACGGACGCCCAATAAGTACACCCTTGGCCCCTAGGCAAAGGGCCTTGAGAATATCCGTTCCACGAGTTATCCCCCCGTCAATGTATACTTCAGTCTGTTGGAAAATAGCCGGATCGTGATAATGCAGCTCCAGCAGGGTTAAAAGTGCCGGCGGCGAAGTGTCCAGGTTTCTACCTCCGTGGTTGCTGAGGTAGCATCCTGTCAGAATCTAAACCCATAGGAATTGAATGTAAACTTACCTCAGTACAATGCCCTGAACCCCTAGTTGAGCGGCAGTCTGGGCATCCTCGACACACTGGATCCCCTTCAGCATCACCTTGCCTTTCCAGACTTTCTTCAGCCATGGTATATCGCCCCAATTCAGCGAGCTATCAATAAAACCTCCGGTTGTTCTGGTAAGTCCACTTCCCGAGTTATCATTTCTGGCCGTTGTGCCAGTCATGGGCATTGAGATGACTTGCTCGGTTCGCACACGTTCATCTGCCTCTCGTTTTCCAGGGACAGGTGCATCTATCGTCACCATAATCACGCGAATTCCCGCGGCCCAAACCCTTTTAAGAAGTAATTCAGTCACCGACCGATCTTTGTGAACGTATAACTGGAAGAAGAAATTTGCCTTTGGGGCTGCTGAGACAATATCTTCCAATGGGTACGACGCAGTGGTCGCGATCTGTCGTCGAGTTATTAGTTGTATTTGTGTTGTACAGGCGAGCAACATACACAGTGGATTATGTTCCTGGCTGCTGCTGCCCTTGCAAGGCCTTTTTCTCCTGTCTCGTGAGCGAGCTTAGCCATCGCAGCAGGTGCGACCATGATAGGCGAAGAAGTTTCGATGCCTTGAAACTGGCATCGGGTATCCAGATTTGTTACATCTCGCATCAATCGAGGTCGGAACCATATTCTACTGTAAAACGACTGGTTCGCTTCTTTTGAGATGAGGTCATTGGCCGCAGATGAATAGAATGCCCATGCCTTCTTCGAGAGGGTCCCTTGTGCGACTCTCTCAAAATCACGAGTGCTGAGTATGCTAGACAGAGGCGGTTTGGAGAACTCCGAAGCCTTTAGTGTAGGTTTCATTGGCAAGTCACTGGAACGCTGTCGCCATGCATCATCGATACTGTTGGGATCAAGATCCCCCATGTGTTTAGATGAGGGAAGAGTGCTCTCAATCAGGCCAGCGCTGTGGACCTGGTAAAATGCATATGTTGCATCATAACCCGCGAATTGAAGAATTGCTATATTGAGTCAGTCTAGTGACCTCCAGTCCTATTTACAATGACATACCGTTGGCACCGCCTGGGTGAACGCTTACAAATTGCGTGAGATCCCATACTTTATTTCCCACCACTATCCAGCAGTCATCTGCCTTGCAGTGTTTGCTCACCTCTTGCCCGGAAAGTAAATGTCCTGCAACCATTTTGGTGTGGGGAATGTCAAGAACCTCAAGATTGACTGCGCTTCAACGGGGATTCAACAATAACATGGATATCTGAGAGTATGCGTTGGAAGCGAATAATCGCCATCAAGGTGCATCTTGACTCGGAAACGGTGGTTTCCCACTAGGAGTGTCGGAGGTAACTATGAATTTTATGAGTGAGCTTGTCGCAGGGAATGAAGCCACCCCTGCATAGGCCTTTTCCGGAAACCTCCATTTAGCACCTTTGCATTTGTTTCCCAGCATACCTAGCATCACCCGCACATAGAGACTGGATCTAACCCCTAACTCCCATAATAAACAGACCAAGGCCCATTGTCTAACATGATTTGAGTTATCAAGTGAGACATTTCACTACGCCAAGTCTTAAGAAAAATACTGCAAAACAAAAGCAAAATGGCCAGAGCGCAAAGTTGTCCAATGAGCCTCGGTCAGGCAAGGGGCATAGTGGACCAAAATGTGATTGGGTAAATTACAATAGTTGAGCTAACTAGTTATTCAACTTTATTTACTTTGTGAAAAAAAAAACCCTTTTTTGAAATGTTAGAAACCTCAACATTCAATGATGCGACAAGGTCGTCTGTCAGAATATGAAGGCTTGAATGATCTTCGTGTCCCTGAGGATCAGCCGCTTCTAGGGTTCCACTCGGAAAATGGACTTCCCATCCTAATTTGCACTGCCTCGGTATTGTTCATTGCCAGTGCAGTTAACAGCCTAGTCACTCTCAATATCACACAATTTTCATCTGAATTCGATTTGGACCCCGGTGTTGAAATATGGTGAGAGATATCTTCTCTGGTTACACTGCCAAAGCTCACAACTCGACAGGCCAATGTCAATGTACTATCTTGCTCAAGGCTGCACATTCTTGCTGGCAGGATCTTTAACAGATCTCCTAGGCAGCAGGAGAGCATTTTTATCCGGATGCTTTCTACAGACTGTTTGCCATCTAGCTAGCGGCTTGGCTCGGACCGGCGCACAGCTTATTGCTGTCAGAATTGTGTCCGGGGTGGCTTACCCAATTTGTTTCATTTCGGCAATGGGCATTCATAGCGAGAATCTCCCCATTGGCGAATTACGCAATTTGGCATTTTCCTGTACGAGTGCAAGTCAATATATTGGCTCTGGGGTGGGCATCATCCTGAGTGGAGTACTCTCGGAGACTACTGATTGGCGATGGGGCTTTCACTGCGCCGCAATTTTGAGTCTACAGTCAAACCTCCATATAACGAACCTCTATATTACGAATTCCTCTATATAACGGATTAAAAATTTTCCCAAAATTGATTTCCCATATATATAACGAATAACCTCCTTTCTACGAACTTCGTTAATTCTCGCCACCCCCCCATACTAAAATCCGTTATACCCAGCCGACCTGGCCTGTGCGCACCTCACTTTGTCATCGTTTCCGAGATTCAATATGCCTCGCCGTGTAGCAATTTCTATCGAGCAAAAGCAAGCCCTACGAGCGCACCGGCGCGCCTTTCCTACCTTTCCAAACATCGAGCTTAAGCGCTGGTTCGAAGCCAAATACCAGCAGGTTATCTCAGCATCCTCGGTCTCCGAAATCCTCTCTGCGAAATATACCCACCTTGACAACCCAATCAATCGTACCCAGAGCCAGAAACGCTTCCGACAGGAGTTCTGGCCAGAGCTCGAAGACGCCCTCTTCCAGTGGATCCAACGTGCAGAGGCTACAATCACTATTTCGTCATATACGATCCGCGAGAAAGCCGAGTTTTTCTGGATGAATATACCCCAATACCAAGGGCTACCAATGCCTTCATTTAGCAATGGCTGGCTTCAAGGATTTCAATCCCGCCGAGGGATCGCGCACCGTATACAACATGGCGAGCTAAATAGCTCAGTCTCAGCACCCGCTGAAATGCAGTCTATCCGACAAGCTATCGCCCACTACGAACCAAGGGATATATATAACTGCGATGAGACTGGGCTTCTTTGGAAGCTAACCCCGGATCGTAGTCTATCTACACGTACAATCCCAGGCCGGAAGCGGGAGAAAGCCCGGGTTACAATCCATCTTTGTTGTAATATGGATGGCTCCGATAAAGTGCCTCTCTGGTTTATTGGACAAGCTCAGAAACCCCACGCCTTCCGTCGTACCAATATCAATATCCAGAACCTCGGGGTTTATTGGCGTGCTAATAAGAAGGCCTGGATGGTGAGCTCAATTATGGAAGAATGGCTTCGGTGGTTTGATCTTCGGATGGCTGGCCGTAAGGTTGTTCTTTTATTAGACAATTTTTCGGCCCATATATGCGCAGTCAATAAGATCAATTCAACCTTACCGTTACAAAATACCCTGATTATCTGGCTTCCGCCAAATTCAACTAGCGAATATCAACCGCTTGATCAGGGTATTATTCGTACGTGGAAGCACTATTGGCGAAGAGACTGGGTGCGGTATATGCTTCATGAATATGAAGCTGGACGGGACCCGTTATCTACAGTTGATATACTCCAAGCGATCCGGTGGGGTATTGCTGCGTGGGAGTTTCATTTGAAGATTACTACCATTAGTAATTGTTTCAATAAAGGATTATCACTTCGTGGTGCTGAGATTCCTATACAAGCCGAGGATACTACGATCTTAGATATTGAGGCTGGTTTACAAAGGCTCTCATTTATCTCTGCTATCGAGAACCCTATGGATATTCAGCACTTTCTTAATCCTGAAGAGGAGATTGTTACCGATAGCTCCGAGTCTATTGACCTACAAATCCTCGCTCAATTCCAGGCGCCTGATGATGAAGAGGAAGAAGAGGATCCTGAGGTTATGCCTAAAGTGTCATCGGCTAGTGCACTTGAAGCCGTGCAACTGCTACAGCTCTATCAGGAGCAACAGGAGGAGGGTGATATTAAGCTAATTCATACTCTGAATAAGCTTAGGATGGAGATCCAGGGGGGCATCGCCCAGAATCGCCAGCAGGGAGACATTCGTTCATATTTTAGTATTTAATATATGGTGTATTCTATATAACGGATCCCTGGTTATAACGAATAATTTCATTCCCAAAATTAATTCGTTATATAGAGGTTTGACTGTATTTGGGTTCCTCCTCTCAATTTGGACGATTCCCCGACATGCAGATGAACCAAAATATATCCCATGGACAGAGTTGATTAAAGATATCGATTGGTCTGGGACTCTACTGGCTAGTTCATTGATGGCCCTCCTGGTCTCTGCCTTGGCGTGCGTATCCCCAGCCCAAAGACGGTCTATATCTTTTGCATGCTGATCAAATAACCAGTGTCATCACAAACAATGTGGGTAACATTGGGAAATCGTGTCTCTTCGTTCCTCTTGCTCTTGGTTGGATCCTCCTTATTGCTTTCCTGTTCTGGCAGGATTGCTGGGAAAGAGACAGCATGCAGCGCATTCAGAATTCTCTTTGGACAAATCGCCATTTCCTTTCCATCGGTCTAGTTATTTTCTTCGTCTATGCGTCCTCTCACTCTACTTCGCAACTCATGATCTTCGTATTCCAACGAGCACAGGGGCTTTCGGTTCTACAATCATCTTGGCAATACTTGGCAACCCCAATCGCCGGCGCGCTGAGCAGTCTTCTCACTGGACGTTTCTTATCTCGCGTTGAAGCCACCCAGATTCTCGTCGGTGCTATAGTGCTCTCTAATCTCTCTCCACTCATGATGGCTACCTTCAGCCCAGCTTGGCCTTACTGGAAATGTGCAATGCCCGCCGTTTTCTTAAATTCGGTGGCGTCAAATTCAGTTATCCCAATTGCCACATTCATAGTCGCCGGGTACTTTCCTTCAGAGACTCAGGGGTTTGCAATGGGAGTGCTATGCACTGTGGCAATGATTGGAGCCTCCGTGGGCATGACACTGACAGCACTTATTTCAAACGATATCAGTACGCAGCTACTTAAAACCCCCGATCAGAGCACTTCTTTCCACGAATCTCCAGAGACATGGATGGGCGGCTATCGGGCTTCATTCTGGTTCTTGTTCTCACTGAACTTGGCCGGCTTAGCCGTCACTTTTGGCTGCTTGCGAAAACTTGGATACTTGGGTCGTAAATTAGATACCGGCTATTAATTTGTTCATTTCCTGACTTATCCGAGTTCCATGTTCCCATCACTATGGGAGTAAGTACTCTCATTGATTACAGGATGTCTAATGGTACACAAGCCGGAAATTAGGTCCAGGCCGTTGAGAGATTGGCCAAGAAGATGACAATTGGCTACTCTCTTTCCTATTGAATATTAATATCCCTGTTTTTCCGCTTCATCCGCCTCTGAGTAACCATACATCGGCTAGTATTCATAGAATGCGACAACGCAATCTTATAAGAGAGGGATATGTAGAGACTTATAAACTGGCCAGGAACAACCTATTTGATATTTGGGTACATGCCAAACTTGGGCGAAAAAGTAACACGATGTCACCTCCAAAACAGAATATTCTCTTCCTCACAAGCCCAGAGCATGGACAGTCGAACGTCGCACTTGCAGTGGCCGAAGAGTTTCTACGCCGTGGCGAGTTCGAGGTCCACATCGCCTCCTTCAAAGACCTATTGCCTCGTGTGCAAGCAATAAACAATCAAGCGGACTACGGCCAAGTTCTTCACTTTCATCCCATTGCAGGCCCATGCATATCCGAGATCGTGGCCCGTACAACATCGGATATATGTCATCTGCCAGGGCTTGCCGGAACGCGTGATGCATGTAACATAATCAACATCTCCGTGCTGGGTTGGAAGCCTGAGGAGTATATACGATCATATTGGAGCTCTCTCGAGATTTTGAAAGATGTTCGTCCGGTCGTCGTGGTTGCAGACCCGCTATTGCATCTAGGACTAGATGCCGCTCGCAGTGTTGACACGCGAATTGTGCTGCTTTGGCCTGTGCCTTTGAAAGATGTGGTGGTAACTGTCCAACCGAAAGCTGGCATTTTTTGGAAATACCCCCTGTGAGCAACCGATATCTCTCCAGTGGAGTTGGAGGATCTCGCTGACTTTAGTATTTAGCACCGGGTCAGGATATTCATACCCTCTACCATGGAGTCTGATTCTTGCAAACATATACATGGTATTTTGCTTTGGGTTCATCGTTCGCTTGGGCAAACCCATGCGTGATCTTTTGAACATTCGAAAGAAAGCAGGAATTCGGACTGAATTTCCCCAAGTGGCGCCTTACTGTGAAGACCATCTGCACCTTTCGCCTTCATTCCGAGAGATGGATTATCCATTATACGTCCCGGATAATGTCATCAGTTGCGGTCCGATCCTCCGGTCATCTTCGTCACTTGTAGAAAGTGATCCAGCACTGGATTCATGGTTGAAGGAACCAACAATTCTGATATGCCTGGGATCACATGTCCAAGCTCCAGAGAATGATGCAATGCAGATGACGATGGCAATCCAAGGTGTTTTGAGCGAATTTCCTAACATGCAGGTCTTGTGGAAGCTCAAATATGACTGGGAAAACTCCCCGACGGTCAAGAATATTCTTGGACCTCTTGTCAATTCTGATAAAGTGAGAGTTGTTCCATGGATTAAGCCGGAGATTATATCTGTTTTGGGATGCGGTAATGTAGTTGCATATGTCCACCATGGAGGAGCGAACTCATTTTTCGAGGCGTGCAAGTAAGTTTTCCTTGCCACACACGAAAATAAAAGTGCTGATATCTCTTCCCAGGGCTGGTGTTCCACAGGTCATTCTGCCCCAGTGGTTCGACACATACGATTGTCCGTCCCGAGTAGAGTGGCTAGGAATTGGCTTGCACGGAAGCCGCAATGTGGCACCAAAAATAAACGGATCAGTGCTGTCCTCAGCCCTGCTGCGAGTGTTAGAGGACAAGGGGATTCAGACGCGGGCCAGGGCTATTGGAGATTTATGCAAGACAACCGAAGGACGCGTAGTTGCTCATGATCAGATCGTACAGTACGCCAAGAAGGAGTTGTGAGTGTAGATGTAAGTTCATTGAGTCATGTGCTCCCACGGTTCCCTTTCTCGGCCGTGCATTTAAGAGAATTTCATAAGACGAAGTCAACAGCAATTCAAACAGATATTTGGACCAAACTAGTCAACGGAAATCATGGAAGAGGGAACGCAAAAACAGCAACCACGATCCTTAACGCCTGTGCCCTCCAAAAATACAGGTTCCAGTGCTGTGACTAGACAGTCGACAGCTCTCTCAGAACTCGCTGGACATCTTGCCGAGCTTGACTCAGCTCCTCATCAACGGTTCCGTTGGCATGTCTCGCCTTCACCTCATAGTGTAGCTCAACCAGCTCCTTTGCACGACGAAGATCGACCTTGTCGTCTGCTGGGCTCTTATCTGCCAATACGCTACCAGACTCTGTTGAATCCGAGCCTGTGATATTTTTGTGCACATTCACTAGTGCCAGGGCCTCGTTATGACCCTGTGCCATGTTAGCATTGCCATATTGTCTGGTGGGGTATTGTCCCTTCCAATACGCGGCTTGGACGCGTTTATCGTAGTGGGGCAGTCCTCTGAAGGAAGCGTGATACTTACGCAGACGCGGAGGGAATTAATATCCGAGAGAATTTCTGCGACTTGCATGTTGATGGTCTGATGTTTGAGTCGAGAGAGACATTTGATGTCAAACTCCGAGGCAAACATTGCAATGTCTTGGCGGGCACCCGGGATTTGCAGGCGTATTCACAGTTCCTTTTTTTCACTCTTGACTCTAATGAAGATATTGGTATGGGTGCTCCAGGGCTCCCTCAATCTGTTTACATTATTCATTATTTTTGTCTGTCGTCTCCTAATGTATTTTCAATAGATTGTAGAACACCCTGGTTCAGACGGTTTTTCTTTGAATCCTAAATGATCATTTTACCATATATACTTCTAGCCACCATATATACTTCTAGTCTCTATAAGTCAAAATGTACAACACCCGAAAGACAAACCTAAGTCTCCTTGAACTCATACCGCCCCTCCCGATCCTGCACCTCAACCTCAATCCGTCCCTCTTCGATCTCCTTTCCATCAACCTCGATCGAAGCCCTCATGACATCACCCGCCTTGACTTGTCCAACACCCTTGGGCGTACCGGTAAGAACAATATCACCCTTCTCCAGCGTCATCACGCGCGAGATCTGCGCCAGCTGCTGCGGAATGCGGTGCAGCATCAGGCTAGTCGAGTCAGCCTGGCGCTCGTTCTTGCCAACGCTGAGGCGCAGGAATACGTTGTGCGGGTTAGGGATGCGCGACTTGGCGATCTCCTCCGAGATAGGGCAGAAGGTATCGAAGCCCTTGGCGATGGACCAGGGAAGGCCCTTCTTCTTTGCCTCGTCTTGCACGTTGCGAGCTGTCATATCAATAGCGAGGATATAGCCTGTTTACCCCGAGGGGTTTCTTTTATTAGCGACTTGCTGCTTCAAGCCCATGTCCTCGGTCCACCGCTGTGGTGTACAATGCGGTATGCTCATTCAAACCCGGATTGGCTGTACTCACTATGAATCGCGTCCAATGCGGCCTTCTCATCGTTGGGATCGAGATCGCGCACGGTCTTGCCGATCACCAGACCCAGTTCAACCTCATAGTGCAGGCTGACGCCCTTGGGGCGGAGGACGGGACCCGAGCCGGGGGAGAGGATGGATGATGCAGGCTTGAGGAAAAAGAATGGCTGCTTGGGGGCTGTGTTGTTGAGCTCGGTAATGTGATCGCTGTATCAATCCATGCTGTTAGTGGCTGAGGGAGAAAGGTCGCCGTCGGAACTCCCGAGGGAAACGGCGCGCGGGGGCACAGGGAGACTCACGCATAGTTACGGCCGATGCACATAATCTTGCGGCAGTTGGCGCGGATAGAAGCCATTTTGAGCAGAATTAAAGCTATGCGATTGAGAAAGAAGAACAATTGCGAGAAAGAATTAGGGAAAGGGGAGCGATAATCGGAGGTTCGGGTGTGTCTCCGACAGATGCGGAGAACTCCATAGTGGGTTTCTGCGCAGTTGGTACTAACTCGACGGGGAGCCCTGTTCTTTACGCCCTATGGTCGTACTTGCGCCTTTTAAGGGGTATATGACTAGCAAACTCACAAGAGCGGTATCTTATTTGATGATACATACAATGGACCCAGACAAATTGATTGTTTGTAAAGAGCAAAATAGGCTAGCACGAAGTAAGAACCTCGACTACTGAATGTATTATCCGCGATATATATTTATGTTTAATCAACAAACTTTATACCTCTAATTTCACAAATGGGATCATTCACGCAAGAGTTCAAATACCATTACAGTTTGGTCTTTCGATATATATATATTGGACGGCGTTTTGTTATTTGAGAATGGATATATCAACAGCACTTAGAACTTGATAACTATCAAGCCATAACTATCGGCTCGCTTGTCCGAGCTTCGGAACACGTTTCCGAGCAATTCAATATCTATAGAAGACAAATAAAGTGAAATCGGGGAGGGTTCGTTTTATTTTATGAAAGTGCGCCTGTGAAGTCTGTTGGGGCCTTACGGACTGTAACTTCAATCTCTAGTTCTCGATGAAGTCTCGAGCTACCCAGGACAAATCCCCAGGTCTCAAGATGGAGGGCTCAGCGGCTGTTAGAAGGGGCTTGATTGTGCGGGTGGCACTGTGGTCCACAATTGCCAGAGTAAAGAAGAGTACGAACTGGATTTAGACAGAAGTTATCAAACAAAGGGGAATTTGATGAACGGCCACACTATGTATATCTATTCAAAAAGCAAAATACGTATTTTAATATCGTTCAAGGACAACGCCCTGAGGAACAAGTCACATTTTGGCCCGGTCTATTGATTAAGTACGAGAAGAGGTAGCATCCTTAACCAACAAGAGCGAGCTAGATACAGACGAGGGAAAACAAAGGGAAATGCATAAAAAAAGGATAAAACGGAGTAGCAAGAGGTGAACGCAAACATGTCTCATCTCCGTTAGTGCAAGACAAAGGAAACCATAGCAAGGGCCGAGAAAACGGCCGGGGCGTCGACGTGTCGACTCAATATGCAGAAACATAGCCCCAGTCATTTCACCGGCACACTGCAGGCGGAAACGCAGAAAGCCACTTTTAACGCAGATTCTGCGATCATCAACCGCATCAAGACGTCAAGAGTTAGTGTGTTTAGATAAGGTCAGCCACGTTCATGGGCATCTCCTCAACCTGGGTGGAGTAGAACTGCTCAATCTCGCGGAGCATGCGAACATCGTCAGCGGTGACGAAGTTAATGGCAACACCCTTGCGACCGAAACGACCACCACGACCGATACGGTGAATGTAGTTCTCACGGTTGGCGGGGAGATCGTAGTTGATGACCAGGGAAACCTGCTGGACATCGATACCACGGGCCAAAAGATCGGTGGCGATCAGGACACGGGAAGAACCGGAACGGAACTCCTTCATGATAACATCACGCTGGCCCTGCTCCATGTCACCGTGCATGGCGGAGACGGTGAAATCACGGGCAGTGAGCTTGTCGGTGAGCCAGTCGACCTTTCGGCGGGTGTTGCAGAAGATGACAGCCTGGGTAATGGTGACGGTCTCGTAGAGATCGGAGAGGGTGTCGAGCTTCCACTCCTCCTTCTCGACAGCGATGTAGAACTGCTTAATACCCTCAAGGGTAAGTTCCTGCTTCTTGACAAGGATACGGACGGGGTCGCGCATGAACTTGGTGGTGACCTCAAGGACATCCTGGGGCATGGTAGCGGAGAGCAGGGTGACCTGGGTAGACTGAGGAAGCAGCTGGAAGATGTCGTAGATCTGCTCAGTGAAACCACGCTGAAAAAGAAAAAAAGTTAGCACCGATTGATACACATAATATCAGGTACGGGAACTTACCGAGAGCATCTCATCAGCCTCGTCGAGGATGAAGAGCTTCATGGCAGTGGTGGACAGAACACGGCGCTGGATCATGTCGTGGACACGGCCGGGAGTACCGACAACGACCTGGGGACCGGCGCGGAGAGCGTTCATATCCTCACGGACGTTGGTACCACCGATACAGGCGTGGCAGTCAAGGGACATGAAGTCACCGATGGCAACAACGACCTTCTGGATCTGCTGAGCCAACTCACGGGTGGGAGCAAGGATCAGGGCCTGGCAGGCCTTGACCTCAGGGTCGATCTTCTGCAGGGCGGAGATGGAGAAGGTAGCGGTCTTACCGGTACCGGACTGAGCCTGGGCGATAACATCGTTGCCTGACCTCACAGGTTAGGCGCAAATTTCAAAATTGGATTCGGAATGAAACAAAACTCACCCTTGATGATGGGCATGATGGCACGCTGCTGGATGGCGGAAGGACGCTCGAAACCGTAAGCGTAGACACCTGGAATCCCACTGTCAGTTTTTTTTTTCCCGGACCCCACCTGATAAGAGGAAGGGGTACATACCGCGAAGCAGCTCGGGCTTCAGGTCCATAGCGTCGAAGGAGTCGGTAACCTCATCGTAGTTAGACTCGATCTGCCCTGTTGACGGAAAATTGATGTTAGCCTCTATCTTCGAAGGTCTCTCCTATCTGACACCACTCAAGACTGAATGCGATCGCAGTCGCGATTTCCAGCAAAAGTAAAGTAACGGATCTTTGATAGAAAAGTGATCGGAATGTAGCACATACCCTCGGCAAGATCCTCAAGACCCTTGTCAGCCATATTTGCGGTTTGATAGAAAGGATCACAGGCGTTGACTGTGATCGGTGTGGTGGGGTAGTTTTAGCGAACTTGTAGAGGTTCGCTGCGTGGGAAAGTTGACTTCTAGTACCTCAGACTCTTTATGAAAGAGTCTTTTATAGGATACTAGGAAAGGTTGAAAAAAATGGTTGGATGTGAAATTCACAAATGGGGTGGGAAGAGGAAGAGAAGAAAAGCGAAAAAATCGAATGGCCACAACTGCGGCGCCATTTGCTACGCTTTTTTTTTTTTACGGGGCAATACTTCACCGCTTGCCCTATTTGGCGTGACCAAGCCCAAGCGAGGTTAGAGTGGGCGAGATGAACATGAAAACATCCTCCTGTTGATTATATTTAATTTTTGAATTGACTGGTGTGGTACAAATTGTTGCTATATTCAGTGTCTTTGACTCTGTCAATTCAGTTTCGCTTGTTCCCATTTACTTGGTGGACTACCTTCTAGTTGGGCTCAAGTCACCGCTAAAAGGAATCTTTGAAGCCCTAAAAGTGCCAATCTCAGATCATGCCTGACATCACATCGTTGCCAAGTCGTCCACCACAGGATGCAGAGATTACGAGAGAGGCCATTCCCTCTCATCCACTAGGTGTGAAGCCAAGTGGAAATGCTCTGTTGGCTACCTGGAGTCTTCGCAACGCCATAGGGACCTTTCAACATCTGCCAGACGAACTAATCTTGTTATTGTTGGAAGGCTTCGACGGGCCAAGCCTGCTGAGAATCGGGCGGACATGCAAGGCTTTTTATGCATTTACCCGGGCTGAAGAACTGTGGAAGGCGCTGTTTGTTCGGTAAGCCACAAGCCTGCACTGCAGATCCAGTTGAACTATGTAGATCCAAGTCATGTTTTGGTCCTGAGCCCTACACCTACTTATAATATAATAATATCCTAATGAACGCGAATGATATCCATACTAAATCTGGTTGCAGTGACCCAAGAGAAGATTTCACATGGCGAGGCACATGGCGGTCAACATATCTCAACATCCCCGCCTCCAAAGTGCCCATGGTGGACTGTTCTCAGCTATTCTCCGATTCTCTATACCGGCCCTTCAACTGCGCACACATCTCACTCGACCCCTATGTCTCCAAGATCCCGGCGCGGAACCAGATTGCACGACTTCCAGACATGTCACCAGAGGAATTCCAAGCAAATTGGACTGATCGACCATTCATCCTAACCGAGCCTGTCAAGGCCTGGCCAGCATACAAGAACTGGACCGTTGGATCGTTACTCGCCCGATATGGAAAGACCAAGTTCCGTGCTGAAGCTGTGGACTGGGCCATGCGTACTTACGGCGACTACATGGCAGACAACTCCGACGAGAGCCCGCTGTACCTATTCGACCGGTCCTTCGTCTCCAAGATGGGACTGTCCGTCGGATCTCCAGAAACCACGCCCGACGCATCGTACTGGCCCCCAGCGTGCTTCGCCGAAGACTTCTTCTCCGTGCTTGGTGATGACCGCCCTGATCATCAGTGGTTGATTATCGGGCCTGAGCGGTCCGGCAGCAAGTTCCACAAAGACCCCAATGCCACCAGTGCTTGGAACGCTGTGCTACGCGGTCCCAAATATTGGATTATGTTCCCATCCAGCAAGAAACAGCCCCCACCTCCGGGTGTCTTTGTGTCGGATGACCAGAGCGAGGTGACTTCTCCCTTGAGTATTGCTGAATGGCTACTGGGCTTCCATGCCGAGGCACGCCGGACTCCGGGCTGCATGGAAGGAATCTGCGGCGAGGGTGAGATCTTGCACGTTCCGTCTGGGTGGTGGCATTCGGTCGTGAACCTGGAGCCGTCGATCGCTATTACGCAGAACTTTATTCCCCGAGGCCATCTCGGTGCTGCCTTGGACTTCTTGTCTAACAAGCCGGACCAGGTGTCTGGGTTCCGGAAGAACGTGGCTAATCCGTGTGAGCGGTTTATGACCGGTATGCGCGAGTCGTATCCCGACCTGCTGGAGCAAGCTTGGGGTGAACTACAAAAGAAGAGCGAAGGCAAGAAGCGCAAATGGGAGGATATTGTTCATGGGAAAACAGAGGACACCCCTGATGGGCAAGACACCGAAGGAGGTGGATTTAGTTTTGGATTTGGCGATGATGGAAGTGACGTTGAAGTTCCATGAACTGTTGCTGCAATATGGAGAGACTCATGGAATCGCAAAACAATGAGGTCGCCACCACTAACTAGCACCGTTCCCAACCGGAAAGGTCTTCGAAACCCATCAATTTCAATCCCCAAACCAGTTCAAATTTCGACATAGTGGTCACTGCTTTCTACGCTTGCCTCTGGGCCTGAAACTTCGTCAATACCCCGAATTGCATCCTTTAATGACACGCGATTGTCTTTGAGGCTGGTGTCCCGTCGGAGAAAATCAAGTACCCAACGAACGCACCCACTGCAACTGCTATCATGACCTGCCCATTATACGTCATGAAGAGAAGCCTAGACCACCCGGAGTCAGCAAGCCAGGAGGTGACCAGAGTGTTGGCTGGGGGCGACTCACATGATGAAGAAGCTATAGAACACCTGAATGGCATACAAAGCTGCCAGGGTAAGCTTGCCATTGCGCGCTAATGCCCCTCTGTTGTCCCTTCCTACAAGTAGTGATGAGCTTTCGTTGTGAGTGTGATGGATTGCGTCCGCCAGGCCGTTGGCAATGATAGGGTCGGCGATCTCAGCGTCTGCAGAGAGCCAAGACATCAATAAGAAGCTTGCTCATTCACAGTATAACATATCCGTATCATGTCTCCAACATGAGACGAAAACATCCCAGAAATTATTGGAAACATAGTATCCTTGACATTGTACCTTGACCCACGGAAAGAACAAGTCACTTACCACCAGTAGTGGCAGAAGGGCTCATGAAAGCACTTAACCGCTGTGCATGGGCAGCCTCGTATTTCCGAGTCGCTGATCGTACTCCCTCGTAGCCCGCAGTAAGGATAACGATAGCGATGAGGGACAGGAGGAAGGAGAAGGGACCGGTAACACGCCAGCTGCGGAAGATAATACACAAATTCTCGGAGGACCAGGTGAATAGCATCTACGATTCAAGTATTCGAAATTAGCCTGAGGTAAATCATGATCGAGACGGAACCGAAGTCTATATCTCACATTCATGTTGCATTTCCCACCCATATCCATATCGCCATGGCCCATATCACCATGACCCATGGCCGTATGCATCGAGTGGTCCATCTTGAATAGTAGTAAATATATATGTCGAGGAAAGTAGTAAGAGACCTCTTTTGTCTCAAAATAAGCCAAATGACAATATACTCGTAAGATGCAGGTGGTACGAGGAGACAAAGATCACGACAATCAAGAGAGGGGGATGCAAACAAGACAAACCGATAAGATCTCCAAACGGCTATAACTCTCCCGATCCCAAACGCGGTCATTGACTACACACTGATACAACTTTTATCTCAATCTCAACTTCACCTTGCCCATTCTGCGCATGCGATACGCCCCTTCGACATAAAATAACCACCCTTTTCATTGCGTTCCACCCCTCCAATAATGGCAGACACAGCACCAGCCCCAACACCGGCGCCCACGAACACCGGAGCTACGGCGCCTACAGCTGGCGCAACAGCAGGGGCACCGAATGCGCCTGCGGATCAGAATGCCGCAAGTCGCGGGCTACCATACTACGAGAAACTGCGCCGCGAGCTAAGGGACACACTACAGAAAAAGCGATTAATGGACAAGAGCATGGTGAGTGAAGTCTTGCGCGTTCTCGTCCCCCAGGGACCGGACATGGTTACCTTTCTACAATTTTGTTCTTTCGCTACGCGAGCATGTTCTCCAATCTCGCATAGTCTCGCAATATCCCCCAATAGGTGTGCCAACCGTTCTACCGTGATGTGCTACTAACACATGTTTTCCTTAGGCTCAACTCGAAGACCAAATCTTCCGCTTCGAACAATCATACCTAGAAGAAACCACCGCTGGAAACATCATCAAGGGCTTCGATAACTACATCAAAGGTTCCGCGAACGGGTCGAGTCTCGGCGCCGCGGGACTGGGTCTGGGCGGCAGCATGGCCGGGTCGAGACGAAAGGCGCAGGTGACGGAATCGGATCGAGTTTTCTCGCGGAGCTCGGCGAGTTACATGCTGGTATGCAGAACCGAACTGAACAAGGACTACTCGCCTTGGATGCTGAGAGTATGGTCCCTTGATTTGAACTGAAGTCTAACGATTATTGTTCTGTCTGCAGGATTCCCCCGGTCCCTCCTCTGTACAAACAACGCCTTCGCACGCCGCAACGCCGACATCTACGACTGGCGGAAACGGCATGTCCATGAAGATCGACCCGATGTCCGCCTCTGTTTCTGCTAACGGGATGAAGAACTCGAATGGCGCATCGAAGAACAAGAAGAAGGCGACTGGCGGGTCGAAGAATACGAAGGGCAAGAACCAGACCGAGGATATTTCTGACGAGGACAAGCCTTCTGTTAAGCGGTTGAAGATCAGTTACGGGAGAGACTAAGTCTTGGGAGATCCAGTCTTCTTTATATTCTGAGCCCGTCTTGCATCTGCTTGGCTTTTTCTCGATTCCGGAGTTGGTTGGTTTGTCTTTTCACACGACTCCTAGGTGGAGTCGTGTCACGGGCGTAGCAGGAAAATGGGGGAATGGGATTTATCTCTCTTATTACACTACACCTACGATGCGATATCATGTAAATCACGAACTTATACAGACTACAGCGTTTGTCGGATACATAATCTGTTTCATTGCTTCCGATTGAATGCGACACGAGCTAGGTACATACAATGGGTGCCTTGCGATATTCCCTGGACATGGTTCAAGCCTGCTATTCAAATGCGCTCCTTGCAATCAAAGCTGCAGTCGATACGTAGCGACCTCAAACGCCCTCAACTCAATCTTGATCGCCGAAAGACCATCTTCAGTCTCAATGTCCAGCCCGGAATTCTCATTATCCTCAAGAATATTGCACTGGAAAACCTCCCTGACAGGCAGTGTGGTCTCAATAGTACCACGGGCCTTGCCACCAAGTGATTCATAAATACGCAGAATAATACTCTTCCCAGGACGTGTAGGAGCACCATCCCACGAAACATCAGCGTCATCCTCGCCGCGCTTGACAACATCCAAAACCAAGGATGACGCGCCCTTGATAGCCAAAGATTTAAACAGGGCATTGGAAGTAGATGCTTTAGGGCCGGCCTTTTCAACGACGAGTGGGTTATTGAAATTGAAGCCCGCGCGGATTGTTCGGGCATCAAGGGCACCAGCGTGGGGGAGAATTGCATAGCGAATGCGGTGCCGGCCCATGTCAGCGTGGGCGTCCGGTGCCTTGGGGGCACGGAGTAGCGAAAGGCGCATTAGGTTACCGCATGTTGCGAAGCCGTATTTAGAGTCGTTCAGGATGGAGACTCCGTAGCCATTTTCAGAGAGATCGGCCCATTTGTGACAGCAGACTTCGAACTTGGCCATATCCCAACTGCAGGGTGATTAGTATCCTTGTGAAGTATGTTAGGGGTCGGTGCATACCTTGTGTTATAATGGGTTGGGCGCCTAACGATACCATACTGGGTCTCGTAGGATGCTTCGGTGTTGGTGATATCAACTGGGAACTCGACCTTGAGGAATTTCATTGTCTCTTGCCATTCCACCTCGCTTTCCATTTCGACGTATGAGGGCTCATCGGATGTGGATGCCGACAGGCTGATTGTGGTCTTAATCCAGCTCTTGTCGCTGATCTGTGTTTCGGTCATGACACTCACCCGGTGCGGGTCATTTTCTACAATGGTCGTCTTACCCCCGGGCAACTCTTTTCGTGACTCAAGATGGAACACTTCGACATCCCATGCTTGCCAGTAAAGAGGCTTGTCGTCGAAGATGACTAGCTGGCCAGCCTTGCGATCCTTTGCGACGATCTCTCTATCGGCTTTCACATCGTACAAGGATATGATAACCCCGTCCTGAACATCAACCCTGAGCTTACCGTTCTCCAGGCGGAAGACACGAGACTTGACCTCGGTTACAGTCGCTGAAGTGGTGGTTTTGAAGTCAGCCGGCTGGAACTGCACCAGCCCAGTTGTACCATCAGCCACCGCGTATCTGGACCCATTGTATGCGGACACTGCTGGAGGAACAGCAACGACTTCTGATCGGGGCCATGGCAAGGTATTGAGGGCCATGAAATCTCCACTCGTGGCATTGCTGGTGAGCCCCAAAGCCTCGAGGGCATTCTTTCGCAGCTTGGCTCCCGTCTCAAATATTTCAGCATACAACTTGTCCGAGTCATCATAGCACATCTCGATGGAGCTACCTGGCAAGCAATCATGGAACTGGCAAAGGAGGGTTCCTTCCCACATCTCGTCAATCTCCTTCTTGGGATACCGATATTCATCATCGGAAGCATTGATGGTAGCAAAGGTCGCAAGAAGCTCGACCTCGCGCAGCAAAAACTCGGACTTGCGGTTATTGCGCTTATTATTTGCTTGAGTGGTGTAGGTTCCACGGTGCAACTCAAAGTAAAGCTCGCCGTACCAGGTAGCAAAATCAGTGCCAGAGGCAGCCTTTGCCTCCAACTTTGCAAAGAAATCATCCACCGACTCGCCCATTTTCACTCGGGGCAATGAGCCGACCTGATCACTGAGACCACGGCAGCGACGCAGCTTTTCGAGGTGCCCAAAGGTCGGGCCACCACCTCCGTCGCCTTTTCCGAACACAAGCAGCGATGACTTGTCCGTGTCTAGCGACTTGTGTTGAGTAACACTGCGCTTAACATCACCGAAATGCGCTTCGGCCGTGTAGGTCTCGGAAGGAGCCATGTGGCACAGGACTTGGCTGCCATCAAGCGCAACCCACTGGAATGTAGTGTGAGGGAAGTTATTGATGTTGTTCCAGCTGAGCTTTTGGGTAAAGAAGCGGTTCATCCCAGCCAAGCGGCATATCTGAGGGATCTGGGTAGAGTACCCGAAGGTATCTGGCAACCAGAAAGTTGTGCTTCGTTTACCGAAGTTAGCTTCGAAGAATCGCTGTCCATACAAAAACTGTCTGACGAGCGATTCTCCACTCGGCATATTCGTATCATGCTCGACCCAGCTCCCGCCGACAGGCTGGAAGTTGCCCTTCTTTACCCAACGCTTCACGCGGTCAAAGACGGATGGGTAGTACTGCTTAAGCCATTTGAACTGTTGAGCTTGAGAACAAGCAAAACGATGCTCGGGATACCGTTCCATCAGGTCACATTGGTTAGACCACGACCGTGCTACCTTTCGTTTGGTCTCAGCCCAAGGCCACAGCCAGCAAGTATCAATGTGGCAATGGCCAATGGCATAAACTATTGGCTGGGTGTCTGTGTCGTAAACCTCGGACGAGTCCACTTTGTCTCCAAGGTATTTCCTAGCAATCTTCCGCGCCTCGTGGATAGACTCATTGCTTCCATTGCCGGCAATGAAGGCATCGATCATAGAATTGGCTACAACATTGGCCTCATGCGACTCCCATGAGTCACCTGGGAATTCCCGGGCGGCATCCCCAATGATCCAGAAATCGTAGTAAAGTGCCCGGGCAGCTACATTGACCGCGGTGATTCGTGCCGTGCCGAGCGTGAAGTGTTTATCGGGATTTGGTGGCTGAATCGAATCACCACCAGGAGCATTGCCAAACATGCCATTGCAGGCCATTTCAATATAGAAGGTATGCTTATTTCCGTCGCACCAGTCTTTGGGGAGGATAAACTCAGTCCTTTCTCCGCCTCCAGTCAAGCCCTGCAACGGATGACCATCCTCTGTCCAGATCAGCCCTTCGTTGTTGGCATCCCAGTGGAACTCTAGATGCTCCCGCTGGAGCATGTCCTCAGGCACTGTGAGGTGAATCCTGAACCAATGTGTGGACCAACTGGGGCCAAAAGAGGCCCCTATGTGGGTTGGCTTGAATTCCTGAGAGGTCGCCTCTTTGAAGGTCGGTCGCTGCAGGTCTGGAACCGAGTAAACAGAGAGTTTGACATGATCTTCGTCCGAGTTTGTGGCTTCGTAGTACTTTGAGACGAGGTTTTGACCTTCATACTGGCCCTTCGATGTGAACTGATTTAGGCGATCGGTATAGATCTTCTTGATCCGTTGGCCGACCGGGCGTTCAGCTAACTGGGGTAAAGCCGGAGGAGCGGGGCGAAATGGAACTTCCCCACCCATGACGTTGGATAAACAAAAAGCGATGTTATAACTTGAACGAAAACACAAAGGAATCAAGCAAAAGAGCCAAATAGTAGAAAGAGTAGAAAGAGTAAAAGCGTAGAAAGGGTGAGAGGTGAAGGAAGGAGACTCCCAAATGCGGAGATACGGAATGCGGAGAAAGTGATCGACGCTACCTATACAACTATGTATGTGGGTGGTATAAGATTATTCAGAACATTATATTACCCAATATACTTAGCATATTTGGTAAACTCTCCATCTGCCTTTAACCGTTCCCAATCTTCATCTCTCAGACAGAGACCAATGGGCATCTCACCAGCAGCCGATCGAGGCATGAAGTAGCCCAAGCCCTCAATGGGAGTAAACCGTGGTCTCCGCACAGCTTCAGGCTTGCCCAATCCGAGATTGAAATCTAGATCGTAACAGTCAATCCTCGACCACGAACTAAGTAGAACATCCGATGAAACATTGACCGTGGCCGTAAGAGACAACTTGGTCCTATCAGCCGAGCGACTGAGAAATGTAGCGAGGGCACGGGTATTGAATACAAGATCATTCTTCTCCGGATCTAGCTGAGACCGAAGCTCGGCGGCAGTACTCCCCAGAGGCTCTTCGCATAGTTTCTGGATAGTGTCGGTGTTGTATGTCAAAGTCTGCAGGAAACCTGGATACCCCTGGGGAACACCAAACCGCTGTCTCATGTCCACTGCGCGTGTGAGCATCGATTCAGAAGTGACTTTCAGGCGAGACGCCCGGGCGCGGGCGATGGATTGCCAGAGAAAAGCGCTGACAGCATCGTCCGTAGAGATGAAGTCTGTTGAGGCGGGCAGTGTGTTCGTCGCGAGAGCTTTGAGAGAAGCAAGCTGTGCCGCAGAAAGCTCAATGTAAGCCCATGTACATGTAGACTTTGGGGGTATAACACGTTCCGAGACGACATCTTTGACGCTTGGCGGGGGTTTCACAATCTGGCGAGCGAGCTCAGGGCCCGGGGTGTACGAGTCATCCAGTAGTGGAATGATATGACCCCGATCCATGTTACCGATTGCAAGTTCCTCGCTTGTGAAAGGTTGATTGTGGCAAGCCTTGGCCATCAATCCGATGATAAAGTCTTGGCCATTCATATCCATGACATTATGCTGAGCGACAACCGTGAGCATCAAACCGCCCTCGATGAAATTCGCCTGGACACAGAAAACCAATGCTGACTCGGTTGTGATACTTGGCAAATTACCGGGTAGGTTTAACGTCGTGCAAGGAGCAATCGTGTTCTCGTCGAGCATGGTAAAAGGGTACTTGGCCTGGCGAAGCTCTTCCAATGTCGGTGCGGAGGGGTCAGGTCGGAGATCTTTCACCACGAGTTGGATTTTGTCGAGGGGAGTTATTTTGAAGACGCCCGTATTACCATCCCCTGCGCCCTCGTTGACAACCTGGCCAGTAAGCCATGGGAAATGTTTTGCCAATCGGTCAAGTCCGTTTGTTAAAGTATTGATGATGGCCTCATGAGAAGATGTCTCGGGGATGCGGTAAATGGAACATATTTGGGTGTACAATTTATAGAAGGTTGGAGTTTGACCCAACACATCAAGAATATTTGACATTGTTTAAGCAAAATAGTTTGGATAGTTTGGACGTTCAAAGTGTTCTCTTCCTGAATATATAGCCCACATTGCCCCACCAAGCGTGAGTCAACATTGACAAATTCGGAAATAGAAGATCTATATCGAAGTCGACGAATTATTCCAAGAAACATGATAATCTAATTGGGTATATAATCAGAGGGTCTCCTTTTCTAGGAATAATCTCAACCTTTTAGCGGTTGCCTCCAAGCTCCTGTACCTCGCTCAGATCATCATGGGAAGGTGAGGCTCTAGAAGAACCAGACTCTTTATAAAAGGCCTCATAATCGACAGGTCGCACGGCATTTGCTTGTAGGTTCTTTTGACTGTCCACGCGCTCTAGGTTGACCGAGTCACTTCGAATTCGGGAGCGGAACGCCGACCCTGATCCTGATCTCTGCCCAATGGCATTATCAGACTTGGATGCTGAGCGATCTCCATAGTTGGTGTGACCAGAGATCGATTGCTCAAAAAAGTCTGAGACAACGCCGGCCATCATGCCGGTCTGGAGCTCGGCCAGGACACGTTTGAGGGTTGGGATGCATGTGCAAAGAATCGAGGAACTGAGGATTAACTGTAACCAGATGGCTGGCATGAGGGAATTCCAGGTTGTATCTAAGGGGTTCGAGTTATAGAGTGGTCGGAGGGAGCGTAGGCCAGCAATCGTCAGGGCTAGAACTCTGCGTGGGATTAGATGGTAACCCTGTTGATGTTTGGAGATATACTCACAGGATCCGCATCCCAAACAGGGCAGAGATTTGGTGGCGCTTCCATTTTATTATTTGGACTTGATGTAGTAAAGCCACTGGCAGCCCAATTATTACCACATCTAATAACATGTGGATGCCTCCCAACACGATATATAACGCCTCTTGGTTTACGCATCGCTCGGGGCTGGAATTCCACGGTTGTGGTTGATTGCACTGGTTTCCGAGCGCTATGAGTGCAGCTATGATCCAGGTACTGATAAAGCCCAAAACAACCTTGCATGCAAGTGTTATTCTCTCAAAAGGTTGCAAGGATAGGACCAGAAGTGCAACAGCAGCCTTGGAACATCCTAGTACAAGAACGGCGAGAAGTTGACTAGCAAAGAGCGCCTTGATTATGTTAAAATATAACCTTTCAAGGGAAGGTGCTCAACATTCTTACCTTGCTGTATTTTTCAAACGAGGCATTGCTCAACGTATCTCGGTGCTTCCCAATGCCATGGGAGCTGGCCACATTCACACACACAGTCTGAGGAATAAATATGATCTAGTGGATTTATGAGAAAAGGCAATCATTGAAGGTAGATATACTTACAAAACTGAGCAGTAGAGTAGAATCACTCCAGGAAACCCTGCGCAAAACGCGGATGCGAGATATCAATGTCACTGTTGTCGCAAGGATGGTGACAATAAGGAGAATAGTGCTCACGGTAATAACCCAAGCACCATGATCATTATCAGTGACAGGCAAGAGTGGTGGCAGGAGAATCGTTATACTGGATGGCATGGCAGTCGAAAGTTTCTCGGACATATTTGAGAAGGACCATGTTTATGCCGTAGATAAACAGAGACATTTTATGATATATACAGAACCCAACCATTATTCGAGTACTCTCATATCAGGCTCATCATTGGATCTCCCAAACCATCAAACGCACAACAGCACGATTATTCTTGTCTTGCAATTGATCAGTCTGAAGTTCCACAACCGTGCATCTTCCGGTCCCAGCTCCGTAGACCGAATACTGGTGTTGCAGCATACCTCAATCCCATCTAGGCAAGACAAGGACAATCTACCGTAAGACAAGAATTTTGCATCATCCTTGTTTTTTTTTTTTAATTCATGGCCTCCACGCTAGTTTTGCTTTTTCTTTCTCCGATCTTCCTTCGGGTCTTGTCCGATGTTTTTGTTTCCCATCATCAACTGCTTTTGTCTTTCTCTGCTGGGAACAAATGGAGCACCTTGAGATGCACCCCTTGGAAAGGGAAAATATGGGCATTGGAAAAGTCGCCCCAGATCAAGATACAAATATCGCCAATGCCTATAACCGCTTGCGTAAAACTGGATCCATGGAACAGGCTTCGCCTAAGGTACGATCTGTGAAGTCGATGGAGTCTACTTAGCTGAGACAGTATACAGCGACTTTTCAATTTCACCCAGATATTCTTCTTCTCACTCACTTACTTGTCGAGCTGGGAAACTCAAGCTTTGTATGAGAGTCTTCTCGCTTGTTGTGCTTCGGCACTAATACCACGGCCACTATTTAGGAATTTGAGCACAGTGCTCTCAAATGGCGGCCCTGAGGCATTAGCTTGGGGTATAGTCATTGTGGTGTTCGGTGCAATGGCTCAATCTGCCTCGCTAGCCGAGATGGCGTCGATGCAACCAATTGCTGGGGCTCAGTATCACTGGACACATTACCTGGCACCGACGACCCAGAAGAAGTTCATCACTTGGATGCAGGGTGTGTCACTATCGAGTACTCCCGAAGTCAATTCTAACATTATGCAGGTTGGGTAACCTGGTTTGCGTGGATCTCCATACTCGCCGGTGTGGCCAATACTACTGCTACGATGATCCAGGGCCTAGCGAGTGTGAACTACCCAGAGTACGAGCCAAAGCAATGGCACATAACCCTTATCATTGTTGGCATGCTTGTTGTTGAAGCGCTGATGAACATGTATACGTTTTGGCTGATTCCATGGATTGAGATGCTAGCAGGTATTCTGCACATCTGCCTTTTGATTGTGTTCCTGGTTGTATTCACAGCTCTAGCACCCCGTCACACACCAGAATTTGTCTTTCTACACACGCAAAGCACGTCGGGTTGGGCAGAATTCCCCGCCTGGAACATAGCTCTGCTCACCCCTGTCTGGGGGTTTGTCGGTGCGTACACATTATATACTTGGAAGAGGCAAAGGCAGCAAGCTAAGAATTACAGGATTTGACGGCGCAGTACACATGAGTGAGGAAGTCCGCCGAGCAAAACAGGCTGTTCCTAGGTCTATCTTCTATACCGTCGTCGCCAACGGTATACTGGCATACGCAATGGTCATATGTATGCTCTTCACAATGGGCTCGGTGGAGGAAGCCAAGAAATCCAGGTTTCCGATAATCGAGATCTGCCGGCAAGCAACTGGGTCTGTGAAAGCCGCTACCGCAATGGTGAGCGGGTTGCTTATAATTTCGCTGTCAGTTAATCTAGCGAGTATCGCATCTGTCTCAAGATTAACGTGGGCGTGGGCTCGTGACGGAGCCTTGCCCCGGTGGTTTAGTTATGTATGTATCACCCACACCAGACGGTGCCGTACAAGACGACGCAGAGGATATTCGCTAACACTAACGGCAGATCGACCGCAAGCACAACGTGCCAATCCGTGCTGTTTGGCTACCGGTCCTCGTTGTCATGATTCTAGCGTGTTTGAACATTGCCGATGGTACCGCCTTTGGGGCATTCGTTGCACTGGGGTCGATTGGTCTCTTCGCGTCATATTTTATTGCCATTAGTTGCATGGTGCATAACCGGTTTCAGAAGCATGTGGCCCCACTTGGGAACTGGAATATGGGGATCTGGGGACTTCCGGTTAATGTCTTTGCTTTGGTATATACTGCATGGGTAACAGTGTGGCTGGCATTCCCGTCTGCGTTACCGGTTACTGGTGAGAACATGAATTATGCGGCGCCTATTTTCGCTGCGACTACCTTGTTTGCTTTTGGTTATTGGTTTATTAAGGGACGGACTCGCTGGGAGGGATTGAATAAGGAGGTTATTCGGCTGGTTGTGGAAGGAGGAGAACTTCAGTTGAAGTGATTTGTTTTTTTATTGTCTATTTACACTATAATATATCGAGTTACCTGGTAGAAGGATCAATATTATGATGAGCTTATAGATGAGGTATATATTCTTTGTCATTAATTTCAAGTAAGCAATTAGTTAGGTTGATATACAGGCCATCAAGTTGGTCGGATGTTCCACTCTAGAGCATGATAAACAACCATTGGCATTTTATGGGAGTGTAGAGTGGAAGAGTAGGAGTATACAGCATTTCAAATAGTTACTATGGATGATGCACAATGGAAGAAGATTGGAGTAGAATAGCCAAACATTTTATTTATAGATTGCAAGCAACCAACTTCGAAAATTATCCGAGTTTGGTACTTCTAATGTTAGAGGCCGAAAACGAGATCCATATCGATCTCCACAAACCCTTGATGGATTTCATTCAAGCGGGCTTCTGCAACTATTCTAGCCGTTGCAAGAATAACAGCATTCGGGGCATCGTAGGGTCCATATACTGGCATTGAGATGCATCGCGGTGTGAGGCGATGGAGAGGCTTCAGGCTGACCTCGGCTTTCCCGTCTTTGATTCGACGGATCATGCTTTGCATGAGCTTTTCGCTAGAATTCCCCCTGCATCTCTCGTCGAAATGCACTGTCACAAAGTAGGTGCATTCATAGTCACTCATCTCCCACTCGGGGAGAGCCGGACCCCCGAATCTATATCTAAACATACCTGGTTGCATCATATTGAGTCTTAGCGAACTTGCTGGTTAGTGAGATAATCGTACGGTAAATCAAATTGCTGGATGGAATGGATGGTTATGAGCAGGCACCGGGGATTCAATTTTGTTTAAATAGGATATTAGAGACATGACGAATTCTCGACCGTCTTCGATTTCGGGATCTTTCATTCAACAATAGCTTTGTGAAATCTTCCAGTGCGGTCCACATGACCATACCAAGGGTGCCCTTTGTCTTTCTTTGTACTTAGACATACTTTACAAGGATCAAAGAAAGTTGGAAAGTCCAAGTGTGTAAAAATGAATGTTCATTGGTGTCATAAAATGTTCGCTGGTGTCATTCGTCGTAAAAAGACCAAGGGCGAGTGCCAGCATCACCCACAGCCAATTTTTGCAGAGCAAGCTCATGCTATATACAAAGAAGGCACCGCCTTAAAGAGAGGAAAGAAAGGTAAAAAAAAGATCCAAAATAAATCAAAGGCTCGAACTTAAGCCTTGATACAGTACTGATATCCGAGCCACAGATCCGAACACTTCTCGTTGAGGCCACTGTTCAAGCTGCGGAGCTTGGGGAAGGTGATTCCAACAGCTTCGGTCAACTTGGCACAGAAATCGCCGTCCGTGACAGTGTAGTATTTCTGGCATGATGAGTTGGCGTATGGGTAGAGAGGGGCTTTTGTGGATGAGGAGTCGGGGGCAGTGGGCGCTGTTGTCGCGGTAGGCGCAGACCTGGTTGTGAAGGATGGTGTAGGAGTGTGGGTTGGCGCGGCCACATGCACGTCCACGTGGGGGATCCAGGTGGGGAGGGCCCAACCCGCGGTGGTCTCAGTGGATGCAGTGGAGGATGTCTCGGTAGGCTGGGCAGCTTCGGCGGGAGCGGAGGTCTGGACAGGCTCAGCAGTCTCGGCGGGCTGTTCGGCGGCGGTCGAAGAAGAGGAGCTGCTGGAGTCATCGCCACCACCGAGGGCGGACTCCGCGCCGCTAGTAACGGTTCCAATGGTAGCTTCGGTACACTCGCTCATATCACCAGCCCAGCCGCGGACACGGTTGGCGATGTCAGAGGCGTAGCAGTGGGTTGCGCCGCCCTGACCGAGGTTGCCGGATGAGGCGATGGAGCCAGAGTTGTAAGTGCGTGCGGCCTTGTAGTACTTGGCCGCCTCGGCGCCGCTCTGGGCTTCATAGCACTGCTTGAGACCGTCGCCCTCGGTGGTTCCAGCGGTGCCGTCTTTGATCATTTGCCTAATCATGGACGAGGGGCAGGGAGTTGTCATGCTGCCATCCTTGTTGCAGGAGCCCTGGCCAGCGTGACTCTGCATGAGACCAGTGTTCAGAACACCGTTGTTGGTGGAATGGACGCGAACGCAGCCCTTACTTTCTTGCATAACAATTGCAAGGATAAATCGAGCGTCGACGCCCGTTTCGCTGGCGATCGACTTGATGCTGGTGTTAATGTCGCTTGTTTCGTCGTCAGAGTTGTCGCATGATGCGGCAATGAGAATTTGGTTGAGACCCCAGCTAGAAAAAAAAAGAACCACTGTTTAGCTCGATGCTATACTCGTCCTCATCTGGTTGATCTACTTACAGAGTCTCGTACTCCGACCACTGACTCAGGGAGGGCCATCCGTCGGAGGCGTCGCCGGTACCACCCATGATAGCATAAGTGGCAGCGGCGCGACGGTGCAAGGAGTGATGAGGCTTCACGCCATGAGGAATGGCTTGAATGAGAGTCGGCAGGCTGCCAGCAGCCAGAATCTGTTGTGAGATTAGTCATGATTGCATGGTTGGTTTGGGGCGGAGCTGTGGACCATGTCGCACTCGACCGGTTCATACAAAGTATAGACATACCAATGAAGGAAAGAACATTTTGATAGAGGGAATGAGGTCAAACGACGAAATTGAAGCGACAAAAGGACGATAAAGAACTGTGGAAGAAGCCCTGCTTGCACGGTCGAGAGAAAGAAAAGAGGAGACGGGACACGAAAGAATATATACTCATGATTAGCTCTGTGCCCTTTACCGTTCCTTTCTGGTTTGGTAAAGTGATCAGTCGAGGCCCGCAGCGGAATCGAATTACGTCTAGAGGTGGCTGTAAAAGTGGTCCAATAGCGGGCCTAGGGCCTTGCGCAGTACCTGTAAGGGCTGAAACGCTGTCCGAGAGAGAACCAGTCGCCTGGTTATGGAGCTATTGGTCTGTTTCAGATCGCATTAAGCCCCTGTGGGCGAACCTAGTTAGCTGGTCCTTCAAGTCGATGGCGTTCATCCCCGGTTCGTGGGCTGGTGATTGGCCCGTTGTGGGGAGGCTAGGATCATCCATGTGGAGCTCCGATGGCAAAGTTCGTCCTTTTTCTCCTCCTCTATGGCCCTCCCGAGTCGCTGATCAGAAGAGAGACGTTAAGCGTTTGAATTCCGGTTGGTTGTGTTCCTGAATTTCTTTCTCCCCTGGTACCTGGAATGATTCACCCCAGGTACTTCCAGGAGTTACATGTGACGGGTATCCCAGCACTTTATCATTTTATCACAGGACGGGATTAAACAACTCGCTTCATGGGGGTGGGACCCTATTCCACAAAATAAGACAAAGAGGCGATGTAATATGTAGGGTTGCATCGGCACAAAGAGTTAGTTAACTAGGTCAACGGGCACGGCGCTGATTGATGCCTGGTCTTTCAGGCATCAACTACCATGTGGGCTCACTCGAACAAATATTCTGTTTTTCTTCTCACTTTCTTACGCGGTAACGATGATACAGAACACAGTATCTCAATCCTATTCAGTCATATTAGGACCATATTATGCATGGTTCGACCCGGGCTGCAGCATTTTGGCCCTTCGCCTTTTTATGCTTCAATAACTACGTCCAACCCTGCAATACACAAGTCACACCACGGGACAACACGATGTCATCAGGAAGGAAGGCTATCCATAGTGTAATGTAATGTAATGGAGACGATCAGCCTGCTCTCGGGACAGGCTCACCGGTAGAACAAAGTTCTTTCAACTGTAAACGCGTACTTCTCCGCCTTGGCTAACCCACAATAGAAGGTGAAAGTAGATCGCCGCTATTCATTCCTTGATCGCTCACTACTTCGGAGCGTTTACGTTGTACGGAGTACAGCCACTTCCTTTGTACTCGGAGTAATCATTAATTGATCAATGATTCCGGTCGGATCACCCCCAATGCCCAGCCTTCATCGCAAATGTAGCTCAGATTTTTGAGGCTGATTCATGCAATTCAAAGCGACATTTATGCACAGGAAGCATGACAGTGGCCGAATATTTACTCCTCACTCACCTAGCCAGAAATCTAGGACATGATGCCAGCCACCAGCCATCGGTGATCTATGATCGCCTTGTACACCATCGAATTGACAATTACATCGATCTTTTTGAAATCACCTCGTATTGCTCCTTGGGCATTGCTAGAATATCAAGGATCCAAACATTAGTTATGTCTTGACTCACTAACCATGCAAACTTCCAAAGGGCCTTCAATAACCTACAAGAAAGCCTTCAATATTGGTATGTTCGAATACTAAGGAGTACCCTATACTTCGTATTTCGTACATTCTCTTCGGATGTATTAACAATGTCAACCGGATCTCCGAAATGAGCGCTGCCAGCTCCGTCTTGAGTCTTGGCTTAGTCCGTTGTAGAAGCCGGAAACGCCAAGACATGGCGAATACAGCTGGCCTCCGACAAGGTTAGACAATAATTGGAATTTATGGATCCCAATGACGATTCCTCCCACGTGGTCACTCGTTGTACAAGAAGCTAATCGTCACTGTTGTTTGAATAAATGCGCTTCATGTTTATCAAAAGTCAATATTGGTGTGCTTTGTAATATATTGTATAGAATCAATCGATACTTAGTACATACTTAGTACAAAAATACAGTAGTGGCTTCAATCAAACATTGTGGCTGAGGCTGAACGAGGCTGAGCCCCTGCTGGTATCAGCCCAGGGATTTAACACTATATCATAGAGGGAGTATTGAGTACTATGTAAATCATGTCTTTGAGCTTGCCGCGAGGATTCTCGCAGATTCCGTGTTGCTTGAAGTCTAGCCCTGCATTCCAATGTCTCAAGTATGAGTAAAACAACATTGCCTAGAGACCTCAGGTGAGTCCAAGATGATTGAGCTAAGCCATCAAGACTTGCCGAACAACACATGCAATGATACGGGAGCCTATGACTCAGTAATGCCCCCGAGGAATTTGATAATTTCTATATGCAGAAAATCAATGATGATTAATAATTCCCCAATGGACAATTTGGTCCACAAATCCCATCCATACTACTCCGTACGCGCAGCTAAAATCAATATATGGGCGCATACATATCTCAGAAGGCATCTTGTGCTATGTCCCTTGCAAATACCCGTGATCGTCAGTTGCCACATTGGCTAGACTTTACAGCCATCCTTCTCAGTCCAAATGATCAGCCTGAACAGCCTCCTACTAGTAACCAGCCCCTGAGGATCCCAGCCCCTTTCTCCTGTCTATTATGTACAATTTAAAAGGTAGGGAGAAGCCTGACGTCATAACTACAAACATTATACTTCGTAAGAAGTACTCTGTACTGAGTACCGAGTACATTTGTGGATATTAGAAACCCCCTGGGCACAGTGACTGATCACTAGGGCATCTTTGTCAATTTGAGTCGTTTTGACTTCCTCGTTTGTCATTTACGTTGGGCCATGCAAGCCTCGTGCTCTTTGAGCTTGTATTTCATACGAGTGGCGGTTATCGGCATCGAACATGAGATACAGGTCTACTCTGTCCGCTATACACATAGTCTAGCGGTCAGGATTTAGGATAGAAAGATCTGTATCATATATATGTGGAATGCCTGGTCAGGATTAATGTCAGCTCCGTTTAATGGCTTCCCCAAGTTGTATGACCAATGTATAGCTTGAGATGTCGTGAATTTTGCGTTGAGTGAGTAGATGATATCCATGGGTAGCAAAATAAGGATCCAAGGCTCGGTGACGGATCCACCCGTGGGCCTGCACGCTTCCAACGTTTGCATACAACCCGCCGCTACCCGAGAGCTTAGCTGTATCAAACAGGGTTGTAGGTATACACTTCTTCACCCGCTCATAGCCCTCTGGTTGCAAATTCTGTGTCGTGATACGTATCATGTAGAAAATAATTGTTGCCTGTGGGGAAACTTAGCATTAAAGGTGCACTAATAAAACATACTATTGTGCACAACCAACGAATAAAATATGTCTAAAAGTAATTGATGTTATCTCGAAAATTCCATGTTGGTGCAATTATCTCTGCGACCTGTTATCATGAAACAATTGAGACCCGCGGCGTGTTGAATGATCTCTCACTCGCCGCGGCACCAGAGAGATAGTTGACCCGTTTCTGTGGGTCCAGCCTTGAAATATGAGCTTGAAATATGAGACATCCAAAAACTGTATCGTTATTTCACTTCAACCCTCAACATAACTTGTATAGTGTGGTCGCGACACTGATTTTTCACATCTCTACGTCTCGGTCAAAAATATGAACCGAATATGTTGTCCTTAAACATTTCATCATACTCAAAGCCATCAGGCTATCAGCTTTCTGAGTTGGCCAAGCCGGAGCTCAGCGATACAAGGAAGATGTGACCTGGCTGAAGCTCCGTTTGCGCCCCGTTGAGGTCTACATCACAACCTGACTGTTGGTGGATGCGTATCCCAGCGAGAGGCTCTCAGATCGAGGATAATAACAATATTGCCCACGCCAGATTCAGAGCTCATGCTGACTGCAAAAATGCGCAAATAATCGGGATGAGTCGTGACTATCGCATGGTTCACAGAATGAAAATTAGGTGGCTGTTACACTAGCAGCTTAAAATGAAGACCTGACATCTTCACCGCCGCCGCCACCAGAGCGCTACTCCTCTGCTGCTTGATGAGATTCCTAGTTCCCAGGGGAAGCCTTGCAGATCTAATCCTTCGCCACGGAAATAGTGTGGTTGTTTCTCAGGCTTACACCACGTCCCTTTGTTCTTGCTATGACAGCCACTGAACAGCAATGATTTCCTGACTGCCCCAACGTCTGCCCATGTTGATGACTCTCACTTTGTTGGTTTGCTTCGGTAAATTGCGCCATAATACAGAAGAGTCTCCCTGTGCACAACCCGAGACTCGGTACAATGAGCCTGAGGTCTCCGCCTCATGCAAACCCCGAAGAATACCTCTACAGCAATCGACTACACAAAATCCGATACAAGAGATGTCATCAAGTCTGGCTCTATAGAGTATCTCTACCTCATAGAACCATGATCTAGATGTCGGTTACCACCATGCCATCGGGAAACCAGCTCCAGCAATCTTCGGCGATGGATCTGTCCATCAGGCCCAGCATTCCTATTGCTTTTCGAATGGGACTTGGTGCTTTCGATTGTGTCTGTAAACTAAGGGCATGGGGGTATGGTGTTGAGTATTCATATGTGTTTTTAGAATGGAGCGGTCAAGATCTAGACGAGTTGAGAAGTCATGCCGAAGAAAGCATGCTGAGAACGGTGGCTAGACCACTGTTGAGATTCCCTCAAGGCAGTGCGATCTGCATTTCAGATCTTTTACAGTGGGAAGGGAGGTCTTAAGGTGTTGCCAAGGTTGTCAATTTGTAGCTTTTCTAACTGACATTTATCTCAGAATGAACATGTATCAGATATATGACCATTTCGCTCATACTTAAGTACATTCACTTGGAAATTACACGATAAGCACAATTCAAGCTGACTATGAGCTAACTAGGTCGCAATTTGGGCTGAAATCATGTGCAGTCAAAGAGTAAAACGTGAAGCTCAGAGGTTGGGCTTGGTAAGCTCCAACTCAGTCCATTCCCACAAGCGCTTCCCCATATCCTCATTGCATGCCCATTTGTTTCGATGTTTCAAAATTCCAACAGGCACGTAATATCCTCCGTTGGTGATATCCTCCTTCGGACCAGTAGCAGCCCACAACGAGTTACACGCGCCCTGATGCACTGTCGAGCCAGAGAAACGCAAAACCTTTGAGCCCAAAGCAGCAAACGGAAAATGCAAATTCAAAGCGTCATACAAATTCGTCACGATAATACCTGGATGGACCGCCACCGACGTTATTGACGGGTAACGCCTGCTAAGTTCAGCGGCAAAGAGAATATTAGCAGCCTTCGACGCTCCGTACCGAGCAATTGTGTTGATCTTCTTGAGCTTCTCTTGGTCCAAGATTTTCTCAAATGCCGGCGAGAAATTATGCCCCACAGAAGAGAGCGACACGACACGGACATCCGAGCCAGGTTCTTCGGCCGTCTTAAGAAGTATTGGCAGCAGCAACTTGGTAAGATGAAAGTGCCCGGTATGATTTGTGCCAAGCTGGATCTCATGGCCTATTTCAGTCTCACCAGGCGGTAGAGCCATCACACCAGCATTGAGGATTAGGATGTCGAGACGAGATGACTGGGCGCTCACTTGCTGCGCTGCATTCTTGATCGATTTATCCGACATCAAGTCCAACGGTATCCAGGTGATCTCAACGTTATTTGAAACGGATGATTTCAGCGATTTGATGGCTTCTTCTGCCTTTGCTTTTGAACGCGCACCGAGAAATATCTTCTTCGGATTGTGCTTGGCCAGCTGGAAGACTGTTTCTTTGCCTAACCCTGCATTTCCTGTGAAGATACATCACGTCAGATGCAATATTAGGGGCCATTTAATACGGTTTAACCCACCGCCCGTGACCAGGATGACCTTCCCGGTCAGATCTGGGATATCCTTTTCAGGTGCAAAGCTCACTACACCCGCATAGTTGAGTGCATCCATGATAGCTATCACCCATCCAGACATTTTGGTGGAAGTAGGACTTAATGGATTTAGGTTGCGTTCACCGTTGAATTGGTTAATAGCCGATGATAGTAGACTTAACAAATGCACCGGAGGAAATATCCCGCCGGCATGAAAATTCTCACAAAGGCGAAGCCTTCAATGTTCCAAAGCCTCCGAAGGTTTATCGCTATTGGAGGTACACAGTATCTCACGTGAACTATATTTCAAGGAGCGCATCTGAAAAACGCTTCGGAGCCGGGGAAGCGCTAAGATCAGAATAACTACCTTACCCGAGCTAGCAGACGACGACGGATGGGAAGTTAAAGAGATCAAAGACGATTAGATCTTCGAAGATGAACTTCACTACTTAGTTAAATGGCACGGTTAGCCATCAGAATATAATTAATGGGTCTCCGAGAGCGTAATGGTTAACGCCCTAAAGACCATCGTAAAATATAAGAGAATAAGAAAATGATTACTTAAAGAAACGGCACCGAATCCACGAAAGAACGGCATCCTATTGATTACCTATCACGATAAAAGTAGGGAAAGAGAAAATAAAACCACATAAGTTCATAACTCCTAAGTAAAAGGAAGATAGCTTAGGTGCACTACCAGAGCAGCGGAAATAACGGAATTAACGACATAGGCAGAGACCGCGTGCTTAACAACGGCCTTAAAAGAAACCACGGCCCCGTGCTAAGCGTGAACCGGCTCCTCCGAACCCACGAGTTGACCCCGAATCGAAGCCTCTACAGTAAGGCGATCCTAGTCGTGCATAACCGTACGAGTGTCACGGACTATGAAGGAGCGCTGACCAGTAACACACTGGTTATAGGAGTCGTGAACGGCTTAAGAAAACGGGTTAATAAATAAATTCACGGACTAAGGTCAACCTGAATCATAAGAAGAACACGCGTACTAATAAGATGATGAAGATGCTTATGGGTCTTTACCAGGCTATCGAACCCGGCCGCGGTATCGCATATCAAGGGTATCGTCCACATCAACTCGATCAGTGTCATGTGGAAAGCGTGGGTCAAATGTCGACGGTGGTTCTGCTGAGGGCATCTCGCCTCCTTTATAAGTGTTGCAATGAGACAACCGGACACGCAGCGATAGGATCTCAAACTGCCTCCAAAACGGCCATTATTAGGTCCTCAGGCAAGGCGAACTCGACAGGGTCACCATCCCCATCACGCTGATCAAGAAAAGCACCATATTCACCCTCAGAAGTCAACCAGATGTGTTCGGGCCAGGCGAGAAGGGACAAGATCTCAAAACGGTTACCCTCAATACCCTCGGGAACCTGAAAGCCAAGCAAAGTCAGAACGAAAATGCGCAGGAAACCTATCGACTAGACACCGAATACTCACAGATTCGCAAACCTTATGTTGCTTCGCACAATGGGCACACGATTTGGAGTTGGCAGCATCCGAAATGTACCCAACCTTGAAGATAGGAGAGGTAGGAGAGGTAAGAGAAGGCAAGGGAGGAAAGGGAGAGATAGAAATTGAGAGGAGCAAAATGTCAGTTGTGGGTGATTTGCCAAACAGGGAAAGATCAAAGACCTGAAAGTGATTTGGGTTCATTTTTGAATGCCGTTAAAATCCTCAGATTTTGCTGACATTTTGCTCCTCTCTCTTTCTATCTCTCCCTTTCCTCTCTTACCTCTCCTACCTCTCCTATCTCTCTTACCTCTCTCAAATACCCATTATCAACCTTTGCAGTAGCAATGCTTCATTATGTCACCCCCAGTTCCTCCAAGCAACGGGGGCCAACGTGATATTGCAAAGGTAAGTCTGTATTCACATTTACGTGCTTCCTATCATCCCTGATTGCTTTGTATTATTGTGTATCTGGGCCTAGAACTGTCCATCTCTATTGGCATACGCAGTGCCCGTTCCTTGTCTTCCTCAATATCAGACATGGGATAACGACCTTCGAGGTAAGATGTAAACCCGGGGGATGTAAAAGGACTTTCAGAGTAAAGTTATTAATGTAAACTGAGTAGCGCCAGCTTGGGATTTCTGACCAGGCATCCTCTCACACCACCTTCCCACGCTTGGCGACTCTCCTGTCCATCGCCCACCGGTGCCGCTCGTACCCCGCGCATTGCTAAGGATGTTTACAGCCTAGAGAAACGCGAGGCCCGTAGGGCCATCCCCCAAGCGGAGCTAACGCGCCGATGGGAAGTAGCGGACAAGGCCGCCGCTAAGCAGCGTAAGAAGGTCGAGAAGATCCAGAAGAAGTGGTGATCCTGGCCATGGTTCTACCAATGCCCGACAGAAAGTGAGTTATACGAAAAGCACCCTCAGGAATAGTGATATACTAACCAAGAGTGTCGGTATATAGCCACTTCTACACTCCGATACCTCTTCGACCACTATGGATATCCAGCTGAAGAGATCACCGAGTCTCGGCTACGCCCCCAAGCGCCCCCACATCTTCCGATTTATGTGGAGTGGGCATATTCTGTGCAAGTCCCAGAAGAAGTTCGGACCACAGGGTCCCACTGGGACAGGGAACAGGGTAATATCCCAGTACGATTCTTTGCTCCGGGATTGTATGGCACACTCACCCTTCTCTCACTTTCGGTCGCCCATTTCTCACCCGAGCGACACCACCGAACTATTGACCGCATAGAAGCCCCTCGCCGGTGAGTTAGTAGTGGGGTGGGTGACCTCCAGCGAATTTATATTCAACAAGTTTGATTCTCCTAGGCGGCCGCCCTCCTTTTTCCTACTGTCATTTGAATCCTAGGAAATGTGTCAACCGGTAGAAATTAGTACCAGAGAGTTATGATCAAAACAACACGCTTGTGAGAAAAAAATTCAGTATAGGAGGGGAAGCACACGTCAGCGGTTCAGGGGCGTGTAGGATATTCAGGTGTAGACTAGTGGTGTTTAGGGCATTTAGGTGAACGGGCTGAAGGAAGAGTAGGGCGGCAAGAGGTTATCTAAAAAAAAAAAAACAAAAACATACAACAGTGAGGATTCGCTGGTGGTCACCCACCCAACTACTAACTCACCGGCGTGTGGCTTAAGTACGGCTGAGCGGACGGGAAGCCCTGTTTTCCACACCCTATGGTCGTATGTACTTGGCTACGCAGCAGAGAGAAAAAAGACGTACCAAAAGTTTACACTACGCTACAATCTGTGTAGCCTTTGGAGCTTCCAGAGTTTACTCGCAACTAGTAAGAAAACTCGCCCCCTTGTGTGGTTTTTGTCCTTAATAGGATCGGTACTTCAATAATCTGACTATCTAGGTTCTGCGATTATATCAGATGGTACTTCTAGCAACCCCTGATAGTGGCTAGTCCCACAAAGGCACATGGAGATAGCGATACGCAATTAAAATTGAACTCACAGTAAAGTTCAAGCCACCTAAGCATATGTATGACGCAACATACAAGGTTCAATAACTCCGTATAAAGATAACGCGACATATGACGAAGATCTAGATCTTCGTAGAATTATGACCCATCACCAAGCCGATGACAGCCCACTAGTGATGCAGAACACATCGACCAACAGGTCCACATGGAGGTACAGAACTTTGAAATGTCGGTGACAACACCCCAATGAGGGGGTAAAGCCAAGACTCTGACTTTCGCCCTGTACAGTAACCTTTAGGGAGCAAACTTGAGACACCGCTAGTTCTAAAGAGATTGGCAGGGTATGGTTCTTGGCAAATGTTATAGAAGCAGATGTCCCACGTTTACCCCTCACTTGGAATTTAGTCTTGTCCGGTGGAATTCTTAGGTCGGCAATATAAAGACTGAACCAATGGGAATATACAAGTCTAATGAGATGTGGACTGACGAGTGGACGTATGATTTGACGAAGGCGGGTGTGTATCAAATAAGACCGGAATGATTGCCAGCGACCCACGTTGGTCATTTTGGATTACGTCTGCGTCTGCATCTGTGGGTACATGCATACATGTAAGAAACTAAGCATACGTCTGTATAAGAGGTCTGATATAGGTGTGCAGATAAGTTTAATTGCGACTTGGGTAATTGGGTTACAAAATGGAGTTGATGAAAATGAAATGTGGCATTGATGTCCACCGAATCCAACTGGGTGATCAGATTAAAAGGTTGACTGGTTTTTAAACCCATGCCAAGCCAGAAATATTGCCGAGAGAAGAAAATGCCTGCAGAAGTCTATAATATTGACAAAAAAAAATATAAACCACCAGGTCAGGGAAGACATGTAAAGAAATAGAAAAAAGTGGTATGTAAGGAGAGCTTAGTGGGACATGAATGCCCGGGTAGAAGGGGAACTGGTTAGGGAGAGTGGAGGACATTGAAGATAGACAAGTGAAGACCGAATGATACAGTCAAAACCAAAACAAAGTTGTAGAGAAAAGGGTATAGGTATAGATATGATATGCTGTCGTGAGATGTCGTGAGATGTATGCTGAAAAACAAGATGAAATAGAAATGGCGAGTTTGAGACCAAAGACTGAACCTCAAATCCATGGATCGGTCTGCGCGCAAGTATACGGGTTGACAGGCCCAACAAACTTGATCTGAGCCTTCAATTGCTCCCGTCTGCGATCATCCTTTGACTCGGCAATCTTCTTCTTCGCACCTAGGAACACCCCTCGGGTATTGTTCTGGGACTGCTTCCGCAGTGGGGACGAAGTAGGGATGGCATTTACACGAGATAAGTCAGGAGTCGATGACGATGGCTCTAGAGAGCCGGACGGACATTTATATCTCGGGAATTGAACGTTCCGCTTGGACTTTTTGGGCGATTCCCAGATCACAGAGCCGTGTTTTTGGTAGGCGGATAGCGGAACCGCCAGTTGTTTCGGCCGCGGTGTTGTGGGAGATGAGATCGAAGTAGGCGATGTTGGTGAGATTGGTGTTTGAAGATGGAACTTGTGGTTCGTATAGTCATATTCGGTGCTCGAGGACGTAGCCACAGATGTGGCTCGCTCGACGTTGGTGTTCAAGGCCAAAAAGGATTGCTGGGGTGCCGGGGCTGTGCTGGCGAGTGCACCGCCTACATCGTTGAGGTGGTGGTCCATGGGCGCTGTCGCCGGGCGGGGAATATCCTTCGGTTTGTTTTCTGTCGAGTCGCGCGAGAGAGTGCGGTGGACATAGGTCTTGATTGAGTTGCGAACTCCGCCGAAACCGCCGCGGTCGAGCGAATGCCAGCGGCACTTGCCCTTGGCAAACTCGAGTGGGTTGCCCATTTTGCGGGTTTTGCTGCGTGCAACCATATTTGGGCTGAGGCGACCCCCGGCCTGTAGAGCGGAAGGCGCCAATTCGGGGAAATAGTCCCACTTCTTCTCGCGAAAATAGTGATTTGTACCTGTGCGGTTTGGGATCCAATTCGATGGACGCCCGTACGGGGTGTCAGAAAATGAAGACGAGACTGACGAGGGCTCGACAGTTGGTATATTGATAGCGATAGAGTGCGTGCGTTTGTGAGATTGCGGGGATAGTTCCAGTTGATCGGATGGAGTTGGGTGATCGACTAGATCGTCAAATTCGGAGCCAGAACTGACGAAAATGGGATAACTATCTGCTGAGCTACGGGGTTCACTGGATACGGTGATGCTATCGAGTGTACTTTCACTGTCGCTGGAGTCACTCCATATAGCCGAATATTCTGGCTGCTCGGGAAGGGGTTCTGCGGGGAGAGGTTTATTGAGAAAGAGATCGGAACGAGTAGCGAAGGTATTTGGTGACAGCGGTGGCAGTGGCGAGAGTGGTGGGATTACTCGTTCGAGTCCCTCGAGCGAACGAGATGGTCGGACGGGGGGTGCCATTCGGCTGTACGAAGCTGGCATTTCGAGCCAGAGTCGAACAATCAAAAGTATCAAAACAAAGAATGGAAACCGCCACAGACTAATGTGAAGAAGGTCTGGAGACAAAGAGGAAGATATTAATGTATAGAGCATGGAGTAAGGAGAGTTATAATATACGGTAATATCACATATACATCGTCAAACGAACCATTGACGCAAGGACATGTCGGATCGCCCTTGCTCCGCTTAAACGATGATCTGATTGGACTATGGATATACATGTTAAACCCATCCCGCACAGTCCCCTAAGTAAGCCTGGCCTTTCCTTCACTCAATTGACCGGATTGACACAGTTTGGCAATCATCTCCTCATCTCCAAAGTGACTGTTATGCTCGAATTCTGGTTCCTGCGCATATGCGACACGAGCTGCATCAACAATAATTCTTGCTGTCATGCCAAAGATGCGATAGCCTTCTCCATGCCGAACAAAGAACTGGTGCACTAGTGGCGTCGTTAGTATCCACATGATTTTGTGTCTCCTTGGCCCCCCCTATTTCCCGAAAGAGAAAAGAAATAAATATATTGGGCATATCGACATCGAGAAAGAAAGAAAAAAAAAAACACTTACTCCTCCATTGTGAATTATGCCACGTCCCCCAAGATCCACGATACCACTCTTCGTGTATATTCTCACTCAAAAAATCCTTAAAAGGCGCAGTAAAAACAGCCGCAACCTCTCTTGCATCCAAAATAGGAATCAGTGACACCTCAGGATCGGCATTCAGCCCCAAGCGGGGATCATAGCCATGGAGAAGAGCAACGCAGGGACGCACAACCACCTGCGTCCTGGCAAGATTTGCCGGGAGTTCGCAGAGATGCTCCACGCTGAATGGGGGTGGAAGCCCTTGGTTAATGTCGGGAAGGCCGATCTCCTCGCTTGCCTCGCGGCGCGCCGTTTGGAAGGCTGTCTCCATGCTGTCTGCTCGGCCTATAAGGATCAGTTTATATTTCTTTTTTATCCTTTTCTCTTTTTCTTTTCTGGTTCTTGTCAAGGCGTCCAATTTGACTCGGTTTTTTTTTTTTTTTCACTTTTTTGTTTTTTCCTTTGAAGGATACTGTCTCAACTTACCTCCAGGCAAAGCAGCATCTCCTGCATCTACACCCGAACAAGATTAGCTCAATCCCGAACAACCAACCCATGTCATGCATCCACCTGAAAACAGGGCTGGTCCAGGTATTCACTCTAGAAGACTTACACGAACTCAGTGTCTTAGCCCGGATCGTAACAACAACCTTAAGGTCGCCCTTGGCATCGGCGAACAGCAGTATCAGCACAGCCGCCCTTCTGCTTAGCGGGACCAAGTCGTACGTTGTTGGCGGGGGAACATAGTTTCGGAGCCTGCTGATTGCTTCCTATGGATACATCATAAGTACTAGGCTATCCCTGGGGTTGGGTTTCAACACCGGGATGGACAACCACGGGGAACAAGGAATATGGAATGAGGTCTTAGAACGCCTGAAGAGTACTGTTTTAGAACCAAAGAAAAGAATGTTCCATCTCTCTTCCCCGAATGGTTTCAAGTCCAAAGATGTAAGACTCAAAGCCGAAACTCAAATGGCCCTTGAATATGTTGTACACATCCAGGTATGATCGTCCTCAAAAAAGAAATGAATGACAATTTACGACCGGTGGCTGAAAGGGGGAGGGGGGAAGAAAGGGGGTCAAAACGGTAGGGATAATATGCATGGCAAAATGGACACAGCAGATTCACAACAGGGACACGCGGTCATTCGGGTAGTTGCAGAGAACGACTTACACATACCTGAGATGTGGGATTTAGGGGTGCCATTATTTTGGAAGTTTGTGGCTTGCTGTGGAATAATCTGCGCCGATTTTGGTGGCAGCTTGCACTAAATCGAAGTGTCTGGAGCCTGAGCTGTCTTCGCATTTCAAAACAAGTTCGTTGTAGTGTACTCCGTCCCAGCTATATTGGGGAAAGACGGGGTTGGGCTGTGTAGCCGAGGTAATATCGGTGACTAATGATATAACCGGCATCGGAGAACACTTCGCAAAGTGTTAGTTAATAGGGATTTTGTTAATGTATATGCACTCAAGTCATGTGTTCGCTTAACAATCCTGTAATCCAGTATTCATACGAAGAAGCCAAAGGGAATAGAGTACATCAGCCAGACAGCCAGATCACATGGAGAAGGGAGCATAAAATAAGGGAGACAGGGGATCAAATGGTCTATCAACACAGCAAGAATAAATAAGACAGGATGAGAACTGAAGGGGGGTAGACACCAAGTGAGAGCCAACAAAACAAAAGCAACCATCTATGTGACAAGGGTAACCCAAACCAAAAACATGCCTAATATCGAAACACAAATCGCCAGAATCTTCATATCAACTACAAGCTTTCGCTCTTCTTCGCGTCCTTGGACTCGGGGATCTTCTCGGCGCGATCACCTTCCACCATGGCCTCATTAGCCTCAGCAGACTGCTTAGCACCATCGGCCTCGGCCACAATCTTGGCCTCCTCCTTCTCGTCGATATCATCGATATCCTTAGGCACGGCAACACCCTTGTCTTCATTCTCGCTGTTCTGCTTGCTCTCTTCCTGGATCAGATCCTCCTGCTCCTTGATAACCTCAAGACGCTGCTTGTTGGTAGCAGCACCCTCGGCATTGTGGACCTCTAGTTCGATCTCGTGGAACAGCTCCTCGGGAATGCTGGAGAGCACAGACTTGAGCGCATCGATTTGCGATGCTATCTCGGACTCCTTACCACCCTGCGTGTATAGGTAGGCGTTGCTCAAGACCAACAGAGTCGAGGGAACGCCCTGCTTGAGACGCAGCTCGAGCCACATGTCGAGATCTTCGCGCAGGCGCGCGGGGGAGACGCCATGTGTGCGGATTCCGCGCGAGGCGCTGGCCATCTGCAGTTCTGGGACGGAAAGCGAATCAACACCCTCGTAGAAAATCGCACGGTCATCACGCTTGATCTGGCGCATGCGGTGGCGGATGGTGTATCGGAGCATGGCGTCGGTACCAAAGGAGTTGAGGTTCATGTAGCGGCAGATGCCGACCAGCTGGGGTCGAGACAGGTTGTCAAGGGTCAAGTCATCCTTGAAGATCTTGCAAACCTTGATAATATCCTCTGTAGAGGGTGTTTCACCGGTGGTGCGGATTTTGCGGAAAAAGTCTGTGAATTCGTCGTTCTTGACCGTGGTCGCAGTTAAGGGTAGACCAGTCTCCCGTAGGGTGTTGCGCAAGAATCCAGAAACTTCCTTGCGGGTCGAGCGGAGGTTCAAGGCCTTGGTGTCGCGGGCCTTCTGTCCCTCGTAGGTGCTGGGAAGCATGTTGGGGAAGATCTTTAGGGCGACTGGGAGCAGGAGTTCGGCAAAGGGAACGATGAGGAACATCGAAAATGGAACCAGGCGTCCCAGATCCTTTGTAGTACGTTGGAGCTAGAAACAAACTTCAAGTTAGCTAAATAGTACACGATATTGAAATATTCCTGGTGGCGCAAGCATACCTGACGGTGCTCTCGGCGGCTGAGCTCATAACCACCGGCCATCTTCAATGCCAGTCTCGAACTAATCTTGACCTCGGTGGCGAGCAACTTTGTGCCATCCCAGTAGTGCTGCAGCTCTTTCTTGACCTTTTGTCCAAGCGTCAACTTTTTCGCGCTCTTCTTCTCGGCTAACTTCTGGTCCTCCGGGTTCGACTTTGTAACGACTCCAGCGGATGTCTTGCTAACGGTTGATGATGCCTCGGCGGGCTGGCTCTTCGCAGCCGTAGATTGTGACTGAGTGGTCTGGTCCTGCGAGATCGGCTTCTTGGCTTGCTCGGCATTGAACCCGGGGGGAGGATAGTTCTGAGAAGAGTTGTTCGATGTAGATTGCTCGGTCGCATATCCACGCTGTGGGATCAGGATGGCAAGCGCCGACACTTGGGATGGCAGGTCGCGGCCATTTCGCAGAAGGCCGCGGGCTGCAACGGAGGCCGGGCTCAGTGCACTGGAACGACTACGGTCTGACAGCAAAAATATGTCAGCAACTGTCATTGGCTCCTAATTTCCCGATATTCTTCAACACTTACTGATCAGCGCAGACCGAAAGGCAGGTGTTCCGCGGACCAATCCGGTCGATCTCATCGTAGCGGACATTTGCGGAAATGTTAGGCGAAAAATTAAGTGCTCGGAGCAACGAGCAAGGAGGGTATAGGCGCAACAATGAAATAAATAATCAATCCTAATGTCCACGGGATGAACCAAAGAAAAATCACAGTAGTAAATGTCACAAAAGTTTGGAATGTCCTGGAACCGGTTCTGACGAGAGATGTTGTGATGTACTGCCGCAGTCATCTTGCACGTGACAGCCCGATACCGCCTCGGTTTTTGCTCGGAGTTAAATAGATAGCCGGTTCTGGAGATTCGTGGCAATTACTATTTATATCTAACCCAACTTTGTATATACTAGTACTAAACAGAAAACTCGCTCAACGTGAAGGTTCTTGAACTTGACAAAAAAAAGAAAACCAACAATTAGGGTATATAAAGACTGCATGAACGATGGCGCCAAGACAGGATTTCCGAGGGTTCAAATTCGCTCTCGAAGAACAGAGTCCTGGTTCAAATTTCCCTCTGCGACATCAGTAGACGAAGCCTCCGCAGTATCCAACAAGGGGATTCGATCGATGCTGGATCGCTTCTCCTCGCTGTGTTCATTGATGGCGTCAGTGAGAGGACTGGGCTCAGCGATAAGGGGAGGACTAGTTGCTCCTTCGGGAGAGCTCTGCCAACGTGCAACATCCGCCTTGAGCTGCTCCAGCTCCTTTTCGAAGCGCTTTCCAAAGACATCGATGTAGTAAGTTGCTCCATTGTGGATGCTCCAGACAAACAGCGAAGACATGAATAGAGCACTGGCCCATTTGGACGAAAACCAGATCGGACAGGGGATCATTGTGGACAGAGCAAACGCGTACTGGATAAACATGAAGCATGGCTCTTGTAGTGCTTCGGGCAGACTCAGCACAAATCGCCCAATCCACGCCTTGGAGTATGACTTGCGCAGCCAGGTGAAGCTGGTCGGGCGACCCGCTGCAATCTTGTCGCGGCGGCGCACGGTGATCAAGAAGTGGTACATAAGCTGCCACACCAAATAAGGAGCTGTGGACCATAGTATCATGGCACCAAGGCCATAATGCTCTGGGTCCCCGGGATGACTAAACTTGATGCTGTAGACAGCAGGGAAGCGTTCCTTGAGTTTCTCAACCGAAGTCAGGTGTACGATGCAGTGCAAAGTTACGGGTGGCATAATATGGATGAAGAGACTGCAGAGAGAAGGTGAGCAAACGAACTTGGTTCCTTTCGATATCTAACATACCTTGTAACCTTGTCCATACTGTGGAAGACCATAGAGTTGCGCCACATGGCGATTGCAGCCGCATTATTTCCGAAGGTCAAGCAGAAGGTGCTAATAAAAAGCCGTTTCGAGTTAGGGAAGACCCAAATACTCAGCATGCAGAGCAAATTGACAAAGTAGCAGAGATCGGCCAAGAAGTAGTGGTAGCCCTTGGCGTGGTACGTGAAGTAGCGGATGGGCATGAAATATGCCAGCTGGACGCTAAACCAGATGTAAAAGTACTCTGGGTAAGCACCAATCAGGTAGCCACTGATGAAAATATTGAGCACACCAGCGATAAAAGACATCTTCTCCCGGAGGGTGACAGTTGCCGTCTGACTCCACTGCTTGCCCAGGCGTTCTACACCATGCTTCATCCGAGAACGGTATTTTTCCAGCTTTTCATCGGCGGTCGGTGCCCGGCGCCTCCATTCACCCACAACACGATCTTTAGCGTTCAAGGAAGAAGACTTGAGCTTCTCCCGCTGCTTGCGCACTTTTTCCTTTTGCATGGCGATGGTTTGCTGCCATTTCTCCAAGCGCTGCGAGAGCTGGATGTTGTCGAGTAGGTCGAAAACAGTCAGCTTATCCAGCGGTGGAAATGACTCCCAGTCCTCCTGGTACGAGCTGCTATTTGAGAAGGAGCCGTTGCGTGACAGATTGCCCGGGGATGTGTGAGCAGAGCTGAATTCATCGTTATCGGCAAAGTCGTCTGAAGGGAAGGGCACATCGATCTCGTCCAGGCCTGGCGTGGAGACCCGCGGCTCAGCTGACATTGTGGGATCGGATTTTCTTCTCGAGCTGGTGCTGCTTTCCATCAAGAACTTTTGCTGAAAAGAGAGTATCGTTGGTCCGTCCCGAGTATTGGGATATGGTCGACTGAGGAAACGATTGAATGTTAGCATCCCCATAATTGCAAACAAGCTCAAAGAGCACAGCTTAGTAGATATGTGCCAAACAGGTGTAGTCAAAACACACAACCGTCATATAGACATGGGGGGCAATTAAATAGACGACTCGGTAAATCACGCTTCGGACTCACAGGGTGATGGTGAACTGTGGTTGGCGATCCACAAAGTATACTCCAAAGTCACTGGCGCATGACACAGAAAGCAGCGATACAGAACTGTTGCTTTGCCAGTCACAAAGATGAAAGATACTTGGACAAGAGCCAGCGAGAAGTTGAGAAATTGACGTGTGCTTGTAATGTGCGAGGTGGTTGGCCGGAGCTGCGCTGGGGGATCGTCATGTGGATCCAATCAGCTGTCTTGGATGCCGCCTGAGGCAGCAAATTTTATAGTTCTTTGGCTTCTTTCTCTACTAGCACTGTTCTAGGTGTTGACCATATTCAAGTTCCTCTATTAATCTGTTGCACATTCTCTCTGGCCTCTCTCGTATACGAAAGGGAGGTGGCGTAATATCCCAAAGAAATATATATATAGTATAGTATAGAAAAAGCAACCCGCAAACCCCCATATCCGTGTCCAGCCAAACGCTCACAAACTCCAGGTCGGTGCTGGTGAAAACAAGAGAGGGAATAAAGCAGAACATCAATATCCAAACTGCGATGCAGGGTTGGTCTGCGACCAGAACCCGGGCCCTTTATCAGATACAAACTGCTGCGGGTAGTACCCAGAGAGATAACTCGGATCTGGATGCATAGATTTTGAGACATTGGAGGATTCAAGAGGGGGGATTACATGCACCGATGGTGCCATGCCCATTGGGTAGCCGAAGCTGCCTGTCGGGCTGTGTGGACCACTTGACTCGCTAGTGGTGGGTGAGAGGGGCAGACTATGCGGGTTGTGTAGCCTTGAGTCATCTTCTTCCAGCGTAGAAGTGCCGGGTTCATCACCTGCATCGTGCATATCATGCTCAGCCTCGACTACAGACGATGTTACCGGTGCTGCGTGTGGACGGGATGACAGTTCATCGTTGTCTTGGAATATCGCTTCTGGTAGATGCGTTTGGGTTACCTGAATCAAGGTACTGCCGTCTATAGTGACAAAATTACAGACATGGTTAGCGGAACTGCTGATTAGGCTTTGTGTTAGGATAGGGTGACACATACCGATTTCACCGTCCAGAAACTGTTCTTCCATTTGTCGCACAAAGTAGATCTCATCTAGAACCTGCAGCCGGTGGGCGGGGGTAATCTGGCGTCTCACGTCTTGGCCAGCGTCTCGCAGTTTGTCTGTTGTAACTCCGTGGCTGTCCTTTAGCTCACAGAGGATATGGACAAGCAGTCGTAGTCGGTCTATTGTCGATTAGTATTGATCGTCTCATATCACTGATACTGAAAGGATCTGCTCACCAGGCTTAAGCAGATGGTCAGGCTCCTTGTGTAAGACACCAGCGGGCCACCACGCAGGCTTGGTGAACTCTGGGTCAACACGCTGTGAGACACCAGCAATGACTCTTCGCCCATTGTACGGATAATGGACTTGTTTCCTCGGCTCCACAAGTTTAATGTAGGATTTCGCAATAGCACGGCAGTTAAGCTGCTGGAAATCCTCAAATGCCTTCTCATAGTACCGTCGCAGCAGGGCCCGGTTACCGACGCGAAGAACAGTCCGTCCGGGTGGAGGTGTGGTAGGCGGCGGTGAGCTAGATTTAGGTCGTGACTTGAGCATGCCGCTGGCACGCTTTGACTTTTTTCGACTTTGTTGAGACGACCATTGGAACGGAATCATCTCGGCCTGTCTCGTCTGACTGGTTAGGCCCCATCCGGAAGATGGTTGCTCGTCCCAAGGGGAGTGGGGTGCTTGGGTTGGATCTGCAAGGAGGCAAAAGAAAGTCAGTCTGGCCGCTCTGGAATTTGAACTCTAGAATCCGGCTCACTTGTGAACTGCGGGTTGGCCTGTGGGGTCTGGCCAGTCATTTCTATGAATCGGTCTGTAACATCTGGTGTGAAGATGGCGCCTTCACAGCCTGCAATTGAGGGCGAGGCTTGTAGTTGCCATTGACCGTTATGGTCGAGGTATATCATGGCGAAGTGTGGGTGTGCGTATTCGGTGGGATTCGGTTTAGGAGTGATCGGCTATTTGATTATCAGCCAAACTTGATCATTTGCAATTGGGAAGTCCTATTACCATGTTCATCGGTGGTTGCTGCGGGGTGCACGTATCAGAGTGTCTTCGCTCCAGCACCTCTCCACCAAATGGATATCCACGATTCACATCCATGTTGTGAGATAGTACGTATGAAAATCGAACAAGGCCGAGCCGGGGGTTCGCCGCGTTTGTTCAGCGCAGTAAATTGCACAAAGAAAACAATGAACCTCGACGACCCACGGTGTTAATTAATAGAAACAAGAGACACCCTCTGAACAAGGGTAAACGCAGCTTGCCGATGGATAAGAAATCCGGGGCCATTCGATCAGGGGCAGGGTCCAGGTGAGATAAATATACTCCGTACTGATGATACGGGACATCCGTGGTCTCCCAAACCCCGAGCATTGGCAGATCTCCACATGACGTCCCCTGAAAGTAATCGGCTTTGTGCTAATGCAAGGAAAAATGAATAGCTGCAAACCTGAGCGTGTGGCAATACGAGAGCTTCCGTGTCACTTCTTCCTGCATCTCGTGATTGGATCAACCACATCTGCCCCTTTGCAATGTGTAGTCGATGGGTCGAGTTCGTTCTGCGCATTGACGCTTAGGGCTGTGATCCATGGATGAGTGTCACATACCTTGTTCGATTCCATGGTTCTGTCGGCGGGTCCGAGATCGGCCTAAAACACTACCTTGGGACCTCTCAACTTCGATGTTCAGAGAACAGCCACAAAGATCATCAGGTCGAACAAATCAAATTATCCAAATCTCTCCAAGTCCCTCAACGTCTCCGCTCTATCTGAACTACTTGCAGGGTATCTGCAGCAAGCCGTTGTATCCATAAATATCTTCCCGCACCAATAAACCCTCTATCCTTCTATTTTATCAAGGAATAGGAGACATCACAGAAGGTGGGACCTAATCGAGATATCCAGTAAGCCCAAGGCGGAAACATTTATCTAGTTAGTCAATCGTATTGGCTCATCGGCGATCCCTTGGCCACATCAGCTACAACAGGTGGTAAAGAAGAAGAGCGGTCTTCCTCGACGCCTCTGAGATCATCTCCTGCAAGCCAAGAGAGGCTAAGCGATCACTGACTAATGTACTCCGTATGGTCTAGGTGAATCTCTCCAACATTTATGGACCTACTCCGTATGGATACTTACTTTGCGGTGCTAGTCGGCGCCATCCTAGTGGGCCTTTTCAACTACATCATACACGCAGCTGCTTCCATTCAAAGTTCGTTTTTTTGCTCCTTTTCTTTTCTTTTTCGAGAATTTGTAAGATAGTGAGACTTCCGGGGTATAATGTTTATCTCCACTAGGCGCTTGGTCCATTGTCCGTGCCCTTTCCCTAATCTGAAACGGGAATTTAAAGACCTAGAGATCAGTCTTTTGTGAAATTTGAGGGGGTCAAGGCCATAGACGCGACCGTCGAATCTTGAGCTTATTTTCAAGTTCGCGGAAGCTAGTTAGTGGCTCCGGACGTGCGGATACGAAACCCGAGATACCCAAAAAAAAATGGACCAAATCGTTTCTTTTTTTTTTTGGCCGTCCGCCATCACTTCCTTTTTTCCAACACGTAAATACACTCGAGGTATGTAGTCCGTATCGAAGCGCCACTAGCATGGATTCTTCAGCCGGCGATTCCAAATTTTGCTGTCCTGCGGCATCGTGCATGAGCGGACGTGGCAACCCGGAGCTAGAGTCCAAGCATTTTTTGGACGGGAGAGCCCTCTGTATCCATAAGGAGAAACTCTGAGGCTAGTTGGATTTGAACTACCATTGGGATCGGTTCCCTGCTCCCGGATCGACAGTGTCTACTGGGAGCGGGGGACCGGGATCGCAAATCAAGCCGAACATTGAAAATTTGATCTCCATTCTCGTTCTAGGCATTGTTTCTTTTTCGAGGCCCGATGGTAGATGTAGCCAGCAATTAAAAAATTGTCATGATTAGCTAGCGCCACCAAGATCTCGGCCTGCGGTGGCAGACTGCAGCTGTAGCGAGGCCCAATGTTATGAGGGTTCCTCCACCGTCTCTTTGGTCTCTTTTTCTTTTTGCTTTTTTTTAGGGGGTTAGTATTATTGCTATCTAGACTAGCCACCCACAAACACGGAGAATGTAACCGTATTACTTTATTTTATGCTATTCGATGAGCCTCTGGGGCACATACTCCATGCTGTCGTGCGATATACCGGTGCTCACACATTCACTTGATATAGCAAAGATCTCAAGACCTTCAATCTTGAGTCAGCACTTAGTCGGCTACTGAAGAGAGAGGTCTAGTAAGTGACACCCTTTTTTTTTTATTTTTTCCACTGCCTGATATTTTGTCGCCTATATATCCTATGGCTCGACATTGAAATTCATTGGATAATCCAAGGCCAACACTCCTTTTCAGGCAGCGTGGTTATCATTGACAAAAGCAAAAAAAGAATCTAAAAAAAAAGTAATGTTAATTCCACGCAATCAATAACACAGGACTAGGCCGTACAAAATAAGTACGTTGCACCTAAACGCCAAAGCAAACCTATGTACATTACCATCCCCTGAGCCGCATGAGCTCCAGACTCTGTAATACCCAAAGGTGCACAAGCCCCACAAAAAGACTCGAATTCAAAGTCTCTCAGTCGGTGGCGTGGAAAAGACATGCGTCCCTTGCGTATATGTGCGGGGCGGAGCACCGTAACACCTAGATGAAATGATCAACGGAATACATACGCAGTACAATATTACGGTTACTTCTATTATTGTGCTCGTTCTGTTGTAGATAGATCGTTCCCCCCTGGTGGCCATATTATGCGCATGAGCAGATCACCATCTGCCCGTGGATGCCAGTGCACCCACATGTACGGAGTACATACTGCTACCGTGGCACAACACCTCGAGGGATGGCATATTTGAAGCCGCTTCACTTGAATTTTTTTGTCTGTAACAAAATATCCAGCGTTCCCGCTGTATGCTTTGCGCAAAGTCATTTACCATGTAGGAATATGTGCGTCTCCGCGGGCGACGCTCCCGGTACTCCCGCTTGTTAACATTCCGTTGCCATTGCTAGCTGGGTGCAGATGGCTAAATCCTGATACCGGGATATTGGTGCAGGAAACATGCATTATTGGAACTTTGACCTTGGGTGGTCTTCCTGATGTCCGGGGATGATTGACATTGGGCATGATTTGCAATGTTCGCTGGGGTTACAGTGCCATTACTTGGATGGTGGCGGTGACTATACCCAAGTAAACTGCACCTGGTGACTCTGTTGCTCTGCTCACCGTACTTGGCGTCGGGTTTTAAGGAATGAGATAAGAGCTATGGGCTAAGTACTCCATACTCGAAGCTTGGTTTTATTCTTAGTGGCCACTGGCTCCGTTCTCGCTTTCGGCCATTATTCTTGTACCTGCAAAGCGCTATATTTAAATACCGCCACTTCGGGGGGGCGTCAAGGGAAAGCCTAGAATCAATTCAACCTCAGATCATAGATAAGGGGTTATCGAGGTAAGCGAATATAGAAAATTGGAGTTAAGCACACCAGTCACAGAAGCCGCGGGGGTATAGAGAAAGGCCTACTGTCGACAACTGTCTCTAACCCCATCAGGTCTTGATTCGATGAGCTCTTCTTTCCAAATAACTTCTAATACCGATGAACACGATAGAGCAGACCCCAAATTGAGAGCGGATCTCTTTACTTGACCAAGGAAGCTCAAGTTTGAGCCTTTTCCTCGCACCTATTGATTGGTCAATGAGGTGTGGAAGACGATGGGTATTAGCCAATGACGATAGATGATGCTGTGAAGCGAGAACTGAGCCAGAGTCGACAAACATGCCAATCAACCGGCCCGGATAACGTCGCCATCAATTGAAATTGAGGCAGGGGAGGGTTTACACACACACACAGAGAGAGAGAGAGAGAGAGAGAGAGTGAGTGAAGTGGGGGTGGGGGTTGGAAGGTGGAGGGTGCACTCCAAAACAATTATTATATGTTAATTTCTAATGTATGGGTTTGGATTTATGGGTTTATGGACTACGGGAATGGGCTGATTCCGCACTCTTTACGATCAGCATCTGTATATATACTTCCAGGGAGAGATCCCGCTCGGCGTTTGGCTTCGAGTTCTGGCTTCAGTTGGATGAAGCACCTGCATACTCATACGCAACTAGTTAGACTGCAACAGGTTAATTGAACTTTGATTGATTGATTGATTGATGTGTCAATGGTATTACCTTGTCTCACAGGCTCGTCATCCTTGTAGACATCGATTTCCTATATGTTTCACTCCTCAGCACCGCGACTGCGTGATTGCTATACGGGACCTTGGTTTCGACTGATTGTTCGCTTGAACTACTTGCCAAGATCCACGATAGTTTACGTCCTTCTGCGGGGTGAATTTGGGCGATGGTCCGCAAGGCATAGTAGAGGTTGAAGCATACGCCCAGAGGGCTACGCCGGAGTTTGAGAAACCTAGCTAGTTTAGCTGTAGAGGGAGAGGGAGAAAGAGTTGATTTTATCTAAGATACATAGGACATGCTTGCTTAGGCTTTGGAGGGTTGGATTCCGGGAGAGCTAGGTGTACTTGTGAACACTTTGGGCTGTTAATGTTGGTTCATCATAGTACGTCGCAGGGTCAAGACTGGAATATATATACCGCCAATATAGTTGAATATTGTACATCGTGATCCACACACCAGTGGTATGATAATTACCGCTCGTTCCATTGCTTGCCACTTAGTCGATTAGTCACTCTCTATTTAATCTACAGGCCACAAAAGTTTTGGTGAAGTAATTTTGAACACGTCAGTTCGATTCCGATTGATTTCCCAATAGTCACTATTCCGTCTTACTTTAAGCGGCGTATCTTGATTCATTTCCCCCTCCCCTTTTCTTTGATTCTCAAGCTTCAAAAATTACGGCAGGCCATTCTAACAAAACCAGAAAGGCCTAGAACTATATAGGGCTTGGAGCTCATGCACATAATTGTATGTGTGCGACTATGAAGGGTCGATCTAAAATTCTTTGCTAGTGTGTGGTAGCAGTTATTCCCAAGGGTTCGAGCTGAAAAGGACTACAATATATCTACAACTGAGCCACTACACCTGCAGCCGTGAACAGTCTGGATGCTTATATTGAGCAAACACCCGGTTCAGGTCTAGAGGTTATTTAATCATGATTGACATACGGAGGCTGCAGATATACTATGCAACTTCTTTGATCATCGTGCGCCTAAATATTTTTTCCCGGCCATGTATTTTTCATTTCGCTTGCAGTTTCACTTTAGTAGGCGATATGCCTTGAGAAACAGCCATTTGTAGACCGAAAGATTTCTCTCTCCCTCTCTTGTTCTCTAAGTTCTTTTCTACTTTTATTGCATCTTTTCGTTACTTGACGTAGCAGAACTGTGGGAACGATATATATATTGAATAGTTTATCGCATATATTAGCTTTCCCCAAATACCCAACAACCTGTTCTTTCAACGGGGTTTACTGTGCTATGCCACGAATAGAAGAGACTGTGTTCAGATTCATCTCACGGCTCTAACAATATTGTCTTCACAGCTCTGTCTCCCCCTAGCTCCCCAAATACTAAAACTCCTTTAGCGTTTCAGAGTGAGCACGGCAGGCCTCCACGGCAGGGCATTGTAGTCACCACTGGCGTTGGGGTCTAGTCCCTGGTAGAGGAGCTGCAGGTTGCATGGATCGACGGTCATTGATTGGTCAGGGTTGGTTCGAATCAAATCGCCGTGACTGATATCGTTGGTCCAGGTTGCACCGCTGTTGGATTTTCCAGCAAAGGGATTGCTCTCGCTTGTTGTCTGTGGTGTCCACGAACCGCCGAGACTGTTGGAGGTGAATGAACGGAAGTACCGCCCTTGCGATCCAATTGCCTCGACAATCATAAGGTATTTGTTCTGACCTTTAACAGTGTACACTTGAACTGCCTCGAATAGGTTGTTCTGAGTGTCACTCAGTATTATCTCTGAACTTGTTCCGAAATTTCCAGGGAATTTATCGATGGGCATGCTGGTGCGATAGATCTTGCCATTGTCCCCCGCAAAGAAAAGGTACATATTCGTAGAGTCACCGATGAGTGTCTGATCAATGGCACCAGTACTTGACTCAGTGATCTTTCCCGAGAAAAGAGCTTGCTCGGATGACCATCCATTGGCATTGGTAGGATCGCTTGATGTTCGATAGGTAAACGTGCTCGAGCCCCATTGATAGGCCAGGACCCAAACATCCTTTGGTTGGAAATAGAACAAAGTTGGCGCAACGGCTGAAAAGCCCATTCCGGTTTGACTTGCGGTTGCCATGCCAGACCAATCTGAAAAGGTGCCGAAGTTCATCGAACCGTAGTTTCCACCCGCATCACCGGTTGATGCATAGACAAGGTGTTTGTTGTTGAAAACCACCGCGGTGAAGTCCTTGAGTGAGGTCCATCCAGACTTGGGATTCGCCAGAGCGCCAGTTGATGTCCAACTATAAGTCGACGGAAGCGGGCAGTCCGCGACGGCAATTGGCAATGATGCGAGCAACAGTATGCCAGATGACACAAGGTCAGCCTTCATCTTGAGTAATCTCATCGTCGTTAAGATTTGAGTCTGCGATGGGTTGTTTGAGTGAAAGTCTGAAGCAGGAATCCAGAACACCTGGACAGGGGCTCACCCTGTTTAAATAATCCACAATGTTTCAACTGGAAAGAGATACCTCTTGGTTTTCTTTTCCTTTTAATTTGCTACCTCCAAAGAAGTGGTCCAGGATAAATTACATTAGCCAGAAACATTATACTCCGTCGGACTATTGCCCTTTTTGGAAACAGGGACTAGCATTAACTTCACAATAACTTGGCCATTGCAACCTTGTTCTCAGACCGAGGTTGGGTAAATGCGAAGAGATCATGCATGTAGTCATGGGGTTTGAGACGTTAGAGGGATTGATGTCTTACTGATTTCTTACTCATTTCTTACTGATATATCATCTTGATATCGCTGTTTCAGTTTCACTATAAAACAGGCTAGTCTCTAATAATATCTACTTGGTGGATATTGTGTTTTCGGTGTGGGTTGTGCCTTACCGATAGCTTGAAGAACGTTAGTGATCCACTCGGAAGTGTGTCGGAGAATTGGGGGCGAATATTTTGGAAAATGAGGCCCCTACTTGGCGAAGTTAGAGCTAGCTGCTTTGGACCCTTAAATGTGGAGGTGATCGACATCACACGTGAAGGCCCCCTCTTCATTTCCAAGACATTCTTCGACTACTCTTCAACACAGGCCAAGCTTTGTCGTTTCATTATGTGTTAGGGAACTTGCAATTAGCCTACTTGAGAGGAGCTTGGCAGTGTGATAGTATTCCAATGACAAGTGGCCACTCCACAGTTCTTCCAGGCTGAAGTCTTCTATATGAAACATTTAGGCTAAAAATTGTTTGAATACTCTTATTTACTAGAATCCTGGATAAAATAGGCAAAGTCCGTTCCCCATCAGCGAAAGAGACAGACGATGAAGACCCCGTTTTCCATCGGGAAAGGATTTCCATTTTAGCTACCATCTCGACTATGTTCTCTTCCATAAGAGGTCTTGGCTTCTGCTCTGTATAAGTATATAAGTGTCGTCTACCTCCCTTCCCATCGTTGTCTTCTGTGTACCACTCTCATCTTCATTTGACGACTCGAAAAACCAATATGTTCCCCAACATGATTCCAATCAAGGCAGCTGCTCTAGCTATACTTTTCGCTAGCCCAGCGCTTTCCGGACCCGTTCAATCCCGACAAGCCTCTGAGAGCATCGATGCCGTTTTCAAGGCCCACGGGAAGAAGTATCTGGGAAATATTGGTGACCAGTACACCTTCGAAAAGAACGCAAAGACCCCGGCAATCGTCAAGGCCAACTTCGGTCAAGTGACTCCGGAGAATAGTATGAAGTGGGATGCTACTGAGGGTGAGTAAACTGTCTTGTAATCACTAGAGTACCATCAGCTGATTCACGGAATAGGAACCCAAGGGCAGTTCACCTTCACAGGGTCGGACTATCTGGTATGTATCCGGTCTTTTAGCTGGCAATTACTTTTGTGCCTGGTTCTTACAGCCTTTAGGTCGACTTTGCCCAGTCAAATGAGAAACTGGTCCGTGGCCATACTCTCGGTAAGTTCCCTCGCGGCCCTAGAAAGCATGTCACAACAAGAGAAGCTGAACTCGTCAAGTGTGGCACTCTCAGCTCCCGAACTGGGTCAATTCTATCACGGATAAAACTACCCTGATCGATGTCATGAAGAACCACATCACCACGCTGATGGGCCGTTACAAGGGCAAGATTTACGCCTGGGTACGTTATATCCATAACATGAATTCTACAAAGCTACATTACTGATCGATCTAAGGACGTTTTGAATGAAATCTTCAACGAGGACGGTTCTCTTCGTGACAGTGTCTTCTACAAAGTCATCGGTGAGGACTATGTGCGGATCGCTTTCGAAACAGCCCGTGCTGCAGACCCAAATGCAAAGCTCTACATCAATGATTACAAGTGAGTTGTAGCACTCTGCTCTTTTCATTTTATATGGATGCTGATCCTACACAGCCTGGATTCCGCCTCTTATCCTAAAGTGACCGGCATGGTTACCCATGTCAAGAAATGGATTGCTGCTGGTATCCCAATCGACGGAATCGGTAAGATAGCTGTGATTGAACTTCACCGTGCATGATTGCTCAGTCGTTTTTAGGCTCTCAAACCCACCTAAGCGCCGGCGGCGGTGCTGCAGTTGCTGGATAAGTACCCCCTCGCTTCTTGTCGATTGAATATTAGCTGACAGCCTCTCACAGCTCTTGATGCTCTCGCTGGTGCTGGAACGGAGGAGGTCGCTGTCACTGAGCTTGATATTGCTGGCGCCAGCTCTACTGACTACGTCAATGTGAGTTTCGACAATGTCATGGCTGATATCGTCGACCCACTAAATCTCTATTTTTACAGGTTGCCAACGCTTGCCTGAACCAGCCAAAGTGTGTCGGAATCACAGTTTGGGGAGTTGCTGACCCCGTAAGTGTCCATTTATCCCCAGCTAAACAAAAAAATACTAATACCGGATGTTTTTGTTAGGATTCGTGGCGCTCTGAGTCGAGCCCATTGCTTTTCGACGGGAGCTACAACCCCAAGGATGCATACAACGCCATTGCAGCCCTCTAGGGAAATGATTTCAATCTTTGTTTGAAGTTGCGAACTTTCTTATTGGCAGGCTACACTTCAGATCGAAGTAGTCAGATGATATGAAGACTTCGAGATACAAGGGCGGCAAAGAAGGACTCTAGGAATAAAGTCTTTGAGGGAGATGGTGTCGTTTTACTAAACTACTTGAAAATGTCATTTCCAGTTTTACAGAGCTTGTTGTCCTGCCGTAAATTTAATCAAGAACAAAGGGGAGAGCATGACTAGAGGATTCGTCTTGGCACTGCCCTTAGTGATACGGATTCTAGATTGGTGGAATTCACAAATAGTCACCTTTTCTGGGTCCGTGGATATCATGCTAGGCTCTGTTTAGGAGGACAGTTTAGGGAAGTATTTGATATTCCTACCGATTTATTCAGCTAAATTGAACATTTTTGACCCTGACGGAACGGCCCGATCAGGGTCGACGGAACATACTAGCCGCATCCATAACGTATTTCACAAGCCACCGCAAAACACATAGTAAATGCGATAAATTGTAACTTAACTATGGTCTATGGGGACTTTTCCTTATAGCCCCCTGCTTTCTAGGTAATCTCTAGTCTCTTCAGGGGTTTTAAGGAGATTTAGGTTCATTGTTCCGACATGTGTATTTTTAAGTTTCAAGTAACGGAATTTTCGGTGATTTTTCAAAATGATGATAATATAGTCATATACCCAATTTGAGATTGGGATATTATGCTAGTGAGTCTTATTAATGACCATCGACAAATAGGGAGCTAAAATAAAAACATTGTCAAGATATGTTGAGGCTACGAGGCTCAGAAAGTCAAGAGGGAGATTGGGAAAGGAGAGAACGGCTAGACTCTCTATCGAATCTGTGGGTCTGTGCCTGAGGCACCAAGGCTCCACAACAACAAGATAACTATATATTTCACAAGTGGCCTGGCCACTTGTGAAATTCGTTACTAACTAGGCCAAGCTAGATAAATATATAGATCCACACGGAGACTCCGTGGTTTTCGGGCCTTGCAACCCCGATTAGGCATAACGGGCGAATTTCTTGACTTGGAAACGGTAGTTTGAGTATCGACATATGCCGAAGTCCGAAGTGATCTTCAACCCCCCCTCATATGGCCTTTGCCCTTAATTGTCTCAAGACCTATCCAATAGGCTATAATAACGTTTGGAAAATGGTTTCAAACTAAGACAGGACATTTCCCGGTGGACTCACTTTTTGTAATGCTTATGAGAAATTCACCCTTCAATCGAGCTTGCACGTCACCTCTTGGGTTATTGACTGCGTAATCTGGCAATGCTTCCGGTTAAATCATCATTTGTGAGAGAAGCATCTATGGCAGAATTTGAGGAGTCATGATCCTAATGGGATATGATCATCTTCAATCTATCTTTTTTATCCTGAAGGTGGCTTTCTAGCCTGTTATCCACTATATATGCATGTGTTTTCAATATATATACCCAAGCACCGGACCCAGTATCTTCATATTGAACCATCAACCATCAAAGATTCCCAGGCATCAATTCTGTCAAGATGAAAACCTTTTCAGCAACCCGTGTTCTCAGCTTTTCTGTGGCTTTAGGACAATGCCTAGCTACCGTTACACAGGGAGTCTCTGACAACGTCTACAACCGTCTGGTTGAGATGGCCACCATCTCCCAAGCTGCTTATGCAGACTTGTGCAAGATTCCAGCAACCATAACCGCCGTGGAGAAGATATACAACGCCCAGACGGATATCAACGGATGGGTTCTCCGTGATGATAGTCGTCAGGAAATTATCATCGTCTTCCGCGGCACTGGAAGTGATACAAACTTGCAGCTCGATACCAATTACACTCTCGCTGCTTTTGACACCTTGCCTGAATGTGTCGGTTGTGCCGTGCATGGAGGTTACTATCTTGGATGGATCTCTGTCCAAGATCAGGTCCAGTCACTCGTTCAAAAGCAGGCCACGCAGTATCCGGAGTATGCACTGACGGTCACGGGTCACAGGTATGACAGTTTTTCCTTTTTCCTTCTACAATTTCACAATAATACTACCTTCTGTCCCTTTGACTGCCTTTTATTGACTATGCTTTCTTGGCTTAACTGACACACATGTTTTAGTCTGGGTGCCTCGATGGCAGCAATAACTGCCAGCCAGCTATCCGCTACATATGATCAAGTCAGCCTGTACACCTTCGGCGAACCGCGGACTGGTAACCAGGCCTACGCATCGTATATGAATGAATATTTCGAAGCGGCGAGCCCCGAGACCACCCGGTTCTTCCGGGTCACCCATGCCAACGATGGCATCCCAAACTTGCCCCCGGCGGAACAGGGCTATGTCCATTCTGGTGTTGAATACTGGAGTGTTGAGCCTCACAGCGCTTATAGCACGTCTGTCTGCACTGGGAACGAGGTCCAGTGCTGCGAGGCTCAAGGAGGACAGGGGGTGAATGATGCTCATGTAACTTACTTTGGGATGGCGAGTGGAGCTTGCACCTGGTAGTCGGAGTCAAATCTACTTGTCTTGGTGGGCGACAAAATGAGTCAATTGGTGGATTTGGAAAACGGGAAGGCAATCATTGATTTGTATCTATTGGGATTTATTGCCTGCTTGACATATTCTACCATGGCTTTATGTAAACCCTCGAGGGATAAAATGCTTAGAATTTTCTCATTTCATCAATAACGCCCATTTCGCCTTTTGATTTGGACGATGTCGGTGCCTGGCTTCTCGCATCGCATAGTACTATAGAGCCTATTGGCCAGTACGGGCAAATACGTACCGGTTTAGAGGCAGAAGAAGTCTACTAACGATTATCTTGGGAATCTAGCCTTTCCCCTGTACCTTTTCAGTTTGTGTCCTAATATTAATATAGAATTTGAAGAAAAGAATCTCTACGAAAGTAGAAATTGATTAGAACTGACACATGTAGTATGTCCGGTAGGCCCTTTACTTAACTCGCACTGTCGCGTTATATAGGGTAGTATACTAATAGTAGACACTCTATACATACTAATAAGGACAATTGTTTACCTTGGGGTTTTCTGTTAGGCTCGCACTTTCTTATAGTAGGTGGAAGCCTAAGTATAAATGTTTGCTTAGGTGTCTTGAGATTTGATCACCTACACACACTTCCACATGAAGCTTCCTGGTCTCATTTCACCTACACAAACTTCCTGTTCCTGTCAACTTCCTACCACTTCACTTCTTCTTCCACAAGTCTACTCATCAGCTCCTTCTCACTGCACTTTCCTCTAGCTTCACCATGGAAGCTATGAGTGATAATTATCTTTCGCTCCCCGCTATTGCAGATTTCATCAACGCATACGAGGATAAACCAACCGCGGAGAATGCCAAGATCATGGTGAGCGGTCTCCTCACTTACGCGTTCGATTCAAATGATGGCTGGATTCTCAAGTGGCAAGAGGACGAGGAAAACAACCATTCGAACTGTTTCATTGTGAGAGCTACTGGCGAAGACAGGGCCCTGCACACCATCGTGAAGATTGTTCTCGACGCATCTGCTCCAATCCAAGAAACCTGGGATCAACAGGTTCCCCGCCTGCTCAATGCCCCGATTCCTAGCGAACGATGCTGGGCCCTCCTCATCCGTGGCCTCAAGGTCTGCCTTTACGAGTACCACCGTGACCAGGAGCCCGGCTACCGTCTGGTTCCCTGCGACTTCACGATCAAGGACAAGAAAAAGCAGTCGATTCACATTCGCAAACATGCTGACGCTGTCAACAACATTTTCACGAGCATCCCTGCTCAGGTCCCCCAGCCACTTGATTACGGCGAATACGGTAGCCCGGCCGCGAATGACTCTTCCGCCGACATGACAGATGGGTCGAAGGCTTCCCTAGATGAGACTATTCTGACAGTCCCTACCTCTACTACTCTTCTCGAGCCTTCCTCTGAGGATCCTCCCGCCATGGCCAGCGAGGATAAGACACCTACGAAAGCCGATCCTGTCACTGAGCGTGAGGCCGCTGCCCAGGACAAGACAGTAACTCGACTCGATACTACTACTTCTCAGACCAAGCATACTACAGGGGCCAATGGAACTCAGGCCAAGATAACTACTCAAGCCAAGGCTGCTTTTCTGGCAAAGGCTGCTGCTGGGGCCAAGAGTGCTATTCAGGTTAAGTCTGCCGCCGGGGTAAAGAATGCTACCCAGCCCAAGACTACTCAAGCCAAGGCTGCTCTTCTAGCCAAGGGTGTTTCTGGAATCAAGCTCACTCCCAAGGTCAAACCCACACCTGGGGCTGAGGTTGTGGGACATCCAGCCACAGACTAGTAGGTATCTGACTTATCGGGCTTTGACCTACCTCTCGTTATGCCACCAGGTCGCAAGTCTCTCACGGATAACAGTCTTTTCGGTTCTCAGTATTCAATTTTCGGTTTTCGGTGCTTCTTCTGCTTTTCTTGTTTCATCTGCGACTTTGATCTGTCTCATCTCCCTCCGGTACTTTCAACAAGCGCCATGCCTTCTGCATAGCGGAAGTCAGGTTCTTGCATTTTTTTGTGTCACAAATAAGTGCAGAAAAAGGAACTTGAAGTCAGCTGTTTCGTGATTTTACAGGTGGTAATTTCTTTGCTTTGTTTGTTTTCTTTCGCGAGGCCTTCGTATCTCTTTATCTTATGCCATGAAGTTAGGGGGGTTCGGCATGGTGGCCTCGGCATATCTAGTGATATGCAAATTGAATCTATTCATATCTACTTCCGGAGATTCTGTAGAAGCATTGTCCAAAATCTATAGTATGAATAGTCGGGCACGGGAGTCGTTCGGAAACAGAGGATTCTAGGGTATACCCGCAGGAATGGCATATGAGGAAGGGTTGGAATAACTTGAAAAAACACAGTAGAGAAACTGGTATCAATTAACAGCTTTGTCGATAGAAATAATTGCTCAGATTAGAAAATGGGCTTCCTACTCCCTTATCGACTCCGGTAGAAGCGGAAGAAAACAAACCAGCAAGACTCAATAATCTACAATGAAGAAATAGGAAGCAAAAGCAAAAGCAAAGGGTCATCACACAATCCGCATAAATCCCACCTGGATGATTTAGGTATACTTCCGAAGCTGTGAACGATCATTGTCAGCATATTTCTACATTGGCGTATACGAAAAATATCTTCGAAACTCACATCAAGCGTCAATGATTTGCTGCTGTTCTCGACCTGGTCCCTGTAGATACCAACCAAAGCCTCACTGTTCTGGAACAGTCCGGTCTTTAGACTAATCACGATGAACTGCATGCCAGGCGCAGCGTGGTCATGGATATAGTTGGCAATACGGGCGACGTTGGTGTTATCCAGGGCTGCATCAACCTCGTCCAGCACAAAGAATGGAGACGGTTGGTACGAGTGGATAGCGAACAGCAAAGCGAGTGCGGCCATGGTCTTCTCGCCACCTGAAAGATGCTCCATGTCCCGGAAACGTTTGAGAGGAGGCATGGCGTGGTATTTGATGCCGTCTAAGTAGGGCTCGTCCGAGTCCTCAATATCGAGGTAGCTTTTGAAATGTTAGCGGTCATTCAGAGTCAGAAGTTGAAAAATGAACCTACGCTTGACCACCCAGGGGGTAATTGGTGCTGCGCGTGAGTTCACGGTAAATCGGCCCGATCTGCTCAGAAATGTGGGTGAATGCCTTGTTGAAAAGGTCGGATCGCTTCTTCATCACAGACTCAAACTCTTCTTTAGCCTTTCGTGCAGATTTCCGGGCGTCCTCGAAGTCCTTTTCGGTGCTGCGAAGTTTGTTCTCGACACTCTCCAGGCGCTCCATGGCACGAGCATTCGGTGCCATCTTGTCGAGGTCACTGTTCAGAACACGGATCTTCTCGAGCAGTTCATCCTCGAGCTTGTCATCGGCCTCCTGGAATTGAATTAGCATGTGAGAAACTAAAGCGATAGAAGCAAACACAAACCTCTTTCAGGGTCTCTCCCAGAGAATCGAAGTCGACCTCAATACCGTAATCGTGCACCGGAGAAGCCTCATCCAGACCATCTCCTTCATCCACCTCCATGGCATCTGGGTCTGCTGCTTGCACAAGGTCATCGATGGGAAGTTTGTCAAGAGAATTGGAAGACTTGGTCAAAGGAACATCAATGTCTTCAAGTTTGCAGCGACGCAGAAGAGTGTAACGACTGGAAGAGTTTCTCTGGATCTCCGCTTCAAGCGCGTTGACATTCTTTAACGCTGCTTCAACGTGCTTGCTACGCCTCTGGAGTTCACGGCGTTGCTCTGCCAAGTTTTCTGCTGATTGGCCATAGATTTCCTTCTGGTTCTCGAGGGCCTCTCGGAGGAGCTCAAGTTCCGCTTCGAATTCATCGAGTTGGTTGCGGATTGCTTCTTGTTGACTTTTCAGCTCTTCAATCAAGCTCTGGTCGCGCTCGTATTGGGCCTTGAGGCCGTTGATTCGGTCCTCAGTTGCTTGGATACGCTGTTTCTCAAAGCTGAGCTGGTTTTCGATTCGGCTCTTTTGGGTGGTGAACTCAAGCTTCTTTTGTGCGGCCTCTTCTTGCAAAGAGCCCTGTTGGGCCTCATATTCTCGGATGTCATCATAACCCAAGCGCTTGCAGAACTTGCGGTAAATCTCATCCTCGACGGCGCTGACCGAAGCCTGTGACGTTTCGATTGTCTCGTCTAGCTCGTCAAGGTTTTCCTTACGCTCAGTGTATTTAGGTCGCAGATCCTCCATCTGGTGCTTAACGAAGTCCAGCTCGCTACGTTTGCTCTCGAGGTTCCTCTCAAGGGCCTTCAACTCATCACGGGAGTAAGTGAGGCGTTGCTCGAGACCGACGAGCTCGCCCTGTAGTGTCTCTTCTTCAGAGCCTCGGCGATGACTCTTGGGGAGGTTCGCGAGATCGCTCATGAGCTTCTCCTTTAATTTATACAGGTTCTCGACCTCTGAATCTTCCCAGCGCTTGGAATTCTGTTGAGGACCACGTCCACCAGTCATGAGACCACCCTTGTGGATGACAGTTCCATCGAGAGTGACCGCCTTCGCGTCCACATTTCGTTCGTAGCAAAGATACTTGGCCGTCGCCAGATCGTCACAAACAATAGAGTTGCCACACGCGTAGCTGATTGCTCGCGCAACCGAATCATCGTAGTCAATAGTCTCAATGGCAGGGCGCATGCCTCGATGCATGCCCTTCAGGTTCGAGTTGAACGCCTTGACTTGAATGGTTTCCAGCGGGATGAACGTGGCCTGGCCGGCTCGTTGGTCGCGTAGGTGTTGAATGCACTCCTTTGCGGTCTTCTCGTTGTCCACAACAATGGCGTCAAAGTGTCGACCCAATACGGTGCTGACTGCATCAGAGTATTTTTTCTGCTTTGGTCGGCAAAGATCACTGACACGGCCCTTGACACCGGGGAAGATGCGCTTCAAGGTTGAGATCAACTCCTTGGCCCGGAGTTCGCGTTCGGTTTGCTTCTTACCATCATCGGCCTCGAGCAGTTTCCGTAACACGACCTGAAGCTTTTCCTCTAGCTCAGTCCGCATTTGCGAGACCTTCAACCGCTCGGAAGTCAATGCGTTCAGCTCCTTCTTCTTACGATCAATATCCTTGGAGGTGGACTTGACGGTGTCATTGAGAGACGATTTGCGTTCGTTCATGTTCTGGACATCGGATTCAACAGATTTGAGTTGCCATTCAGTGTTCTCAAACTTGCCCTTCAGGCTGTTGACGGCTTCAGCTTCGGTCTTTCTCTGCCGGCGCAGATTGTCAAGGTTCAAGGAGTCCGCTGATGAACGCCGGTTGACTTCTTCTCTGAGTTTATGGTACTCCTGCTGATCGGCTTCGCTCAGCTGGACACCCTTTTTGCTCACTGTCTTCTGCCATTCGACTTCCCACTGAGCCTGGGCTTTCTCAACAAGTTTGAGATCCTTTTCTAGTTGATTGCCATTGTTTGATTGTGATGCGCGCTCCTTTTCGATCTCAGTGATCTTTGAGGAGTATCTCTCGACCTTCTTCTGGGTGATGTCGATCTTCTCATCCACAGGGACCAGCGAATTGTTGAGTTCTTCAATATCCCTCTCCTTTTTCGTGATATTTTTCTCCGCCTTGCCGACATCTCTGCCGACTCGAGCATGGTCTTTCTTGGCGTCTTCGACATTCTTCTCATATTTCTCAACGCCACGGCGGTACTCCTTGAGTTCATCCTGGTATTTTTGGATATCCGCGCTGGAGTCGTCGATCAGCCGCTGGAAGTGAAACAGCTTCCACAGGATATGAGTGATAATGGCCTGGTCACGTTCTTCGGCCTTTTTCGCATAGTTCTCAGCCTCGCGCTTCTGTTCCTGGTACTGCTTGACTTCGGAATTGATGCCTCGTCGACGGTTGAGCTGGACGGTTTGCTGTTCTGCGGCCTCCTCCGCCTCTGCCTTGAACTTTTCGTAGTCGGCTTTGTGCTCCAGACTACCAGAGATCTGCTCAATCAACCGGGTAAGGTCTTTGGGTGACTGTGATGCGATTGCCTCGACATCACCCTGGAACACAAGGAAATTTCGGGCCTTGATCAGGATGTTCTCTTCCTCCAGTGCCTCATTGTATTGGTGGGCGGACACGATTCGGTTGTTGATGCGGTATTCGCTAACACCCTGGCTAGTGATAGATCGGCGCCATTGCTGCTCCTCACCCGCATCATCTTCATAGACTGCCATCACCCAAGCGGATTTCGGGTCGTTTCCACCGGCATCTTGACTGACATCCATGCTCTCCGGCTCCTCCTCTTGCTCGCCATCCTGCCCATCAGCAGCAGGCTCTCCGTCCACCTTAGATGTGCGCAAGACACGGCCACGGTACACAAGGTCACGGAGATTGGTCGATCGTAGGTGAGAAGACTTGATTCCTAGAACGAACGATATGGCATCCATCCTAATGCGCATTAGCTTAAGGCTCTTTGAAATGAGGGCAGGAGGCACTCACGAGTTTGACTTGCCAGACCCGTTCGGGCCGATTATCGAAGTAAAATAAGCATCTCCGAATAAGAGAACGTGGTGTCCTTTGTAGGACTTGAAGTCTAGTGACAAAGTTAGCTACTGCCTGCGGCGTATATTTCGGTCGTACATACTGAAAAGCTCCAAACGAATGAGTTTTCCCATCTTGCCAGCGGCTTCCCTGAGGGAGCAACGCGCCGAGAAATTCAAGAACCCTGTTATTTAAGCAAGAGATTGAGTCCACGGTTTGTGGGCAAGATGTGGGAGGGGCGCGATAACGGGTGAACCGCGTCCACCCAAGACGCGCCGGGGCCATCACGTGGCTCTCCAAACTTACATGCAGTGATGCATCGTAAAGAGCATATGGCTTACATACTATTAAGACAGGCAGTGCAGAGTAGTAATCTTATAATATAATTTATTGTGATTCTCAATTGAAACCGCGTTTTCGACTGGTATTACAAGTGCTATGTCGCTATCTAGAAGACAAGCCAAAATGTTGTACAAAACTCAAGTGCATACGACACGACACGAAAAGTCCTGGGTGATACTTAAACAGTCATCACCAATCACGCTCTGAATGGCATCTTCACATTCACCATACGCCCAAAGTGCAACAGATCATCCGAGATGTATCCATTGGAGTCCAGTCTGAAATGGGTCTTGTGACCCGCCAGCTGAACAATGATGAAGTCCTCGTTCGTGAAAAGTTGCCGCATGCTCTGGAAAATCCGGCGAGGCATGGATTTTAGTGTTCTCAAGAAGGCTGGCTCGGTTTCCAATGAACGGCCAAGTCTGGTACTATCCTCGTAACGCTTCATGGTTTCCGGAGAGACCGAGACTCTGCGCTTGAAAGAGAGATCACCCGGCGCCACTTCGACCTGGTAAGGCTTCTTGAAAGGGACCATGCTTCGGACTGTGAAGAGGACGCGCATACGACCATCGGAGTTGACCGCTTTGATATTTCTGACTAGGGAGCCAGTTCGAGAGATGAACAAGGTGCCTCCAACGCTCATCATGATACAGATACCACCAAATAGAGATTTCTGCCACATTGGAAGAGGAACCAGAGGATCTAAGAGAACCGCATTCGAGTTGTAGACGGCATAGGCGAAGCAAAATGCGGACAACCCATATGCAGTCAAGACATATGGGCGATGAGAAGGAGCCTGGAACAAAAGCACCTGTCCGGCTTGTAATACTTTCGTTTGTAGTTTCGCAAGGGCACGAGGGTTCTTGTTCCCATAAGGGCTTGCGGCTTGCCACGGGGAATCGACAGTTCTGGCCACGCCCTTGGTCTTGTAACGAGGCGCACTAGAATTGAAGTAACGCGAGAATGATGTCGAATTCATCTGAAACCCAGGTCGCATTGGACTTTGTAGGCATTGGCGCCAGAATATTGAGAAAGTGGGTGGTCTGACGGACATGGTTGCGCTGAGCCTATGAACGTTCAAGTTAGTAAAGCGATCAAAGCCATGACACAGAGGCAATTGACAGCCATGATTCCGGAGGGAAATTGGAAAAGTATCAATGACCAAATAAATTCGTTCGGTAACTTACTAGGACAAGAATCAATTGAACGTCGTTCTCCTCGGAAATCGCCGACAATCTCCAAAACAGTAGGCGGCAGAAAAATGTTCCCGTCCCGGCCGCCGGTGAAAGCTCCCAACGCCCTCAACACCTCTAACAGTTGCTTTGGCTTAACTCTCCAAACACACGACCTCAAACGAATTGAACTAGGAGATTTGTGCGCTTCGACGTGGTGGTGGGCTCTTTGTTGATCCTGCTAGTTCCTTTCGAATCCAGCGTCCGCGGCAAGATTGCGACACCGAAGATCCCAATCGGCACCGCAGCGCTCCCAATCTTCCAAAACTCCAGAATCACTTAGCAATGGCAGCCAAGATCACCGTCGGCCAGGTTCCGGCCATGTTTGCTCGGCGTCAACAGAAGGTGTTCAGTATCGGCAGACGTGAGTTTCCAATCCGTTCATGGCGAAGAAACATCTCCGCAACTGAAAGCCGCCCCCCAGAGCTCAATTCTATGGCGGAAGTTACTTGCGATATAACAAGCATTACTTAGCATGTGCTAACTTCGTCCCTTCTAGGCATGCAATCTACCTCCCACACAGTCCAAAACCCCGCCTATCCGCTCTACCCCTCCGTCGCCCAGCTCCTTCGTGAGAAGGGCATCCCCAAGTCCGACGTCTCCAAGATCCCAGCCTCTGGTCCTAAGGGCCGTCTCTTGAAGGGAGACGTGCTTGCATATATCGGCCAGATCCCCGCGAACTACCCGTCAACTCAGGCCGCCACACTGGCCAAGCTTTCCCACCTCGATCTGAGCAACATCAAGATCGCTCCAGCCCCGGCCCCGGCCGCGCCGGCCGCGGCCGAAGAGGAGGTTGTCGCCAAGCCCCTGCCCATGACTTCGGTTGCCATCTCTATCTCCCTGGCTGCCGTGCTATCTACCCAGAAGAAGCTCCAGGATAATCTGGGTGTGACGATCCCGCTGTCCCGCTTCCTTGCCGTGGCTACCGACCTTGCCAACGACGACCTGCCCCGCTTGGCTAACTCCAAGCCCTCTGCCGATGAGCTCTTCGATGAGATTCTCGGCGCCGAGCCGATCAACACATCACGCGGAGATTACATTCCTGAGCTGAATGCCTTTGAAGCTCCTAAGCCTGTCCGCTCTAAGCCTGTCACCGAGGATCTGATCGATTTCCTGAGTGCCAAGTCACCCAAGAAGTCTGTGCCTACGGCTTCGGTTGAGAGCTCGTCTGGTGTTGCTTCCAATGTTTTTAGCCTAACCGTCCCTGTTGGTGAGGAGGTCCGCGCTAAGGCATTCCTGGAGCGAATCAAGACTCTCCTTTCAGTTGAGCCAGCGCGGTTGGTACTTTAGATTTCCCTTGGCGTTTCAAATCCCCCTTCTTCAAGCTTCTTTTGTTTGTTCCCGGTCATCTGAGCCAAAACCTAGGCAGGCATAGCTCATTCATGAATGTATACAGTATATCATAGTTAATCAGATCTTTCCTTGATTGGGTTACTTCACTCAAGAAGAAGAAATTAGATCACAATGCTAGAAGAAAATATTCTTAGCCAAGTTACTTAACCACTTGGCCGTTCAAGAGACAGGGAGGTGTTTTATCAATTTCAATTCTCATTTCGTTTCCGGAATGGTTTAAATCCCATGAAGGTCGGCATCGCTAAATCCCCTGAAATAGGAACACAGGCACATATTCGTGCCGGAAAAGAAGAACGGGTCATGTCGTCATGAAAAGCAACCTTGAAACCTTGCAAAAGACAAATTGCAATGAGGATCCCCGCGCAACGCTGCATACCGGCGACTAGGAAACACCACCAGCGCCGCCGCTCAAAGCCTTGAAGAAACGTGGATGTAGATATGTTCGCTCCACTCAAAGGCATTCGGCCAGTATGGCCAGCCTGAAGCATAGCGAGAGAGGGACGAAACAAAGGAAGAGATCAAAGAAAGCAAGAAGAAGCAAGGAAAGAAAAAAAGAAAAAAAAGAAACTCAAAAAAGCAAAATACCAATTCTGAATGACCGAGCGCCGGACGTCCACCCGCGAAATGCTGTGAACCACCAATAGAAAGAAAGATGCAATAGATGTCGACGCATAAAAACACGCAGAGTGAATCCCCCTCAGACCATGCAATGATTTCCCCCCAATGACCAAATCGAAATAGTGAACCGAAAAACGCCATGTCGAATGCAGATGAAGAGACAAATTAGAAAGAATAAAGGATTGGCCAAACTACCGGATGGTGCCCCATTCGGCCAGTTTGCTGCCTTCCCGACGAGTGTCTCTTGTAGCTCGTCTATCAAATATTTTCCAGAACCGCAGTGTCTCGTCGCCGGCTCCTGTTACCACAGTCTGGCCATCAGGGCTCATGGCGAGGTAAAGAACGCGGAAGGTGTGGCCGGTCAAAGAGACGATTTGTTCCATACGCGGGTATTTCCAAATGACGATTTGGTTCTGGCTGTAACCGTGTGTGCTGATGATCTCGTCTGAGTTTTTGGACCAAGAGAGGTTGCAGACCTGGCTACCAGTGTCGACCTCTTTGATCATTGAGCCGGTTTGTGTGTTCCAGAACTTGATCGTGCGGTCAGCAGTACCACCGCCAGATGCAAGAAGATGATGTTGATGAGGAGACCATGCAATGGCCTTGACTGCGGCATTATGGTCGGAGAAACGGTAGAGCGGTGTCTCGCTCAGTTTATCCCAAACCATCAATTTGTTGTCATTTCCACCAGATGCTAATTGGCCGTCTTCAGTGTTCCACTTCAAACCGCAGACTTCTTGTTTGTGGCCAGAAAGCTTTCGAACGTATTGGTCTGGAGACCGAACATCACGGTGATAAATGAGACGGTCTCGAGATCCCGAGGTGAGAATGTGGTCGTTCCATGCCAAAGCACCAACTCGGTTGGTATGTCCAATCATGGTTCGTAGGCGCCGGCAGTGCTCAGCATCCCATATTTGGACCAGACCTTTACCTGTGCCAATTGCAAGATGTGTACCCTGTAGTGCCTAATGTAAGTATCATGTATGGGGAGGTGACACGCAAATTCCTTGCTTACCCTTTGAATCCAGCTCACGCTGGTCACGGTATCATCTTTCAGCTCACACAACCTTGTAACTCCACCCGTGTGGGAGTTCCACATGTAGACAGAGTTCGCCAATCCAACGCCAAGAACATTACTACTGCCCCAGTCCACCAGGTTCAAATAGAAATCATCCTGAAGATCCGGCGCGTCCAAGACCTTGTAAGGCACCTTATTTACATACCGGGGCTGTTTTCGAGGTGTTTCAAGAATACGCTGGCTGTCATATCGGATAGGAGAAAGGCTGTAGAGCTCAGAGCGCACGTCCAAATTGGGGCCATGCACACTTCGAGGGGTTTTGGAGGGGGTCGGATGTCCCGATCCGGGCCGTGAAGGTCCATAGTTGAAGAGGTTCTTGTGTGGGGTGGTGGGGGTGATGCTAGCGGGAGGGAGATTGGCAGCGATATGAGCGGGAGGTGTGTGGGATCGAGTCTTGTCATTGATTCCATTGCTGAAGCCAAGCAATGGGTCGGGCGGCGCAGAGTTCAAGTCGGGCTGTGGGACCGTGTTTCCAAACAGCTCGCTGCGCAAGACTCTGGAAAATGTACGGTTGGCTTCCTCGGCTGCGATTAAAAGTCAGTTCAAATGTACAGTAAATTGAGTTCTGATATATAACACACTCTTTTGGAAATGGAGCTCAGAATGTGGGGGTCGTTTCTTGGCCTTGGAAGGGGTAGACGGGCAACCATCTTCATGTAACAGGCTATAAGTCGCTTGTAGATCTTGCCCGTCACGATTGGGAATGAATCTGGATTATGGTCAGTAGCTGTGTCACATATGGCTGCCATTGTTTGTCGCAGGCTTTCTGATCCAAGACGATCAAAAGTGTGGCTTACCGATCTCCATATACCCGCTGTCTTTTGCGACATGGACTAGAGGCTGGGGTCCTGTCCCGCCGACTCCCAGCTGCCTCATAATCCTTCAATGCTTTTGCAAGCGCATTAGGGTCGACGGGCTCTGCTGTATCTTGCGGTTGGCGGCTGCTCGAATTTGAATTGTCTGGGAAATACATCGTGCGCTTTGGCGGCATGCTTGGGGGCGTCTTTGATCCAGGTGGTGATGCAATGTTTGAGATCTGTGAAATTTGAGCTCTTGTTGCCGGCCTATTCCCACCCTTCTCCGAATTCTGAGGTCTGTCCGCCATGGCAATGCCTGGTTGTCCGTCCGAGCCCCAGAGACAATGTGCAACCGATCAAGACAGAGCCGAGAGTTGCATAAGATGGAAGTGAAGTGTCTGCCAGTCGGGGATGTCAAACGTTCAGATATTCGGATGTAGGGCCAAGGGCATTTGAAGGGCGATTCGCAGAGGGTCCGTTGTTGTTGATCGAGAGGTGGAATGGTGGCTCTAGCCGTTGACACCTGAATATGAAAGATGTTCCAGGATAAAGCACGAGCAGACCCTGTTTCACCAGGCAGATCAACAAAGAAGTGTCTGAGCTACAGGCATGTGAATGAATGAATGTCTTCAAGGGAGTGACGGAGTTGCGCAGGGCGACTCTCTGGGTCACGCGTCGGGTGCGCTAACCCGATTTAGCGAAGGCAATCGGGCCCCATCAACCAGGTCAAACCAGTTAATCCTTGGCCTTTAACCTCACTTGATGTTTCATTCACTGTTTCAAGAGTGGAATCTAGCTCCTTGGTTTACTTTCACAAAGTCTTATGCTGGTTGCCGATGATCTTAGAAACGTTGTGTGTCAGCATGGCTTTGTTACAATTGAGACTGAATGCCACACTCTCAGTCCTGTTGTTTACTGGAAGGGACGCGCCCAGACAGGTCTAACTGGACCACTGAAAGTGGGGGGCGGACGTGAGGGATCTGTATGGGCCGTTTTACTAACGCGAAATCCGCAGATTGATTTGGTATGCGCGCTTCGACGCGACGCGACGAAGCTTGGGCCATGGCAACGACAATACCAAGAAATTGTTCCTAGCTTCCAACTTCCATAGTGGGGTTCACTCCGTATAGAACCAACAATCCATATACGTGTAATACTAATACTTAAACAATGTCTATCTAAATACTCCCCCGTACCTGAATATCGATTCCACTAGTTTCACTGGTGGCTTTGTTACGTGACATTGCCATCCGCAGTCACCGCCAAACCAATCAATTCTCCGGCGGTAAAGGCCAACCTTTCTCTCTTTGTGCACTCTGCAATGGTCCTTAGGCGTCTTTATCCTGACATCATTGGTTGTTCTCAACGTTATTCTACAATGGCTGCCAAGCAATCTGCTCTGGACTTCTTGTCCTTTGTGAATTCTGCTCCTACCCGTATGTAGTCCCTATCTGACGAGGCGGAATGTCGCTGATCTGTCTTATCTCCAGCTTTCCATGCCGTCCACGAAGCCAAGGAGCTCCTGGGTAAGGCTGGATTCCAAGAAATCAAGGTCTGTTCAAACTCAATACCGGAATAGTAAAACGGTGGCTCATTGTTCAATAGGAGAGGGACTCTTGGGCATCGACCTGCCAACCGGGAGGCAAGTATTACTTGACTCGCAACACTACTACCCTTGTGGCTTTTGCGATCGGCAAGAAATGGCAGGTAAGTATCAATTACGGAATTGGATAAATAACCTTCCTAACCATGGATATTGATCATGAATATAGCCGGGCAATTCCATCTCTATGATCGGTGCCCACACCGACTCTCCGGTGTTGAGGGTCAAGCCCGTTAGCAAGAAGAGCGGGGAAGGTTTCATCCAGGTCGGTGTTGAGACCTACGGTGGTGGCCTCTGGCACACTTGTACGTGTCATTGATTACCCTCAAACTATTACTGTCGCTAATTCCATGAAGGGTTTGATCGCGATCTGGGTGTCGCTGGCCGGGTTATGACTCGGGATAGCGACGGATCCATCGTGCAGAAACTGGTCAAGATTGACCGTCCCAGTATGTTTAATGTTAAGCCGATAAATGTGCCTTACTAACATAGTAGTCCTCCGTGTTCCAACACTGGCCATCCATCTAGATCGCCAGGAAACCTTTGCATTTAACAAGGAAACACAGCTGTTCCCCATTGCTGGCCTTATTGCTGCAGAGCTCAACCGCAATGGAGGAACTGACACCCCTGAGACAGACAAGGGTGCTGAATTATTCTCGCCGTTGAAGTCTGTCACAGAACGTCACCACTCTCACTTTGTTGAGCTTATTGCTGCTGAGGCTGGCGTCAGCCCTAGTGACATTCTGGACTTCGAACTGATCCTGTTCGACACTCACAAGTCCTGCCTCGGCGGTATGATGGAGGAATTCATCTTTTCCCCTCGCCTAGACAACTTGAACAGCACTTTCTGTGCTACAGTTGGTCTGATTGACTCTGTGGCCGACGAGTCAGCCCTCGATGATGAAGATTCGATCCGCCTGATTGCCTTGTTTGACCACGAGGAAATCGGAAGCCGCACAGCACAGGGTGCGGACTCGAACATTCTTCCGTCGATCATTCGCCGTCTGTCCGTCCTCCCGTCCTCCTCCTCCAAGAGCACCGACCTGTCGACTGCCTATGAGCAGACCCTGTCCACCTCCTTCCTTGTCTCTGCTGACATGGCCCACTCGGTCAACCCCAACTATGCGGGGAAATACGAGTCGGACCACAAACCGGAGATGAACAAGGGCCCGGTGATTAAGATTAACGCCAACGCTCGCTACGCGACGAACTCTCCTGGAATTGTTCTTCTGGAGGAGATTGCCCGCAAGACCACCAAAGAGACTGGAGTGCACGTTCCTCTCCAGTTGTTTGTGGTTCGCAATGACTCCAGCTGCGGCAGCACCATTGGCCCTATGCTGTCTGCTGCGCTGGGCGCGCGCACACTGGATCTGGGAAATCCCCAGCTCAGCATGCACAGTATCCGTGAAACAGGTGGCACCTATGATGTTGCCCATTCCATTCGCCTGTTCACTGGCTTCTTCAAGCATTACTCGGAGCTGTCGAAGACGATTCTTGTGGATTGAGCTTGCCGTGAATAGTATATGAAGTAGCACAAACAATAAACTACATTCAAACATAGTATTACTCTAATTTAAAGCGCTGGGGTGTTGGAGTGATTGTACGTACCATCAGCACATCTTAAAAATAAAACACAATGCTACTATGTATGTAATTTGGGAGAAGCACGTGGTTCGGACCGAGGAAAGTCCGCATCGACATATATCCCGGGGCCGTCTCCAACCCACCCATAGTTACCCCAGCTCACCAAACCAACGGGGAGTCTCCACCTCGACTCCTTATACCTAGCTTGTTGGATACCGTCTAAGCCCTCATGACCCTCTATGACAGACGTTGATGCCTATCGGGATGCGGAATACATCGCTGACGTGTCCGGCATATCCTATGACGATGCGGAGCCCCCAAGGCCAAGAGGCACGCTCAGCAGCCAAAACGCGCGTGTGAAGAAAGTCAAGTCGACCGCCAAAGTCGCCTTCATTGATCGATTGCTGCGCGATCTCGACATATTAGTTTATTGTCAATTATCCGCACTGTATTACATGGAGTAAGTCCAGCACCCCCAGCACTGATCCCCACCCCTCTTTCCACCACGACAAACTCCTGACATCTGTCTCTTTCGGTATAGTTGCTCGATTGTCCTATTTGCCTTGCGTGCTATTGTCGAATTAATCTTCTTCACGCCAAAAGCACCCCCCTTCGAGCCCACACGCAATCAGCCGTTTGTCGGGGCCATCATCGGCAGCAACCTCATCTGCATGCTCTTCCATGCCTTCCTGATTCGCCCCGAAGCCGGCGAGGAAACACGCGGCTACCTACATGGGGGGCTGTTCATCGATTTCATAGGGCAGGCCCCCGTCTCTGTTTACCAGCTTCTATCGTTCGACGTTTTAATCCTTCTAATCGATCTTATCATGCTGGGCTTGATTATCGAGCGGGTGAAGACCAACGGAACCCCTTCCTTAGCGCCTACAACACCGAATACAGATACAGCCGCAAATACAACCACAGATACAAACCCAGACGTGGAGGAGTCCCAGCCACATGACCATGACGCCGAAGAGCGTGGCATTCTACGAGAAGAGGATGGGGTTGAAACGGTGTCCCCCGCTCATTATGGTTCCGATTCACCACACAGTAGCGGGATCGACGAAGAGGTTGAAGAAGAGCGCACAACACTCCTGGCCGACCCGGCCGACGCAGAATCTGGCAGTGGTGCTCGGGGCGAGCACCCGATGGATACATTCGCGGCTGGCGTGGCTGTCATTGTCAATGTGAGCTTCCTAGGTACCATTCGTGATCAGTGGCGCCATTCGAATGCGCAGGCACGGCCGAGGTCGGGCTTTGTACCGTCTCCTGAAACGGCAACGTTCCTTCGGCAGCGCTTCGGTCTCCAGGTTGGGACTAATGGTCGCATTGAGCGCGCAAATGCAACATGATGCAAATCCGTATTTCCGCTCCGGTAGTAAACTATGTATATATATGTACTCGTAAATTCTCATGAACAAAAGGTTTACTGCTATGCTTACAGGTTGTTTCCTTGGATTTGGATATATCCCAGCAGTATCCTGAACAAAAACTACTCGGAAAGTAATCCCCGAGGTAGGCGAGAGAAGATGACTATGACCGATTTGATTGACACATGATCCTACACAGCTGGTAAAGTCCTATGGGCTAGACAGGAGACATGAGAATCCCTAATATACATCGAAGCCCCATAGACACATGATACAATTTACGCAGTAGGAGGCTTAGACTCCTCCCCGGCATCATCCTTCCCCTGGACTCTACGGTCCAGAATCTCATCAATAACACCTAGCTCGAGTGCCTCCTTCGCACCCATAAAGTAATCGCGCTCCATAAGCTTTTCAATCTCATCGAGGGACAGCTGCTTCTTGCCAGTGAGGTGACGTTGGTAGATCTCATTGAGCTGAGTGCGCACACGCAGGATCTCTTTTGCATGGATAGCGATGTCGGACGCCTGTCCGAAGTAGCCGCCTGAGGGCTGGTGTATCATGATGGAGGAGTGGGGGAGACAGTATCGCTTGCCTGCTTCGCCGCCGGCAAGAAGGAGAGAGCCCATTGAGGCGGCTTGGCCAACGCAGATTGTGCTCACGGGGGAGGCAATGTATGTCATTGTATCGTAGATCGCGAGGCCTGTGGGATTGTTAGTCAGTATAAGTTGGGGATAACCATTGGAGCAGATCTGCGTACCAGCTGTTACTGAGCCCCCAGGCGAGTTGATGTAAAGGTGGATTGGTTTGGTAGGGTTATCGGCTTCGAGGAAAAGTAGTTGCGCGACTATCGATGCGGAGAGGGTGTCGTCGACTTCGCCGTTAAGACAGATGATGCGTTCCTGGAGGTTTGGTTTAGTGGGGGTAGGGTTGCGGAGGGGTTATGCACCTAGATTTAATTTACCTTCATTAATCGAGAAAAGATATCATCTGTAGTGCGCGATACATGTTAGTAGGTTGATCGTGTTTCGGGTCATATGCAAGCTTCGTCGACGGATTCAATTGCGCAACATACAAGTGTGCCAGCCGCCTCCCTGTTCAATATGATTAGTATATGCACATTAAGTACCTTGTTGCCCATAGAGTGTATCAAACATACCACTGTCTCTGTCACGAATGGCGTCGGTGTCCAACTCCGCGGGGGCTGCGCAGACGATGGCCTTTGGTTCGAGAAGCATCGTGCGAATCTGGCAGCGGGCCGGGCGATAGCAACGGGGGGATTTTGGATAGACCGCCCTAGCTGGCGTAGAGGTACCCTTGGAGGCATCTTCAAAAATATGCAAAAGCGATTTGTAGTTGTATGAAGTTGGAAATGCAGAGTCGGGAGACCCTGGGACGGTGACCCGTCTGATACGATAAGAGCGGCGCTAAGATAAGGAGCTCAATGAACAAAGGCAGCAAGCAATGTTGCCAGGCACGGTCTTCTCCTAGTAGCAACTTCTCTGGGGAAGAGGACGCTTCTGGGAGAAAAGGTTGATTTAGTATATGGGAACCCAACTAGGTCTTTGCACAGTCTGTAACGCCATTCGACAACCACTGTTCGAACAACAACATCTCCGCAAATAAGGGGCTCCGATTGGCTCTTGCAACAGCTCCGAGATCATCTTTTCCGCCCTGAACTGAACTCGACTTACCATCAGCTCTATTCCCCCAACTGTCCAAAGAATGGAGTGTGTGGGCACGCGCATCCCGTACGCAAAATGGCGCCTGAGTGCGTTCCAACAATTGCTAGCAACTTCACATCAGGCAGTCAATCGGGGCATCTCGACCTCGCGACAATCCGCCCAACTTAATAAAAGTACGTTGGAAACAAAGACAGTCAATTCGAATCCGAACTCTGTACTTCCTTCACAGCGACTCCCGCAGTCTCCTCTTCTCACCCGTCCTCGCTCCGGGACGGAAAAGATTCGCAAGAGGCGCCCCACGACACAGGAGGAAGCCGATCTACTCAACAACCCGTGGGCCGTAATGCTGGCTTCGCCGGCACGTATGTGCTCTGTAACTGGTGCGCGGCTTCCATCTGCCCTGCTGGGGACTTGGGGGCTTGTTAGACAACCAAATACAGACGAGCTTTACATGATGCCTGTGGGCCTGCTGCAGGACTCGCTGCAAAGCAATACGGCCCAGGACCTCAGCTCATCGCGAGAGCCAATTATTCCAGGCCAAGCCCAAAGCCCAGCTATGGGGATACAAGACGGGGAAGAGGATTCCTTGGACGCATTACCAATTCCAACTCCCCCAGCTAAGCAAACTGGACGCCAGCTCGTGCTTCGCATTACTGAGCTTCTTCCACTTATTCGATCTATCTCAGTGCCACTCTCCAAGAGGGGCGGGAAAAGACCAGCGATTATGCGGCTGTTGCCGTTCCGATGGAAGCACCCACAGGGCCCTGTGACAGCGCACGAAGAGAAAAAATCATATGGTCAGAGAACACGCCAGAAATCATGTTACGGAGCATGAGGGCTGTCGTTGTCAAGAAGCTGAGTGCAGTGCTCGAGAAATACAAGCGCGTCGGCACCCCCAATGGGGTCTGGAGGGCTCTGGATCTAACCGAGTATTCGGATGCTGCGCTGAAGGCGGCCCTGGGAGGTTTGGAGCGATTTGATCATATGCAATGTGGAGGAGTCCTGCTTCTTGACCCAAAGACGTCTCAATCGAGTGGCTCTTTGGGCTCGGTGGCCCTCATACAAAATGGGTCGAAGGTTCCTGTGTTTGATCTGACAGTGCTTCTTTCTGAGTCTGATATCAACAATCTCCGTGGATCCCACGGTCAGTTCCAACACACTGCACTTTTCTTCAGACCAAAGGATCAGCTTGGTGTTGATGCGATGATATCCCTCTGGAAAATCAAACGCCTCCTTGATAATGTTGATCTGACAGAGCGCTGAAGGCTCCGCATAATCGGATAATAAACCGACCCACGCGCTCATTTGTTCGATCCTGGTGTACTGGGAAGTATATCGATCTGTCAGGCCACGCCTACGGAGTCATGTCGGGGTGGAGCCCAAATCGATGTGATTCATAGTCATATCCATGGATCTAGACACGAACATGGGGATATGAAAAATGCAGCTTAGCAAGTACGCTAGAGGCAGCTATATGACAATGAGAGGAGCTGCATGGTGATGAGGACCGCGACAATGAGTGCGTGTCTACATTTGATATAAAGTGTCTACGGTCCACTGCCAGTAATTTTCAGCGTCGTGTTCTGTTCAAAACTGTGAAGTCAAGACCTACGATAAGATCCTCCTATCCTCGCAATCTCATGACGGCATGAATATGCGTTAGGTCAACCTTCAGTTGTATTTGGAATGACTTAAAATGACGTGGTTCCCCCAGTGCCATTAGTGGAGGTGGTGATCGGGGGAATATCATTCACTTTCTCAAAGCCCTCGTTCTTCCCACTATGAAAATTGGCCCCATTTGTCACCCCCTCCTGACCTCATAAGATCCGTAGAGAGACATAGAATGAAGTCCTCTTTCCTTCCCTTCTGCTTTCAGACCTTTACAGCAGATACATGAAGCATAAAAGCTATTCTCCGTAACGCAATGAACGGCTGTTGTTCCTCCGTCTCTCCGGGTGTCCTCCTGTCGCCTAGTTCGTCACCGGTTGCTTCCCCTTATCGGTGTCCTGCCGGTCTACATTGACGCCCTCATCCTGCGGTTCATGTACGTGGGTGCCTTCGAGCAAGCCTGTGAGTATATGTCTGGTGAGTACGTTGTCTAGGGCCGCGATTTTGCTCTCGCTTGACCTTATGTGTTCCTCGTACTCGCTGCGTGCCTCTAGGCCGTCGCTGTAGGTGTGTAGGGTCTCGCGGGCCTCCGGTGTGTCGAGCTTCTTTGTGTATTTGCTCAGCGGCCATGCTCTGGGGGAAGCATTGTCAATACTGTCGCAGGCTGCCATAAGCGCGGGATCGAAGTCCTTGAACAGGTGGGCGATATCCAGGTTTTCAGCGCTGTGGAGTTCTGGGTGATGGTCTGTGCCGTCTGCTGATCCAGCGATGCGTTTATTGGGACTTTTGCCTGTGCCATCCTGTTCTGTCGCAGAGTTGCCGTCGTCGCCATCGTCCGCTGGTATGTTGATCAGTGTGACGGGGGTGTAGTGGGTAGCGGAAGTGTCGAGTACCTTGATCTTATCCACGTTGGTGTACAGTGCGGTTTTCTTCGTATCCCACACGTCTTCGGGGATCGTGTCTGGCTTATCCATGATCTGATGACCCTTACACCATTAGAGTCTTGCTATACTAGATCACGAGTACTCAAACTTACCGAATACTTCCAATGCTCATATTATCAGGAGTAATGGACCGAGTTATCAATGTATCACCAGTCAAATGACTTTTGGGCTTCGATTTCCGCGGTTGAACAATCGATGGAGATGCTGCACGGGGAGGAATGAGCAACGGAAGCGCGGAGTTTACAAATCTCAACGCGCGGGGGTGCAGGAGGCACCAGTGGACGATGAACGGGAGAGTCCCTGGGTCGTGGAAATGCATCGGTGGCTGGTCTTCGACTGCGGTTATCCGGCGCTATTGAATCTTTAGCCTAGACAACAGTTTTCTGCTCATAGCAACAGGCATGCAAGCCCCAAGATGCGGTAAGGTGCATCTTCAATGGCTATTTAGTGTCTTTTTCAGAATTACATAGCCCACCAGGGCTAGCATTAAATGTGAAAGTTCAGCACGTTTTTCATGCTCATTATCACCCTTCGATATTTCAATTCCACTATGGGAGATTAGCCTCAGAGCAGATAGGAGACTAGTTTGCGAATTCTTAAACTTCGGGCTTTCAGTCCCAATAGCGGTAGAGTGGGCTCCTGTGCCATCAACATGATTACCAGGCTTTATCGCCTACGAGGGACCAATGTGTTGTGACGCCGTGCGTGGTGGAACAAGCAATGGGAGTGTGGAGTCCACGCATCGCAATGCGCGAGGCGTAAATGGCACCGGTGGATGACAAACCGGAGAGTCTCTTGTAGATAGGAACTAAAATGTGACTGACCTTCGACTCCAGTAGCCCGGCGCTGCTCGGTCTTTAGCATTCTGGATAACCTTTATCTGCTCATAGGAAGGATAGGTAGTCTATGAGCATGATGTGCCTCTTACCTGGAAAGTCATCGGGCCATCCCTAACCCCATAAAGGGTGTTCAATGGGTATTCAAGACCAGCATGGTTGCAACTTCGGCAGATGTGGCAATCCTTTAGCGCTTCCTAATGAGATCCACATATTATGTTAGTCACCGGTCGAATTTCGCAGATATATTGCATATCAGTAACTCGTCAGTTGTTAGTTAACTAACTATATCATTCTGCATGCCATGGCATAAACAGCTCTAGCTATGTCTGACTACAGAAGTCAAACAAAAGACATAGGAGGCTAAGCCAGCTATACAGAATACAATGCAGACTTACCTTTGCACCATTGCGTTCACAAGAGTCTTCTGCTTTACGCAGGTGAGCTGCTTCCTCGTTTAGGGTAGCCATGATGACTGTTTGAGAAAGGAATTAACAGAAAGTGCCGAGGACGGAAATAAAAGAAAAATCTCAGGAGTCACTTCGGTCAAAGAGGGAAAGACTAAAGTTAGGATTTTCGAAGGATAGTATATATTCAGAATCACCACACATTATACTCAGATTCCGCTCACTTGAGTGATCTAGTGATGCTTTCTTGTTTCTCATTGCTGGAGACAAGCTCTTAGCTATATCCATCCACTGAACTTATCATGCAGCTTAACGTCCATTCAGTCGACTTTCGGTTTATCTACCCTCGTTGAGGACTTCTTTCACGATAAATAGTTTCTAGTGGTTATGGACTAACATAATTTATCCAATGATTATAATTGATGAGTGGCCTCTAGACATTCATAATATGTACTATGTGTTGCTTTCCCAAATGCTTGGCCGAACGCTGTATTTTACCCCGGACTTTAGCGTGCGGCTTCTACGGCAGTCTATGTATACTTACTCTGTCCACCCTTTGAATTAGCACTACCTTTGCTAAATAATTGCTCTATTGCCATATATTGGGCTACAAACTAAACAAATAACTTGTACGGATCAAATAAAGATTTATAGCATAGATTATTTGATGTACAGATACACAATTCACGTACAAGATTTCACGGTGTAGAGACCGAACAAGAAAGTCAGCAGCTTACACGGCCTTGCCGTGTCTTTTTGACTGTTTTTGTTTCGATAACTATACTACAGGCTAAATTTGAACTGGCACACTGGCGGTAATATACTACCGTAGCGTAGGCTTTACTCAAATATCCTTCTAACTAGATATTCGGCTACTTGGCGACATGCGCATCGAGTCCCAGCATACCCGAGGTAACTCCCCCTAGTACATGCACTGGGGTCAATAAGCTAGTCATATATAGCCTCTTTGAGGCTCAACTATTAACTTCCATCAGAGCCAAACCTCATTGTTAGGTATCTGCACTATGTTGCTTTCCGTAGACATAAAAAACAGGCACTATGACCTACATGGCAAGATCTTTACCCGACTTTCTTCCAGGACCAGGTAGATTATCTCAAGCTTTCCCCAACTGCACTCTGCTCCCTCGTGGACTGACCTACAGCTTGGAAATATTGGATACTCCGCCTGGGCCATTCAATCAGCGGGTGTTGCCTGAGCCCATTTGAACACAGTTCATGGCAACTCTGTATTTTGACAGATTGAGCAATGAGTTTTGGCGGAAATTTGGCATCAATTCAATAGGGCGAGAATGGGGAAGTTGGAGAACAGTCAAATCAACTGAAATGCCAAGAAAGATAAACCCCCGCGATTCACCGGAGATTCGCTTCGGGTGGTACGGACTGCTCCGACTTCAATTCTTGACCTTTACAACTGTTTGATCTTTGTATATCTGTTCATCATCCTCTCTGTACAATGGCAGAATCCTCCCAAGTCGCGCCCCGCTACCTGACTGGCGATAAGGCCGGCCTCCGGGAGTTCCTGGATAAGTTTGATGTCAGTCCCACGTTTTTGATATCGATGTACTCGAAAGGTCCTATTTACTGATTGAATCATGTACAGGTCTTCCTTTTCGACTGCGATGGTCTGTCCCCCCTTCTCGCTCTACCACTGCCCCCTGCAGAAGGTCCCCCGCAGCGACCTGCGTCGCAACAACTACTGAGACAATGATAATTTAGGTGTATTATGGTCCGGTGATCACCTTTTCCCCGGAACAGTGGAGACACTGGAGCTTCTCCGAAACAATGGTGCGCATTGAATAGCAAGTCGACAAAAAGCGGAGGTTGATAATTCCTGCAGGAAAGCAAGTGGTCTTTGTGACGAATAACAGCACCAAGTCGCGCGCAGACTACCGCAAGAAACTCGAAGGCTTGGGCATTCCCAGTACAGTGGTCAGTGATACCACCGATTACCATGTCCGGTCCCCCAGTGCCTAGTGACTCACCCCCCCCAATAGGAAGAGATCTTCTCCTCCTCCTACAGCTCCTCTATATACATTTCTCGCATCCTCCAGCTTCCCGAAAACAAGCGCAAAGTCTACGTGATCGGCGAGACAGGCATCGAGCAAGAGCTTCGCTCCGAGAACGTCCCATTCATTGGCGGCACAGACCCCGCCTACCGTCGCGACGTCACACCCGAGGATTACAAGAAGATTGCAGCGGGCGATGAATCCATTATAGACCCCGAAGTTGGGGTCGTGCTTGTCGGTCTCGACTTCCATATGAACTACCTCAAGATCGCGTTGGCATACCACTACATCAAGCGCGGAGCGGTCTTCCTCGCCACCAACATCGACTCCACCCTGCCGAGCTCGGGGACTCTGTTCCCTGGCGCTGGCTCCATGAGCGCGCCGCTGATAATGATGTTGAATCAGGAGCCCATCGCACTCGGTAAACCCAGCCAGGCTATGATGGATTCCATCGAGGGCAAGTTCAAATTTGATCGTAGCCGGGCCTGCATGGTTGGTGATCGTGCGAATACGGATATTCGCTTTGGACTTGAGGGTAAGCTTGGTGGTACGCTGGCTGTTTTGACCGGTGTCTCGTCTAAGGAGGACTTTGTTTCTGGTGACGTTAGGCCTCATGCGTACTTGGATAAGCTTTCTGATCTGCTGGGCTCTGAGTAGAGCGAATGTGGATTAGATATAATAGATGTTGACTTTAGAGATAAGAGTATACAAACCAATCCATGCTCCTACCTTCCAAGGTACTGTACTCGGAAGTTGCAACTGGACATATTCGCCCGCAAAGAGGCTCTAGAAGATTGACTTGTTCATAGTCGCAACGCTGGATGAAAAGCGCCTTTGAACTACTTGCATGGTCATCTGGCCAACTGGCCAGGTCTAGCCAACTGGTGTTGCCAACTGGTGGATCTTCAACAATCTCTGGCTTGGCGGTAATATGGCCGTTACCAGCGCTTTGCATTATCGAGTACGGGGTTTTCAGGGACCATCACGACAACGTATGTTAGCTGGTAGAAAATCGTATACCCGGACCTAAATGCTTTCTGTATTTCTATATTTTACCGCTCGTTATTCTTATCCTTTACACTATAGCACTAAGCAAGGGAAGAAATATCTATTAAAAAAAAGGTATAGAATAAGGAAATATCCGAGACTTCAAGTCCCTTTCATTGTACAGAAGCCATAAACGAGATATAAATTATGTGGTATCATAAAACAGCTTGGTGTTCAGATTACAACCTATACCATGAAGTATAGAGGTTGTATCCAACGCGTGTTACTTTTGCAAAGGCTGCACTTGGTCGCTTGTAAGAGAATCTCTCTAATATTTATTGAGACGACCTCCAGGACCCAGCTTCTTCGGCATCGTATAAACCCAGCGATGAAGGACCTTCAAGGTCAAAGTCGTTCAATTCCAACCAAATATTGAAGTTCGACCCAGCCACATATTCGAGGGACTCGGGAGTCAAAGCCAAACCTTCATCCACAGTCTTCTCGGCGTCCCATATGTTCTCCCCAACCTGACAGGGCGAAGAATAGTCCATGTTTTCTTTCGTATCTGATTGTTTTTCGGACGTGCAACTCTCAGCCGGATAAGCGATGGGGACGGATGGCCCGTGTGCTGAGAGCGCATTGTGCATGATGATGACTTCAGTCAAGATGTCAACAGCCTGGAGTAACTTTTCAGAGCATTGGTGGTGGAACTGTTCCTTGAGTTCAATGGTTTCTCGATGAGGCCTCGAACTGTGTTTGGTAGAACGAAGCTCGAGCTGTTCTAAGACGCTTGGCGGTAACATATCCATCCAACGCCCGACTTCATTGTTCACATTGTGTGAGTCTTCCTCAGGACGTTGTCTTTTTGGATTGGTACGTGAACCCAAACTTCGAGGCTCGGTTTTCCTTTTTTGTGATACACCGGTGCTATTTGACTGGACGTTGCACGTAGGGTCTGGGGAGTGTTGTGACAGTGGCGTTTTAGCACTAGGCATATATTTGCTTGAGGCTGCCTTTTTCCTCCTCGGTGGAGCAACGCATTCCTTCATATCAAGTTTGCAATTGGTGCACGAGGTGCCTTGATTTAGGGCGTCGCAACGCACTTTTCGTTTGTGGCAAGCAAAGCAAGCCCATTTGGCTCGCCTCGGCCGGAATCCCATTTTGCCTTGGCTTTGTATGGCCTCATTCCCACCGGTATCCGGAAGGGTAGGTTGAGAAAGATGTTCGGTATCCATGTCTCTTGATATTTGTCACTGATCTTCCCTGTAACTATTTGAAGCAACTGGCTTTTATGCATTATTTATTTATCTACAGACTCTAATCGGTCGTTATTAGCGGGGCATAAACATGGTCTTCGGTACTCGGTTGCCGACTACCGGCATGGATTCTTGATTGAAAATCGCCGATGCCGAGGTATCATACTGGACTTCATCTTTTAACTATACCTTCAATGATACAGCGTGTCATTATTAGGCGTTTACTAAACCTAAAAGGATATCGGTCAAAACTCAACTTCGCACAAATTTGTAAACTTGGACATAGAACCAGTAGTCCACAACTTGGACAGCATTTTGCTAGGTGGCAGTGAGGTTAAGGATAATCAACTGTGTACAAGTACCCTTTTAATGGCACACTCGGCCTCTGAAGGACGACATCCCGGCATATTCGGCTGTAACAAGACGCCTTTCAGATTATTTGTAGGTCCAATTTCAGCCTTTAGGCAATGGACGGTTATATATCTTACTATATCTTACCCGAGGCAAGTGGGATCCCCCTGGCCCAGGGGCCCCAGGTAGAGCTATACCACATCAGGGTCATGACGGTCAACACCAAAGCCCTAAAAACGAAATATTTGATGTACTAGGTTATTATAGGAAGCTCCCTCAGAGCCCAAGGCATTCGATTAGGCTCATCCTACGACTTGATAAAATCAAAGTCACTATTCATCCTCCTTTTAGGACTTGATTGTTGCTTCCTCGCACCCTGAAATTCGAGCCTTCGGTTGACCGGACAAGGAACTCCTTATAGAATGACTTACTGCATAGGGATGTCACCATCCCCATCGGGAAGAGCTCTAGCAAGAGAAGCAATAAGTATCCCCTGTATCGATAGGTTAGTTTTGATACAAAAGATTCTGCAGAATCAATACTCACAATGTCGATTTGTTCAAAAAGGTTCAGTGGGTTGATATTGCGGTCCTTGGGGATATTTTATCAGCAATGAACCAATGAACTTTAGGAGGGTATTTTGTACTCGGCAAAGGGTTTCGACGGCAGCTCTCCAAAGGGCAAGTAGTGGACAACTCCGCTGAAGGTGTCTGGAGTCGTGGCAGAGATAACAAGTCAAGTTAATGCTGCGCTATAACATCATCTCATTTGTCAGTCATGGATCAAAAGGGATTCATTCATAGACTGACATATACATCATGGCAGTAGTGCGTTGAAGAACCAAGATGAGAAGGCAGAGGCATCAAATGCTTAAATATCACCAGGTATACTCTCCACTCTCCAGGCCGATACTTGTGGCAACACAGTAGATGCGATAGTACATAGTGGTGGAGAGCATATATTCTTGTGAAGTATGGCTTACCTGATGGTGTTGGCTTTGGGGTTGGTATGGTTGGTTTCGGGAGTAGTGTTGTCTATCAGCGTGACCAGCTCCTTGGTTAGCTCTACCAGCACGGCGAGGATCACGGCTGGCTCCATGGTGCTGCCTGGTAAGGTACGTAGAATCCATATCAAGATGAACGAAAATATGAGTCCGGATGTAGGATCGGCAGAATATGTAGGGCTATTGAAGACTTTGAGATTCCAGGCTGTCAGGAGATGAGGGTTGGTAGCAAGTGAGAATAAAAAGGCAAACATTGCAAGAGTACCTAGTCATGGTTGATTTTAAAGGGTTAACAAGGATTGTGAAAGAGATGAGCTCTTCTAGACTGCTATGGTTCTTACCTAGCCTTTTGTTTAGGATTGCCTGTATCTATCTCTTGCTTTATTGTCAAATGAAAGAAAGATCAAGGATATGCAGCGCCATAGGGCCGTGATCGCTGCCTATGATCTAGAGGAAATTACTTCACGCCGTTTCCAAGTCTGCGTTGCTATTGGTGTCAGTTCAAGCTCAATGTCCCGAGTCTTCAGTCAAAATCACCAAAATCGCAGCTTGTCTGCCTACTATTCGAGCAGCTAACCTTGAGACGCGGTGATACATAATCTCGAGCTATGTCTGTGCATAAATCAGGTCGCTCGGACTCATCATGGAGGCCTGTATCTAGTAGATTGCGCAAAAGCAACGTGGAAGGGTATCATGATCATTCCATTCGAACAAAATCTAAGTGCTAGAGAAATCCGAATATAACTCCTCAACCATATAGGCCATCGTTGTCCCAAACGCCATATTTCTTTTCAATCAAGTATTCTGGGAGTCTCACTGCTGACCGCGAGGGTCTAAGCTCGAACCGAGTTTTGATCAAAAGGAAATGCCTCTTAATTTCCACGCAGGACTCCAGCAATGCGTAATGCTAGGTCCAACATGGAGAGATGCTCGTCCGACCCGTCAACCAGCCGCTTGTCCATCTCCGAGAAGAGCATGACAATCTTATTTTTCTGAATATCGGGGATTGCCTCACTGAAAACTACACGGCGGTATAACTAGAAGAGGTCAGCAAGAGGTTATGATAAAATTAATAGTAGGACCAACCTGTCCAACAAGCTGCGTAGCACTCCAGCCATCGGCCACAAGATCCGTAATCACCCCCGAGACAGCCTCGTAGACCGATCCACCACTCTTGGGTTGCATAGCTTCCACAAGAGAATCCAAAATATCATCCGGTAGCACACCGGCAATTTCCTCAATGCTGCGAACCGTAATAACACTGGAATTGCTACCGGCATCCGTCATCTCGGCATCATCATCAGCATCCTTTACAGCAGGCGGCTTCGTAGCACCGACCAAGCGCGCCGCACTCTGCAGATACGTGATAGCACGACGCAAGTCACCATCGCCACACCGGATAAGCGTATCGATGACCCCATCCTCGAGCTGCAAACCCTCCTGCTCCGCAATATTCGAGATCCGCTCACCGGCGGCGCTATTATCCAGCATCTTGAACCGGAACTTGCTGCATCGACTAGCAAGCGGCTCGATGATACGTGTGACATAGTTGCAAACAAGACAGAACCGCGTGATCCGACTGTATGTCTCCATTGTGCGGCGCAGAGCGGACTGTGCGTCTTGCGTCATGCTGTCTGCCTCGTCGAGGATGATGATCTTGAATGGTGGGCATGGGTACTGTGCACGGTAGGCGGCGTCCAGGCCGGTTGGTTGAGAGAGCTGGGCTCTGGCGAAATTCTTCACTTTGTCGCGAACGATGCCAATACCGCGCTCGTCGGAGGCGTTCAGTTCTAGGATTCGGGAGCGGTAAAGGGCGGGCCCGAAGAGGGATTTGGCAAGGGCGAGGATTGTGGATGTTTTTCCTGTGCCAGGGGGTCCGTAGAAAAGCATGTGGGGGAGCTGGATGGGGTTACTTCAATGTCTCAAACTGTTCGGAGCTGGGTGGTTTACGTTTGAAGCTTGCAGAGTGCGCCGCAAGACTTTGGTGGTGTGGTCTTGCGCAGCAACATCATCTAGGGTCTTGGGGCGGCTAATAAATGTTAGTTAAATGCTGGGTGCGCTCGAAATAAAGCATTGACTCACTATTTCTCAACCCACGGCTGGAGTCGAGTGGAATCTTCCTTGTTGTCACCAGCCTTGAGCTTGGAGCTGCTGGATGCTGCGGCGGCAGCGGCACGAGCTTTATTATTGAAAAAAGAGGCAGCCATTGTGGTTAATGAACCCGAAATCTAGGAAGCCAAGGTTATCTCGAGAGCTGGTCCGCGATGTGTTGAAGATCTCTCTCTGACGCCCTCCACAATCAAGACGCGTCTCCACGTGACACGCGCAGCACTTAAACACTGACCAATGAGAGCAGCTTACCTACATAGGTATACATCAAGCCCATCACCACCGTCAATGCTGGTATTATAGAGTACAAAGATCAATGTTGCAGGGGTCATGATTGCATGGTATCTCATTAATGCTTGTATCAATATCTATAGCTCATCTCGCATCGGCTCCTCCATCCCAGCCTCGAACATCCTCTTCTTTGTATTCCGGGGAAGCTCTGCTTGTCTTGCCCTCTCCTCCGGGGTCACATCGTCAATATCTATGCTTTCTTGTTTCTCTTGCTCAACCATGTCACCAATTTCGTCAATTACACGATTGTTGTCGCTCGGTGCTGACGGCTCTTGCTCCCGGGCAACGCTACTGGCTGTGACGGGTTCTGTTGCAGCTGCCGTGGCCATTTGCTGAATAGCGGTAGAGACATCCCCTGAGAGGGACTGAGAAGCAGATTGCACAGCTGTAGTGGACAGTCCGGCTGCACCTAGTGTCGCAAACGCAACCCGCGCGATGAGCTTCAAAGGCAGCCATACAAGCCACCAAAGAGGCCCATAGAAGACACGTCGGAATAGAAGCCAGCCAATTGTCCCAAGAAGAATATAGAAAGCAGTCTCAAGGTACCATGTGTCGGACTTTTGAGAGCGGAGAAGAGAGTTAGCCAGGCTGCGGGATGAAGAGAGAAGTGTATCAAGGCTGCTATAGGACTCAGACAGAGATGAGATCGCAGCTGTGGATTGTTCTAATCAAGAGATATTAGCGTCTGGGAGGATCAGGAAAAGGAAAGAGGTACTCACCAAGGGTCGATTGGGCAAACTGGCTGCGGGAGAGCTCCGCCTGCATAAGTTGATGGGTCCTGCGCAGCGCAGATGTCACGTCGTTCGAGGCGTTCAGAACAAGGTCATCCTGCGTGAACTTCTCCGTCGGCTGCTTCTTATCGGAAGAGTGCGATCTTGATAGCAGCAATTCTCTCTCCTTCCGCTTGGCGAGTTCGGCATTCCGCTTCGCTTGTAATTGGGCGGTTCGGAAATCTCCTCGTGTTCTAGAGGGCTGGTTAGCATATGCTCCAAATTTGAAGTCTAGCCAGTGGACCACGACAAGGAAATATCTCCGGCATGCGCAAGTCCTCTAGGGGTATCTTACCTCTTGAGATCCTCGGCCAATCGTCCTGCCATAGAAATAGCCCGCTCGCTCTCAGCATCCTTTGGTGCATGGACAGCAGATGCCTTGCGCCTGCTATCTGACCCAGTTTCCAGCGCTTCGATCTCCACACGCAGCAGCTCTAACTCCTGCTCGGCTTCCTTTAGCCGGGAATGTATCTCACTCCCAAGCTCTAGGCGGGCTTCATCGCCCTGTTCAATGGATGAAGTAAAATCGCGCAGTCGATGCACAAGGGGCTGGATTTGTTCTAGGGAAGCCGAGAGCTCTTTCACGCGTCCCTGGAGAGCTGTCGTGGGGGACATCTTGCGATAAGAGTATTGCTTGTTCGAATGTGACGCATTCAAGTACTGTCTGTTCGAGGAGTTGAAGAGAAATTTCGGAAAATAGACACCGGCGGAGAATATTTTGAAATATTTGAAGCAATAAGTTGTTTGATAAATGTCGAGTTGTTCATCTTAAAGTTGCCATGTTGACGGGCGTCATTCGGCATGGTGTTTGCATCCAAGTCAAACATGCCCCATTCCTTCAACCGCAATTCGCAACGGAGACTCGGATGTGATTAGAACTTCTAATTGACCTTGCGCCATTGCCTATTAGACTTGTCGCAGACCGGCTGAGATCTACGAAATTCTCCCCTTGGACCAATCTTCCTTCGAAGGTCATTTGTCCAACCGTTGCAGAATCAACCCCAGAAAACACCACCTTTAAAAAACTTCCCGCCAGCCCTCATCCACTCAGGTACGCAACAACGGAACCAAGACAGAGCCACATGATATCACACGCTCTTAAAATAACAAAAAAAAAACTGATCAATTTACCAGTCCGCTACATCTCCCCACCCGGTTCACCACCCTAAACCGCAACAATGACCATCCCCATCGCCACGATAACCAGCTTCCGAACCGCCTACAACCCCTTCTCCCGAGCTGCCCGGCCATGCCGCCTCTTCCTGGGCATGCTGCGCACACCAGACACTATCCCAACAAGCAGCCCGACTCACATCGATATCAAGGTCACGCAGTTGCCCCGCAACTCCACCGAGTCACCGACCATGACTGTCGGGTTTAAGGGCGGCAAGGAGCTTATGCTGGATGTTGGAAAGCGCGGGCTGAAGATTGGCGATGTTATCGAGGAGGTGTCCCGTGTTGGCAGAGCTCTGCAGCGGGAGGCCAGCTTGAAGAACTAGTGGAAAGTTGTGTTGTTCGAGCTGTGTATTCGTGTATTATATTACCTATCATTTGTTTCATCTGACGATTTTTGGCGCTGCTGGGCATAATGGAATACTTGGTTTATTCTTATGTTCCTACTTTGGTAGAGAAGAAAGGCTGTTTATGCTTCTTCGTACCTGATATAAGGCTTAGTGGAGTAGATTTAAAGATATTGCACAAGCTGGAGTTGAAAATGGTGATTGTTTCATTGCTATCCAGTTGTTTGGATTTGCATTGGTCCATCAGAGACTACTCTTCTCTACGCTAGGGTGGTAAAGAGGAAATATTGAGATCAATTCATTCACAATTCAAAAATGAGTCCTTGCCTCGGGAAATCGAAGAATGTGATTTCCACCAGGTAGACGATCATAGGCTTGAAAGTTTTGGTTAGTTTTATATTCTTCTTGCAAAAAATATCATTTATACTGCGGCACCTGAGATGAAGAACCACTTGTCAATGCTGCCATCAATAGGAGCAGGGGGCAGGGTCTCGTTGCGGGGGATGGCAGCGAGCTGAGCCTGGTCAACACGGTCGGCAGAGTTGTCAATGGTGGTGTTGGCACTGGTCCTGGTTAGCTTCAATACCCTCAAAAGCAAGGATATGTACATGGATAGAACTCACAGGCTGATCTCGCCACGGGGGTCTTGCCGGAGACAAGCTTCTCCCAGGCATCGGAGCACTCGCGGATGACATCCTCGGCGTACTTCTTGTTCTTGCACTCGCCGGAGAAGGCGAACTGGTTCTCGGGCTTTCCGTCGGGGATCTTGTAGATGCGGAACCACTCGTTGGTGGCGCGCATGAGGCCGGGAAGCTGACGCTCGACATCCTCGATGTCGTTGAGCTTAGGAGCAAGGGGATCGTTGACATCGATGACAATGATCTTCCAGTCGGTCTCCTCCTCGTCAATCAGGGCCATGACACCGAGGACCTTGACCTGCTTGACTTGGCCAGTGTAGCCAACAAGCTCACCAATCTCGCAAACGTCAAGAGGATCGTCATCACCCTTGGCCTTGGTCTCGGGGTGGATGGAGTTGGGGTCTTCCCAAGTCTGGTTCATAAGTCAATTTTGTCACCCCTCTTCCTATCCCACGGATGTGGTGGGGAGGTCGAAAACTTACGCGAGGGAAGGCACCGTAGTTCCAAAGGTAACCCTTGTGGGGGAAGCAGTTGCGGACGAAACGGAGCTTGCCCTTCTTGGTGTCCTGCTTGATGGGGTTGAGGAACTCATCCTTGGAGATCTGTTGATGCAATCAGCATTTGGACGAGGGTCAATGGAGGTGGTGTTGTCGTACCTCCTGCTTGGCGTTGGTCCAGCGAGGGATCTCAACGACCATGTTCAGGATGGTTTGCTGCTCGTTGGCATAGAGGGGAATATCGTGGAAGGGGGAGACGGGGACGCCATCCTTCTCAATGAACACACGGTGCTCGAGGGTGTATGGGGAACCGATCTTGCGGACGGAGTAAGTCATGTTGGGCGAAGTAGACGAAAAGTGTCTAGATACTTGGGCCACACGGGATAAGGGAGAAGAAAAGGGAGAAGAGGGAGGGGCAATAGAAGTGGGGGGCAGCGCTGCTGATGTGCGCCAAACAGAGCGGGAGGCGGTGGAGGTAGCACTTCCCAGTCGGGCCAAGGGAGGACAAGTCATTGGCTCTGTTGGAAACACTTTTTAATGTTATTTTGGGGGTTTTATTTAGTATTTTTGATCCAACCCTTGAAATTGTACCTTCAATCACAGGTATAAGTTGTGATGCGTGGTGGTGTTACCCCTTAACTGTGTTGGAAGGGTGTAAAAAAATCTATAAAAAAAAACATGGCAGTTCCGAAAGTCGGCATCTATGATCATCCCGAATCAGATTGATATTCCGACTAGATCGATTGTCGATGTACAACAAATTGAAGTCTTGTGCTCTCACTACGAATGAAGACATACTATACTATACATGTAGGTACATGTACACTATATCTATTAGCTACTTGACAGGATGTACACTGCATGTACCTACCCGAGCCCGAGAGAGACACGCCGATATCGGCAGTATACGCGTCCTACAAATCTAATTGCAATTATGTTCACTTCAATTGTCGAGATAATCTTGGAAATATCAAGCCCTCGAAAGAACCTTGGAATTGTAGACAATCACAAAGGAGATGTCGTGATCCTTGGCAGGGAATGGGGTCCATTCATTGGTTGCTTATGATATCGGAAAATGGATGACCCGCCGAAATAGCTTTGTCAGGTTTAAATTACCAAAGTACATGAAAATTACCAACTTGCCCTGGAAAAAAGGTTATCGCCACTATCTTCACGTGATTCAACCTTTCCATCGGGAGTCCCTCCGACCAGGGAAAAAAAAAAAGATTGTTTTATACCCTCTCCCCGCACCTGGGAATGCTATGATCAGAACTCTCCGCAAGACAATGGCAACCCTCGCAACCACAACTGCAACTGCCTCCGCGCCGGCCGTTGTGCCGCGCGTGCCTATCCCTGCCAACGGCGTCGACTACCGCAACAAAATCGTCCTCGCTCCAATGGTCCGATCAGGCGAACTACCTTCACGCCTACTGGCACTGAAATATGGCGCCGACCTCGTCTGGGGCCCCGAAACTGTCGATCGCTCAATGATCGGCGCCGAGCGACGCGTGAACCCGCGAAACGGCACAATCGAATTCACCCGTATGCCCAGCAACGGCGGACGTCCCAACAAACCAGTCAAAGAATCAATCCTCTACCGCATCGACCCAGTGCGCGAAAAGGGCCGTCTGATCTACCAAATTGGCACGGCCGACCCAGAGCTAGCAGTACAATCGGCGCGCGTCGTGGCCGCTGACGTCTCAGGCATCGATCTCAACTGTGGCTGCCCAAAACCCTTCTCCACAAGCGGCGGAATGGGCGCTGCACTCCTCCGCACCCCCGACCTCCTCGTATCAATCCTCGAAGCCCTCGTCAAGGAAGTCGGCGAACCCTTCCAAATCGGCATCTCGGTCAAGATCCGCATCCTCTCCAAGCCCGAAGAAACAGAGGCCCTCGTCTCCCGCCTCGTGAAAACAGGCATCACAGGCTTGACAGTGCACTGTCGCACGACTCCCATGCGGCCGCGTGAACGCGCAATTCGCGACCAGCTCCCCATGGTAGCGCGCATTTGCCACGAGGCCGGCGTGGCGTGCGTGATGAACGGCGATGTGACATCGCGCGACCAGGGCCTCGAACTGATGGCCGAGCACGGCGTTGACGGAGCGATGATCGCGACCTCTGCGGAGACCAACTCGTCTTGTTTCCGGAGTAAGGAGGATGGCGGCATCGCGCCGTGGCGGGATGTCGTCTATGATTACCTGCAGTTCTGCATTGAGGCTGAGAATCGTCTGGGCAATACCAAGTACCTGTTGAATATACTGATCCCTGGCAAGGACAAGGAGTTCAGGGATACGAAACTGTGCAAGACGTATCTTGATATCTGCCGCGGGTTGAAATTCGATGATCTGCTTCCTGCTGCTGCGCGTGTTGATCAGATACTCGGTCTGGATGAAAAGTGGGAGACTGCCCCCGGCGTGACCGATACACCACAGACCCAGTCTGAGCCTAAGTCTAAGGCTGTGCAGAATGCTATGGAGTCCGAGGCTGCTCGTGCGGCTGGCGGCGGTGCCGTTCGGACTAAGACACCCTCGCCAGCCGTTCATGGAGGTGGTCCCATTCGGCGGTCTTCTGCTCCTCAGCCGGCCAAGGTTACTCAAGTTGACGCTGAGCAGCCAGCTGTTGAGGCTCCTATTCCCGCTGCACAGGCTCAGGCTCCATCTCAGGTGACGGTTTAAATGTTGCTTTACGCCTTAGGTTCCATTTATCGTCCATCATTGCTTTCTTTCACGGTGTTCTCGACCCACTATGCATAGCTCTCGGTTTTCTCTGCTTTCTCTCAGTTCACTATTCCTTTTGTGTTGCTTGTACCTATCTGCATTCTGAGGTGTTTTTGATTGCTTCCACCTGTTCTGTCTATAGATTATTCCCCACTTACATACCTCATGCTCACCCTTGATGACTACCTTCCTATTATAATACATACCACTACGCGTTACAAAGCTTAGAAAAATTGTGCACTAAATAACAGTTGGATTTTTGATCCTCTAATCTAACAAATGATATGCGATTCCCGGAATCGCCATGATATCAAATCAACCCCACTAAACACCATGTGTTAACTGTGCCATCTTCAGCACGGTATTAGATGCAATATCAGCATGACCATGCAGATACGCACAATAGAAACTCCAGTATGACCCTTTTCTTTTCTTTTCGTGTTTTTGTTTCTCTTTTGTTTTAGTTTGTTTTGATTTGCTTTGTGCTCGCTCACTTCTCTGCCTTCACCTTCAGCTCGGCCATCATCATTCCCTCGACGACCTTCATGCCGGCCTCCTCGCCCTTCTTGGCACCGGCCTCGTCCTCTCCAGCCACGGCCTGGTCAAGTGCCAGCTTGGTCTGGCCCAGTGCGTAGATTTGCTCCTCGATGGTGTTTTTGGTCACCAGACGGTAAATTTCAACCTCGCGGGTCTGGCCGACTCGGTGGGCACGGTTCTCAGCCTGCACATCTTCCTGTGGGTTGAAGGAAGAATCGAAGATGACCACGCGATTGGCACAGGCTAAGTTGATACCGGCACCGCCGGCCTTGGTAGACAGGAGGAAGACGGGGATCTCGGTGCGCTCGTGGAAGGCGTCGAGGATGGATTGGCGGTCCTCGACGTTCGTGCGGCCATCCAGGCGGACGAATTCAATCTTCAAGGTTTCCAGAACATACTCAAGGATGTCCATAACCATCGTGAATTGAGAGAAGATGAGGGTGCGATCGCCATTGGCGATGAAACGGGTGAGAAGCTCTTTGAGGTGCTCCACTTTGCCGGAGTCCATCCATTCGTCGTTCTTGAGCTTGAACTTGCCGAGGGAATTGGGGTTTTCCACACACATGTGGTGGCACTCGAAGTCATTGTATGGCATAAGCTCCTCAAGAATGATATTAGGGTCAGATAGCGACCACTTGTCTTCCTTCAAACAAGCTTTAGCCATCTTCCGTAGAATCTCATCGGTGTAGTGACGACGAGCAAGGAGGGGGTGAATAGCAGCCTGGCGCAACTTCATGAGAATGTTGGCCGACTTGGAGCCAGTCTTCTTTCCAGCTTCACGGTCTGCCAAGAGCTGGCGCACTTGCTCTTTTTCATGATCGTAGATCTTGACCTGGGAAGGTTTCATTTGACACCAACCAACATGGGAATGCTTGGCCGGAAGATCAATGACCTGGTGTTTCTTTCGTCGGAGAATGAAAGGTTTCATCATGGACTTCGCGCGCTCAATGCGCTGCTGAGATAGGAGAGTGGCGTGGGACTCATCGGTCGTCTTTGCCTTGTTAGAAAACACTGCATGAAGGTCTTCCTTGTGCTCCTGGAAGACCGAGGGAAGAATAAAGCCGAGGAGAGATGCCAGCTCCTGCAAGTTATTCTGGAGAGGTGTACCGGTGAGAAGCAGACGGAAACGTGCCCGAATTCGAATCAATTTTTCATACAGCTGAGACTGATGGTTCTTCAGCATGTGGCCTTCATCATAGACACAAACAGTGAAATCCATGTCGCGCAAGAACTTGGCATCAAGCTTTGCCTTGGCAATCGTGTAGGTAGTGATCACAACGTTGATCTCGTCACGTCGTTCTTCGATCTCATCACGGATGAGAGCACGCTCGTTGAGACCAGCGTAGTAAGGCATGACGCTCAAGGTCGGACAGAATTTCTGGAACTCGCGAAGCCAGTTCTCAATAGTGGAAGATGGGACAACAATCAGGTGAGGGCCCTTAATGCCCTTCTCAAACAGATGCGCGAGGAATGCAATGACCTGGCAAGTCTTACCCAGGCCCATGTCGTCAGCCAGGATGCAGCTGAGCTTCTTTTCAAACAACAATGCCAGCCAGTTGATCCCCACAACTTGGTAATCCTTCATCACCAGGTCGTCGGCCATGATAGACGGTTGTGAGATGAAACGAGATTTGCGCTTCGAAACAACCAGCTTGCCGCTCTCTTCGTCGCTTTCGGAAGATTGGCGTTCAGATGCCGGGGTAGCAATACCCGAGTCGTGTTCCGGTTTGGAAGGAGTCAGGTTGGTAATTTCCAGATCGCCCTTCTTTCCGAAGGTGTCGACACCCCATTTCTTCATCTCCTCGGCGACTGGCTTGCCAAGTTCCTCAACCTCGCCAACAAGAGCATCAATGGCCAGGTATCCAGTCCACATATCAATACACTTGTCGACAATCTTGTCTCCAATGGGCTTAGGGGCCTTGCCTCCTCTCTTGCCCTTGGGTTTCACAGTCTCTACAACTGGGGCAGAGACCACACGCACCTCATCGAGGGTCTCGTATGGACGGTTCGAAATGATGATTTGAGCAGTTTCTTCGGGGATGGAGGCAATATCAGCGAGATCTTGCACACGGCATGTGTTGAAGAATTTCAAGACCTTGGAATCCAAACCGCCAGCGGTGGGTTCCTGGACCTGGACATTTGAATCGTCCGAATCACTCATCATAGCCTCGGGGGATTCGGACCGGTCAGGCGAAGGAGCTTTGCGGCCCTTCTGAAGTCGCCCCAGCTTCTTTTTCTGGGGACTGTCATCTATGATTGTGATAGCACGGACAGGAGAAACGGCACGGGAAGAGCTGTCAGACTTAGGTCCACGAATGAGTCGGCGGCGAGGTTTTCCTTCGTCATCGGAATCCTGGCCCTTGGGCTGCTTCATTGCCGCCCACTTGTCCTGAATGGTGCCACGAGCTTTGATATTCTGCTTGGCCATGGGAACCGGGCCCGTGGCCGGGGAGCCGCTCAATTCATCATCAGAAGATTCAACCACCACAGGACCATTTTGTTGGTCGGTGGCATCCATGTTGGCAAGGATTTGAAGGGCATCGTCGTAGTTACCCTTTGCTTTCAACATCGCTTCCATACAGATTCGAACAGTCATATGCGGCATAACTTTGAGAATGCGCTCAACTTTGACGCGGAGTCTGAAGTCGTTAATTTCATGGAGCAGGATGTCTGGAGTTCCCACAGGCTGTGCGCGAGAGGGCGCATCTTGGCGCGCTTTTTTCATGGCAACTCCCTTCGTTGCCGGCGGACTCATCTGGTCCGCAGTCCGCTTGATTGCGGGTGCAGTATTGTTCGGATCGTACATGGCAGAGGTTGTGATTTCTCGGAACCGATCCATTGGCCCGGCCTCAGGGCGGACGGGCGACTCCATGATCTTTTCTTTTTCGGGACCCCGAATGGTTTTTGCAAACGTAGATGGTTTAATGTCTGTACTCTGTAGGTGATACTCTTCGTCTGATGAGCCACCACGATATGTCGGTCCGTCGTCGAGATCAAACTTGGGCGTTCGTTTTGTAGGACCAGAAGCAGGAGGTCGGAATTGAGTCCCAGAAGGAGCGATTAAAGACGAAAGTGAGCCTCCTTGGACTCGGCGGGGAGGGGAAGAGACTGGACCAATGGGTGAAGATGCAGCAACTTGAATGACAGTATTGTTATGGCGCGAGTAAGGATGTTCAAGTAGTTGTGTTGGTTGGGTGAATCTTTGCGATGGGGTCGCTTGAAGAGTGGCGATAGTTTCGTAGTCTTCGCCCGGGGGGTACTCGGAATGGTTTTTATATCTCGAGAGGGAGTATTATTGACAGATTCATCCATCGCTCCAGGGCTCACAATGCTAACAATGTCATCAATAATAGGAGCCATTAAATCGTTCTGCATTATTCAGGAACGTTTTTTCTGCCAAAGCGGACACGCGCGACGGACGCGCCCAATCACGTGCGAGATCTGTCAATTAAGCACTGAATAGGAACAAAGGAATAGAGAACATGTGAATCTCATAAAATTCATTGAATATGATTTAGCTCTATACTCAATGAACAATAGATATCAAGTTTCCTAAAATGGAATGAAACAATAAAGGAATCACATGAGCATATACCTTTCAACCCACCAATCAAACCCCGGCATGTGATGGCACCAAGTTATCCGTTATCTCCGCACTTCGATAGCTTCAGCTATTCCTCTTTCAACCCAGGCCTTCCCTTTTCATCTTTTGGCCTTTTGACTCTCTTAATTACTCCTAAAGAATACAACCTTGGAAGGATGTCTGCCCGTCGCCCCCACAACCAGTCATACGCCGATGTTGCGGCGAAGCCTGCGCAAGGCAGTTCCGATGTGGCCCCAGCTGTTCCTGCGTAAGACAATAGCCTTAGAAGCTTCAGTCCTTGAAGACAGGTTCTTATTAGCTTCTGTATCTAGAGATGTGATTTACAAGCTCCTTGGCTTCACAGCTGCCATGATCGTTGGCCCCATTGGCATGTATTTCTTGACTGTGAATACAATCTTCAGTGGTGAGTATTTTCTACCCTCTTAACTTGCAATGACATATACCGATTGAATTGATGTTACCTAGGGAGCTCAACGCTCGCCGGAATCACCGCCGCCGTTACTGCCAACGTGGTCTTGTTCGCATATATCTATGTCGCCTGGACGGAAGACCAAGAGGACAGGCAGCCAGCCAGCAAGTCAGATTCAAAGAAAGCCCAGTAGGCTGGATAAAACTCGATCTTGGGGACTTTCAGAAAACGATCTTACTCTTTTTGGCGTTACGGCAGTGTTCGGGTGGTTGGGGGTTCTGTTTTTGTATAATTGGGGTGGAACAACTTCGACCATCTAAGGACTCAATTGTAAAACTACACATTGACCAAGCTATTCATCCGACTGGTAGATATTCTGGATGTTTTCAGGATATCAAGCTCCACACTTCAATCCCGTCAGTCAAGGCCTATATTAGAAATGTGTTGTTCATGTTGAAGGAACCACATATAGAGACAGAAAAGAGACCTCAACCCATGCCCTCAATATAGACAGATACGCCGATATGCAGTTCCAAACAGAAACGACTCTCTCACATATTCCAACTCCCACCTTACTACCAGCTCCGCAGCGGCTTAGGTAGGTCTGCGTTTGACAAACTCCTCCAAGTCCGCCTTGGTAGCAACACCAAGCACAAACTTGCGCGCCACATCGGTGACAACGGCAAACTGCTGCTTTTCGCGCTTTTCGCCATTTGGCCCCGACTCGCTCTCGAAGAACTGCTCGAGCTCCTCGAGCGGCGTCTCCATCGTGATGACTTGGTAGATGCCACGTTTGCGGTTGAAGCGTTGCATGGCCGCTGAGACTGGGTCGCTTTCTTTCACAGTTCCGTTCTGCAGCAGCTCCCGTAGCCGTGGAATGCTGACATAGCCCATCAGGGAGCGCTTTGTCGGGGAGATAACGGTGAGGTGCGTGTAGTCGCGCTCGTAGGCGGCCATTAAGGCTGTGGAAATAGGATCATTGGAGGAGACTGAGAGCGCCGGGGGAGGGTCGAGGTCTTCAATTGTTGCCTGTGTTGTGTGTTAGTCTTGAGGTTTGGTGGATGATTGTATTGCGAGAGACGGACACCGCGGTACTTATCGGCCCAGGCTGCTGTAGATGTGTTTGTTTCGGAAGTGGCTTCCTTCTCGCGAGTGAAGGCCTCGCTGCCGGTCAGGTATGATGCCATTCTGGGTGTGATCGCAGTGAGGGGTTGGTGAGGGGCAGTGGATGGGTTTGGGGTGGTTGTCGAGGAGAAGTACCGGTGAGTGGAAAAGTGGTGAATTGGCCCAGATGTAAATATTGAAAAGTCAAGGTTCCTCAGTAGGGTATACCAAAGTGCAGGGTCAAGAGCTTTCAGCCGTTGCGGGATGACTTTTTGATGTCAAGCTTGGCATCTCTTTGACTCCACTACGGAAGACGCTTGCGGCCACGGCGGTTATCAGATCCTTATACAAGTGTACCTTTTACTAGGCAGACCATATAAAAGGTAGATGTGTAAATGCTTATTTTTCTCATTATATTAGAATCTTTTGGTTTTATGTATAGTATTAACATTCTACTACCGTTATAATACTTTTATAAAATCCTAAGCCCAATTTCTAGGGACGCCTATATATTTACATATTTTATGTTAGGCGTGGAGTGGGTTAATTTTTTAAATTGTGATACTATAAGAGGGCTCCTAGAATATAGGAATTATGGAGATTATTATATATACTACCACCTATGTTTCGGGTTGGCCATGCCTGGTGCCTGGGTCCATTGATCGACCGATATCCATTCGTGCCTCAGCCGCCGCGGGGCCTCATCGTCGCTCATCCTCTGTCATTCTCCTGGCGGAGTCGAGCTATTTTCGGCTCCTCTGTTGACCGTTCTGCTTCGACCTGGCTTTGAACCTCCGCACGGGTTCCTACCCCGGAACCTCAAACGAGGTGAGGTTCCAACCTTCCTAACATCCAACCGTCTATTAACCTCTAGAGGTTCGTTGAGGTTTCAACTTCTATCGACCCGCATGAACCTATATATGTATAATTTCTTGACGCCTTTCCTCTTTTAGCTGGATAAAATTGATTATTTATCTCTGTTTTTTTTTATAGCTATTGTGAAGGGCTGTAGCTGAATTGACTAAGTTGGGCTAGGCTGACATACTGCTTACAACAATCTTGCCAGAAGCAACTATCTACGGTCGTTCCCTAGGTGTTGAGGCATCTGGACACGTGCATCTAGTCTTCCGGACCCAACCTAGGACCCAGGCCCCATTGAGGCCCAAAACCAAACTCTTGGCGTTCATAAAGCTGCTAAATAAGCAACATGTAATCTTTGTATTTTTCGCGATTTGAGATCGAACCTACACTAACTTATTAGATATCAATTTTACAAAACTGAACGAAATAAACGCTTGTATCATCTTATACTACCCAGAGATTAGTTTATTACTAGTAAAATTTCAAAGATAACGATGGTGATACTTGATGGTTTGGGTTTACTAACATGGTATCTCAACTGCGACGTATAGGAGTGTTTCTGGCTAATGGTTTTTAGGCAATATCTGACCTTAGTATAGAGTCTAGAGAGTTTTTATAACTTTGGTAAAAATATATATCTCCTTAGAGCGATTTAAGTTTCGATACCATGATATTGCAACTTTTTGGTTGCCTTCAAATTGATACATCCACTAAGGAGTAAATATGGAATTAACCAAGGACATTGTTGTAATGTATCCCATTTACTATGTGTTTCGGACTGCGTTACTCGCTTGTGTGCGTCACTCGCATGTGAAATCCGTGATAGGGATCGCCTCTAACTGACTGGCTAACTTTTAACGCGTTCCGTGTTGGGTGGGCAATTCCAAATAAATCAGGCAAATGAAGGCATCAACAAAAACGAGCTATTGGCGATGTGACACCTTACCTTTCCCCTTGCCATATTTTCATGCATAGCCCTCTTCCTTTCCTTCCTCTTTTACCCCTTCAATCGTGTCAAATTGGAGAGAAACAACGGGATACCGAAATAATTTACCAGCATGGCTTCATCTGACCACCTTGACAACATGACCTCATTCGAGAAGAAGCCAATGGGATACGGATGGCGCTCGTCGAAATTGTTTATCCTAACTTGTATTACATTAGCTTTATTTTCAGGTTTGTGCAGAACACGCCATATTGGAATTGGGGGTGACATGGGCTGACATTCTTTAGAAAACTTTCTATACAGCTTCGTTGTCCCAATACTAAAGTATATGATCGAGGATCGTCTTCACCTCGACCCTTCCAAAACCCAAGGTATCACATCAGCAGCACTTTCAATCCATGCCCTGGCCTGCTTCGCGTCTGGGCCAATTATCGGTAATTTTGCAGACCGATATTCTTCACGAAAAGGTCCTATGCTGCTCTCTTTATTGGGAGAAATATCAGGGACAATCATTGTCGCTGCGGCCACATCCTGTATGTCATCGTCTGTCTTGATTTACTTATCAATATCCTGGTTAGAGCTAACCTATACGGTTTGGGTAAAAGTGCCAGTACTTCTTTTTGGGCGTGTGATTCAGGCCGTTGCCGGCAATGCAGCATGGATTATTGGCTTCGCAACAATTGCGGACACCGTTGGGGCCGAGAATAGGTCGCGAACTATGTCAACAGTTTCAGTATTTTTTATTTCTGGGATGCTATTCGGCCCAATGATCTCGGGCTCGCTGATAGGTCTTGTTGGATACTGGTCAACCTGGCTTGCAGCGATTGGTATCCTCGTAATTGATGTGATCATGCAGCTTCTAATGATCGAGAGACCCAAAGGCGAAATGAAGGACGCTGAAAACGTATCTGGGTCTGGCTTCCGCTCACCAGACGAGACATCCAATCTTCTTTCCGGGCAACCTAGTCAACTTCAACCCGACCGCAGTTCACGGCAGAGTTCTTCTACCACATGCAGAGATCAGAGTTTCTACGGAGTTATTCTAACTAATCCCCGTGCTCTGACTGCCATGGCATGTCACGCAACTATCAGTCTTACCCTAGCCTGCCTCGACACTACCCTGCCTTTGCATGTCTCTCGAACCTTTGGTTGGGGTCCTTTTCAGATAAGCTTGATGTTTTTACTTTTACAATTACCGACATTATTGCTTTCCCCTCTCACTGGATGGATCAAAGACCGCTGGGGAACGAAAGCTCCGTCTGCGGTAGGATTCATACTTCATGCCCCTCTATTCTGGCTCCTCGGCGCTGCAGGTCCCAAAGGTCTGTCATTCGTGGGCCCAGCGCAAATAAGCGAAACAATCTACACATCTATCATTGTCGGGTTGGGTGTTGTCCGAACGCTTGTTACTGGCTGTGGCACAATAGAGATGACCGGTTAGCATTCCTTGGCCAGTGATTTTATACAATCTACCTGTGTTTGGTTAGGTGTTTTGTGCTAATCCCTCCCTATACACCAGGCGTTATTACCGAGCTGCAGGAAACGCGACCGGCCATATTTGGCTCCGGTGGTGGATTTTCAAGGGCATTCTCTCTTATAAACATGAGCTGGACATTCAGTATGTTCATTGGGCCAATTCTGTCAGGCATTTTGACCGAGACAGTGGGATATTACTACATGAATTTGTGCCTTGGTTAGTGAAATCTCACCGTTTAACGAACGATACCAATCTGACTAGTCTCCGATTTATTTTAGCAACGATTTGTGCTGGGTCTGGTATCCTAGCTTACAAATACTTTGAGATGAAGTGAAAGCAATGGCCAGCATTGGATTTCACAGGAAGATGGCAGCGGAGGTTCTCGGCTGCCGTCTGCGGCCTTTTTATGTACTAGTATGTCTTTAGGACGCTTGTCCACAGTCTCGAGTTTGTATTCTCAAACCTGGGAACCGAAGATACCGTCCATTTATGTAGTTATTCCCTATATGTCTGCGTGTTTGTCTTTTGTCTTTCGCCGGTCTTTGTTCCGTCGAAATGAGTTTTTCTCCACGTCGGAGGCTATTGATTTTCCATGATAAGCCCTAGCCATCATACCGTTTGAAATGACAACTCAAATGATATACGAAAGTGGGTGATAGGTCCAACACGATGTGTTTATAGAAGGTGAATGATTATCAATGTCCCTGGCCCATCCAACTCTCAATCTATATGAACGCTGAAACCACGGCAGTCTCACAGATCACATTATTCCTCGTACGGGGCTATTTGGCCTCTAAAACAGCTCTGTCAAAAGCCTGCGCACATCGGCCTGCGATTTTTGCCCCAAACTTTCCATTTCAAAGCGCTTGATGCGCAGGAAATGACCCAAGATCGTGCTATTCATCATCTTCCCCAGCTCTCCTGCTTCCTTCTCCAGAAGGTCCAATGACGAGTCCAGATTCCTCGGCAGCGCTACTGCCTTGGAAACATGATGCGTGCCATTCGTGCCATTCGTGCCATTCATGCCATTCGTGCCATTCACATGATTATCTCGACATATGGTCTGCGGAATTGCCGTATCAGGCCATGAGAGCGCCATCTGGTTACTGACTCCCAGCAGCCCCGCTCCCAGCGTTGTTGCCAGCATCAGATACATATTGGCGGTGGAATCAACGCATCTTATCTCCCAATGGCCGGGTCGAATCTTGCGGATAGGGACCTCACGATTATCGGAGCCCCAGGCGACGTGATCGCCGCCAAGATAGGGCTGCACTCGTTCATAAGACAAGTCGTATGGCATACAGGTGGCGCAGAGGGCTGGAAGGCGGTGCAGAATCCCAGCGAGAAATTGGTCTTGAACCTCGGGTCGCGAGATGGAGATGTGTGTATGCTGACCGCTGGCTTGGCGACGGCCGGCAACGGGCTTGGGTGACATGGTGGCGATGAGCCCGTGGCGAGCCATTATCGTCTTGAGGGTATCGTGGACCAGAATGAGCTCGTCAACTGCCTCGAGAGGGGTGCGTGGAGCGAGCGATAGCTCGTACTGGCCACGGCGACCCTCCGTTTGAAAGGCTTGAATATCCACCCCGGAATCGAGGAGCTGATGGATAGCTGCTTCAATTAGATCGAAGTGTCGATGCCGCAGGCCATCGACGGCGTATCGACCCAGCCCATTGCAGGCGGGGGCGAGAGTGTAGCCGTCGCCGTCATCACCCAACTCGGAGGTCGGCTCCATGAGCTCGAATTCAACCTCGAAACCAACCAGGAAATCCAGGTCAAAGTCCTCCTTGGCGCGACGTATGATGCTAGCGAGGGCGCGCCGAGGACAGAGGTCGTGGTTGGGGATAGGATCAGCGGGCGTGGAAGCAAGGACGCCGCACATTACCATTGCGTTATGAGGGCTTGCAGACAGGATCTGTAGACTGGACCAGTCGGGAACGAGGAAGTGATTCCCGGTCGGATCAAGACCAGATATGAGGGTATTGTCGGCCACGCAATGGAAGGCGATGGGTGGCGCGTGGATGGGCTTCTGTGCCACAGTCATTTGCAGAAGCTGCTTGGGGACAACCATGCGCGAGCGCAGTATCCCCGAGTAGTCCTGCCACTGCAGCCGGATGAAGCGCAGAGTGGGATGTTGCGCGAGGAAGTCTTGCAGGGCAGATTCTGAATTCGATTCAACACCCTGCGAGGTGAAGAGTGGTGTAAATTGCCCGAGGTGAGGAAGCTCCATGATTCAATCCGCAAACGTATTTTAATTCCTGCTGAAGCTTTCGACAAAAGATCTTACAGTAGTAATATAGCCGGAAGAAAGGAAAAATAAAAAAAGTATCAACCGTGTCCACCAAACAACCACAGATTATGTACTTGCCAGATGCAAGCGAAGAACATATTTTGATTTCCCTTTTTCTTTTAGATAGCTCAAGTAGATAACTCAAGTAGATAGCTCCAGTAGATAGCTCCGGTAGTAGGAAGAACGTGGCTTTGCTGAATATCTGCAGCTCCTTAGGGTTAGCATAGTTTCACCGCATCCCATCAGGTGATATATCAAAATAGCGATCGAATTTAGACTTCTTTGCCACTGAGCATTACGTACGTATTTCAATGTGTTTATGCAAAACCTCTGCAGGAATTTCATGTAGGGAATGCATTGTACTCATCACCCCTTCAAACTGGCAAATATCCGCATTCCCGCTATTGCAAAATGTCCTTTGGCCCAAACTGCTCTCTCTAGCTCTGCTCCTAAATGGAGGTAAATTTCAGCTGGCACTCATCTGCGCCAGTTCTATTTGTAGGATCAATTGTGGGGGGTGGGGGGGGGGCACCTGATTATACATGCTGGCGGGATTCCACCTATTCCACTCCCACCATCGGATTATTACGAGGCCATCATGCAATCCATCGCGGGACAGATTATGGATTAGAACCTTGGAAGTGCATATAACTATAATGCACCAACCGAAGCACTAATGCAATAGGCAATAGTTTTGCATGGGCTGAGACAGTCCTAGACTTTTTATTTCGCTTGGGAATGGCCAAAGTTGCATAATCAGACTATACATTTCAGCTTGCTCGTTAAAGCTGAAATGGGAGTCACATGGGACTAACTGCCAGTGATGTTGATCCTTATAAGTATTTGTCTTTGGGGGTTTCGTTTATTTCTCACTTTACATGGCATGAGCAGCAGCTTCCCTCAGATTTACATTCTCTTTTCAATCCCATTTGCAAGTTCTCGTCATGGAAGACGGCGGGTTTCATACGGACGGTGGCCATTTTACGAACATTCCTGTACTGGACTATGACCAGACAACCCAGCCGAACGCTAGGCAGGAATTTTTGGCACGGCTCCGAGAAGCCCTGGTAAATGTCGGGTTTTTGTATCTCAAAAATCCCCCGGTCCCAATTGATGTGCAAGAGACACTGGTTCAGAAGGCGAAGGAGATGTTTGAATTGCCTTTGGAAAAGAAGCAGCAGCTCGAGATGGTCAACAGCAAACATTTCCTGGGATATACTCCTCTCGGGAATGAGAAGACAATTGGCGAGACTGACCACCGCGAATCATTTGATGTAAGTACAACGCTTATGTTGATAGAGTGAACAAGAAAACGCTGACGATATATGATAAACCATTAGTTTAGCACCGAATGCTTACCCCCAAGTCCCGAGGAGCCGTTGTATTGTAATCTTCGTGGGCCTAATCAGGTTCGTGATAAATGACCTCCCGAGAAGCAGTGCCCCATGGCTAAATCGTTATCGCCCAAGTAGTGGCCCAGCGAATCTGACGTTCCCGGTGGCCGAGACGCCGTTGAAGCCTATCTGAGCGCCATCGGCCACCTAGCGGACGACTTCAAAATCCTTATCGCTGAAGCTCTTGATATGCCATCGACAAGCTTTGTGGGATTTTTCGACAATCTCACTCAGAACAAACTCAAGCTCGTTAAATACCCCCCACCGAAGCCGTCTTATTGCGAGGAATTGGATCATACACGTCAAGGTGTTGGGATTCATAAAGATGCAAGCTTCCTGACCTTCTTGCTACAGGGGACTTCCCATTTAGGCCTTGAGGTTCAGAACAAAGGCGGCAGATGGATACCTGTACCCCCAATTCCCGGCACGTTGGTGATCAACATCGGGCGATCGCTTGAAGCTATCACCCACGGATTATGCACTGCCACCACTCACCGCGTCAACCTGCGACCCGAAAATTTCCTAGACCGTGTCACAAAGCAATCACTTGGGCCTCGATACTCCTTTCCTGTCTTCCAAGGATTGGCTCTGGATCTCACCCGAGCCAAGATGAATCTGGAAATTCCACCCCATATTCGGGACTTGAATAAAAATATCCAGGTCAAGTCAGATGCCGAGAGTTATTTGAACCACATTTTCCAGGGATGTATTGGGCAGGGCAGCTTTACCGCCCGTCTAGCTGCCCATCCGGATGTCGGCCGTCGGTGGTACCCAGATTCCATGGAGCGAGTTTTGGAGGGCCAGAGAACAATCATGAACTGAACAGTCTTTCAATGGTCTTAGGAATAAGTAGAAATCACGCGGCAAAGGTTGCTCTTTAGAGGAAGGAGAGTTGACTTTGGGATGAAACGGCGCGGTGCTTCATAGATAGAGATATAGCTAATAGAATCCTATCCTCTTGCTCTACTGAATCGCTAGATTGGGAGTGAATTGGTGGCATGGTGGGTTGAATTGATTAAGTGCTAAGTGATGGGCGCGTTTTGGGTGGGGTGAAATACGTTTAACCTGAGAACTTTCGGAGCACAACTTGTTAAGTGCGTTAAGTCCGTATGTAACGCGTTGGCCCCCGGTTTCTGCATAGCATGTTAAGACATACCCACATGGAGAACATATAAATAAGCCCAATCTCGACAAGTGTCTTAATTTTCAAAGAGTCGACATCGAAAGTTCTAAGCTACAAAGTGGCTCGGACCGAGTCTTACAAGTCTCACACGTCATTCAAGAGTCCTTACCCCCGTCTGTATCCTCCCGTGCTGTTCCTTCAAATTCTCATACATAGTCAATCGGAAAGAAATAGTCCCTCGAAATCCATTCTTTGGTGGAGATCATCGGATATCCAAGCCGACTCCACTTATATCCACTCTACCCGAAGTACAACCCGAAGTACACCATGATTCCTGACTGGATCAACGCCTTTGCCTCCCAGCATCCTCTAGGTGCTGTGGGCACCAATGCGAGTTCCACTGCGAGCCCCACTGCGAGCCCCACTGCGAAACATAGACCGTTCTCAGCTTGGAGTGCACTCGACGATGTGAAGACAAAGGCCGACGACATTGCCCACGAGGCAAGCCGGGAATTTAATGCCGCAAGCCAGAAGGCCCAGGAGAAGACCGGGAAGATCGAGCCTGGCTCTCTGAAGTACTACACAGCTTGCGCATTTGGTGGAATGATGGCATGTGTCAGTACCTCCTTTTGTCTGAATTATGATCGCTGTATGGATGAGATACTCACATATCTACCAGGGCGTTACCCACTCTGCCGTGACACCCCTCGACCTGATCAAATGTCGCCGCCAAGTTGACCCGAATCTCTACAAGAGCAACCTACAAGCCTTCCGCACCATCCGCTTGGCTGAGGGTATTCGTGGTGTCTTTACGGGTTGGAGCCCGACCTTCTTCGGCTACAGCGTAAGCCCGAGCAACATATGGGTCTTTTGCGTTCTTAATTATGTATACTGATTGCAGTTATAACAGGCCCAAGGAGCTTTCAAGTATGGAGGATACGAGTACTTCAAGATCTTCTACAGCGACCTGGTCGGCCAGGAAAACGCGACCCGTTTCAAGACTGCCATCTACCTGACAGCCAGTGCCTCGGCAGAGCTCATCGCAGATATAGCGCTGTGTCCATTCGAGTCTGTCAAGGTCCGCGGTCAGACTACCATCCCTCCTGAAATCACAGGTACTTTCAGCGGTATCTCGAACGTAGTTGCCAAGGAGGGCGTTGCTGGGTGAGTTCGACATATATCGCCTTCTGTTCTGGAATCCAATCTCTACATACTGACCTTAACGTAGTCTGTACAAGGGTCTTTATCCGCTGTGGGGCCGTCAAGTTCCCTACACGATGATGAAGTTTGCTTCCTACGAGACCATTGTTGAGATGATCTACCACAATCTGCCAGGTCATAAGTCCGACTACAACAAGGGTGCTCAGACTGCCGTTGCGTTCTCCGGCGGTTACCTCGCCGGTATTCTGTGTGCTGCGGTATCGCATCCTGCCGACGTCATGGTTAGCAAGTTGAACGCGAATCGACAGGCGGGTGAGGCATTTGGCGCTGCTTTGAGCCGCATCTATGGCGACATAGGCTTTCGAGGATTGTGGAACGGACTGCCTGTTCGTATCGTAATGATCGGTACTTTGGTGAGTCGTTCTTACGTTCCATGTGGTTTAACCCAGGTGCTAACAAGACTATGTACAGACCGGACTCCAATGGATGATGTATGGCCTCGATTTCCTTTGGTTTGTGCGCTGGATATATTCTGACTATGACCTCGCAGCTACGATTCATTCAAGATTTTCGTGGGGCTTCCTACCACAGGTGGTGCAAGCGAAGACAAGACGAACTAAGGACATGTCTAGTTTGGTTCGGGTAGCATGCGCAACCTCCATTCTCCTTACCATCTGGGCCGTGACTACGCTGATCTTTTCAGGAATATTTCTATCAGGTTCAATGCATACTTTTATTATTGCCTTGATATATATAGTAAACGCCAAGCTCGCTATCGGCCAATTGCCGTTTGTCACAGCTCTACCAATCGGAGGCCGTTATCTTATCAGCGACGTCACGAACTACATTCGTTTGCGAATATAAATGTTCAATGTAGTTTAATAACAACATCCAAACGATATAGATAGAGAACTAAGGAACCTACTGATCTCTTGGCTCGGAATCCCTTGATTAACCCGGGTATAAAGTGGATTATACTTAAAAGATCTAGATCCCCCAAAATCCACTTGTCCATACCACACTCCTGTACGACTTTAAAGCCCCTCTGAGACTCCTAGAAACAGTAAGCTTGCAGATACACCCACGTGGATTTCCCCACCACATCTCGTACCTGCATCTATCGCCCCATCGATAAATACCTTCCTACCTGTCCGAATCTTTCTTCCTTTCGCATCTACCCATCTCATCTACTCGCCTACGAATCAACTCACTTCCAAAGACACACTTCAAGATCTGACAAAAAAAAAAAAAAACAGTCAAGATGACTGAGAAACCCGCAAAGACTGAACCAGAGGCACCAATGGTCTCTCATGGTCGAGGAGGTAAGCTAATGCCCCCCCAGCCCTACATGCGCTTCCCCTCCATGATCACCAGCTGACAAGCTCCCACACAACTAGGCAAAGGCAACATCGGCCACGATACCACCGAGTATGTTGAAATCGTCGCGCACATGCAACAATGCACTAAACCCCCCTTGAAACAGATACGTCGATGGCGAGATTGTCCGTGAAGGCCCCTACGGCGACCAAGGTGATGGCGCGTACTCTGCCGGCGTGAGTACCTCGCACCCCGCCAAAACATCCCCCTCCCACTGACGCACCCGATTCTACCCAGCGAGGCGGCGCAGGAAACATCGGCTCCCCAATGGTCCGACCCGCGTCCAGGGCTCCCCACGACGCCGATATGATCCCCGAGCTCGCAGTGCGTGACTCGGTCGACGAAACATACCACACTGGGGTAAGCTGAGAGCTCTTTCGCTTGTTTGCCTTTGATTTTGTGATTGTTCCCTACCCAACTCACGCCTTTTCTCTATGGTTTTCCCTTTTCTCCCGTTCGGGATGTGATGTCTATTGCGATTTCTACTCCCCACCTTCGGACCCCCAGGCGAATTTTCCCCACAATATGGCTGACTTTTTTCGGGTAGCGTGGTGGACAGGGAAATGTTCATCTGGATGCGGCTTCGCTTAAGGAGAAGAAGGAGAGGAAGAAGGTTGCGCATGAGGGGCTGGCTGATAAGCTGAAGTATAAACTGATGGGGCGGAAGTAGGGTAAATCGGTGCTTTGTTTACTCTTGCTTTTGCCTCGTGTGCTTCTTTCGTGATTCCCATTTGTCGTACGGCGAGGGCGGGTTAGCCTAGCAATTAATTTTCCGATTTCCGGATTTTATGGACTTTTTTTTTTGCTTTTGAAGGTGGACCCTATATGGGCTGCAAGTGTATATCTAATGAACAGTAATATGTGATGGATATGTTGGGAGAAATAGGTAGCTATGGAGTAAGTACAGATCGATATGAATAAAGAAAAATAAATAAAGAGAATAAAACAGGAACAATAGGAAAAACAAATTCCAATCCATGACGTGTCCATGTATCATAACCTCATTACAGCATGCGATGAAAGAACTAATAAAAATGCAATAACAATAAACACATCCCGCATGCTCCATACAAACAAAACAAAGGGCGACGCCGGTCTGCAGAGTCCCAAAAAACAAAGGATGCATCGCGAAATGAAGTGTCCAGATACAGTATCAAGCATTATCCATCTCAATCTCCCATCTCGAGACATTAAGATTTATTTAATCTTTGCTGAATCGGCGTTTGAACCAGCTCTTCCTCTTATCCGTATTCACTTTAGGAGGCGGAATTTGGTTCACAGTCTTGCGCGCAGGCGGCGGTGCAGACCCAGCCCCCGTGGAAGTCGGAGGACCTCCAACAGGTCCACCCCACCTAGAGTCACCGACAGGCTGAGGAGTCCTGGGGGAGCTGAGACCATTGAAACCATACTCGGCTTGAGAACGCTCATCGAGACGCTGTTGCTGCAGGACCTGCTGCTGCAATTGGTCGTTGGAGCTGTTCATCGAGCTGGGGTTTGTGGAGTGGTCGTAGGGGTTTGTGTAGCCAGAACCAGTGTTTGGCATGGCCACATTATCGCGTGACCGGCCGTAGCCGTATTGTGAGTTGGCCATGTGTGGGTAGCCCTCGGCGGGGGTCATGGGGGCCGAGGGTGACCCGCGCGGGTGGTGAGATGGGCGTTTTCTGCTGCTTTGGCCATATCCGCCCAGGTTATACCCAGTCTGATTGTAGGGGTTGGAGTTCTCGGGTGAGAGAGGTGTGTTTTGGTACGCATTCACAATGCTATCTGGTCGCGATTGGGGTTGGCCGTAGTGGCTGCTTTGATCATAGTTTCTCTGGGAAGGACCGTTTTGACCTATCGGTGAAAGGATTAGAAAGCAATTGACAAAATGGAGAATCACAGAAAACATACCTCCATAGTAGCTTGTTCGTCGGCTGTAGTCGCCCATCTGCGATGCGGCATCATCTATCGACGAAGTCAGCTCATATTCCCGCATTCCTAACTTTTCACAAGGAATTGCCTGGAGAGTACCTGTCCTGGAGTACGACGCACGGTTATTACTGTAGGTGCCATAGATAGCTGCCTCAAACGATCGGATTGTATCCAAGGGGCGCTCCAAACGGGGTCGAGTGGGGTTTGACAGGTCGGGATCGGCTATGATGAGGCAAGGGTTAGCAATAATGCCCCCAGCATTCGATTAGTGCCAGTGATTAACGGACTGATGGTATTCCCGTATTGATCCTTGAATTCGATTTCACGCAGCGAGCCCAAATTGGACTTTTCCAGCGCGACCGCCACTATTGAGATGTCAGTTGGAGTAAGATGATAAGGAGATGCGACCGGGTCAGAATCAAGACCCGACAACTCGGACGTACTAGGCTGAAGTTCGCTCATGGCGACCAGAGGATCTGCTTTGGTGTGTAGATTGCGACGAGCTTTCTCTTCTGATGATTCAGAGGGACCACGTCTGTGACTTCTTGATCCCGATTTGTCTGACTTGTCGGATTTCACGCTGAATCCACGACTCCTCTTCGGAGAGGTGGGAGATTGGGGGGCGCTCATTTTATTAAGGCGAGGTTCCACCGTAATTTTTTAGCGTCCGAGATTCAAGGCAGGTCTGAAACGGATGTGATCTGCTGAGCTACCGTAGTGGAGCGTCCGTGGTGGAGGTGGGAACTGCCAAGAGGTGCGATCGCAATTCAGCGCGATTGCAATAAGAGAGGTTGGTCACTATGCGATCGGCACGATGGGATGGGAGCGATTAGATGGGGAACTGGGATGTTTTGAGGTTTTTGGTGCCCAGGGGGTAGATGCAAGATGTGAGCTGTCAAATAGAGTGGAGTATTGAATTACAATAGTACAGGTTATATAACCTTGAAAGTAGAGAATGAAGTGAGGGAGGATTTTTTTGAGGGAAAGATAGTCTTTATGAGGACCACGCAATCCAAGGCCAGGTACTTCTCTTTAGGAATATTTTATCCATTTTTTTTATGCCATTTTAGCCTTTCAAAATAGAAAAATCTCGGATGTCTACGCCGTGGTACAATTCCTAAGCGATTGGTGTTCCTCTTCCATTGTATTGATCCGAATATTCTGGAGCTTTGTGGATAATCCCATTTACTCCATAACTATACCTTGCGTACATATAGTCTCACATCTACGTTTCACCTTTTGCCGTTTCCCAAGATGCACAGCCCTAATTGGCCATCTTACTTGATTTCAATCCCCTGCCGGAATGCATTCCTTATGAACGCTCTGTAATAGGACCTTGGCGCCTGGAAAATGAAATGTGCATCTTTTCCGTACCTTTCCAGACTGGGTATAGATCTAAACAGCTGAGACCACACGTGTTCGTCGGAAGTCGAGTACGGACCGTTAGCTCCGTGTGGGCTTGCTAAAAATAGCCCTAAAGAGCCGGCAGATATCATACCTACGGAATGATACCATTCGGAAAGTATTAAAATAGAAATACAAACCTTGAAAGGTTGCAATATGAGGGTCACTTATTCTGGTATATTTTATGCACACCAGCATATTTGTTTTTTTAATAAATTGAAGAATAGCTGGATATCCACTCTATTCAATGTATTAAATCATTCCCCGTTGGGGAGAGACAACATCCATTCGTCAGAAAAGGACCAATAATATAACAGCCCGATGTTGACAGTCCCCACCCAACAGCCCGACGAGTATCAGAATGGCAGATCTTGGGGAAGATTACGTAGCTGATTGATATAATATACGCGTACGTCGGGGCTCCTTAATGGAGTTAAATGCAGTCTCGGATCCAATGTTGATAAGTGATAACACATAGCTGATGACGTAGGAGAGGACGGCCTTTATAGGAATCTTGCGCTTGGCGCCCACTTTGCTGACCATTCGCTCCTACGATTGAGGTTGCGTTTTCGAAGACATAGAGTAACGATGCCATTAGGTAGTTACTAAACTAGCCCTGGGCTATGATAAGCTCGTTCCGAGCTGCGTCTTTCACCTCTTCGGACAAATCGTATCGGAGCCTACATTACTCGTTAGTATTATGTTGGACTATATGTAAATCCGATCTAGCTACGACTATGAGGCTTCTTATATAACTCCACGAGGACAAAGAAAGGTCTGATTCACAAACAAGCAGGCAAGTTCTGATATACTCACATCAGACCACATTGTTGCAAAACCTCTAGTGTTAATATCAATACAAGGGTTAAGAGTATAGATATTTCCTGTAAGGCTGCAGAGACTACTGCCTGTTTATTAAAGAATTTTATTAAAAGACATTTATCTAAAATAAGAGTACAGTTTAGACCCACGTAAAATTGTATCTTTGATATTTCTAGTCGTTGATTTACATATATAGAAACAATGTTTGCTTTAGATTAAGGAAACTGCTTTTCAATTTTTTGATCGAGAAAACAAAAACTAGTGATCTAGCAAAATGGTGTAGGGCTGAAGGGGAAATTGCATGAGCGCCGACCTCGATAACCTTGTGGGGCATGCGCGCCACATTATATGTGCGAAGTATATCCTCATCTGGCGTTGGATTAAGGGACACTATATAGATGGAGATGTCGCGATAGTCATACTTCGTCAGCTCTTTTCCCTTTGGAGTTTAAGCCGGGACTACTATAGCTACTAGTGGGACAATGGAGGCAGTAAAGGCTTTGAATACATTCAAATTTACCTAACATCGATATAAAGCCCTAGAATGCTTGCAAGGTTAGTTGACAGGGATAGAGGTTATCTATTAGTGCGGTTAAGCCCGACGGCTCGTATACGAACCCCGGTATAACGCCAATACATATCGAGCATCCATACCCTGGTCTCTAATGCATGATATTGGTGGATTTTTTGGCCCCAAACTTAATTTAAACTTCCCAAATGGTCTAAAGTGCCGGTCAACTAGATCGATTCTTAAATGTACGACATAGGATGTGTTTGGATATACTAGGTCTCAATATCTCTATACTAGCTTGGCCTAAAAACTGATCCCGATGTAGTAATGAGTCAAGTGTTACGGAAATGCTTGTAGTTCAAATAAAAACAGCCGATCGGCTGGGGCCCATTTCCCAGTTTTGTCTGGGAAATGGTTCTATACATTTTTTTCTATACATAATGCTCGGCGTTGAGTGGGAGCAGGTGGGGGGGTATCTTGTCTATCTATTAAAATAAAAACGTGAGTTCCCGGGTTGAATCCGGAGAACCAAGAAGATCGAAGAATCAAATGACTCAATTCGAGTGACGAGCTTAGGCTGTTGATTCGCCCGCTGTCTTGGGTGCGACTTCCTCCGCGGTGACCTGCACCTCGTGGCTGTGTTCCAACTCAGATAGAACAATCCACGTGGGGAAGAAGGCAAGAATCGTGATTCCAAAGTTGAGACCGATGCTGACGAAGTGGTTGGCATTACCTTCGGTTTGCATCGCCCATGCAATGGTTTGTCCCAGAGCCTCGAATCCGCGAAGAATTCCGCAGTGGTAGGACAAAGATGAGATGTCGGTGCTGTACTGGCCAACCAGCCAGTAAAGGAATTGCTGGAAGGCTTGGCCACTGAAGGTCCAGAAGAAGATCAGGGCGTACGCCTTGTTGAAGCCGCTTGTGAACCAGTCGAACATTGGGGGCTCGGGTGCATCGTAGAACTGCTTCTGCAGGATGGTAGCCCAAATCCACGTGCCGATGATCAGGGCGACGATGGTGCAGAATGCGATCCTGGCGCGGGTTTTGATGAAGATGGATTGGCGATCAAGCAAAGTCGCCATGATGAACGAGGACGCGATTCCGGCAAAGTTGGTGAGGAACGAGGAGAATGCGCGAGACCGAACGGTGAAGTAGGAGGTCAGCCATGTGCTCTGGAAGCCGTTGTAGAAGTAACTGATGAAGAATGCTGGAAGGAGGAGGAGGACACGGCGAGTGAAGATCAGAGAAAAGGCAGCCTTGAATTCCTTGGCCCAAGTCTCCTTCTTATCCACAACCACGAGAGAGTGGTCCTTGCGCTGCACCTTCTCGGCAGGACTGAGTAGGAGTGCAATCGGCAGACCGAGACACATGATGACAATGAAGACGATATAAGTTGCAGCGCTGACTGTTCCCTTCTGGGAAGTCGATGCATTCAGTCCCAGACTGATTGCACCGCCGATAATCGGACCGGAAGATTTGGCGGTCTGCCAGACAGCAATGTAGAAAGCGCGATCCTTGGGGCTAGGATAACCAATAATAATAGCAGCCTCGGCAGCCCAGAAAAATCCAGCTGAGATACCGCACAGTGCGGAGCCGAAGAGCAAGAACCATGTCGTGGGATGGTAGTTGTTAGTATACAGACCGGCACCGTAGATCGGGTAACCGATCGCACCAAGAATCAGACCGTATCGAAGACCAATACGGTTGTTGATTGCACCAGCGGCGATACAAACAACTGCAAATAATCCGTAGACCAGGGCGTTCGCTGCGGAGACAGCGTAGGGCTCAGCTGCACCACCTGCTCCGAGGTTGTTCAGTGCATCCCACATTCCAGGGGCAGTGAATGAGACACCACTAGCAACGGCAATTTGGAATGGGATAGAGCGGTACCAAGACGACCGAGAGCGGATAGTTGGAGAGACATCGTGGGTATCGATCTCAGAAGTAACTTCTGACTCAATTGGAGGGGCCATGGTAAATGTATGCCCTCTTTGAGAGTGCCGTATATGCAACAAAACAATAGAAAGAATGAACAGGGATGTGAAGAAGATATATCGATAGAAAAAATTAAATTCAAGGTGGATCCCCCCAATGTCGTGATTGATGCCAAGGAATTACAAAGACGGCAAAGCTTTGTTCTAACCACGTTTTGCCCTTCGGTGCTTGGCCGAATTACTAAAATGGCTTTGTGTGGGTTCTAGGCCGGACCTTTTTTTTTTATATATTCCAATACTCACACAGTAGAACATAATTCTTTTCGCTCTTTTCGCGCATCCCGATGCACGAGAAAGGCAATCAAGCCAACACTCAAGAATTGTGCGATAGTAGTGACCAGATTCGAGATGAATCCCGCTCGAAAGCTCGGGGCAGAAATAGCTGGATATTGAAAAATTTGGGTCCACGCTGCCATGGCCTGACCGATCGCGTTCATGCTTGCCGTAACTATAGCACGTTCCTCGGCATCCTTGGCCATGGTGATCGTTGCCCAACTCATCGTGAGCGGACTAATTGCTGTGACATGAGTCAACATCGCCAATGCTTTTTAATATGGGGAATGACAAATAAGAACCAGAGAGCTTTCAGAATCCACATACCGCCCTCGAATCCGGTGATGATAAACCCCACCAGTCGGCCCGTTTCACCAACATTATTATAGACAAGCAAAATAACACCGACCAGGACGGGAATGCTGGTCACCACGGAAGGAATCCAGAAATTTCGCAGGCGATCCGCGGTTACGCCCGCTACTAGCGCGGCTACGACAGACAGGGCCGTTGCGATTGTCGGCAAAGTATTCACCCGTGAGACAGAGTAGATATCTGGCTTAGCCTTGAGATATAGGCTAAAGGGCGTCGAGTACGGTGTGAAGTTTTGGTCCATTAAGGTCCAATGCACGACAAAGACATACCAATGCCATCGGCCGAAGACTCGCTTGAAGATGGCCCGGGAGACTTTTAGTTCGCTTGGCGCTGTTAGACCTTTTAGGCGAATGTTGGCAATATCGTGCTCGGTCGCTGTTAGGAACCGTGGTTTAGAGCGGTGAGGAACGTCGGGGAAAATGATATATCCGCTGGTCTGTGTTAGATGAACAGATGAACCGCTTCGGGGATATGACTTACACAATGCAAATAGGAATTGTGATAATAGTGCAAATAATGAACAACCATCTGCCAACGGGTCAGTGCCAAGAACACCCAAAGCCTTCGTAATAAGAGTCAAATACCTCCACCCAGGCAATCCATGTCTCCCCTCTAAATTTGTATAAGCAGCAGCCTGCAGATAGCCCGCAAACATAGTCCCAAGTGGCGAAGCAACAAAGAAGAGCGCAACCCGACGCGTCACCTCGCCGGGCTTATACCACGACCCGATGACATAAATGACGCCGGTGAAGGAGCAAGACTCACAGACCCCGATGAAGAACCGCATTGCGTATATTGTATTCAGGTTCTGCGCCCAAGCGCAGCCAAATGTGAAGAGTCCCCATCCAACTTCCAGGGTCGGTAGCGCGATGTTGATCCGGGTGCGCGTTAGCCAGTAGCAGGCTGGTATCATGGAGGTGCAATACGCAGCCCAGAATATCGCTGTTATGTAGTTCAACTCGTTGCTGTGCAGATTGAGGTCTTCTTTCATGCCTCTATGATAGGTTGTTAGTAACCGGTTGTCTGCTAGACTGGAGGCATTGCATACGATACATAGGCATTGGTGATCGCCTGCTGATCAAGGTATTTGGTGAAGAATGAAAGACAGCCAAAGACTAGGATCATGATATCCAGTTTGAGGACCAGCTTCTTCTCTGGGTGTGACATGTCTTTTGGATACCATTTGGTATACGTAAGGAATCGGAGCCATAATCCACCTTGCGGTCCTGGATTGGAATGGACTTCATGACCGGATGCTTCATGGGTCATCTTATTACCAATTGAGTGTACTCTCTCCATTTTTGAGTACTTGAGTCACTTGAAGCTCGTACGCGATGGATAGCTGGATGCGATAATCCAGGGCTGACTCAGTGTCTATATGACAGTGATCATCCATTTGTTGGGGGTATTCTCTTATTTTTCTCCCTTTTCTCGCATGTTGTCATTATTAGCTAGGTGAAAGTCTCGATAATGGAAGATGCGATGATTATCACGCCTGATGGTGTCATCTGTGCATCCCTGCACCTGCTGCTTCATATTGCGGAGTAATTGCGAATCCCGGAGACTGGCCGAGTCTGACATGGGTGGGTTCTCATTACTGATAGCTGACCTCGGGACATAAACACCTGCCCATCTTAAACGGTGAGATAAATAAGTTTAAAGAGAAATTTGGAAGAGTCTGATTATTCGTCCTTGATTTCAGGGGTTGAATCCTTGGCAAATAATTAACAAGGGCCGGAGTAGCCGGGGTTGAGTATCGAAGATAAGAAAATAGAGATCAAATGTTAGAACTGGCATGGATGATATTTAACGCTTGTTGTGTATCGACGTGAAGGAAAAAAGAACCGCAAAATAAATGCTCATAATCATACAATGTACACACCTCTTCATCCTCAACTCTTGATGTCGATCTTGTACTGCTCGGCCCAGAATGTGACATTGTTGTCCACAGAGTAGACTTCTGTTCCGAAACTGAGACTGCCAAGGTAGTCATTCTTATTTGGGTAGTCATCTCCTTCCAAGTTGTACAGATCGGTGATGAGAGGATAAATGTCTCCAGTGAACCGCTCAACGATCAGTTCCGGGACCCAGGACAAAACCTTCTGTCCGTTGTCATTTTCACCGGTGTAAAGCGTGCTGATGAGCAGGTTAGCGTATACTGGGATATGTCAGGTACAAGTTCAACTTCCAACTCACAATGTTGTTCCTCCCAAGGTCTTGTTTTGTCCCGGATTCCCCCAACCATGGGGCTGGGCCTCTATGTTTGACATCCAGAACCAAACCATGACCTCGAATTTCGCTTCAGATGCATTTTTGGCTTTGTCGGCATCGGCATCCAAGAACATATCAATGGCGACGTTCGTGGCAAGGTGTTCTTTCTCCAACGCGTCTATATCCGTTGATGCGGCGGTCTCATCACCCACTCCGTATGTCCAATGCAGGTCAATATTTAACTCTGAGACCTTGTCCATCTCCTTTGGCAAGACGTCGTCGACACGGATATTAGGGTATCCGTGGACGGGCATAGTCTGAGGACCATGGTCAAATTGCCAGGTGATAGAGAACTCGGGGGCGGTTTGGGCGGGATAAGTCTGGTTGACAAACGTCGTGACCTAAGTTAGGATGCCGCGTTAGTAGGCCCCCCAATAAAAGTGCAGATGGGTGTGTTCAATGCGTACATTCATGCAGAGTCCATTTCCTGTCGAGTCTGATTTCACACCCCATTGATTGGGATTCACTGCAGTCTCGGTCAGTCGTCTTTCAAGGATCAACAGCGCCTGTGCTGGTAGTTCGAGGGTACTCACGGGTGTATTGTTCGGTTTTCGACGGTGGGGTGATTCCCCAAGACAAATCGCAGTATTGGGTATGTTGCACGCCGTTGTCCGTGACAGTGGGATGACCGCCACCGCCGCCGCCAGTACTGTCGCTGCCGCCGCCGCCGCCGTTCCCGGAGTTGATGCCATCGTCATTGTCCCCGGTGAATAAAGGTTTCTGACCCGTAGCGGCTCGATGGGCATCAAGGCCCATGAGAGCTCCAACACTTCCCCCAACGGGGATGGCTATAAGGATCGCATTGACCAGCAATCCTACTCCGAAGACCATGACCAAAAGAGTATAAAATGAAGACACAAGCAAGTTAGAATAAAATCAGCAACTCGAAAGTCAGGCCTTGGAAAGGACAAAGGGAAGAAAGGAGCAAGTCAGCGAATAGCAAAGGCGAAATTCTCGCTATCACACCCCGTAAGATGTGCAGGCGAGATGCATCGGGGTTAGTGTATTTTAACGGCGATCAGGAACTAAGCGTTTGACCACACAAGTCTTGATGATAAGAAAAGGCCCCAAGTGGAGTCCCTTTTCAAGGTTAGCGTGGTAATGGTGCGCTCATCTATGTAATTCACCTATAGGGATCAGGTACAGATCAGGTACCTGAAAACTTTCATTTGATTGTATTTTATGATTGGATCGATTAGGTGGCAATTTGGGAAAATTAAATTAGAAATCTGGTAATATTACTGAAATATACAAGAAAAAGAAAAACAAAGAAAAAAGGTACTGGTAGGACCTGGATGCAACCAGAAAATTACTGGAAAGTCAGACACATTGCGTAAGAAACCACGGTTTGAAGTGAAACATTACGTTGAAAAATTCATAAATAAATCTATTTTTGCTCGCTCGGTCCCAATGCGGCGATACAGCTCGGCCCTTGGCATGCACTAGCCTCAGGGCTTAACCATCGGGTTCTGTAGAGATCGCTGGTACCGTATTCTATTACTAGGAAATGTAACCTCAAGTGCTTTTTCTCTTCCATCTATCCTTCCATTCCAGCTCTTTGGGCTGATCACACTCGTTTTCAACAGATCCCACATTCCTAAGCTCATTTTGACTTTACCTAATCTATAACGTTTCTATCTCGAAATGGATAGACGTTATGGTCATGAGGACCAGGACGAAAAGGTAGAGCTGAGTACCTATCGAGGCAACCATTCAAACAACAGCTTCGAACATCCAGAGCCTTTCACCTCCTCAGTCATCTCTTCACGACCTCTTACGCCAGTCAGACCGGGTCATTTCCCTACCGACGAGTACGGCCAACCGGTTTGGCTTCAACCCACCGCTCGGATGTCGGGTCATTCCGATTCCTTTCACAACTCATCATGGAACCCCCAGACGCCATATGATTCACGGTCGGCGTCGCCAACTCTAGTTAGTACAACGTTTCCTTTCTCTTTAGTCCCTTTGTTCTCGGTATAGATCACAGCCTAACGAGTCTTTTTTCTCTTTCGTACAGTACCAAAACCATGGAGTGCAAGAAAGTCACCAGAGTCTTGCTCCCCTAGTGAGCTCACCTGCCTCTCCAGGATTTGAAAAGGATTGGGTCAAATCTGGATCGATTGCTCGCATCCATGACCGCGATGATGCGGAAACATGGAAAGGGTGGAAGAGATGGGTGTTTGCCCTGGTACCAGTTCTCACATTTGCCAACACCGGAATCTACTTGTTCTACCTTGGTCTGCGAATTGCCTGCATTATTATGGCTCAAAACGTTGCTGGGGTCTCATATGCTGGAGCTTGGGTCTTTGTGGCCATCGAAATTACTGTTGCGATCCCCTCCCTCATGCACAACTGCTGGACTATGATGGCTTTGAAGAAGAGAGGCCGCCCCAAGCTGAGATTGACCGGTAATGAATGTCCTACAGTGGATGTGTTTGTTACTTGCTGTGGAGAGGAGGATGAAGTTGTTCTCGATACCGTCCGTGGCGCCTGTGACCAGGACTACCCCCGCGATATGATGAGGGTTATTATATTGGACGACGGCAGGTCCCCCACCCTCGAGGCTGCCTGCAATCAACTCGCCGTGAATCATCCCAACGTCATTTACATGGCTCGTGAAAAGATCCCTGGGAAGCCCCACCACTTCAAGGCGGGTAACCTGAACTACGGCCTGGAGCAAGTCAACCTTTTGCCTGGAGGTGCCGGCCAGTTCATGGCCGCCCTGGATGCCGATATGGTAAATTACAAACACCCAGCCTACATTGTAATCGCAACTTGGTGTACTAACTGATAATCTGCAGATTCCTGAACAAGACTGGCTTCGTGCCATCGTGCCCCACTTGCTGGTGGATCCCAAAATGGCCCTTGCATGTCCGCCGCAACTTTTCTACAACACCCCTGCATCTGACCCGCTTGCCCAGAGTTTGGATTTCTTCGTGCATGTTATCGAGCCGATCAAGGATGCACTCGGTGTGGCCTGGTGCACTGGATCTGGTTATGTCGTTCGACGCGAGGCTCTCGAAGAGATTGGCAACTTCCCGCTTGGCTCCTTGGCCGAAGACGTCGCGACCTCGACGCTCATGCTTGGCAAAGGATGGAAAACCGCATACATCCATGAGCCTCTTCAATTTGGTACCGTGCCAGAAGATTTTGGTGGACATCTTAAGCAGCGTACGCGATGGGCAATTGGAACCGTTGACACAGCTGCCAAGCTGAAATTCTGCCTCTGGGGTGACGCTGTTCGACAGATGACCGTCGCCCAACGCTTTTCTGGCTTCCTCTATGCAACTCTCAGTGTCTACACCCTCCTGCTGACCCTTTCCCTCTTCGCCATTCCGGTTATCCTCTTGTGGGGCAAACGCCTCGTCGCCTTTGCGACTGAAGAACAACTCCGCTGGCTTATTTGGGCTTGCTTTGCTGCAACCATCTCCAACCGTCTCTGTGAAATGGCCCTCTTCATCCCAGCCGGCTACCACACCGGCCAACGAGGCTCGCGCTATCAACTTTGGATGTCGCCCTACATCGCTCTCTGCATTGTGCGTGCCTTCTTGCTGCCCACCTGGCTGGGTGGTGAAGCCCAAGCCTTCAAGCCAACGGGTTCTCTGGGCTCAGCTCTGAACGAGCGCGACGCAAAGAAGTCCAAGAACATGTTCGTCCGCCTGCGCGTAATCCTGCTCAACTACATGGCCAGCTTCCATCTTGCCTTTGTCTATGTCACCCTCGTCGGAGTGATCATCTCCTCTTACCGCTGCTTCGCCCAGAACACTGGCTTCAGAGATATCATTCTCTGCCTCATCACCCACGCTTTCTGGCCCCCGCTTACCTTCCTTTTCATCTGCACTTCGCTGTGGACCCCCGTCTCCTATGCGATCGACCCACCAAGAATGCCAGAACGCGAGGAACTTCTGACGCGTGACCCCAAGACTGGCGTCGCGCATCCGACGAAGAAGAGTAAAAAGATCGCCTTCGGTGGCCAGGCCGCTTGGTTCGAGCTTGAATACACGGTTGCCACCGTAGCCACAATTTTGGTATTTATCTACTCATTTATGTTCTAATTTTCATGGTTTCCCCAGCTGCGATCTTTTGGGGAAATCTGTATAGCTAACGTGTCACATGCTTCAATTTCAATCCTTTGTTATCTTGTTATATGTATTTATCTATTTGGGTATTTGGCGTTCAGCTCTGTGACTTCGTTTCGGGTGTGTGTGCGCGTACTGCACATTTGGTCTTGATTATACATAAAATACATATGCTGATCTCCAAAAAAAAAAAAAAAAAAAAAGTGACTTGTCGTTGAGGCTGTGTACATATGCACCTGTATGTACCGGGTTTTAGGCCGTGGGTGCCAATTTTCCGATCGGCGTGCCGCCGCTTTATGAGGGCGCTCAGGGTCCTGCTCACTGAGTAGCTCACAGCATATGTATGCTTAGTAATGCCAAAATAATGCTCAGGTTGTGCTCGGTGAGTGCAAAGACTTGCTCACTTGTCGGCGCAAGAACACCTGCATACCCGGAGGATTTATTAATCCTGTATGTTGTCATTTATGCTATGTAATCATGGCTCTAGGTACGTAACTAACTATAACTATTTAACATATACTAAGCCCTAACATCCGTTCGGGATCACACTTAACGGAACAGCAGCGTGCCTATTTAGCTCTTCTCTTTTAGGAAGGTTAACAATAACGCCTCGTGTGGCGGATGTAAGAAGGAATTATCCAAACTTATGCCATAACTGTAGTTGATAATCTGCACGTCATTTGAAACACAAAAGGAAGGTCGCTCACCCTAAGAAGAGAAATCGGGTCGATTTCTCCTTTAGCAATGACCTCTTTGAAATCGTATTGAAGCTCATCTATCATGGCTTTCATCTTATATGGCACGAGGCTGGGATGGGGAAACTGGTGTAAGCCGACACTGACTTCATCCGAACGATAGACCCCACTGTACTCTCCCCAGGGAGTTCCTTCAGCATTAACTTTGTGCGTAAGAATTTTGTGCGTTTGCAGAATTATCTCTTCTGTGAGATCTTTGTCGTTGAGGCAAAGTTGGGTGATAATATACGAGGCAGCCTTCGCATGTTGGATGATTTCGCGGCGACTTTGTATGACTGCTAGAACATTTGCTGGCAGGTCGGCGCGTAGGAGACTTTTCTTTAATTCGACGAACTCCTCCTCAGTTTCTCCGACGTCCTCTGGTACCTCTTCTCCGCGAAAAACTGCTAGACAAAGCTTGAATGTGAGTTGGAAACCACCCCCGGCACGTTCGATCCTATTCGACCCGTAAACCATGGTTATAAGGCACTTTAGAATATGGTTCTCGAACTCGGTCTCTTGGATAGGAGTAGGTCTCTTCTGCAGAATGGCTGAAAGTTCATCGCTGAGGGAAGTGATTTCCGGGAAAGTGGTTTCAGGATCGAACTCATTCGAACCAATTTTGTAATCATAGGCCTCGTCCATTGAAATCGTAAATTGGGGTTGAACACCACGGATACTGCGAGGGCAGACAGTGCCGTTGCCAATGCGGAAAGTTGACTGCATGCATTGGGACAGCGACTTGGCAATGTTGAAGCGAGGAGAGGGTGCGGGAGGATTGCTTTTTATCTCGAGACGTTGGAAAACATCGGTGAGACTCTTGCGTTTGGATTTCTTGGTTGGAGAAGGCATTTACAAAACGTCAAAGTGATCAGAGAAAGAAGTGAAGGTTGTAAATCTAGTATATGAGAAAAGTAGAGGCAATATGGAAGGTAGAAGAACGCAGTGGGGATTGGACTGAGAAATGATAAAGAATTTGTAGCTCGAGTACTTAAAAACTTTTACCGGGGCGCCTGATGTATAGGCAAGCAAACAGTTCGATGGATTGAGGTTGCACAATAGGCTTAGTACCCTCAAGGAACCCCAAACAGGACTAGTAGGTAGTCAACCATACCCAAACCCTGTTTTCCCCAGGTTCTTTGTGTGATTGTCGTTATAGACGGTTTCATTATCTCACACATTCATTCGCATAATGGCAGATACGGCCTTAGCTCTACATCATATGATAGAAACGGAAGTTTGGGGAGTAAATATATAAGAGTGAACATATCCGTATCCTCTTCGAATGTCCCATGGTTTATCATCATCCAATCTATTTCATCCACCTTTGCTAGGGTGTCATTGACAATGGTAAGAAACAAAGACCACCTTGGTTGCATCAATCTGTTGACACCGGATGTTGTTTAAAAGGCCTATAAGAAATGCAGTGATGGCGAATCGGTCAGTCTGAGCTGGCCTATTAGCTCTATCTATACTCCTGGCTTCAAACGGCCTTGGAGCACAAATTTCTGAACTTCTGCACTAGTCCCTACGATAAAAAGTGTAAAGGAAAAGTGCTATGGAGGCGGAACCAGGATCTTGATGTACATTTAACTTTGTCTCGAGCTTCTTTGAGGGCTACCAAGGATCGACCCTGTGATCATCCTGACAACTACAAGTGTCCGGAACAGGACTCGGAGGATAGCTAGATACCTCATCGTGACGAGTGCGATCCAGGGATAAAGAGGTAACTAGTATCTCTTTACAATATATTAGTATAGACTAATTAGGATAGGGCTAGCGCGGTGTATTTTATTAAGGTGAGCTACTGACTTAGCTACTCGCCAACTTCCAACTTTGCTTAAGTGACGCTCCCTGAGCAAGCCCTTGAGCTTATGTGATAATTAGGTCGTGCTCACCTTGGAAGTCAGAGCGCTTAACTAGCTCACGCTTAAGTTCGTCCGGCTTATATAATGATCATCCAATGCATAAGTTAACTAACTAGGGACGTGCTCAGTTTTAGTGATCAAAAAGCGGCGAGGAGTGAGCACTAAAATGGAAATGGAAAGTCATGTCCTGCGGCCTAAGATCCGGTCTAGACGTACATAAATAGTCGGTGATGCATGTCGATCTCGGCAAATCACTTGGTCTAAGCGCTTGAAGTTCGAACCGAATGTATTTTGCAATCTCTTTTTTTTATTTATTTACCGAAATTAATTCTGCATTGAGGCCTAATACCCTTTGCCGTCCTCCCTGCTTTATTGCTTATCTAGTGCCCATTGATCGCCAATGCATCTTGACCAGTTTTATCTGACATGTTCGCTCCAGAGCTAGCTGTCTTGTCACCGCTGTTTTGATGACGTTGCTTGGCCTAGAGCTCATGCAGGGACACCACCTTGGAAAGCTTGACGTGCCCAGACCGAGATTTTCGAAGTTCAGATAACAACTTGGACGTTTCTCCGTACAGAGTATTTTGAAATACAAAACAAGGGCCTGTTACTAGCTCGGACGTTAGCGCAGTCTCACGCTTTGTTGAACCCCCCTGATCGCCAAAGTACGGATCTCTCTTCCTCGGAACATCACTTTCATTGGCAAATGAACCTTTCACTTTCTGGGTCTTTGAAAATCGAGGTTTAGTCGAGGAACCTCTGTTTTGATACTGATGTGACTAACTGGTGAACGATTTTGGTCTCCCCAGAAAAGCGCCGCTACAGCCAAGGATGACGACCCCTGCGGGTTCTCGTGATTACTGGTCTAGCGCCGGCGATGCCGGAATGAATACCATCCCTCGATTACCATTAGCTTATGTTCAATAATCCAGAAGGTCTTAGGCCGGACTCACCATAGCCCGGTTTTCCAGCCCCTTCACTTGGCAATAAACACAGCCATGTAGTTAAGGTACGTGTATTCCGTAAAGCGCCGGAGTCGGATTTACCCCCCGAACCGTCGACGGTTCGGGGCTTTATCAGCCCGTCTTGCCACACTCCAGACATCCTCTTAATGGGAGGCGTGTTTGATAGGCTTCAAGCCACTCGGTCCAGTTTGCAGCCTACCGATCACCTGATCGGTGTCCATGTATATCTCCCCCAAGAAATGGCCATCTGAATCCAATGAGCCTCCAACTATGTCATGGGACTCGGATTCGAAAGGTTGAGATCCGGGTTATACATCGGATGGATTGTTCCAAGCTCCGTGGTTCATGAGTTGGTTGTGATTGTGATGGCTATTTAGAAGAGTAGAGGCCTCCGAGTTCAGATGTAGTCAATAAAGTGCAATTATCACAGTTGAAAGCTCAGTCTCACCATTCTTAACTAAATTGCACATCTACTGGGATTTATATTCGCAATGTCATTCTTGAGGAACTACTTTGGTACCTCCGCTGTTCCAGCGAAGGATGAGAAGCCTATCCGTGCTCTGCCCGCTTCCTGGTACACATCCAAAGATATGTACGAGCTTGAACGACGGTCTATCTTCTCCCGGAAGTGGCTTCTTACTACGCACAAGCACCGAGTCCCCAACACTGGTGACTGTGTCCGCTACGACGCCGCCGGCTACGAGTTCATCGTTGCCAAAGACAACAACGGAAAGATCAACGCATTCCATAGCAATGATCTCTTCCCCGCCCATGTACACATTGACCGCAATGGTTTTGTCTGGGTGAATCTAGACGTTAGCGAGACCCCCGAAGTTGCCTGGAAAGATGACTTCGACGGTGTCGATGAGCAGCCCCGGTTCGAGCACTATAACTTCGAGGAATACGTCTTCGACCACACATGGGATATGGAGGGCGAGTTCAACTGGAAGATCCTAGCCGACAACTACAATGAGTGCTACCACTGTCGCGTCGCTCACCCCGACATCCCCACCATCGCCGACCTCAACTCCTACTATGTCCAGACCAAGGCCGGCCACATCCAACATTATGGCGCCCCACGACCCGACCAGGTCGCGAAGGGTTTCCGCATAGCGACTACCTATTTCTGGCCTAATGCCTCGTTCAATATCTCGTGAGGATATCTTTTCCCATCAGACTCAATCAAGAGCTAACATTGACCCTCCCCCCATAGTCCCAATTTCTTCTTCATGCAGCGATTCACTCCTACCAGCCCAACACAATGTGTAATGCGCTATGAAGTCTACCGCCACAAGGATGCCACCGATGAGGCCTTCAACCTTATTAGCGACATGTACAAGCGAATCATGTCCGAGGACAAGTACCTGTGTGTGAACTCGCAGAAGAATCTCAACGCTGGTGTCTTTGTCAACGGCCAGCTTCATCCAGAGATGGAGAAGGGTCCGCTCCATTTCCAGAAGACTGTGCGTGAGGTCGTCACAGAACACTATGCTAAGGAGGAGGCTGTGGGTCATCAAATCTGGCCCGCAAAGCATAGTCTTTCTGGGGACGTTGCTGTCACCAAAGATCAAGATAGCGTCGCTCTGCGTACGGGTACACACAGCTATGGTGCTGAGGTCGACACTTTCAAGGACTCTATGGGTACCGGTCTCTCCACTGTAACGGCAATCGCTGTGTAGGGCTGGTAAGTCGGGAAGGGAGAACCCCATTTGCGATATATATTTTGATATTGTGTTTTCTTTTTTTTAGCACTGTGATGACGATAATGATTGAGAAATTGGTTTGCTGTGGAATTTAGCCTTGACAGAATGGATACTTTTTATATTTTCTTCACCTCTGACCTTCAAAAGTATGGATGCTCCTGGTTAGCAAGCGTATAAATAAAAATTACAACCAACATATTATATCCTAAACCCAGCCTATTCGGCTAATAATTACATTCATTTATATATATACACACCCTTCCAGAAAAAAAAGAAAAAAAAAGATAATCAATCCGCCCAATCAACAAGGAACTCATCCAGCAAGTCATAGTTAGCCCTCTCCCTTTCCCTCCGCCCCCGAAGAAGATCGGCAGCAATATCAAACTTGGGCTCAGGACCAGATCGATCATCCTTCTCTGGGGACGAGCCACGACTCGGAACATTCACCTCTCGATCGATATTGGTATTTCTCAATTTACTCCCCCCAGCAATAGACCCAGAGTCGACATCTACCGAATCAAGCTCGACCTCGGGCTGTGTCTTTGCGTCGTGTCCTTCACGCCCATGATCTGATTCCGGGATAGATCCAGCACCGAGCAGAGACGAGCCGCGCCCAGGTCTCGTCCTTGGATATCGATATGACTCATGCAAGGACACCGGCGACTCAGATCTAGTTCCACGGCTATCACTATGATCCATCGAATCCAAGCTCCGCGGAGACCACGGCAATCTCTGATCAAGAGGGTCCTCCTGCGCGCGATGCCTACGAGCAGCACGCATATAACCCCTCCCGGGATCGCGGGCACATTGGCGATGTTCACAGCCATCCGTCAACAACTCCGTGAGAAGAACGTTTAGCTGCGCCAAGCGTTTGACCTGTCTCGTCGGGATGGTATCCTCGGAATACTGAGGTAATTTCCTTTTACGGGACGTCCGCGCCCCCATCCCGATTTGGCTCTGCTCTCGCGGTTCTCTCGCATTCCTCAGCCCGCGAGATTCAAACCTCGGCGACTGGCCGGCCTCCATCTTCAGTGCTTCTTCCTCGTCATACGCGATAGCGGGCTTGAACCCGATGCCGTGGTCGATGAGGACCTGGTTGAGATAGTTGACGCGGCTTTCGAGAAAGGCCACATAGCTACGTGGTACCTCTTGCTTGGTGAGGGGGTCGTAGCCCACGCAGCGGACTTGAGCTTTTTCGCATGACTCACAGCGTGGGAGGCGCTGGTCGCAGCGGTGTTTACGGAGACGACATCTGTTGCAGGCGGAGACGCTGCGGAATGGTGGGGCTGGGAGCTCGGGGGTGGTTTGGTCGTTCGATTTGGGTTTAGATGTTTGATTTTGTTCTGATATGAGTACTGGGGAGGTCTGGGGGGCTCTGCGGCTAGTTTTCACGGAGCTTTTGGAGTTGGGGAGTGGACTCCGTTTTCTTTCTGGGGATTTCAGCATTGCGAGTGAGTAAGAAGACAAACTTGGAATTTAATTGCACTATAGATTCTAGTCCCGGCACGAGATTGTCTCTTTTTAAAGTTCGGATTCCGGAAGTTAACGCTCGGGTGGACACCGGACGGCTGGTCTCCGGCTATCTAACGGGGTAAAAAGCGCACTTGATACCTTACAAAAATGATATGTAAAGAGCTCGTGAAGTTCTGTATACCACTTTAGTATTACTATTTACACACTCACTTCCAGATTCTACCTAGAAGCTGGAAGTGTGTACTCTCTGAGCCGGGAGAACGTGGGGGCTAAACGTGGATAAGAATGTGGAAAGGAAAGTGTCGGGGAATAGAATTGTTCGGGGATTTAAAGTACTTTCTTATAGCTATCGGCCGAGAACATAAGAGATCCGAACTTTATATGAGCTTTGGCACTGGCCATAGCATCTAGATTATTTTGTATAGGCCTTCATTCTCCCTGAGCCTATACCAACAGGAACTATAATATTAGCAATCGGAAACAGCCGAGTATTCAGAGCCAGCATTGAGTCCAAAAGAACATAACTCGAACTTGGAGGCCCTACAGACGATCCGCCCTATACCTATGATATTATCCTATCTTCTACTCACCAGTCACCCCTCGGTTCTTCATTGCACGCTATTCTGAATGATGGTCTCGGTATTGTGTTTCGGCTTCGTCCGCGCCCTTAGATGGCTTGATCTCACGGAAGATAATCCTTGTTTCATCTATACACTATAAGACAAAAGGGAATATATACCCTGCTGCCTCTAGCACATACTATATTTTACAGTAAATGATATCTTCGGTGGCTTGAGACAAACAAGGCACACTTATTTCATATCGGAACGGACCAAGTGGTAAACAAGGGCGTTTCAAATTGCTTTAGAACTCTCCATGTCCTGACATGGACCATAGCAATGCTACACACATGAACGCATAGAGAGAAATTGTGTTTTCGTAATTTGATATCAGTAATAATAGTGAACCACTCACACTTTACACTGAACCTCCTAGTCCAACGTCATTCTATCGAGATAAATTCCTCGTGATGGAATATGCAGCTCATCCATCCACCCGCTCACTCATAATGCCGAGCTGGTAATTCACTGCGAAGTGATTTCCCACTAACATCCTGGGGCAGCTCCGAACGGAAACCAGTCGAGTCGGTTCCATGCATCTCTCCTATATTCATGTTGGGACCTCGTTGTTGCTGCATTCCCACCCCGTGAGAAGCTACCATGCCAGCAGCCTGCTGGGTTGCTTTTAATTGCCTAGCTCTCAACCAAATTAGTACACCCAGTGCGGCTAGGATAGGAATGCCTATGCCGAGTCCGAGTCCAAGGGCAAGCTTTGCTGTCGTCGAGAGTCCTGTCGGTTGATCGGTCGGGCTGGCGATTTGTTGATCGTTCGGGGCGGTAGTATTAGTAGAAGACGGTGAAGGTGCCAAAGTGGAAGCGGTAGTCGTTCCAGTCGATGAGTTTCTGGCTATGTAAAAATAGGCCGAGGTGAAAGCGGTTGATCCGCCATGGTTGATCCAGAACATGAATTTGTTTGAAAAATCGAGGTCAAAGCTGTAGAGTTGAACAACCCAGGTGAAGTTTGACACTTGATACTTTTCGCCGATTTGAGCTGGCTCTTGTCAGTCCTGCAGTTTCTAGTTGTTGGTTCTCCAGCCTACCAAATACATTGCCTCCGTGGTAGGCGGCTCTCTTTACTGGATCCTCTTGCCATATAGAGACGTTGTATGCAGGTAGATCTGTCTTCCATTCAATCACTTTCTGGTCACCCAATGTCCAAACAGGGCTTTTTTCGTTTTCGTAGACAGGGTTGATCATATAATTTGTCTTTTCAGCTCCATTGACAGTCGAGATGAGGCCCGAGAGAAAGATAAAGAGCTGAAAGAAGCGTGACATATTTTCAATCTTTAACAGTGATATGATAGAGAACTTAGTCGGAGGATGTTAGAATTTCCTATGTTGCAGGTGAATGAAAACAAAAGAAAGATGATGGCGGCGGGAGCGGGAGTATGAGGCTGACAGGCACGGGTAGACTTAATATAAACCGGGGCGATATCTCGCAGGGCTGTGCTAGAGGCATTATAATTGGGGTGTCGGGCGAAGAGGTCTGACCGAGGGCCCCTATTCGTATTAAGACGGGCGAGCAGCTCAGATTAAGACATGATTGACAGTAGTAGAGCTAGGCAATAGGATCCGTTCTCATTAGCCCGGAGTACAGTACTAGTTAGGCCTTCCCGCGTAGTTTGTCACCCGTTTCTCTCTCTGGTCAGCCTCGACAATTTAATTTTGATCCTCATTGCTATATATAGTTTCGTGGTATTCGACTTTTTGAACGGATTGACTACCGATGATCAGACAATTAAGGGTATATTATTGTGTGAGGTTCATGTTTCAGTACGTCGTCTCCGCAGATCCAGGTACTTGGCAGCATAATCATTAGCCAATACCGGGTCGCCCGTAAGATGCATAACAGTGGCCTTCTTAGCCATCATCTCCGTCTGGCCCTTGATATCCTCAATTTCCTCGAAATGATCATATGCCGAGTCAATATACCCGAGAGCACGGTTGATATACTCGTTCCTTGCAGATGTCGAGTCCCGGCCCTGCAAGCTCCACAGCTCCCCCGCCATGCCCATATTTGCATCGACGAGAAGTGAATACGCCTGTGCGATGAGGGCGTAATGTTCTGACTCCAGAACCTGGGGCATGATGCTCTCGACTAGTTGGCCCGTAGCTTCGAATTCACGAAGACTCAGTAACACCGTCGCTAGGGTGCAGATGGCTTCCCAGAGGTCGGCGAGGACTTTTGAGCGATGCGCGATGTGGGCTGCACGCATGGCGAGGGAGAAGCCGCGTTGAGGTTGGCCGGATTTGCCGAGGATTTGTGCTTTTAGGCAGAGGAACCTGACTTGGGAGTGGACATCGAAGTTCTCTGGTTGCATCGAGTGCGCGGCTTGCTCGACCATTCTCAAGGCGCGACCGTAGTCGCCTTGGCGCATGGTGAATTCTATTGAATAGAAGGCTAAAAGCAGGCGCATGTCGAAGTCGCGGAGTTGCACTGCCTGGAGTTGGGATAGAATGTGTTCGACGGCCACCTTGTCGTCGCTGTAGGTTGTGAGCAATGGAGGAACCGGTAATATAGTTGGGGCTACTTACCGACAGATTTGTCGTCGCAATTGCAGTAGCCCTGAGAAAAAGGTCCACGTGTTGTTGTAACTGAAAGCTCGGAGCTTCTCGGGATCAATCTTATTCATCCGTGTGAATGCCTCCTTATAATTGCCTTTCTGTGCTAACTGTAGGTGATGAATCAGCATTTCTGTCATACGCTTCCAGAAAAAGGCAGCTGACATACTATTTGGCAATTTTGGAATGTGATCTTGACAAAGTCTTCATGAGGTTGACCCTCCGAATAGCACTCGCGAAATATCTCGGTATTTAGCCAAGCAAGGTGAGTAGCTCCTGTCGGCTGTATTAGCGCCATCACAATTACTATACACTTAGTACCATACCTATCCTAGCGTACATGGAGCCCTGTAACAGCATGTATGCGCCTGTGGGAGTCGTAAAGCCCTTTGTCACATTGACGTGGGATGCTCGCACGAAGGACTCGACAATTGATGCAAGACTCTCTCCCTGTTCATCGTTAGCGCCAACTTGATCAAAGGGAAACAAGAATCCTTACTTGCTGCATCTCCAACTTAGCTTCGCTGAGTAATGTGGTACTCATGAGAGACCACATGTCAGTCTCCTTGGACTTGGCCTTCAGGAAAGCGAGGCCTTCTTTTTCATTACCCAGCATGCCACTGTTCTGAACTTCCCGCATCTGCTCTGGAAAAGCTTTGCCAAAGTGATAAAGCCAGCTCATGCAGAAGTTCAGGCAATTCATATCGTGAGACTCGCGAGCAATTGCTACGGCCTCTTGCACCGCTGAGATAGCTTCATTGAAACACTCAAAATCCGCTTGCATGATAGCCAGGTTCAGAAGGGCAAATTGGTATGCACTTCGGTCGAGGTTCGCGTGCATGGTGTAGTCGAAGTAGCGATGGAGATTGTCGAAGGCTGAAGTATAGTCTCCGGCCCTCCAGGCGTCAAGATATCTGGCATTTTGTCAATCACAATGCACATCAATAATAATCTATACAAGAACGTACTCCAGATAATACATCATTACTGGGACTGAAGATTCTGAGGCCATGATGCGTTTCAGCTGGGCCCTCATTTCATCCGGGACTCTGCCTCCCATTCCTGTATCTGTTAGCACATGGGCATGACAAGTCGGAAAAGAATTGTATACTTTGTAGTTCACCAACTTGGAACTCGATCAGTCGCTCTGCATCCTTGGCACTGACCTCTCCCTCCCCATCCTCATCATCTTCGATGTTACCATACACCACCTGTGAAAGGTGGCTGGTTGAATCCAGTCCCAGGTCGCGTAGATTAACATCAATGGCGATTTCCTCAGCCTCACGATGTCTACGACTCCAGTAGCTGTATGTGGGCAGGCGGTATTTGACGAATCCCGCCCAGAGCTTCACAGAATCGTGAAACTGCAGCCGCGTATACTCAAGATAAGCTCTCCGTACGAACGCGCCAAGCGGCGAAGTCCTAGACAAGCGCATGCGATCATCGGCCACTGGTGCAATTCCATTATCCCTGTCATGGATCAGGTCCTCGCGTGATTTAGCCAGGAGCGACGGGATAACCTCGCCGAAGAAAGTTTCCAGCGCATCCAGCGAGTCGATCGACCAGAGGTTCTTCAGAAACAAGTCCCAGAGCGTGCGCCCAGGAATAGAGGACTCATGGCGAGACAGGCATTCTTCAAGCTCTGAAATTGTCGGCAAGTAATGCTCCTCCCATTGCTTATCGGCGGCATCTAGTGGGAACAGACCCGCTGTGAGGAACGAGAGGACGTGAATAGCAGAAGAATTAGGCACGACCCCTTCAGTGTAGAGGGTGACCAGACATAGCAAAGAGACTCTCCAGGGAGTCAAATAACGCGTCATTTTGCCTTCGCTATGGCTGCCACATCTTACTGTGTTCTATAAACGGTATTGTTCCAAGGGTGCGCGTGTTGGGGATGATTGATTGACACCTGAGGCTACAAGGCTGTAAGGCACGCAATGCGGGACAAGCACTCGGGAAAAAAAGATGACGCATAACTACTTTCCTCTGCAACTCACCAATTGAACAATTGAACAATGGCTCAAGCTCTGACTAGCACAGATTTGCAGGGTGCCTTGCCACTTGTCGCTAGAGGAAAGGTCCGCGACCTCTATGAAGTCGACGATAAGACCCTCCTCTTCGTTGCAACCGACCGCATCTCCGCCTACGATGTGATCATGGAGAATGTATACAATTCCCCACACCCACACCACAAGTGTTTAATGAGACTTGTTGCTAATGCTGATCTTTTTTTTAAAAAAAAATAGGGTATCCCTAACAAGGGTGTTCTTCTCACCCTCTGCACGCAGACATGGTTCAAGGCCCTGACGGAGGCCAACCCCTCCCTCCGCACCCACTTCATCACCCTCGACCTCCCGCCCCAGATCCCGGAATCCCTCCGTCCTGTCTTGCAGAACCGGAGTATGCAGGTGCGCAAGCTGCGCATCCTCCCCATTGAGGCAATTGTCCGCGGCTACATCACCGGCTCGGCATGGAATGAATACAAGAAGTCCGGGACCGTGCATGGAATCCAGGTCCCCGCCGGTCTCCAAGAGAGCCAGGCTTTCCCCGACGGCCCTATCTACACCCCCAGCACAAAGGCAGAGCAGGGCGAGCACGATGAGAATATTCATCCAGATCAGGGTATGTTCTTTTCATCGAATTCATTGACTTGAGATATCTGTATTGGATGTATAGTATACCGGGACAAGACCTCCATCTAACATCTATCACTCACAGCTGTCGCCATCCTGGGTGAGCCCTATGCCTCAACTGTTGCCAAGATGGCCATTGAGCTCTACAAGACAGCGCACGAGTATGCCCTTGCGCGGGGTGTGATCATCGCCGATACCAAGTTTGAGTTTGGAGTCGACGAGGAGACTGGTGAAGTCGTGCTGGCTGATGAAGTCCTGACGCCCGACTCCTCCCGCTTCTGGCCTAAGGAATCTTACGCTGTGGGTCGCGGCCAGGCCAGCTTCGACAAGCAGTTCCTGCGTGACTGGTTGGTCAGTGAAGGTCTTAAGGGTAAGGAGGGTGTGCGCATGCCTGATGATATTGCGCTCAAGACGGCGGAGAAGTACAAGGAGGCTTGGGAGAAGATCACCGGTGGTAAAATCTAGAGTGGTGTATACGGTTAAGCTCTCTTTATTGGAGGGATATATATGATTCAAGTTTAGACTTTTGTGCTTTATGATTGATTCGGGATGAGAATGAAATTTAAGTATCATGTCCAATGGTGGCCGTGGAGGAAGCAGGGATTATTATACACATATATGGCCATATCTTGTACCTTTACTCCCACTCAGACTTCAACCCCTTGAGACCCTTCTTATTCGAATCTCGATCCTGTTTCTTGTTCTCTTCCTTTACCGACTTCTCCACGGGCTTATCGACCCAACCAGAGCTAACACCCTCATCAAGAGGTAGCGCATGTTCACCACAAATACGCCGCTCCTCTTCAATCTCCGCCTCACTAATGCCATTTGTGGCCCAGATCTTATGAATGCGTAGATCAAATGGGCCTTCAACACGGTCCGTGAGACCAATCCCAATACTCTTAACACGCTGCTTAGTCAAAGAGGTCTGAGGCTCAATGACAAAGCCGTGATTGGTGCGCACAAACGAGTTAAAAGGCAAGAGAACAGTCTCCCATCCATTTGAGCCAGACGTCGTTGTACTGGTAGAGGTAGAAATGACGGTCGATTCAGGTGGAATGTCTGAAAGCGCAGCGGGCATGCCACTAGGATATAGGTCTTCAACGGCATCGGGTGAGTCTGCCTGGAAGTCATATTCCTCCTGTGACTTTGGTGTGTCGAGCAGGCGGTGGTGTCGTGTGTATAGTCTGTGCTGGTGGATATCCGTCTCAACGACCGCGTCCGTCTGCACGTTGACAGTATACCGGCGGCCGTCGGACTTGATGCGCAGGGCAAGGTACGCGTAGGGATCGACGTCCCAGAAGAGCCGGCCAAAGAGCCAGAAGCCTCGATCTTGGTTGCGGAACGCGGCGTAGCCTGGGTTACGGGTATTAGTTGTTTTCTTTTTTCTTCTTTTTTTGTGTTCTAGACCACTTGCATGTGTCGCTACCTAGGTAGCAGGAAGTACATACCAGTTCTTTCGACGCGCCAGTTGTCAGGAAGCTTGGTTGAGATGCTACCGTGGAAGCGCGCATGCGAGGGAGTATTTGAAGAAGGTTCAGCGGGTTCATAGTCTAGGCTGGCTGTGCTGAAGCCTCCTACTGCACGGTCGGCCATGGTCTTGCATCCTGTAACGGTACCCTCGTCTTCAAAATTCAGGAGCGTATAAGGTTTAGTTGGGGTGTGGAGGGCTTCCGTGTTCCAAGCTGCGGCAAATTAGTTCGAGGTGCAAGACTGACGGCATTGACACAACTTTACCGATCTTTGATAGACGCCCGAACTCATCAGCGCTGCGTTTGAAGAACCCGCCTTGGGCTAAACGTCGAGTTGGAAACATATTGTAATTGTGAGAGGGAGAAGCCCAGTATGTTTGGGGTTGCAGTTAATATCTGGGCAGTCGGCTTCCGAGGTGGCGCGAACTGATAAGATAGTGTTTGGGATGTTTGATCTCTCCCTTTTCTCTTTGTGCTATACTTCATTTCATTATTCCTATAATATACACACTTGGAGCTTTACATCTCAATAATATACACGTCATTATGTTGCAGCTTACCGCCCAGGGATTTGGAACTCGATATTCAAAATTTACGCTAAAAATGCACTAACCAGCATCTTGAAGACTTCAAAGATCTTCCTTTGTCCTTGTTGGGCTTAGTACTGCTATCAAATGCCATGCAAATGCCGATGGCTGACGACATTCTGATCCTCAAAAGGATATCTTATGCTTCGCCAGGCCGACGCCTGAATCGGCATGACGCGTATTTCCTTTTTGGGAGGGACATCCAGACTTCATGGCCAACTTTATCTGAAGAGTCATGGATAATATGCGCGATAAACCTCTTCATGAGGGCCCGGCTCCGATTACTATCCTGGATATTTGACTTGACCCAGTGGTTGGGTGGTCTTCTGGACTGCAGAGCCCTAGATAAGGCTTGATTCTGAGTCAAAATCGCTTCATACTAGTCCTATAAGAGCACTCCCCAGAAATACACCGTGGTTAGCTTTATACTACTTGTCTCTGCTGGGGGGTCCCATTCTTGGAAATCGAATATTTTCATATTTATCCCAATATAGCGACGGAGATCTCATAGATATTCCCCGTAGTTGTCTTGATATCTGGTTCTTTTCTCTCTTCCTTTTCTATCATACATCCATACCACGCTCGTTTACCGCGGTTAAGCCATTCGTTTATCACAATACAAATATCTAGTTACTCTCGTTGATTATATACCTCCCAATGGCTATTCATTACGTCGAACCGAATGGCTCTGCGCCTAGTGTCTCTAGGCATAGTACCCCGGAGCCTGATATCCCAAAGCAAGATGTCCACGAACATACAGCTTCGGAATCTAGTGTCACTGGGTCCAGTAGCTCGAAGCCTAGTACCCCAGAGCAGTCTGATGCCAAGCCAACTGAGCTAGTTACAGTCAAGACAGTCGAGCCAGTCAAGGCGGCCAATCCAGACAAGCCAGAGGAGGAAGAGAAGCCGGTATACCTCCCACGTGCGGACCGAATGAATCAAACTCCAACCAAGGGAAATGCACAGGGCCTTTTTCTTCCTGATTGTTGTGTTTTTGTGGGAAAGTAAACATTGTCAAGTCCTATCTGATACTATATATATACTGACCGGATTAGCCTCTCTATCAAGGTTTCTCTTGAAAAGTTGGAAGAAGATCTTACAGACATGATCTCTACATTTGGCCGGTGTCATGTTAAGATCAAACTATCACAGGGGTTGAAGAAACTACCTGTTGCATTTGTACAGTTTGAAGTCAGTGCAGTGTTTTTATACTGAGATATGACATACTAACATACTTAATAGGACATCAAAGCAGCAAATTCTGCATTGAAACAAAATGGAAATCTGATGCTTCATAATCGGATGTTGAGATTAGAATCATCTAGGGCTAGACGTGAGTTCCCTTTTGTTGGACTTCATTGCACGTTTGCACCTTCGCACCTGAACACTTTCTCTTTCTCACACCTTCTCACCTTCTCTTTCACTTAGGAACTGCCCACTTCGGTTATCTCACTGACGAGCCCATCGATAAATCAATAATCGTCGATGCCTTGACGGGACTTGGTAGTCTCGAGGGCATAATTATTGAAAACTACGTTAACCCACAAGGGGAGGATACTACCTTTGGCGTTGTCACTTTCGCATACCCTGACGATTACGCAGATGCCCTTCAGGTAAGTCGATTGTCCAATTTTGCCCTGAGTCTACTGACCATTTGACCATAGCATTTTCAAAACCACCCCGAGTATTATATGACCAGACCCACCATGGACCCCAACGACAATCAGCTTCCTCAGGATTACCCTGCTCCAGGACACAGGCATTCTAACCAGCCTCCCCCAACCCGTGGCAATCAGCAGCGGTACAACAGTAGCCGCAGATCGTTTCACCGTCCATGGAACAGTGGCGGCAGCAACAATAGAGGCGGATTTCGAAATGCTCCTGGTGCTGCCCCCAGACACCAAAACACACCCTTTGCAAATCATAATCACAGTCAAAGCTTCAATGGCCAAGGACATTCATCTCACGGTTCTTTCTCTCAGAACTACCCAGGTGGCAACGGTTTCCTTCAGAACAACTTCAACCAGGGTTATCCCAACCCCAACTATCAAAACTTCCCTGGCAACAACTTCCCCCTGAACTATCAGGGCAACAACTTCCCGCCGAACTACCCCAATCAAAACTTCGTAGCTCCGGGTGCCTTCCCCAATTCCCCTGTCATGTTTAACCAAGTTCCCATTCATGAAGGCCCTCCACCCCCGCCATACCATGCTGATTACACTGCTATGCCAGCCTCGGGATTTCCTGTGTTCTTGAGCAATCAACCATACCAGCCTTCCAATTGTCATCCTCCAATTGTCACTCAGCCTCAGCCACAGCCTGTTGCAGGTCCTGTTCCCGGCCGCCGGCGATTGCCTCCTCGTCGGGACTGTCCCTTAATTGTCTCCAGTCAGCCCCAGTTTGACACCGAACATCACCGGCAACTCTACTACGAGCCCTACCCGGCTGACGACACCTTCGTGGGCATGCAGCCAAGTTGGGTCGGCCACCCAGGAGGTACTTGTTTCGTGCAGCCTGATTACAACCAGCCTTACCCGTCCAACGCATATCCTCGTAGTCGCCATTCTAGCATGGGAAGTCAGCAGAACAACAATTCGCCGCCAAGAGTCAACGAATCCGAATCGGTATTGACACAAACTAAAGTCCAGACCCCTGAGACTGACAGAGGTCGCCAACTAGTTCGGCCGCGCCACCCCAACACCGACGGAAGCTCCGACATGGCTCCAGTGTCTGCTCCTGCTAAGACCCAGAGTGAGCCCGTCTCTATGCAAGCTCTGGATGGTTCACAGGAAAGACTTAGCACAGCAAATGTGAGCAAGTCTACTGAAACTAAGATTGAGCCCGCCGCGCTTGTGAAAGAGCCTCTTGAGTCTCAGAACAAACCCACTGAACCTGAGAATGAGCCTAACCCGCCGCAAACCGAATCCAGCTGTGCTCCAACTCCTGATCAAAAGAAAGAAGAGTTGATGGATGAGACCAAGCCACCATTGAGAATTGACACCAAGAATGAAGAAAGCGCTGGGTCTTCCTCTGAGGCTGGCCGCAAGACACCAGACACCGATGAGTCTCGGGAAGGCGCTAAACTTCAGACTCCAGCTCAAGCCGACTCACTAAAATCAGCCGATACAAAGTCTCCTGGTACCACCGAAACTCTTAAGCCAGTCGAAAAGAGCACTCCAAGCAAAGGCAAGTCCCCGGAAATGGCCACAGCCACGCCAACCAAGAGTGGTTGCAGAAGACTTGAGCCCGCAGTGCCAGACAACAAACACCTACTGGCCCGCCATGCTTTCCAGCATCGCAAACCCCTCAAGAAAAAGTACCAGCCTAAGACCGACACCGGCAAAACAATTGAGCAGTACACCCGTGAGATAAATGCGCAGCGTGCCTCGATTGATCCTGACTCGCGCGTCCCTGAGCATATCCTGCAAGAAGTCATCCAAGAGCTCGAGAATGAGCGCAGAGATGCTACACGGAAGAGCCTAGGTCTCGGTCCCACTGATAATAGCAGTGTCGGCAGTGGTACTTCTTTGAAGAAGTAGGTTTGATATTGACAGATGATTAAAATGGGGATGGAGGAAGTTATCCAGTGTGATTTGCTTGCCATGACGGGTCGTTTTATTCTTATTTTTTCTTACTCCTTGTTCCATGCTTCTTTTATGGTCTGTTCTTTATTCAAATTTGTGTATTTGCTTTTGAAGGGGAAAAGAAAAACGTCAAAAAAAGGGGAGCGTGTATGTTACAATGAACATGCTCGAGTCAATTATCAAATTTCAAATTTTATTCTGCAAACTTGCTCATTCCTAACAGTCATTCAATGCATCGTACACTAATATTAGTTCTTAACAGTGATAGTCTTGGTTATAGATGGCTGTCAGACTCTACCATAAACTGGCTCATCATGATAATGTGATTTGATTTGATTGACATGGCCGAACGGCAACTTGATCCCCGCCCATGTAAACGCCGAGACCGAAAGCCGATTTATATGTACAAAATGCTTCTTGATGCCAGTTTGCATTCCATAGATACCGAAACCAAATGCCAGTGGGGGATAGTGATGCACGCCGAACAAAAAGACAAGAACGCAGAAGAGAAGAAAATGGCAAATTCCCATATGCAAACGCTCATGGTTAGAATAGATGTGGATCGTGAGAATAGAAAGGATACATATGCTGTGGGTGAGATAGAGGGTGGCGAGGAACTAATAAGTGATCGGATATAAAGAAGATAACGCTGGGAATCAAATCGGAGGGAAAAATAAGACGAAAAAGAAAGGGAAGGGAAAGGGGTAAAGTATGTATAGGAGTGTGACCTCTCCAAGGAATTAGTGATCAGCCTGGTGATCAAGCTCTGACACGTCTAGCATCGAAAAAGCTAAGATTGACAGCCGTATCATTGACGCCCAGGAACGGCGCCGCATCCTCAAGTAGTTCCCAAGGACGGACTGGATAGGGACCGACAACACGACCGCGGTGTTGAAAACGAAGTCGATTGGTCATACAGTTCGAATCAGGCTGTCCGGTAGACACTCCCGATGCCGCTGCCACAGGCTGCTGTGCTGGAGATGATCCAACGATAGAGAAAAGAGCAGGTGATTGGGTCGGGGTTGACCCCGATGCTGCCGGAGAGGGGGCTGAGACTTGCTGAGAATTTGCAGAGTATTGGTCTGCCATTGGGCCCAGGAGGTAGATGAAGCGAGAGTCGTTCATAAATGGCACGAAGGATGGGCATTTCTCTTTCAGGAAGCGTGCACATTGTTGGCGGACTTCGTCTGGGAAGACGTCAATTAGTGAGGCGGCCACGTCTAGAGCGTGGGTCTGTAGGAGGATTCCTGGGCAAGGACGGAAGCCTTCGGCCGGGGCTGGGTGCGGGAAGTAATCGGCTGCAGGGAATAGACGAAGGACATCTCCCGGGAGGCGCGAGAGTGCAATGCAGAAGATTGAGGTCAGAAGTCGGAGCTGTTCTTGCAGAGGATTGATCTTGAGAGCTGCGGGCGGTTGTGCAAATGCAGACCGATGGAGGACGATCATCCTCAGCAAAGCGGAAAACCAGAATGCAAGAGCACGCTCGAAGTTTGAACAACTTGGGTTGGCCACACCCTTAGCGATGGTACGGTTGTGCATGGTGATGATCTTGTGAAGAAGGGAATCCATCTTTTCCACAAGCACTGGGGCGACAGATGGAGCTCCAGAATCGGGAATGCTGCCCGCAAGCTCTTCGATAATGGTAAGATACATCTTGGCAGTTTCCAATGATCCCACCTTGTCAGGCGAACTAGGAATATCACCTATTGACTCTTCAAGCAGAGGGATGGAGAAAAACTCCTTCTCGGCACGTTCTCGGATTTGGCGTACGGCGTCAGGGCTCATCAGTGCAACTAGGTCAGCCCAGTGAAGTCTGTGAGCACGACAGTCCGCTACGGCAGTTTTGAACATAGCATCAACAATATTGGTTCGGTCTTCAGATCCCGAGTCCGCATAGAATAGAACTTGAAGCTTCAACTGGCAAAATGGGAGCGAGAAATCGTCGGCCATACATGCAAGCTTTTCGACCTTTGAGAGGACTGAGCTGCCGTCGGACTGTGACTCGACGCCCAATAAAAGGTCAAGCGCTTTCTGGACAATACTTAAAGCGGCTGGGTATTGGTCGATGAGCTTCTGCACGCCATTCTGTGCCGGACATTCCGGGTGTCGCACCAGAAGATCACGTAACAACATGACTATAGAGTGCTCCAGCTCGCTGTGCCCAGTAGAAGAGTTACTGGCATTGGAGGATGCGGCGTCACAAACAATATTGAGCGCTTCCTCGGAGTTCTTATTGAGAAATTCCTGCTGGGCCAACTGGAACCGATAGGACACCAAATCAAAGGACTTGTTATCTTTGTCACCAGAGACAAGAAGTTGGACAAGGTCGGCAGGCAGTTGGGCTGCATTAGGCACTGTTGCTGGCGTAGAGAGTGTGAGCCTCTTTGCAAGGGCCAAGAAGGCTCTGATAGTAACGCATCCGACACCAATTAGCGGCGGTAGAATCCGCAGCAAGATGGTACGTTCAGGAGATCGCAAATGACCACAGACCCAACGGGCAAGAATGCCATCGAAATGCTTTGGATGGAAAGACCTGAGTTGTGCAAGGTAACGGCAGGTGTCATTTGCTGACAGATTTGCATGGCCATCATCAGACTCCAGGTGCTTTATCAGTGTGTTGAAAATCGCGTCTAGAGTAGGCTCATCCATGACATTTCCTGATTGCAAAAGCTGATCTAGCTTCTCTCGGAAGAAGGGGTCGACGCTGCCAAAGCCATCTGGGATATGGTCCGAGACTGGAGAAGATGCGGCCACGATTGACTTGTTCTCCATGCGCGAGAGATCCTGTCGAAGAATGGACACAGTATTGAGTTCACTCGGGATGCGCAAACCAAGTTCGATCAAAGAGAATATCAGATCAAGACCTGGCATTCCAAACCTCTTAATGCCGGCATAGACATCGATGAGCCTTCGGAATAGATCAGTTGTGGCGCCAATAACGCAAAGAGAGTCGAAGTGGCAGTTTGTGGTATCTGCAACTGAGGCGAGAACGGTGCTATCACCACAGCTCGACGCGTACTTCAGCACATCTGCTAACATTGAAATGTCGTCAAATGATTCCAGCGCATCGCGGACTGTATAAAACTCGGCAGGAGTCAGCGCAGACACCACAGAGGCAATTCCAACGGGAAACGCTCCTCTGTTAGTTGACCTATTCGCGAGTTAGGAAGACAGGCGACGATGGGCTTAGGAAAGAAGAGTTCAAATGCTTACTCTGCGCTCCTATTGTGCTCCGCAATTGCTCTGCGTAACCACTGGCCAACCTCGGCCTTGACAGCCCAAGGCAGGTTTGATGGTAATGGGTCTAATGGCATTGACGCAGATTCGTTGACGCCGAAAATTCCAGGTAAACGTTGGCTAATGACGTCTTTCACGCTATCAATAACTGCGTTCTCTTCCGAAGCAGAGAGCCCAGTGCGAGCCAGCAGAGTACTCCGCAAGTTCCTAACATGTTCTGGAAGACGGGCAACAGGGAGTTGCGCTATTAGTCCGATATCGATTGGCAAGTCCTTCACATACACATCTGTTAGTGACCAGGATGATTTAGCATGTAAATTCGATCTTACCTTGCGCTCCTCGGCTGAGGTAGATCCATTGGTAACGCCTCGTGCCATGAGCCATTGTAGATAGCGACCAACTGAAAATGTCTGTGACCTGACAAGTTCAGAAACGACATGATAGATTTGATCCATGTTGAGCTTTTGATTGTTCTGTCCACGTGATATAAAAGCCAGTATGTAACTGTCTATATCGACGCCAGCCAATTTCCACTTGCGGAGCAGGCGAACACCAATGTAAACCCGGCAGAGACCGTGGCGGAAGGGCGTAGAGAGCCATTCCAATAGCTTGAAGACCAAAATAGGCTTGTCATCAAAAGCGTCGAGATAACCAAAGATAGAAGTGAGATCCTGAGCGGAGCGTATAGAGTCGAGAAGTCGGACGATGCGTTGATGGGGTGAGCGTTGGGTTGTTTGTTTCGAGTCTCTGGGTCGTTGTACTCGAGCATTGCGTTCTGAGAGGCACTGGAAAATTGCTTTTTCTGCTTCGTTTCCTAAATCAAGGGCAGATAACACCTGCTGTTTATAAGTCTCCCAAGACTTAGGGAGTATCATCGAGGATGTATGGTCAAGAACAAGCTTTTTGATAAAGCGAGAAAGACGGTCGATAAGAGGTTGAAGTTGAGTCAATTTAGCTTCAGTTGCCTATTGCTAGCGGTTAGTATTGACTGCGGGCACAAAGTGGTCAAGGAAGATTGAACGCACCTGTCGCACTTTTTGGAGCAGTAGCTCAGCCAATCGTCGCCCCCTTCGTCTATATCGCATGATACTATTCCAGTATATGCCGAGCATCAAAAGCCATATTGGGACCGTGCTGATAGAAGCAGCCTCAAAGGATGACAAGAACCATTCAAGGAAATGGTCATGGTCTAGTAAGTTTTCTGAGAATAGACGAGCAGTCAACCCAACACTGAAGATAAATGTTAGTATGCTGTTCATAATTGACGGTAATCCACGAGCACATACGCGTATGTCATCTTCGCCTTCCAGTCCGAGGACTTGGGGGCAGCAAACACCCCTTCAACAAATTGCTGAACATTTGTCGTCCAGTCTCGGACCCATTTCGCCTCTAAACCAACGGCCAAAGCACCACTTGTGCCTTTTCGCTTGAACGCACGGATTTCATTCGCACCCACACACTTTGCCAACCAGACAGCACGTGCAACAGGGATCCATTTACCAAGGCACTGGTCCAGGAGGATCTTACCGCGGATACCATGGGGAATGGTTCGGCTCAATCGTCGCAGCGGAACAGACGGGTTGGCGAGATCTCGAAGCCACGCCTCGCGCTTGTTGTCGGTGAGCGTAACTCGAGGTGGCGGTTTGAATGTAGACGGAGCGTGAATCGTGTTGTGACTTTGTCGTTTCTCTAAGACCGCAGCGAAGACGGACGAAAGC